TAAATAGTATTGTTTTTAAGTATATTATAGAATAATATATATTATTAGTTTATGAATATCAAGGAATATAAAGAATATATTTAAGAATCAAAAGATAATATTGAAGTTTGGGATTTTGTAATATAATCAATAAAGTAGTTATCGAGTATAATATTTATATTAGGAATAAGATTTCTTATTATACTTTTTATAAATAGATGAATATTATCGAAATATCATTTATATTATAGAAATCAATATTATAAGATTTTATAGGTTTATTATCAAAATCCAAAGATTTAATAATGAAAATGATATATAATTATTTCTTTGTTATAATAAATAGATTAACAAAGTATTTAATATTTATATTATATTAGATAATATTAATTATGGAAATATTAACTTTTATATTCTTAAAAGAGGTTATTGTAGTATATGGATTATTAAAGGAAATACTTTTTGATAAAAATAAACTTTTTATATCGAAATTTTGAATTGTTTTAATAATATTGTTAAAAGTAAAGAGGAAAATGTTTATAATATTTTATTTATAAATTAATAAAAGAAATAAAAGAAATAAAAAAAATAAAAGAATGAATCAAATTATTAAAGTTTATTTTTAATGTTATATAAATTATTAATAAAATAATTGAATAGAATTTTTATTTTTAATATAATTTATATATAATAATTCAGTATTAAAAGTAATACAAATCATTCTGAATTATATCAATTATAAATACAAATTGATTGTATATTATAAATTAAAGATTATAAAAATAAAGAATCAATTTATAATAATACAAATAAAAAGATTCAAAGAAGTTTATAAAAAAATGATAATAAAATTGAAATTCATTATTGAATAAAATATATATTATTATAATCAAAAATATAATTAAGAATCAATATTAAAAGAAAAAAATAAAATTTATTTATTTCAAAAAAATATCGAAACAAAAAGATTTAATATAAAATTGGATTACAAGAAATTCAGATTATTCAAAATCAAAAAGATTAAAGGATTTTTAAATTATAAATTAATATTATTGAAAAGTATGAATATATATTTAATATTTTATATATCTTTATTCGAATTAATATCTTTAAAAATATTCAAAACTTTTAAAACAGAAATCATATTTATAAATTAAAATACTAAATATAAAATAAAAAAAATATTAAATTATAAATATATTAAAAACAAAATCAAATATTTAATAAAATAAAAAGATTATTTTGATTTCGAAAACATATAAAAATTTGAAAAAAAAATTAAATATTTAAAGAAATTCTAAAAGTTTCGTTAATAGAATCCAGATTTATTTAAAAAGAAAAAGAATTCATTGTTTTTTATAAAGAAGAATCGAAAAAATTGAATTTATTTATAAGAATTTTATTGAGATTGATAAAATCAATTGGTAATTAATCAAATCGATTAAGGGTTAATTAATCAAATTGATTAAATTGATTAAAAAGCGATAAAAAAATTATAGGAATTTCTTTATCTTTTTCTTTTTGTTTCTTTTCTTCGAAGATATCAAGTTTATTAAGATATTTGAATCTATAATATAATATTTTATTATATCGTTTTTTGAATTGTATTTTCTATTTAACAAAATAAATAATCTTAATAGAAAACTTAACGATTTCAATATCCAATTTATCGATTTATTGATCAAAACTTTTCCAATTATATTCTCGAGGAATTTCATAATCCCAATTATTTTTCAAATGAAACTTAATATTATATAAAACAGAATTTTGTATATATTTCGAATAATATAAATAATATTTATTAAAAAGATTTTTAATATAATAATGATTCTTTTATCGATAATAAAAATAAGGAATTATTTTAATATTAATAGAATCAATAATTATAACTAAATATATATATTCTTTTTTTTTTCTTCGAATTAAATTATTAAAGGAATCAGAATTATTTATAATAAAAAAAGAAAAATAAATAAAATATAAAAAAGAAAAATATTAATTATTAAATGAAATTTGAAAGATTATAAATGATTAAGATAATATTTAATTAGAAAAGAAATAATATTATAATTTATAATTAAAATAAAAATATATTAAAGAATAATAATCAATATATCTATATAAATTTAAACCTTATCGAAAAACAAAACAATTTATATATAAATTTATATAATAATCGTTTTATATAATCTTTTTATCTTTAATAAATTTGAATATATAATCTAATCTTAATCATATAATAAAAAGCTTTGGGAACTTCGAAAGCTTTTAAAGCTCCAAAAGTTTTTTGAAGTTTTAAAATTTTATAAAGCTTCTTTACATTCATTAATATATAATCAAAATAATTTCATAATTTAAAAACTTCATATTCAATTTAGTTATCAATTAGTTTACTTACATTCCAATTGATCTAATAATATATTCATCTTCGAATAAATAATCAGTGATTATTAATCTTAATCTACAATTACCAACTATACAAAAACCTGAGGTAGCCGCTGTCTCAACCAGATCGTTACAATATGATTGATAATTGTAGATTAAGGCTATTAATATTAGTTATTTATTTAAAAATAAATCTATTATTAGATCAAATAGAATATAAATAAATTAATCGATAATTAAATTGAATATAAAGTTTCTAAACTATAAAACTATTCTGATTATATATTAATCTTTTTTAAAAGTCTTAAAGAGTTTATAATTTTGAGAACTTTAAGAAGTTTAAAAAAGTTTATACTTTTAAAGATTTTATTATATGATTTTCATCTTGATAAATTAATCTTAATAATTCTATTCTATTGAAATTGCTTCAGAATAATCCTCTTCTTAGAATAATTGATATTTTAATATAATTGTTCTAAGATAATTATCTTAAAATAATTATTATTTTAATTTATTTTATAAAGTTAAGATACTTGTTTTATTATATTATAATTGTTTAGAACACTTGTTTTAAGATTCTGTAATGATCAGATCGAGATAATAATTATTTGAGGTTTTGTATGATTAATAATTGTAAATTAAGATTATTAATTATTAATTATTTATTTGAAAATAAATTTATTATTAGATCAATTAAAATATAAATAAATTAATTGATAATTAAATTAAATATAAAGTTTTTAAATTATAAAATTATTTTGATTATATACTAATAAATAAAAAAGAATTTTATGAAATTTAAAAACTTCAAAAAGCTTTTAGAGTTTTAGAAGTTTTTCAAATTTTTAAAACTTTTTATCATATAATTGATTTTGAAATTTTTCCTTTTTTAGAATATTTATCTCAAAAGCTTTCCTTTAGGAATTATAATCTCAGGATATGATATCTTTTAAAATGATTGTTTTATTTTAATCGATTAATTAGGATATTTGTTCTATTTTAATACAATTGTTTAAGATACTTATTCTAGGAATCTTGAAATTCTATTCATAGATGATTAAATTCCCTGAAAGCAACGGTTAAATCATACCCCCCTTATAGTCGGCACGTGAATCACCGACATCAATAATACTACTATAATCTAAACCGTGAATCGTGACAGTTGTAGCCTGTTTAAAACGTATTAGGCTCTTTAGGCGGCAACCTAGTAGCGTCTGTGACAGCGTATCACAAATCACCTACATCCGGATTATAATAGTATTATTGATATCAGCGATTCATATGCTGACTACAGGGGGGTATGATTTAACCATTGCTTACAAAGGACCTAATCATCTATAAATAGAATCCCAGGATTTTTAGGATAAGTATCTTAAGTAATTATATTAAAATAAAACAATTATTCTAGAAAATATCATATTCTAAAATTGTAATTCTTAAAAGAAAACTTCTGAAATAAATATTCCAAAAAAAAAAAGATCTTAGAATTAATCATATAATAGAAATTTTAAAAATTTAAAGAGTTTTTAAATTTTATAAAACTTCTTTTTATTTATTAATATATAGATCGTTACAATTATAATTTTCTATTCTTTTTAATCTGAAAAACTTTAACTTTACAAAGAGTATTTCAATTTTGATGAAATTTATAATTATCATTTTTATCTTGAATTTCAATATCCATTTGAGTTTGAATAGAAAATATTGAAAATTGGAATTTTGATGAATTATTTATAATTGAAGGTTGGAAATAAGATTATAAATATTTCTCGATAAAGTATATAATTAGAAGTTTCCAGAACTCTTACATTATCATCACAGCCCTCAACGCACGGACCACCCGCTCTCCACTCCATCCACACCCATCACTACCTCGTTCTCTCCTTCCTTCCTCCCCCTCCTTATGCTTCTACCTTCTACCACATCCAAAATATAAGTATATAATCCCTTATTCTTCGACGCATCCTCAACATGATGATAAAAAACTCCTTGTTACGAACATATTAGCCGAGCGGTTCACGCTCATGATTACTAATGAGACGTTCAAACCCTGAGGAAACCTTTAACAGTGAGCCCTTTCCCCCAATACCCTATATACCATCCACATTGTTCAAGTTTTAGATGAAATATACCACCCATTTTGATCCAACGCCCACAGTTTGTTCATTTTGAACGTGAAGACACTTAAAAGAAGAACTATAACCTACTCAATCGAAAAATCAATTTTTTCAATTGTATTTGATGAAGAAGTTCAAAGGGAATCCAAATCAAATGAAGCTTCTATATCGGTCACACTTTCGAGGTTTAATTTTTGACGAATGGGAAAGTTGCGAGTCTTCAGTTGTATACTTGTATCATGCTATCGATATATCGTATATCGCTCGTTCCGATCTTTTATATCTTAAAAGGCTAGGAACGCCGTGGTATTCTCTTGACAATTTTACAAAAGAATCGTAATCGTAATCTATCGCTACTGTATCTACCTAGGAAATGGCTCACAACCTGTTTATACGAAAGTAGCTAAGTGAGTGAACAAAGTTTTCGAGGAGAGTTGCTTGTAAGGTAGTGGTAGAAGGAAGTGTGAAGGGGGTTTAGGAAGCTCGAGGGAGGGATGGGATAGTTTTATATGATAAATCGTGATCTTATAGTTAAACACAACACAACATATACGATTTGTAGGAAAAGGATTGCGTACTAAAACTTGTAATTTTATCTACCATATATCCTTAATCTTCATTCATTTTCTCAGGACTGCGTAACTCGCTTCTATCCCTCTCCCTATCGCGAGATCGCTCCCTGTCAATACTCATATCATCTCTTGGGGTATCATTACTATATCTCCTTCGACTTCTTTCCTCATCTCGATCTTCATCTCTGTAGCCATTCATATCTTCGTCTTCGCGACTTTCATGCTTCACATCACGCCTGGCCCCTGATTCAAGATGTAAGTCATCTAGTTGCGCAGCTCCACCTTCATCCCCTACATCAACCCATATTCGTACCGTACCATCCAGGCCTCCACTAACCACTGCTCCATTTGGCCCAGGAGCAGTATCAACCCAACAAACTACACCCTCATGCCCGTGAACCTTCTGTATTAACTCCTTCGTACTCACATCCCAAAATAAAATGTCGCCATCTTCACTACCAGAATTAATAAATCCCTGATTACCACTAAAACCAAAACTACCACCCAATGAGTATTTATTATTCACATGCCCCTGATATGTCTTCTTGCAAGTTCCCGCAACATAATCCCACAGCCTTATGCATGAATCAAGTGTATGTGCGAGAATAAATCGGCCGTTGGGAGAAAATCGAACTGTCGTTACAGGCGCATTATCTTCGTGCACGAGAGTTCGAAGACACTGGCCGGTCGCGGTATCCCATACACGACTAGTAAAAGAATAAGTATTTCCAATACGTAGCGTTCAATGACAAACATATAAACTTACATGAGTCCATCAGTAGAGCAACTGCATACTAAAGTCCCATCTCGTATAAAATCCACCGCACCAACAGGATCCGAATGCGCCGGTAAACTTCTCATCTGCCTTCTCGCACGTAAATCCCACAGGAAAACAGCTTCATCATAGCTTCCACTAGCTATCACATTGCCTTTTGGAGAGAAAGCCACCGAATAGACGTAATTATGGTGACCAAGTAATGGTGTAAGATATGGTTTACCAGTCGCCCGATCCCAGAGCCTTATAACTTTATCATCCGAACCAGAAGCTATAGTATTTGAATCTGGACTCCAAGCTATCGTCGATACACCTGCAAGATGTCCCTCCATAGTTCGCAAGTGCTTTCCAGTTTGCGCATCCCAAATTTTAATTGTGCCATCTGCAGAACAACTTGCAACCCATCGTCCGTTGGGCGAATATCTTACCTGCGCAACTCCTTTTCGATGGCCTCTCAATATAAATTTGCATTTGTAGTTGAGCTTTAGAGGTTTATGAGCTGGGGGAGAGGGAGAGGAATGCGTCGAGCGAGGTGAGTCTTCAGAAGTCGATCTGCTTCTTGAATGATGAGAATTTCGACGACTTCGAGGGCTCCGCGGGCTTCGATGACGAGGATGTGTATGGTCTAGTTCATCAGCGCTGCCATCACTGGAATATGTTCTTGATTGCCGGCGTGTCGAATCGCGACGCGTACTAGTAGAAGGACGAATTGGTTTATCGTTTGAAAGCTCATCTGGTGAACTATAACCTGGTGTAGAAACATCGCTATCGTAACGTCGGCGCTTTGGTTGACGTCTTTCTGCCATGTCGAAAGGAGTCGTAGCTGCTGAATCAAAGTCGGACATTATTTCCTAGCTCCTACTCCTGTTGCATTGATGGCGGTTGATAATAATTAAGCGCCTAAGATATGGAGAATTTAAGCGCGACACGGCTATTTTTGTCTAGATCCTAGAATCGCCTCGGCTGTCTACCGGATGAATCCGTAAAACCCCTGCTATTTGTTTTCTTAGTGCTAAATCTAAAGAACGTCATGAAGCTTAATTTGAGTGAAGGGGCCAAGACAGCAAAATATAGTGGGAAGGTAGTTCAAACAACACATCAGCCAATCGATTCAAAGTTTGAACCCAGTCCTCAATTTTCTCCCTAGGTATTCCAATTCGAATCAAATAGGTAAGATGAAGATATAAATACATGATATGCAGCTGCAAGGATCCAAATCTTTTGAATCTTTGTTCTTCATACTACGCCGCTCCCGCTTCAGCAAATCTCCACCATATAAGACACTTTTCCCACAGCTTTTCGAGCTTCAAGCTCCCCGTTAATAATGGACTCATCATCATCAGAAGTTAATGAGATCAATGTGATCACCCTCAATTGCTGGGGTCTCAAGTTTCTTTCTGATTTGCGGAATGAACGTCTGACAGAGATTGGGAAGGCCATTGGGTCTGCGAGTCCTACACCTCACATAGTCGGTCTACAAGAGTGCTGGACACAGCAAGACTACAAGAGTATACGAAATGAAACGAAGCATATTCTGCCTTATGGGAAGTTCTATCACAGTGGAATATTTGGAGGAGGATTGGCAATACTGTCCAAATGGCCAATAGAGGAGAGCTCGATGTTCAGATATCCCCTAAATGGAAGACCTACAGCGTTCTTTCGAGGCGACTGGTTCGTCGGAAAGGGTGTTGCTGGCGCGAGAATACGATATGGACAAGGTGCAAAAGATATTGTAGAAGTCTTCACAACACATGTCAGTACTTTGAAGCTTTTTCACTTGCCAAAGCTGACATACATAGCTCCACGCGCCTTACGAAACGGAACCGCACGATTCTTATATCTGCCATAGGACAGCACAAGCATGGGAAATAGCAAAACTTATGAGAGGTGCCGTAGAGCGTGGACATCTAGTTCTAGGCCTCGGTGATTTCAACATGATACCATTATCGCTCGCTCATCGACTGATCAGTACACACTCGCCTGCTCGTGATGTCTGGATGGTTCTGCATCCTGATTGCTCCATTGGTGCAGCAATCGATGAAGTCGAAAAAGCTCGACACCGTCCAATACCAACTGCAGAGTTCAACCTACATGAAAATGGTGCTACGTGCGATAGTGTATTGAATACATGGCGGTGGAATAAAGGTCAACAAAAACGCCTCGGACCAAATAGACCAGAGATCGAGATTCCCGGCGATACACCTGATCCTCGAGCCAAACGACTTGACTATATTTTCGCCAACACATGCTTCGATGAAAGTAATCCATCAGCAGGAGGATGGATTGTAAAAAATGCACGTGTTGGTATGCTCCAACGACATTCTAAGTATCAATGCTCATTGAGCGATCACTTCTCCGTCGAAGCAACATTAATACACACAAAATATTCTTCACCTGCCGAGCAAACCATGAAAAATAAATCAGCTGTGTCTAGCGGAGTTTACCTGCACACCGCCACCTCAGAATCTCACCTCATTAGTGCACACAATCAGTTAAAACCACCATCTTCCCCGCCTCACTTACCAATCTCCACATACGATGAAATCATCGCCATGATTCATAAATACCGTCTTCGAGAGCGTCGCCAACGACGCCTTCGTCTAGGTCATTTTGTCGCTTCCGTTTTCATAAGCATCGGCTGTTTTATAGCCGTATGGTGGAGTCCACGCAATTTCGTTGCATTTCTACTCATGTTGTTATCAACTTTAGGGTTAGGCGCTGGCATTATTGATGGATTGATTGGAGGTCTGTTTGTGGGGAGTGAAATTAGAGCACTTAAGGAGTTTGAGTGGGAGATTAGTAATGCAAGGGCCGCGGCTAATGGAGAATCGCATGTTTTGGAAGAGGAGGGTATTCAGGATTGGTAGTCTCTTTCCCGTGAGGAACGTAATGCGTAATTTGAAGAGAGCTCGCCCAGAGTATCGTAGATGGATCATCACTTGCTGGTTATGTTTGTATTTGCTTGCTATATTTTAGTGTCGTAATGCTGTCATGGAATTGCATTATACCCAAAACTAGTGTTTCTGCAAGCCTTGCTTCTTCTTTCTTTTCTGCATCAATGTTAAAAGCCGCATTTTCATCAATCAGTGCATTTTAGGTTTAACATATTACATGCTTTTACTTGTGGTCATATCATGGATAGTAGTTGAAATTATCGGCAATTCTGATGTCATTGCTCTTTCCTACTCTAGACACCAACCCTCCTATTTTCTTATACTAATTCTAAAATTTAATTACAACCTTGTATTGTCTCCTACAACCAGGAACAGTTACAATCACTACATTTATCACTACATACATATTTTTCCATCCTTCACTTGTCAATTTTTATCCTCAACTTAGCCGTTCATCCAGGGTTTGGATCTGTCGACCAATTATGGACAATGGCAAGCAGGATCCGTCTGGGGAAGGCTCCGATAAACATGTCCAAGCTCCATCACCAAATAGTATGATGGATCTTACATTTTCCAGCCAGAACTTGATTTCGTCTGCCGCTAGCTGTACATCTTCCACCTTCGACTTAATTCTTCCTATCTCTTCTGTTGAATCCTCGTCAAATAATGGGAATCAGAGCGTCGCTTCTACTCGATTCGATCATGCTTCTGAGACTTCAGATTCGATAGATCGCATAGCGTCGGCGGGTTCCTCGCTAGGAGTGGAGACTCTGGAGACTATAGATGAAAGAACTTTGCACCAGAGAAGTCAACAAATAGAGAGACGAGGAAAGGAAGAGTTGGAGGGTGGTCCCGAGACTAGAGAGGAGGGGCAAAGAGCTCAAAAACGAAAATGTGAAGACCAAGAAGAAATAGAAAATGGTGGTTCTCCATCTAGGGAGAAGAGCATAGGGACAAAAGACGAACAAATCTCATGCAATAGCGAGGCCCAAGACTTACGTTTTCTACAAGAAAATGAAGATCATAGGGAGAGCCTGGAGGAAATTCTAAGGCGCAAGAGGAATGCAAGAGCCCGACGACACAGACAAGAAAAGAAGGAGAAGCGGAAAAATATCATGGACGGGGATGATATGGCAAAGAAAATGAGTTTACAGGCTGAAATGGAACAACAAAGGCTTCGGCACAATGACTTACAGCGAAAAATTTACTGGAGAAAGAAAGAGGAGCAGGAGATGCTTGAGAGGGAGGAGATATTGGAAAAGCTTGGGATGTATTTGAATGCTAGAAATTAATTTGTAATTCTGGGGAGTGATGGGATGATGATGAAGATGCTTGAAATTGGGGAATGGAAGAGAAGGGGAGGGAGTTTGTCGATTGGTTTGGGAATTGGTATTAGTATGAAGATTGGTAGGTAGAGATTGGATAAATATTGTATTGATTGATTGATTTCTGTGATGAAATGAATGAATTGAAATGGAGTAATATGAGATGGTTTGAGGTGAGGTGAGGTGAGGTGAAGTGGATAATTAATAAGATAAATGGATGTTTATAACTTTATATATTCTAATAGGACGTGAAAGCTTTATGGATTAATTGTAATCTTATTGTAATATCTTATGAGTTGAGAAAGAAAGAGAGGTGATCTATAATTATTAGATTATGACATTTAATAGATCATTATATCCGCTTTTAAACCGGATTTGGATTTGGATTTGGATTTAAAGAATTTATTTAATTATTCTTCTATCTGAAAAAAAAAAAATTTCTAAGTTAGTGAATATTGTTTCTTTATTAGATGCGATTAATCTACTTAGATGGATGATATTAATAGAGATAATTGTCAAGTAATTATAAAATAAAAAGAAATAGATATAGAGTATATAATAGAATATAAAGATTCTTATATAATATCACTATCAAATCTATTCTCAAACCACAATTTTTTGAAATACAAACATAAATAATCCGTCCATCTAATCATAAATCCGCGATTTCAAAAGTTCACAAACCCAACCCCAAATCCCTCTCAATAATCCTCGCCATCCTCATCTCTTCCACCCTCCCTACAATCTGTATCCCTACACTTCCTCCCTCACTTCTTAGCTCCTTGTTCATTTCACCCCATTGTTTTCCATTTCTGTTCTCTCTTGACTTCTTTCTCTATCTCCGATTTTCGATTTCCATCCTCCTCAAGACCACCATCCATTCCATCCACCTCTCCACTCTCTTCTCACCTCCCCACAAACTCCCTCACCTCCCCAACCGGTAAACAAAAAACCGGTAAATCCAACCCATTAAACACAGACGTATAACCCCAATACCTCGCCTCCTCATGCGCATTCGCCACACTTACACCTCCGGGCGCTATAATACAATCAACATTCATCTCTTGCATGATTTTCGCATATTCATTTTGAAGACGATTTCTCTGTTGATGCAAAATCCATTGTTCGGGGATACTTCTAGATTTGGTGGTGGGTTTTGAGAGGAGCCATTGAAGGAGTGGGGTAGCGGGTTCTGAGGTGTGGGATAGGTGGGTGAGGTATTCGGCGCCGTTGTCGAGGAGGTAGAGGGCGTCGATTATTTCTGTGATAGGGCGGTGGAGATGTGTGGGGAAGGGGATAATTTCGTGTCCGGAGGTTGCTAGTTTCGAGGTTGTATTGTGGAGGACTCGTGTGATGGGTGGGTGGGGTGTATGTACTTCGTCGGTGTATATAATACCTATTCTCAATTTTCTCATCTCCTCTTGCTCCCCCTCCTCCTCAGTACTATCACGACATCCCCATGGAATAGGCAATAATCCTACCTCTTGTCTCCAAGGCTCAGCATCCAACAATGTCTTACAGAACATCTCTACATCATCCATACATGTCGCCATTGGACCCACTACACCAACTATACTTTCCATCCCATCATGAGCTCCAGATAACCCGGAATGCGGGAGTCGTGCAACACTAGGTTTTAATGCGTAAAGACCACAACTTATTGCAGGTACTCTAATACTTCCTCCAATATCCGTCCCAATTCCTAAAATAGATCCATGCATAGCTATGAGTGCTGATTCGCCGCCCGAGGAACCGCCGGGAGAAAGTGTGGTGTTAAGAGGATTGGTAGTGGTACCGTACAGATTCGATGAAGTTTCAAGAGACATGAGACCTTGAGGATTAGTTGTTTTGACGTGGAAGATTGCACCAGAATTTCGGAGCACTTTGACACAAACTCCTTCTTGCTCATTATTCGTGCAGAAATTATTGGCCCATGCTACGAATCCAGAGGTTGAGGGCGTGTCGATGAGATATAGATGTTCTTTTACTGAAATTGGGAGACCGTGGAGAGGTCCTATAGGATTTCCTGTTGATTCCATGTGCGCGTCGAGTTCGGCGGCGCGGGAAAGAGCTGAGTCGTACATGGTCCAGGCTAGACAGTTTGTCTATTTATCATTAGTTTTTTTGTCTCTCCTTCAATGTGCACAAATTCTCAAAGCCGTTCATCCTCTCAAGAATCACCAAGTCTAAAAAGAGCAAAATTAAATAAAAAACTCACAGCCTGATGCGCAACCGCACTCGCAATACAAAATGCCCTCGTAACCTCCACAGCCGTATACTCCCTCCTCCTCATCTTCTCAAGTAAAGTAACTGCATTACTATACACAACCTCTATCTCTCTTTCATTTAAAAGACCACATGTTTTTACGAGATTGATAGGATGTTTGCGAGATGCTTCCAGGATATGAGGTGGAAGAATCCATTCTGGTGAAATAGAGGAGGTGATTTGTTGTTGGCGGTGTTGAGAGATAGATTGGTAGGTTGGTTTTAGGGTTTGGGCGGATGAGGAGATGGGGTTGTCTTTGGTTTGTAAAGATGAAGATTCTTTGTCATCGGTGAGGTCTTTAGAGACTGGAGTTGGAGTTGGTTGAGGAAGTTCTTGGTCGGTGATGTAGGGAGCCATTTTGATTTTGATTTGGGATGAAGTGTGAGTGTGTATGTGTATGAAGATTGAGATGAAGAGATTTATCTTCTTTCTTTCTCTCTTTTCGTCTCCTCTCCAAGTATATCCCACTATCGATGTCGTATGAATAACATAACACTCTCAAAATCTCTCATGAATTAGGAACAAACAACTTGAAGCACGAAGTGTAAGTAGAACTCAAAATAAAAGTATCCCAAGTAAGAAATCTAAAGAAAGAAAATTAAACCATCAGAAGTCTCTACACCCTATATATAATCCCACGCAAATCCACCTCCACTCAGCATCCGAAGCCGGACATATACCATATAATTCTCCGGAAAAACTCCTAAGAAATCGCAACCACAAATCGTATCCCATCTTTCCTAATCAATCGATCAGATAATGAAACCATCGGGACTCAATAAAGGGATTGGTGGGGATAATCCATGCACGTATGCGTGTATGCGTGTATGCGCAGGAACCCACTCTGAACTAGGAAGCCAAAGGTTATACGAAGGTCAAAATAAGGTTTGATCGATATTCGGGTCCACTTTCCTTCGTTGGGGGAAGGGTCGTGTCCACTTACTTGTTTATTTGTTTACTTAATCAAATATTACTAGTTCTATCCTCTTAAATGCCAAAATGAACTCCAAAAGAGATCTGTATATATTACTTGAATGATAAAATCTGATTGATAAGAATGAATTTTTGAAGTATTTTCAAATCAAAATTATATATTAGATTAAAAACAAATTTCAATAAAACTTTAAATTTTTAAAATTTTTTAATTAATTAATAAAATATTTATTAAATAATAAAACAATTAAAAAAAGGTATTTAAGTTTTATACTCTTTTATATCATTTAAATTTATAATAAAATCTTTATAAGATTTTATTTTCCTATATAAAATTAAATATCAAATAATATTTTTAATATTAATTATATAGAAAAGTTATATAATTTATTTTTTAATTAAAATTAATACTAATTTGAATTCAAAAAACTTTTTATTTTTCTTTATAAAATGATTATTTCAATTATTATTTATATAAAGTAAACAAAATCTTAAAACTATTTTCAATTAAATATAATCTTAATCTTAATTTTATATTTATATAGAAATAAAACAGTAACATGAAAAAAAAAAAAAAAAAAAGTTATAATTAAAATATAAACAATTAATGATGAATTGGCTTTATAAGAGAGGGAGGTACAGGGTCTATTGGAGGTGAAATTCTTAGACTGAAGGAGTAGGAGGAATGGGCGGAGAGGATATACGAGGAGGGTGTGATGCTGTTTTTGGGCGGTTTGATGTGGGATTGTGGGATGGCGGGATTTAAGATTATAACCAAACCAAGAAGAAAAGTAGCAGTACCTCATTATTTTTGGATTTCCACCCATCCACAGCTCATCATAGCATAAATAAGCTCGGCCAAGAAAAATACCCCTCCTCGATATAACTCCCTCCCAGCATAAACCCTTCTAAACCCCCACAAACACCGCCCTTCAAACCAAAAGCACACAAGCCCCCAGCTTCCCAATCGTCCTCGTACAATCCACCAACCTTCCCCCTCCTTCCCGCTGCAACCCCCACGATCTCTCCAAAATCTCCAACACACTCCTCATATTACCAAACGATCTCACATCAACCATAACCCCTCCAATAATCTCTCTAAAGAATTCCTGATCTGTTTTGGAACTTGCCAAACAACCCGCGACTGATAATGGCCATACTAATCCTCGAAACATTTGAGGATCGGGTATCATGCGCATGGCGTTTATTGTGTTGTGGAGAAGTATATCGATATCTTCTGGTGCGATGTTGTCGGTTACTGCCATTTGGAGGTAGATGAGTGCTGCGCTGGCGAAGATATGTGTTACTATATATATAGTATGTTTATTGTAAAGATCGATGTGATAATGAGGAGGAGATCCATGATGAGTTGCTCGTAATGCTATGAGTTCTTTCAAGGTTTCGGAATTTTTAGATTCCAGTCGATTTCGAATATTTTGTTGCGTGATGATTAATTGTTCTTTGGAATTTATGGTTTCCTCTTCTTCATGTTTTCTTCTCCATGTTCCTAGCCATGCGATCTCGCTAATCATTATCATCACCCAATTTTCGCATCCCATAATTGAGGTTAATTGAATTTTATGATCGGATTTCGAGGAATCGGATTTTTTGGCTGATAGGAGTTGATTGTGAAATTCGGAAAGCCATGGATGAGATCCTGTAGATACACAGGATCTATAAATTAGGGTTAGCAATCTTATGGTAATCAATAAGTCATATAGTAAATAGCGAAAGTATAACCAAATGAAGGGGAAGATCGCTTACAAAGCATCTATCCAAATAATAGCACCCGTAAAGAAATCTAATGCTGCACTATCACGAGAAACAGTATTTCCACTTGAAGTGGATTCAGGAGAATGCGCATAAGAATAATCGAAGCATTGAGAAGAGGTTAATGTTTCGGAAGTTGGAATACTACCATTTGATACTTCATGAAGAATCAATATAAGTTCTGATGCAGCTCGTAAATGAACCTGCCAATTGCTAACACCTCCATGAAAGAGCTAAAGATTTTTATCAGTATCTATAACATAACTAATGGTATGGATACTCACCTCGAAAGAAATTAATTGAATCATACAAGCAAGAATTTGAACATTTCCATCAAATGCACGTTGTTCAGATACATTTTTATTATTGGTTTGAATAAAATTCCTCAACTCTTTCAAAGTCAAATCATGATGATGTCGTAATTCATGAAGATAATCTATCTCAGCTTGACCACTTTCCTGTTCTAGAAGAAGTGATTGACGATGAAAAGCACTTAAACTTAAGGCTGCATGATAAAGAGGTTTCGTTCTGATCAACAATGATAAAAGCCATCCTCTTCCAGATGATAATGATGGAGTATGAAAACGAAACTGTATAAAGAAAACATGGTCGAGGTAATGCATCATTAAACTTGCTTCTTGATCCTCGATCCATTTTGGAAATAAACAAGATTCAGGTTCAATGGTTTTATCATGGACCATTTCCATGTCAATAGATTTTGAGACGACATTGTCAATACTTGAAAGATTGCTTTCTTTCCTAGGGCTTTTCGTCGTACTAGATGATTTTGGTGATTTGAGTAATGATGATGTAGAATTTGAATTTTTCCTCGCACGAAATGCGGCTCTCTTTTTACTTGCGGATGCAGCAACAATCGCTTTGATCCTCTCCAACTCTATTTTCCCAAATTTTGGATCATCTATCCAATTTGGTTTTGGACCATAGCGACATTCTACATTAACATCGGCACATCTCAAGCAACCTACGATAGTTGAAAATCTATTAGTTCATTCGGTATGTGGGAATATATATTCAAAAAACCAACCAGGTTTTAGTTCATCACATTTCTTTTTCCTAATTCTACAAGTCCAACAACCTCGATTACTTCGGACAGCCAGTGATGAATTGACATTGGCAACGGCATTAGAGCCGGATATAGTATTGTCCATTGGGTACAAGGTGGCGAGTGGACACTTGCATAAATGATTTCCCGATACACATTGTGGTACATACACATATTAAAACCAATATGGTGATCACAGGCTCATGACTGACTATCTGTATGTCAGATTCTCAATGCCTTTCTCTATCAGGAATATGGTATCGTCAAATCAGATGAGAGAGTGACCTTCAGGATATAGGCTAATATCAACATCACCCTTTGAATATCGGGTATGTATCTCATTCGGGGTTTGCTTGTGTAGATGTGTATGAAATGTTGAAGCGAAGCGTGATGTATTTCTCAGATGAAAAGTAACTGGACACGAAAAAGAAACTTTATATCGGCTCGCCTTACTTAATTAAGAAATTATTATCAATTTATTTTCCGATTTATTTAACCTTATATCCACTCTTCTCTTATCATTCTTATCTGTTCCAAGTGAAGTTGTCACGGGTTGAAGTTGGTGGGTGCAACAACTACGAACAGATTCTGAAGATAATTAGTAGGTAGCTGAATCAAACCTCAGCTACGGTCTTACAGAGTCCCAAATGGAAGTAAACTCCTCGAAACGATATTGAATCTTACTAGAAAATTGCTATATATACGCTCCCTGTCTAGATCATATACCCAAGAGTATTATTCTACCATTCACACCTTCCAGATAAAGATGTGCAGGATAGCCTTACTGACCTTTCTTGAAACTCTGATTGCCTACCAAGGTAATATCATATAAGTACGTCTTATTATTGGCAAAAATCGTATAGGCTATTGAATGTTATCGCCGTCTCCAATGATTCACAAAGATTACCATCTACGTCTCTAATCAGCACAACGACATTACCAGATTTCCCAATCTCAGTAATATTCCCATCTGAACGGTCCTCGACATGTTACAGCATCAACATCTGTAATGGCGATCGAAAAGGTGATAAAGTTACCCAAGATTAGAACTTCGTCAAATCCATTCCAAGGATCCTCATTACTGAAATTCTATGCCGCTTTCTTTCTTGGCACATTCATCCTCTCGATCTGGCATTATGGTATCCCATTCCACCTACTATCTCCCGTCAACCTCGAGTTAAATAATCCACCTTCAACTATCGCAAAAGCTACCTGGCGATGGTCAGATGTACGTACACGACCTCCCCATTCTCTAACTCTCATACACCGGTACTTATCTCTACTACCAGGCCAAGCCAAGCCAAGATCTCATCTGGCACTCATGCTACGATACCTTCCAATGCGCTCGTCTCTCCTTACCACTAGACTGGCTCAATACCTCCAACCCCTCTAAAATCACCTTAGCAATCATCAGACTCCCCGCCACAAACCTCACCGACTATCGTGGGCCAGTCTTCACCAATCCAGGAGGACCAGGCGGCTCAGGTATTTATTCCCTTCGAGAAAATGGACATAATCTCCAGAAAATCGTCGGCAGAAACCACGATATCATAAGTTTTGATCCGCGAGGAGTAGGTGCCTCCACCCCTCTCATAAACTGTTGGGCCTCGAAACAAACTTCCCAAGTCTGGAAATTAGGTGATGTGGGATTAGTGGATTCGCACCCGGGGGTGTTGTATGATGCGTATGCAAGAGCGAGTGCTCTGTCGCATGCATGCCAGGAGAATATGCATCGAGAAGCAGAAGCTAGGGGAGAGGAATCATTGTTGCGGTTTGTGAGTACGACGAGTGTGGCACGTGATATGCTTGAGATTATGGAGAAGAGTGGGACGGAGAAGATGAGATATTGGGGTTTTAGTTATGGGACTTTTCTGGGGGGTGTATTTGCTGCCATGTATCCGGATAGGGTGGAGAGAATGGTTAGTGATGGTATGTATTTAGTATTTTATTGTGTTCTGAAATTGCGATGTAGATTTGTGACAGTATTCTATTAATGCTAAACTTAATATAGGCAATGTAGATTACATCGAATGGTCAACCAACAGCCATGCATCTTTCCTTCACGACTCCGATAAAATAATGGAAGCATTCTACCACTACTGCCACGCATCCGGGCCCAAAAACTGCGCATTTTACTCACCCACCCCCTCGCAAATCACCACCCGTCTAGAAAATCTCCTCACCACCCTAAAAACCCACCCCATAATCGTCCCTCCATCAGACTCCACCCTCCTCCCCGAAATAATAACATACACCTCCCTCAAACGCCTTATCTCAGCCACACTCTACCGACCCATGCTCCTCTTCCCCACTCTAGCAAACGTTCTCCTCTCCCTTGAAACAGGCGACGGAATCCCCTTTCTCAATTTTATCTCTACATTCAGTTTACGCGAGCCGTTTACCTGCGAATGTGATGTTTGCAATAATGGAATTTTAACACCAGAAGAAGAAGAAAAAGAAGTGGAAGGAACGGATGATGCTATGGCTGCTATTATGTGTTCTGATGGGGGAATCATGAATGAAACTGTTTCGGAATTTAAAGTTTATGCGGATACAATTATGAAAGGGGCATTGATGACTGGTGCTGCGAATGTAGAGGTTAGAATGTCGTGTGTGGGATGGAATGTAGTGCCTAAGTGGAGATATACAGGTACCTTGTTTCCCATCTCTCCCCATCTATACATCACATCATCCCCCTCACTCCACCTTCCCCCCTCTCTCAAACCTCCCGAAGTACTTCCAAGTACCCCCCAATACTAACCTACACCCCGCCTCTAGGACCCTTCACATCCACCCCCACCCACCCAATCCTCTACATCGCCAACCTAGCCGACAACGTTACACCGCTCCGCAGCGCCCTCTCCAACGCCAGAAACTTCCCCAACTCTAGAATATTAATCCAGAATTCATTCGGTCATACGAGTTTAGCTGCGCCGTCAATATGTACTGCGAAGATTATTCGGGCGTATTTTCAAGAGGGCTTGTTGCCGGAGAAAGGGATGGTTTGTGGCGGGAGGGGCGGTTGTTTGGTGGGAGGGAGGGATTGGGGTGGTGGGGATGAAGTTGGGACGTGGGATGGGAAAGGGGAGGGAGGTAAACGAGAGGAGGAAGAAGAACTAGATAAGGAACTTAAAGAAGCAGGATGGGGTTTAATGCTAACTGTTGATTTCTCTCGGAGTAGATTTTTTTAAATAGAAAGAAATTTGAGATTTTTAAAAAAAAATGAAAAAATATCCACTAGTGTATCTTTATTTATATCAAATATAAAAATAAATAAACTTCAAAAAAATAGAATTCAGTTGATTTTTTTTTCTTTTTTATATTATTCTATTAAAATAAAACAATTATTACAAATCTTAACATAAGAATTTTTTAAAAAAAAAAAATTAAGACTTATATTAATTTAAATTGTTTTCTTTGTTTAATTTTAAATATATTTATATTTATATTTACATTTATTCAATTCTCATTTTGATAAATATCTCATTCCCCTCCTTCTCCTCAGCCCCTCACGTCTGTTTCCTCTTTCATTTCCCCGCTTCGCTTCTATTCATATCTAAACTCCTCTGACCCCTTACCCCTTACCCCTTACCACTAAACCGACCTACAAACTTTAACCTTAGATAGCTATATCATCTCCTACATCCAAAGAACATGAAAAATCCATGTAATCTTACTTTCTTAATACTTATACAAGCTATTTCCCTAGTCTAGCCGTAGCCATTGTATATCACTCTTCATCTAAACTCAAAAATTCATCTCAACTCTCTCATCATCTTTCCTAGTTTTCCTTTTCGGTCAAACTTCTTCATTATCATCATGTAATTAATCTCATCTGATGTTAATTACCCACCCTAGAGTACGCCAGTGAAGCCATTCATTTGTTCATCCATCCATGCCATTCCTTTTCCACACCCTTCCTTTTCCACACCCTAGCTCCAGTTGAAAAAACCATTCGCGAGCAATGCAATGACATATCAAGTCGAGTCGAATGTAAAGGAAAAGAGAAAATATCCCGAAAATATCCTTAATCCATTCCGCAAACATATTCCATCCAGCGAGACATACAAAATATTTCAGATAGAAAGAATAGCTGAAAAGATCAAGCCAAATACCGGTATGTTGGAATATTAGCTTCTTCAATTCTTTCCAGATATTCTCTTTCAATAAGACTTTCTATTCTTCGTTTCATCATGTTGATATTTGGCTGGAAGCGTTGTGAAAGTTGAGAGATGACTTCAGCGACGAGTTGTTGATGAGGACATTCCTTGCGTGCCCTATTATTCTTAGTTAGTATAGAACATCATGTCATGATAGGCAAATTAAAACTTACTTCATAATTCGCACAATTACCGTGTCCATGACACTTCCTCTATGCTCATCATTTCTTTCCTCAGTTTGTCTTCTCTCATCAGCTCCTTCAACCTTGCTTGATTGTCCACCGATCGGTTGAACTTTAATCTTGACAGTTTTGCTGACGAAAGAGCTGTTGAATGTGAAGACATCGCCCATTTTAGGTAATTCGTTAGGTTTCCCAGGTTTCTTAAGGAGAACTCGAGATTTTGGTGGACCAGAAAGTTGCATAAGAGCGCGAGGTAAGTCTTTATCGGTAATATTCAAACTTTGTTGTATTTCTTCATACGACAATTCTTGTCCTCCCTGAAAATCATTGAAAAGCATCAAAATGAGCATGCCATGAGTATTGACATTCAATTCGTACTTCCGCTCCCTGCCCTTCGGCCCCGTCTCACCTGGAATGGCTGGAAAATTACAACGAATATCAGCATTACCTAGATTTCCTAACCAGGTTAACATTCGGCCATTACGATCTTTGAGGTAAAATGCTTTGAAAGAATCTTGCAACTTTTGCAATTGAGGAGGCCAATTGCAAGATTGTCGAGGACCTTCCTCTTGCGATGGGATACCACCGATGATTTCCGTAGGCCAACAATTCGTAGAGAGAACAATAGCAGACAACTCGATTTGATTCTTATCTTTATCTCCGAGATTATTGATGTGATTGCGATAATTAGAACTAAGTTCCTCAGACATTGTAATGTCCTTAAACATGCCCTCCAGTTTTGTCGTAAATGAATTGCCAATTTCTAGTTTCATCCTTGAAATCATTTGCTTCTCAACGTCGGTGCTTTCAGACTTGTTGAGTAGTAGACGTTTTGCAAGATGTTTCTTGTAATATCTCTCAAACATGTCTTTATCCTGAATATATCGGAGTAAAGTAGTGGCCTTATCCAGAACCTCATCAATTTCAAGCTCGGTTTTGCCCTTGATTCCACGCTTAAGGTTGTCATCGATGAACAAGGAGACGAATTCGGAAGATCGATCAAACAGATTAATGAAATCGGAAAAGCTTTTAGTGATAGCTGTTTGTAGGATGAGATCTTCCATAAAACACGTCCTCCACATATTGTCAAACTTATCCTTCAATCGTAAAACCTCATCAACCCACTTGATGGCTGCAAGAGTTTGCTTCGCAGCAGCATTCATTGGCTTGACCTTCTTCTTCGAACCTTCCGCATCTTCCTCCTCTGCTTCAGCTTTGTTATCTTCTGCTGTAGTACCACCGATATCACCATTAGAGATGATTTTATTGATTTCCAACCCTAGTTGTACCACACGAGCTTGTAGTGCGACCTTCAAAGGATCTCTGCTTGGATCTATGCGGCTAATGAGTTGATATAAAATGGTCAAATCATCAAATCGGTCATTTTCAATCATTGCCTGCAATCCACTTCCCTCCATCGCAAGAAACTCATTCAGATGACTGCTGATCAATTCCTGCTCAACAACTTTTTGAATTTTCTTGATTGTGGAACTTGCAATAGTCGTATCACACCGATCACTTTCCTCATCCAGGCGCCTTTTCGTTTGACGTAGCCAAGTACTTGCAGGAGAATCCCTCAGCAATGTTTGACATTCGGCTTGGTAAAACTTCCTGCTAGCCGCCAGAAATGCTGGTTCAAAAACAGTAAGATATAATTTGTCGCTCTCGTTCTCCTCATCGGTTTCGTAGAGACCTTCTAGCATATAGATAACAGAACGGATTAAATGTCTATTGATGACATCTCCCTCTCTTTCCATTCCAATTTGATCCAATATAACCGAATTCAGGATATCGAAAGTGATGATGCTTGAATTTTCTAGGAGTGGTGAACGAAGAATATGATCTCGGAAGAGGCCCATGGCAGTGGTGTAAATGGAAGCCTTACGATTGTCGCCACAATACACACGATCCATATACATGAGTACATCTGTTGTCATACTCATACAAACATTATGATCTGTCCATGAAGCTTTCAATCCTTCCAGAAATTGTTCGCCGGTAAGTCTCCGTTCGTTTGCCGCGGTCCCAGAAACACCACCGGTAGCCACATTAACCAAGTTTGCAGTAATAAGTTTCCTGATATCCGGCATCACTTTTCCCGCAAACCATTGTTCCTCGAAAACTTTGACCCTATCATAAAGTAGATCCCCTTCTTTCTTCAAAACGATTTTGTAAGATGCTCGATAAAGTTGTTCGAAAGAGAGTGTTCCGGCATTCTTTTCGTGAATCTCTTGGAGAGCATTTTGTAAAATATCCCATTGAATATCGAATTCATTTTGTGCTCCCGCGCGTCCGAAAGCCTATTTGTAAAAGAACAAAAAAGTCAGCGGAGAACGAAGAAAGGGTCAGATATGTTTGCGATTGAAGGAAAAACGCTGCAGGGCGGACTACCACCTGACTTGTTTTCAAGGCATGCGCAATCGCAGAATCAAATGGCAGTGCTTGAGGAGGAGCCATCTTTGATTACTCGACACTGAACTGTGTACAAATGAAGTTCCGAAATTGTATGTGAATGTATTTGTAGATGTACTACGTACGTAGTATGGTTCGCAAAAGAAAGGTTATGAAGTGTTGAAGTAAAAAAGAAGTGAAATACATACCCTCCGAGGGGCACGAATCCTCGCTCTACCACGCCCAGAAATCATATTCGAGAATATTCAGCTTCCTGTTGAGTGTTTCAGTCTCTCCAGATAAAGGTACCACTATGCTGAATCTCCAGGACTGAAATAAATTGAGTTTCCTCGATATTGTATGGCGCGGCGCGGGGTTAGACAGGATCTAGGCTTCAAGAATTGCCATATAATTCTGTCAAGGCAGATAATAAGCAAATGAGGTAGTAGAACTTTAATACGTTGTAGAAAATCCGAGAATGTGCTTGGCTGTAAAAACATAAGAAACAAAAAAATGAGTTCTTAAGAAGGCAAAACAACGAACGAACAAGTTCTTGAAGGTTCAAGTTCGAGACTGTACTGTGAATAGTTTCGGATTCGGATTAACTACTGCCGTAAGGGTACGTTAGTCACCGACGGTATTATACACACTAATCCCTGATAGTGAAGGCGTAGAAATAAACTATGAGCAAAAGCTGTAAGGTTATGTCGGGTGTATAAAATCATCTAAAAGGTTGTGAGATTTATACTATTCTAGGAATTGACTATAAACTTAACAATAGAAGCTGTAAACATTGATACATTAATACACTAGACTATTCAGCTCTTCTACTAGCTCTCCCGTAGCCTTACACTTCGTCATTTCTGGCAGAATAATGATCAACAAAAGGCGGTGAACATAACTTTTTCCCAATCCCTCCAAATTCCGCAGCCTTCCCCAAACTTCCACTCCATCAAGGACTTTTACTCAAAACCGCATTTCTCGCAACCCATCAACCAGTCCCCAATCCTTTGAAACAAGTTTCTACGAGCAGAAGAAGATTTCGCGATTCCAAATCTCCAACCAAAGCCCTTTATTCCCATCCAATCAAGAATCACGACCAGCCTCAAAGACGTCACAATGTCTCTCAAAGTCTCCTCCTTTTCAGCCTTTCGCGCTCTATCTCTCTCACGCCACACAACCTGCAAAGCAGCCCCTCGAATCTGCGCTCCAAAACCAACACAAATACTTTTCCCCTCCCACAGCACACAGCCCACCACCCGCACATACGCCACCAAACCCCTCACCTCCCCTCCTCTTCCACGCCCACCCCGCCCCGCGCCCCCAACCCTCCTACGACTTAACATTCACCTGTACACCCTGCTCAGCCCGCAGTACGCACCGCATATCAAAGCAAGGCTATCATTCCGGTTCCGTGCTCATAACCTGTCCCTCGTGTAAAAATCGTCATGTAATATCCGATCATCTGGGTATCTTTGGCGATCGCAAATTGACGATTGAGGATTTGATGAAGGAACAGGGGATGTTGGTTAAGAAGGGGACGTTGAGTGAGGATGGGAATTTGGAGTTTTGGAATGATGGGACGAGGACGGAGAGGAAGAAGGATAATGAAAGCGGGGGGGAGGGGAAAGAGGGAGAAGGGAATGCGGGGATTGAGGGGCCGGCGAATTAGGACTACTGGAGATAATAGGGCTTTTACTGGTTGCTTGTGGCCCTGACCTGGACTGGAAATTTCGAGACTTACTGGCAAATATCCACGCAGAAGGCACCGTAAGTAACCAACAGCTAGACGAAACCCTCAAAGGCAACCTCAACAACAAACCAACATCGGAAAGACATCCCGAAATACCACACAATCAAAACCAACAACCTAAAACTTAGCAAGACGGATATATTGTATAAAATCTCTAGCATCATGAATTGAACCAATGATAGAAGCCCAGGAATGTACGATAGCACATAAATATACAGACACGTCTCCAACAAAACAGAGACAAATATCTCCCCCCTCACAAACCCATTCTCTTATTTATTCTCCGTTGAATTCTCGGAAAGATGTGGTAAATATGTATTTACGAAAAGATAAAATAGATCCGAAGCTCTATTCTATATCAATCACATGCTAGAAAGAGGATGACTCGGGAATGTAATCTTACGATTGAAATGCCATGTATTATAAATAAATAGCATGATCACGAGGTAATGAATAATGATATAAACTCAGCTCTCAAACTCTTAAACATCTATTGAATAATTACTAGTATTCTATTCTACTCTCGAATGCGACACTATCAATTCCTTTCCTTCGCACCAGATACAATTTTCCCACCCATCAACGCCTCTTTTCATCCATAACACTCCAATACACAAACCCCATCCCATCCCATCAACACACCACAACCCACCAAAAAACCTACCAAACATTCCTCTTCTTACTATGTTCGGCACCCCTCTCCTTCCTCCTCTCCTTCTTCCTCTCTCCCTTCCTTCTCTTCTCCTCCCCAAACCTCTCTGGCTGACTAACCGCCGCAATCTTCCTCTTTCCACTCCGCATAGCCCTCCTTTCCTTAACCCCTTCTCTAACCTTCAACAATGTATCCGAGTACTCCTGAGTTCCAACTCTCTTCTTCAGCGTCTCGAGTAATTCTTCACTAGACGACTTTAGCGCTTCGTAATTACTGCGGAAGAGATCATCGGTGGAATAAGGCATTGGAATCGAGGGATCGGTCAAATTGTGTAGAGGAAGGATGATGGTGCGGAGGGATGGAATCAGGGATTCTGGTTCGAGTTTACTGCTGAGGATTTGGAGGAGTTGGAGTGCGGAGGTTTTGGGGACTAGGGCGGATGCTCTAGGTGGTGAAGTTTCTCTTCTTAATATGAATGATAAGCGTCCGAAAAGATATTGTAGAGCTGTGTTTTGAACAACCTCCTCCTCATCCTCAGCCTCAGGCTCCAAATCTTCTTCTTCTGCATCGGCTTTTTGAGATGATTTCCATTTCAGATTATTGGAACCGGCGCAGCGACCAAGGAAGATGAGATTCTTAACAATTTCCTCTGCGAGTAATTCGGTAAGTCCGGGTGTTTTATACATTCCAACTATGCGGCGAATGAAATCAGAGATGTCATCGCCAGTGAGTTTGAGGCCACGAGATCCCTTAAGAGGCAAGCCTTCGAGGCCAGCTTCAGCATTAGTTCTTGCAAAATCTGCAAAGTATGTGCTGATAAGCCTTGCTGCGGATAATTTAACCCATGCATGAGGGTATGATAAGCATACTCGTACAGCTGACCATAAAGCTGATGTCTTAGAAGAGAAGAGTGTATCGGGAAATTTCTGACACATAGTCGCAGTAAGTTGGAGGGCTGCATATATTAACTCCCAATCTGCTTCATGATCGCTTGCTGTTTCAATGGTCTGGGAAACAGATGCGAGTAGGATTTTGACATCTGTATCTTCCACTTCAGATTGAGAATTATAGTAGAATCCATAGGTTTGTAAGGCCAACCTAACAACTGAAGTATTCTCGGTTTGCTTGATCCATGATCGAAGGAGAGTGAGGAAACTCGTCATACGTTCCTGGTCAGCTCTCTTGAAGATCTCCTTGAGAACTTCTCCGGCTGCCATACGGCATTTCTCACTATCATCATTTGCAAGAACAAAAATCAATGGCACAAAACATGTCGCGGAAACTTCTTGAACAAAGTCATGCGAAGATTTCGACAAAAGTAGGTGAATGACTTCCAGTATGGACAATCTTCCACCTTCCCTATCGTACTTTAAATTTGCAACGATGAATGCCAATTGCTTTGTCCATCGACTCTTTTTCTGCGGGAAATCTCTAAGGAACTGGAAATATGCACCACGTGCCAAGTCTCTGGTATCTTTGTCGTCATTTGTTACCATCACTGTACCGACGTAGTCAAGAATATCGTATACAACGGCAGTCTCAACCTTGGAGTCCAACACAGCTCTCAAGAAATTGAACGTAACGTGGCGTCGCTCTGGCTCTGTCATATCGTCCTTCATTCTCTCTAGGATATCATCAACTGATCTATCCTTAACAGGAACATCCTTACGATCTCTCAGAACAGCCGAAATTAATTTCAGAGCAGCTTGAGCAATATCCGAGGTAGTCGAAGAAGATCCAGATATACATTTGATAGCTTCGGCTGTGGCGACCCGGTAAAGATTTGTCCCATCACCGTCAACTTTCAGTGGTACCTTGACAATTGTACTCAGCAGTTTGAAAGTCGCAACTTTGATTTCCTCCTCTCCTTGATCGACTGCATCACCAATGATTGGGATGAAGCCTGCGAGATTGCTGGGCGTTCGGAGACTATCATGCTTCTTGAGAACGGACCTCATAACGTCAAAGGCAAATCTGACAAGCTTATAGGTGTAGATGGTCGTAGCACCACGGTCTGCACCTCTCTTGGCACCTTTTTGTATTAAATAGCGTTTAAGTCTATAATCATCTCTACCTCCTTTGGCTTGGGGTTTCTGACTGTTGTAAACATCTTGGATAACCTCATAGCAGAATACGAGACTATCACGACTTCCGGCGGCTGTGTTTTTGAGTAAACCAGAACTGATCCTGTTCAAAAGTTCATCGATCTTTCGAACCATACGGGTATTTAGCTTCTCCTTCAGCAGTACTCGGATTGGATGAATCAAGTCTGTTAAGCGGCTTAGAGTAGCTGTTTTGGCTATTAACTCCATAGAATCATGACTTTTACTACTCCTGACTTCCTTCATCTTGCTGATATATCCTTCCTCATCCTTCTCTTGCCCAACAGCACCAAAGATATCATCCATGATGATGGCGACAATTGAAGGCAAGCAGTAGTCGAGATCACCTGGGGCGTACTCTGGTGTCGTGGCTACTAACATGGAATGCATTGTGTATGAGAGCACATGAAGTTGGGAACCTCTGGCCAAAGCACTGCGAAGTTCTTTCAACACAAAGCCAAAGCAAGATGGACCAAGTAAAACGCAAATTTTAACCAAGGTATCTCTAGTTAGATCTCTCGATTCTTGTGCCTTACTACGGAGAATATGGCAAATGTCGGTTAAAACGGCTGGAAGTCGTTCGTTCATTTTCTCCTGTGGCAAAAGCATAAGCAGCCTAACAACGATGACCGCAACAGGAACGCGCAAGCTGACGGTTGATTCGTCCTTATCGTGGAGATAATCTGTCAAAGGTGGCAAAATGTTTGAAGTAAGGTCGTCTGAAAATTTAGGTTCTTTAGGCATTGTGATCGCCAATTTGCTTTGAATCTTAGGTTTGTCAGTTTCCATGTCAGTATCGACAGGAGGTTGTGCTGCAAGTGCCAAAGCATCGATAACCTTGCCAAGTAGACGGATGATCTGTTTTTCTAGATCAGGTTTGGCTTGAACATATCCAATGAACCGTTTCAGCATGGCACGATATTGTTGCCACTCCAACGAACCAGCGAGAATTCCAACGGTAGTCGTAGCTTCGGCGGCAAGATTATGTGCATCGTTGCCCTCCGCTCTGTCGAAAATGAAATGCTCGATGAGAGGAATGAAGAAATGGCTGACATTTTTGCTGCTTAACTCTCCCTTCTCTGCGGCAGAGGAAAGTAGCCCTAAAGCGCTGGATTGACGACCTTTACCTGCAGCAATGATATTGTTAAAGAATGAAGATTCTACCTCATCTTCGCCAGCCAAGAGACTGTGCATATCGCTCACTTCAGACCAATCCGAAAAGTTGCGGATCAAATGCGCCATAACTTTCATGTATTCGCGACGGATAATTTCAGAGGGTTCACGGACACCGGCGAAAAGGGCTGGAATTAAGATCGTGGAAAGCATGTTTTGGAAAGCTGGAAACTCTGAAGTTTGCTTCGCATCTTTAGCTGTTTCAATAAATCGACACACTCCATCTGAAGAATTCGATGACAGAATTCCAAATTCTTCGTCATGCTTGATGTAGAAGAGCATATTGAAAATTAAAGGTGTCCATTGGTGAGAATTGAAGTCGATATCTCTTTTGGCATTGATCGCATTGAAGGCCTTCAGTCGGCGATCGTAATCTGGTTCGTCAAGTCGTCCTTCAGCAAAAGAATTGAGATCTAAACACAATGCTGCCACCTCTTTCAAAACAGGATCTTTGTCTGAGTACACTAACAGCACTCGTGATAATACTTCTCTGCTAACCTTGTCTTTGAAGAAACCAAAGAGAGAAGTGACAGTGTGGTAAACTCGATCCTTGAGGTCCACATCATTTTGGAGATCGTAGAGAGGTACAAAGTGTTCTAGAACCAAAAGCAAACCGGCTTTAGTCTTGGGAGTAACTCTTCGCGAGGGCTGATCGAGTAAGAAAACTGATACATCAACCAAGTTGCGCCCTTGTGTCGAGTTTGACACGAAAGGTGCTAGCTCAGAGACGGTTTCAACACAACCTTCGAGCAAATCTTTGCTCATATCGTTATGAGTACGAAGAATACCACCTATCTGAATAAGGAAGTGATCCATATTCGGTGCCAGAAGCTGTTGCTTTATTGTTCCTTTGTCTCCTCCTGCTTCCTCTTGTGCACACTTGACGACACCTCGGATGATGGAAAGAGCGAATAGTTTGACTTCATCTTTAGATTTTGAAGGTGCTAAACACTCTGCTACCTTTGGCAAGATTTGGCTGTGGCTACCAAGAAGTAAAGCAGTCTTCATCGAGGCCGACCAAGCAGAAAACAATCGGAGGAGACCCGAAACACCTTGTGCAGTTTCGATTGGTAAATTATCGAGTCTGGGTTGGACAATTTGGGTCACAATGAGATCCACATATGGAGACCAGTCAAAGTCTGCCGAATTGTTGAACAGGAGTATGAGACACTTCAATCCAGTCTGTCGAACAACTTTGAACAAGGAGGTCTTGCTGCTCTCTTCTTCTTCTTCGTTTTCTTCAGTTGAGTCACCCTGTAGTTGGCGTGAAGCGATTACCAAACAGTACAATACTGCTTCCAGTAATTTCCGAGTCAGAGGTACAACCTTGGTGGCTAATTCCTTGAGCACTGCTTCCATCATGTTTGTGAAACCAACTTGCTTCCTCGCACCCAGCAACTCCTTCTCAAAGACCGACATTTGAACAGCTCCGTCCTTTACTAGATCCAGATCTTTCAAATCACCAAGGGCAATATCTAAAAATCCCCCAATATCTTCGACACTCAGATTTCTTAACACGGTCAACCTTCTTGCCTCCATACCTTGCTTTCCACTTGCTGCGCCCTTCCGAGAAATCGTGCGTCCATATAGCAATCTGAGAAGAATTGGCATAAGGGCTTCTCGATGCTCTGGTTGAACTAAGGTTTGACCTTGAAGAAGAATAGTAATCTCATCCTTAAACCGAGCTTCATCGAGCAAATTCAGGAGATTCTCCTGATAGGGCTTGACGCTCTTGTTTTTCCATGTCAAGACAGCCTTCAAAGCAGACTTCTGAGTTTCAATGTCACCATTCGCCAATAATCCCAAAAGTGCTTCGTGAACCTCATCTGTCTTGAAAATGGATCTTGGATTGACAAACAGGCCCAATACATCCAAGAGAGCCTTCTGGTCCTTCCTTGTCCAATCACTCACAACTGCTTCATCCTCCTCATTTGTCTGATCAGCTTCTTCGGAGGTTTTGCTGGCCCAAGAAAGGAACATTGGAATCAGTTGTCGAGATCGTCTTTCTCCAATCATAGGAACTGCAGACAGAACACGAAGCGCTTGAGATCTAGCAGCGCTGGGCTGTGCATCAACCAATTGTTGAGCAACCTCAAATTTTTGAAGCATAGTATCACGAGCATTGCGGACTTCCAAGTCTGTCTCGTTTGCAAGTTTGTCTAGATTATTGAGATTTGAGCACTCGAAGTCAGTTAACCCATTGTTTTGATCTCTCTCAATGGGGGCTGGAGGCCCACTCCACTTGACTGATGGTGTCTCCAGCCATTTGAATGTCAAGACAGCAACTGCTTCCTCGCCGACTTTGGATTCAGCGATCTGTTTTAGAGCAGCACTCGTGTCTTCCCAAATCTGCGCCATCTTCACAGTAAGCATACCAAAACAGAATGATGGTATAGCATATTTCATCCAAGGTATCGCCATTTGTGAAGTATAGATTGAAGCCAGTTTGCGGATATGCATAGAAGCGGAACGAGCAGATTGTAAATCCAAGGGGGTTTGCTCGATCATAATCATGAGTGAAATTGCTTCCGAAGATACACCGTGATCACTGTCATGAATGTGCTCTAGGAGCCGTAGAGAAAGAAGGCGTAATTCGCTAGAATCGGATGAGAGATTCTCTACGAGAGATCGCACCAATAGGTCAAATTCAGCTTCTGAATCGCTCGTGTCCTCTTCCTCGTTCGATTTCCCCTCGTCAGGTGTAGGGGACAATTTGAGGCTTGCTTTGTAACCTAATAGTGCTTCTAAGAAATTTGGCAATCGAGCATACCGAGGAGCTGCTGCACGTAGTAATGGTTCCAATGCTCTATCAACCTCACCAGCTCCTTTAGTCATACGGGAGAAGGAACTGAAACCTCGACCAACAATGAAATGAGCTTCCTCGGGCGCAAGTGAAGAAGATGGCCTGAGCGCAAGTTTGAGTTTGCGAAGTAGAATTTCTGCAATTCTTGCGTTTGTTGATGGGTGTACAGCAGTGCACTCTAAAATTTCTAACAGAGCATTATATTTAGGTAAGCATCGATCATGCCATGTTTTGGGACTGCGATTATAAGTAGCTGTTGACACTTGTTCAGGGAAAGGTTGTAATTCTAGCCGTTCGAATTTGCTGACAATCTGGTCCTGCCAAGATTGAGGTAGTGAAAATGCATCCTTTCCATATCGACTCGGAAGTACCCCTGATGCTACCATCTTCGGTAATAGCACACACAAGGTATCTCCGTTTTCAGCATCAGACCAATGTGTAACAATAAATCTAAGGTCTAGTTAGCATGTGATGGAGATATATGAATGAGCCAAACCAACCTTTGAAAGTAAGGTAATGCAATAGTTCGGAAGCGCTCAGGCTCTCCTTGCGACAAGTAGGAGCAGAATGTCAAGAACCATTTTGCCAATGGGTCCTTGGTAAGGGCATCCATGAAAGGAGAAATTAAAGGTATTGTGGAATCCATTGGAGAATACGTTAGAGCGATTGCTGTACTCTCAATGAGGTATTTCCAAAGATCTAAATGTTTGTCGTCGGCCGCGACTAAGGATGCGTTCTTGGAAACTGCTTTCAAGATATTAGATAATGCCTGTAGCAAGGCTGGCCAATTCTGAACTCGTGAAGCTCGTCGAACACCAGCCACAATCCCTATTGTCCGGGCTGAGAGTAGAAGTTTGTTGAAACTATACATTGTCTTTGACTGCGTAAAGGAATCGGTAAGAGTATTTGCCTCTTCCAATACTAATTCTAGGATTTCCTTGAAAGTCTCTGGGGTGGTATGATGAACGATACTAGTAAGTACACCACATATGACATCTACCCATGGCGAAGCTTCCTTTTCCCCAAAATCACTCTCTTCGATTGCTAGGAAAAGTGACATGAAGATTGCTGGACCAGACGTATGTACAGTTAGCCCGTTACCCTTCATAGCCTCGGCGAACAAGGTCATTATTCCATGATAGTAGAGGCCAAATTGTTTCGTGTCTGCGATACTCAGGAGATCCAACTTCGCATGTCGTACGATTAATGGAAGGGCCTTCTCTCTGTGAGCCGGTGCGCCAGCTTTCTTGATGAGGAAACTCATGGCCTCTGCTGCGAAACGGGCAATATGTGGAGGTTGACGATGTTTTCCAAGTAATGGTGCCATTAAATCGTATGTAGGACGTAAATCTGGTACAATAAGTTTCGACAAATATTTGAACAGGAATGCTAGGCATGTAAAGCTCCATTCTATAACGGCGACATCTTGAGGAGTTCCTGCTATCGATGTAACCAATTCCAGTGCTTTTGCGTAGTGCTTTTCGAATCGGGGTCCCAGATCATGCGCAAAGTCTGTAATTAACTCTAACAATGGCTCCAATGATTCCCTTTGCTTTCCTTCCATGTATTTAACGAAGAGGCCCATAATCTTGTCCTCGAAATGTAGAATTTGCGGTAAACTGTCGCATAGCGGAAGGACCTCCTCTGCAAAGGAGATGAATCCAGATGATAGATTGAGTTCGCTCCATTTCTCCAAACCGGCTTTGAAATATGATGTAGTCGCAGAAGTATCTTCGGCATCGAGGTCATGTCGACGAACTCTTCGTAATGGGTCGAGGGAGTTTAATTTTGATATTTTCGTAGTAAAAGATTCCCATCGATGATTTTTCTGATGGGCAGTACCCTTCTTGCCCTTTCGGGTCTTGATTATCCTTCCGGAAGTTGTGACAGGCATCGTAGAGTTAAGTCACCCCAAAGTCTACGATATCCGCTACAAATTCTGGATATCAGCATCAATATTCGCGAAAGGATGGAAACTTTTAATTTTTTTACTTCAAATTGCCTGACCGCCCGGCAAAAAGTCCCACTTTGCCGCTTTTACATTAGCTTCACGCTAAGATATGAGCTTTCGAGCTTTCTTATCGAAAATCAAATCGCGTTCGCAAAAGATCTCTGAAAGTATATATTGATATTATCTTTACTACTCTATTTGAGCTTCACAACAGCCTTTTTCCGTGCACGACTCGAATTATTTAAGGTCAAAATGTCATCCAAGATGTAAGTATTCTATCTGACAATACCAATGGGTAATACCTGATCTTTGAGCTTGTCAGCCATGATCGCATACAACATGTTTCACTTTGTGAATTCCAACTAATCCATCGACAGAATTGTTCTCGGCGATGTGAACGGTCATATACAAAATGCTTTTACCAAGTTAACATCTTTGCAACTCAAGAATAATTTTGCTCTCGCTATTGTGGCAGGAAACCTTTTCGCTGCAGCTGAAGACACAGAAGCCGACGACACAGTTACAGACCTGATTTCAGGAAAGATCCCTATACCATTACCTACATATTTCACCGTTGGATCGTCGGCTCTACCGAAAAGAATTATTGAAAAGATTGAAAAAGATGAGGAGGTGTGTAAAATTTCTCCTCAATGGCCACAAGATTCGTTACTCATCGTCTTAGATATGTCCAAATCTGCACTATCTTGCAAAAAGAAGTACCACAAAGACTTCAGAAGGAATCAAAATAGTTGCGCTCGGCGGGCTACTCGACGAGAACATAATTGGAGGACTATCTAAGGAATCCTATCTGCCTTTCCACACTGTTGGGGATGCGAAGGCCCTCCACGGAGCGAACACGGCGGATATTCTTCTGACGACCTGCTGGCCCAAATCGATTCGAACAGGTTCAAAAGTCCCAATTCCCGATGATTCGCAGCACCCAAATGCTGGCGATCATATCGCAGATCTATGCGCAGCTTTGAAACCCCGTTATCACTTTTCTGCATCCCCAGATTATTTTTATGAGCGAGAACCTTTTTTTCATGCCCCAACTCCAGATGCTCCTGACTTTCGGCCTCTCACTCGATTCATATCTTTGGCGCCTCATGGCAACCCAAAGAAACAGAAGGCTTTATATGCATTTTCTCTACAGGCAACAGTTGATGCACTAGCCCCATTACCTGCTGGTACCACGGCATCGCCATTTGTAGCTCGACCCAACGAGAGGAAACGAGCAGCCCTCGAGCCCGAGCCTTATTCTAGGTATGGAGGAAATGACTATAAACGTGGCCGAGGACGTAGAGGTCAAAGGCAACCACCTCCAGGACCTGGTGAATGTTTCTTCTGTCTCTCGAATCCAAACTTAGCTACTCATCTTATCGCGTCCATTGGCAATGAAGCATATTTGACAATTGCGAAAGGTCCTTTAACCACAGCTACTACTAATGCTTCAATGGGTATTGACTTTCCGGCACACGCCTTAATTATTCCACTTGAACACTCTCCTACCTTGGCCTTAATACCAGAGGAGGATTCTAAACAAAGAACTTACGATGAAATGGTCAAATACAAAGAAGCTCTACAGAATATGATTGCGCAACGCAGTGAGAACAAGTTGGGTGCTGTCACCTACGAAATCAGCAAAGGAAATGGTGTTCATACACATTGGCAATTGATTCCTGTGCCTACGGAAACCATTCAGAAGGGTCTCGTTGAAGCGGCCTTCCGTGTCGAAGCTGAAAACCTCAAATATCCTCCCTTCGAGGTCAGAGATCCAGAAATCGGTCAGAATGATAGCGATTTTTTCCGTGTTTGGATTTGGACTTCTCCTACCGAAGAAAATCTAGAAGGAAAATCAAAATGCATTACGATGCCATTCGATTGGAATGTGCGCTTTAATCTCCAGTTCGGTAGAACGGTTCTAGCTAAATTGTTAAGTCTGGAGAAGAGAATTCAGTGGAGAGATTGTGCTCAGACAGAGGATGAGGAGAAAAGTGATGCGGAGGCTTTCAAGGCGGCTTTTAAGGAGTTTGATTTCTCACTTTAATCTTTATTTCATTTTTGATACCATGGGGTTCGGTGCATGCATAGTTGTGGAGTTTTTGCATGTTTTTTTTTCAATCATCCATGAATATTTATATCTTTTAGTTATGGGATGGATGACAAAAATTTTAGCTTCTTACATAGTTTCATGGCGACTGCATAAATGGTTGCATGGTTGGTTATGCATGGATGGCGTTGAGGAGAAACATCTTTTCATTTTCAAACTTCATCCAAGCTATGAGATAGATATTGATAAATACATACGATATAGCCATTATTCAATAGGTAATCGCCAACTCATATTCCTTAGAATAGCCATCCAATATAGATCACGTTCTACTTCGATCTAAATCATATTTACCATTCAATGTACCCAGCACACCCACACACAACTTCTTCAAGAAATTATACCTTTCTTTATATTAATACTGGGTAATTCATTCATCTCTTCTAGGTCTGGGCTGTGACTTGTATTAAATAGATATTCTATGATTTCTATTTCTTTCGATTTATATAATTATATGTATGTATCTCGCATAATAAAAGACAATGATGATGGGAGGATATAAAGGTATTGAAATAAATAATTTGTAGATGAATGGATGAATGAATGAATGAATGGCCATGGGCTGTCTCTTTATAGAAGGAAGATGTGCATGGATGAGAATATATAAATAACGGGATGAATAGAGAGAAAAGAAGGGGAATAGATGTAGATATGAAGCGGAATTGGGAAAGAAAGAGAAACGGAATAGAAGATGAAGATAGAGATATATAGACTGTCTAAGCGGATACAAATGAAGGAAAAAGGAAGGAAGAAAGAAAAATGTAATCTTGGGTAGGAAATAATCCTAAATTTTGATGATAAGTGAGTGAGTGCTAGTTAGTAATCTTATTTATATATATGGTTTTGTGCTGCTGAGACGGAAAATTGGAACTTGATAGATAGAATATTGTGGGAGGTGGTATGATTAGAGTGGAAGTTACTAATAGTTAGGCGAGGGGTGAAAAATGAGATTAGGGGAGGAGGATAAATTTATGTGGAAGAAGTGAAGAGGTATTTTGGTGGTTTATTTGGGAGTGTGATTGCAATTTTGATGGATGAGGGATGAGTTGACCGGAGGTATCTCATGGGATCTTCATGTGAGGAATTAGATGTTTCTATGTTTCGATATTTTGAGGTTGATAATTAGAGGGGAGATATTTTAAAATCACAGAGACCGGCACTTTCATCCCATTGTTATTATTATGATTGCATTGTTTGTCTCATTGGTAATTTATATTCCTCATCCTCTCCTCCTTTATATAAATTTCGGATGTAAATCTACCGAACTCCCATCTCTTCAAACACCAGACCAAAATCTCCCACCTCACCCCTTAAAACTCCTCCAACTCCCCCAAACTTCATCCGTAACGCTATCCCCTTTCTCTCGCACATCTATCGTCAACCACACTATACTGTAATTAAAATCCTTCCCCAAATCTCCTCTCTTCTCTCTCTCTCCTCTCTCTCTCTTCTCCCCAAACCCCAAGCTAATTTCATCCCATCTAATAACTTCAAACCCATTCATTTCCTCCTTCTTCTTCTATCTCCTCGAGGTCCCACCATCAAGTTTTTCGCTCGTCTTTGAGTGGGGTCCTAGGATTTTTGTTTGTATTTTGTATATTAAGGGTCGAATATAAGATTTAAACCATAAATAAATAAAGCGGGGTATAAACGGTAAGGAGATAAAAAGGAAGGTTAGGTTGGAGGCTGTGAGGAGAAAAAGGGGTAGGTACCGTGGGTTTTTGGGTGCATTTTTGGTGGTGGAGGGGTCTGGTACAGGGTTGAGAAGGGATGGTGGATGGTGAGGTTGGGGGTTTCTTAAGTTGGTGGAGAGTACGCTGTTGATGTTTATATGTGGAATTGGTAGGTGTAGTTGTTTTTTAGGACTTTAGTTGAGATGATGGGTATATGCTAGGGAGGAATGAAGACAAAAGCAGAAAGTTCTATATAGGAGTGGAACTACTGGTTAGATGTGAATTTTCAAACTAGATTCATGTTGTCATTGTGAATATTCATTGATCATCGAATAGATTTAATCATTCATCGTTAATTGTTCTTAAATCATGAGGAAACTGGTGCGGATATATTCACTTCTGCGAATAGCAATGTACACTCTCCTTATATACAGTAGATTATTTGCAACCATTACAGATACTTTGATGGATCAAACTTGGATCTATATGCTCGTGGTAACTGACTCATTGCAATAGATAATTGAAATCTAAATACATTTTCCGCATGGACTAGACTGCGTTCCATTCAGAGGCTCGATGGTGAGAAGAGGCAGAAATCTAGCTGCCTTTCCTATGCCTCAGCTTACAGCAAACATTAAAATCAATGCATTGTAGCTGGCTCTGCTGAAATTATACTCGTGCGATATTTCAAGAGAATCAATCTAATTGACTTCTGAACAACTCAGATATGCAACAAATATGCAAAAGAGTCCATCTCATTGAATCCTACCAACTCAAGCGTGCAACACAAATTTAAGGTGAAGTCGTCTGATTGGCTTTTAGTCTAGTCAGAAATGCAACGAAAGTTTAAGAACACTTATTCAATTGACTTCTCACAAGTAAGATATATGATGGGGAAACCTCAAAGCACTAGAAAATCGGGTGAAAGAACACTGTACCTTGACAGTATCTCACGGTAGGAAGTTTGATCTGTATCGAGAATTCTCTGCCATCTTAGAAGAGGAAATATGTAATCACAGTTGTGGTTTACGTTATTCCAGATTTTCCCATGTATAAAGATGTTGCTGTGTAAAAGCGTTTATGGATTCATGTAGAAATCAAGTGTTTGTAAAAGAGAGTTCGTCGGAACACGACCTCGAATGTTTCCATTACTTTGAATATTCGACTGCCTTGACATCCGATTTTTGAACCGCTCTTGAAAACAGATGTAAAGTTACATTTTCAGATGAGCGAGAAGAGTGTGGTAGAGGTGAGGTGTAAAGGTGGATGAAGACATGAAGACCCGTCTTCGCTTGGGTATGACGGGGAGAAAAAGCGATTAAGTAGACTTACCTATCGATCAAATATACTTATTTGAGCTATCAAAAGTCGATTGTTTAAAATTCCACGTAATTATCCCGGAAAGAATCGAATTTCTCATCGGCTGCCGTTCTCTAAATAGATAGTTGTGAAGAATCAATAATGCTCTTGAGTCAATCGATATCTGCGCTTCAAAAACAATAGTTGGCTCTAAAGTTGGTTAACGAAAACTACAACTTGGTGTATGTAGTCACTTTTGTTTGTAGATGATTAGCCATAGCTGCGAGACTTCGATGCACAATATTCACTCATGGCAAAGATGAAACAAACATACTCAACAAACTGCAGCCAGCGGTAGGGCACAAGCAGATAAAAAATGATCTTATTGTTTGAAAACAGAGGTGATCAAGGTTCAAAAATACCATACAACAAATGCCTAGGTAGTGCAGGGGCAAAAACTTGCAGCGGGGCAATATATTAGTAAATTACGTCAAGGTGCAACATCAAAGAAAAGTCTTCTTGGCTCAGTTGGTAGAGCGTTGGTCTCATATATAAAATGAGGTAATTGATAACAATTACTGGTAATCCAAAGGTCGTGAGTTCGAGCCTCACAGAGGACAATTCATTTTTGGCATCTCTTAGTTTTGGCGCTGCTCAAATCGGTGACCGGCTTGGGTGATTTTGATATATATATACATATATAATTGTGGGTGGCCCCACTATACGCTTTTTATTCGAAGACGTTGGAGCTAGCTATAGTGGGAGAAAATTAACTTACACTTCAAATAATAAAAAATGTTATTATTATTATTATTATTTTGAGTTGAATGAGATAAATTGAATGAATAAAATTGAATGATTTCAAGGTTAAATGATGTCAGAGTTGAATGATTTTAATAAAGTTAAATGATTTCAATAGAGTTGAAAAAAAGTTCCAAGTCAGATTTGTTTGAGGCTTATAAGGATATTTTAGATTAATCGGATTGTCAGGATTGTGATTTATTTAAACGAGTTTCTTATTTTCTATTATCTATACTGGGTAAACCTTGTATACAGCAAGGTTTTGGTGTCGGCAAGTCGATAATCAATTAAATATACTTTTATTATTATTTGAAATATAAATTAGTTTTTTTCTCATTATAGCTCGAGTGCATTCGAATAAAAAGCGTATAGTGAGGCGGCCGGTATGATACCACATATACAAACAAACTACATCGTCTTGGCACTATAATATATCAACCCTCCTTCGAGTTGGAACTGATGAAGTGTTGCTACAGCATAGTTTACTTGTCTTATTCTGGCCTGGTGGGTCCATCAATATGAGCGTGTTGGTAACTTCTGCTACATTCTTATAGGTCGTGACGAATATACCTGGTATCATAGTATGGTATGTATATATACAGGTGCCTTATATTGCTTCACTGCGGTGTGAATAAATAAGGTAATGAAATTGGATGCAGCTTATCATTAACATGATCAAGTTTTCCCATTAAACCACTCAATATCCTCTATCAGATGAGATTTTGGGCCAACCACCTACTCCTGTTGTTAATACGTAGAATTTGCTAGGTTGAGGTGTATAGGATTATCAATAAAGGGAGGCCTGAAAGGACTAGAATCAAGGCATTTCGTCGCTGAAAAAGATTTCATGCGGAACCCATTGCTGTTTGTAGAGACATGATAGAAGCTGTAGGTGGAGATGGTACCATCATTTAGGTCCTTGATTTCCTTTTTCTTATCCTTAATTAATGCCCGTCGCAGACCGTGTGAACACAACACTACTGATCTTAGAGGCTTCATTTTGTTTTTGATTGAATTTTCTGTTATTTCTATTAATTGTTTGATTTAATATCTAGATATCCAATGACATCATGTCTCCGACGTTATTTTAGAATCGATAATTGGAATGAGTCGGATGACTGGAGTGACTGGGATGACTGGGCAATGTTGGGTATTTGTGATAGGAATGTCTTTAGAAAAGAACGACTTTTCATGTCTTCCAACACATACCTATTAGAGACACAAACAGCTTTTCTTGAAACGATTCTTCCCGTTATGGCTGTATGCACCTCTTTCAAGTGTAGCGTAGAACTGAGTAGAATTGAGGACCTCACTTGGGCGTCGAACTTCATGGATGTAGACTTAGAACCTGAACCTCACGCCGATTTCATGTACCAGTATAGCGGAAAGCTGTTATTCGTCGAATCATATTTTTTGTCCCACATCCACATCATTATTTTTATAATTTCGATATGGAGTTAGCTATCAAAACCGATGCCAAGCTAGGTATCGCTGCAGCATTTGGTAAATTCTCGCGCTCTCCGAAAAAGAAGAAGGATACTTTGTCTGGCGTAGCCGGCAAAATGCAATCAAGCAAGAGGCTGGGCTGAAACGCCCTCACAAAAAAGCTTTCGATAGAGAAGAAACGGGTAGACCCTGGCCTCGCCGCGGGCTCCCATATACAGCAAAATCTGATCAATATCTCCTATATCCTCAAAATGCCACTGTAGAGGTGAAATGCACACAGTGCAACCTCACAAACCTCGACACCACCCCCGCATTCTGGAAGACGGACCCGCGGTTCTACGTTATACGTAGAAAGGACTGGTGTAATGGATGCGCCAAAGGCGATAAAATCTACGATATCCCACGGATACCAGCATTCCTTGGATGCATTCAAGGACAGATCGCTTCCTTAATAAGGAGGCTGATTATGTCATCAACTACTACAATAAATGGGTCAAGAAGGCGGGGGTTGATCGTGAACCTTTGCTCACGAACCGGGAAATTGAAGAAGCAGCAAGATTGGAGGAGGTGTTGGAGGCGGAGGAGAGATTTGAGAAGATGGTGGCACCGATTGAGGATTGGGATTGGGAGAGAAGGTTGAGAGGTGGATTCAATATCGAAAAGGATGCACCAACTGAGTCCCCTTGGGTGCCCTTAGGTTGTAGCTTTTGCAGCCCCTCAATAAAAATGTTTTAAGAGCACCTCAGTATCACTAGACTTGCTATTGAATTTAGATGCTGATGGGCTCTCTAGTTCGTGTTATACACCTATCATATGTTGGGGTGTGAAGAGTTTTCTTGCTTGCTTATTTGAACTCGCTGCACTTGCATGAGTCAGGTTGCATCCCGGCGCGCCTCTCTCCGCATGTAAGATTTTATGTTCACCAATCACTTACGAACCGGTTTTGGTTTCCTGGTGCCTAGAATGTTGGCATTCATTCTTATATCCTTATTAGACTCATCGAACGCCAAAACGTTCGAGGAATGATCCGATGCCATGAACTTCCAAGCTCCGAACCGTTGAAAGGGAACAGAGGTCAAGAATCTATACTAGGTATAGCTTCTCTGCCCCACAATCATCGAATTAGCTTCAAAATGAAGAACTTCAAAAGTATCTCAATTTCACTTGACAATATTGTCCGTGAAAGGACATGTACTAGTATAATGTTGTCGAAGGCTTAATATGCTATACACAGCTTCAAAATAATACGCTTTTTCCCAAAAAGTAATATGAAGGCGTTATTTAATGAATTATTGAAAGCTGAAGACATTTTTTACCCTTCATTTACATCACTAAGCGAACAACCTCGGACATTTCATTTCGGAGGCATGAACACCATCAATGATCAAATATGATTTGCTACCAAGGTCAACTTTTCCAGGTACTAAGGTCAAATGTATCGGCGTGGCTAGATTTTGCTATTCTGGTTGGTGGAAACGAGAATGCATCTTTAATCATATTCCGAGCCTTCATGGGACGAAAAAGATTGATGTGGCATGCTGCTTTTGGTATCATTCACGTGTTCTTGTCTTGGCAAGTGATTTGATTCGAATCGGCTCGGCTCAATGTCGGTTACAAATTTCTATCATCTAATTTCCAAACACTCGGCGCACCGCTTCCTTCTTTTTCGGCCTCAACAGTATAATGATATGGGAAAGCTTCCACTAGCCTCAACTTCTCGTGGTGATCACAAAAATTACCTCACAGAAGATCAAATAATATGACAAACCATATTTCTGGGTACTTTATCCCATCTCACCGATGCATGCATTGGATGCATTGGATGCATTGGATGCATTTGATGCACAAGCACAAATGACCGTCGGATACCCCGCCAAGTGAGGGGAAAGCGATTCATTATTCCGGAATCATGATACCTCAGTGTGGTAACAAATCGTCCCAAGTGTTCAGATCATAATCTCGGACCGATTATAATTCAAAATCGAGTGTTCCTGTTGGAACTGGGTGCAGCTTGGGAATAACTTCATCCGTTGAACCATTCAGATGAACGGAGCCAAAACCCCAGAAAAATCAGACTTTTGGACCCTGCCATCGGTATATACCAGGGTTTTAGCTTTACATAACAGTCTGGGGAAAGCTAAATGAATTTAGCGTTTTTTGCTCTCCAATTTCCCTACAGTATGCACGTGAAGCTATAGCTGGTCTAGGTAACCCAAGGAATATGCATGATGCCGTGTGAAATTACCACGATGCACGAAAGTCTAATTACAATATGGTTCATATGCAGAGGAAATTTTTCTATTGTCATCACGATTCAAAATTCACTACAAATCCCCCGCCATTTCCCCAGAATTTGAAACCCCTAGAGTTTTTTCCTTTCTTCCTTTTTCATCCCCAGAAGATCTCAAGCAATTGCTACAAAAATGAGGTCTTCATTGTTGATTGCATCAATTACATTCCTTACAGCTTCTACCTTTGCTCAGAATGATGGAGACTTAACTCCTCCTAGTTATCCATCTCCATGGATGAATGGCAATGGAGATTGGGCTGAGGCATATGATAAAGCAAAGAGATTCGTTAGCCAGCTTACCCTTCTTGAGAAAGTCAACCTAACCACTGGTGTTGGTTGGGAAGGTGAAGCTTGTGTGGGAAATACTGGTACAATTCCTCGACTCAATTTCCCGGGACTTTGTTTACAAGATTCTCCTCTCGGTATTCGATTCAGTAAGTTCTCTTTTGGAGCAGAGGCTTTATTATAACTGACGGGTTGTGATTAGCCGATTACAATTCCGCTTTCCCTTCGGGAATGAATGCTGCTGCAACCTGGAGTTATGATTTAATGAATGCTCGAGGTATTGCTATGGGAAAGGAACATCGAGGAAAGGGTATAGATGTCCAATTGGGTCCTGTAGCAGGTATGTCTATCCTCTAGAGTCCACTAGATTTTGAATTAATTAATTTGGACTAGGCCCCCTCGGAAGAGCACCGGCAGGTGGAAGAAACTGGGAAGGTTTCAGTCCAGATCCTGTTCTTACAGGAATTGCAATGATGGCAACAATTGAAGGAATTCGTAAGACTATCCTCCTTTCATCTTTTCTCTGTTTTTATCATTTTCAAATTTACACGATATCTCAGAATATCTTGTTTTCGCGATTTAAAAATCGTATATCCTCATAGCTCCATTAAAATAACTGCTAACTGCTTGGCTTCATAGAGGATGCTGGGGTAATCGCTTGTGCAAAGCATTTTATCATGAATGAACAAGAACATTTCAGAGACTCTGGTAGCTCAAACGCTGCATACTCTGCAAATTTGGATGACAAGACAATGCACGAACTTTACCTATGGTTAGTCCCACGTACCTTGTCACCCGCGTTTGCTAATAATTTTGTAGGCCATTTGCCGATGCTGTCAGAGCAGGAGCCGGTGCCGTCATGTGCTCATATAATCGTGTTAATCAAACTTATGCATCTGAGAATTCTTGGACTCTTAATTACTTGTTGAAAAATGAGTTAGACTTTCAAGGTTTTGGTATGTGTTTTGGTCTAATTATGGAATCTAAGGCTAACTTCACTCGATAGTCGTGAGTGATTGGTGGGCACAGCATAATGGCATTGCCAGTGCATTAGCTGGACTTGAGTAAGCTTCACATATTGCCAGAAGATAACCTGAACTAATGTCTTTCAGTATGACCATGGCTGGAGATCAAAATCTTGCTTCAGGCAACACATATTGGGGCACTTGGCTCACCAATGCTGTTCTTAATGGCACAATCCCTCAATGGCGCCTCGATGACATGGTTGTTCGCATCATGTCAGCATACTACAAGGTCGGCAGAGATACTGCTAAGGTTCCAGTAAACTTCAACTCATGGAATCTTAGCACATATGGTTACCAACATCCACTTGCTAGCGAAGGCTTTACACAAATCAATGAACATGTCAATGTCCAAGATGAACATGCCTCGCTAATCCGCGAAATTGGTGCAAAATCGACCGTTCTCTTGAAGAACACGAAAGGTGCATTACCATTGCGTAACCCGGAGAGCATAGCAATTATCGGAGAAGATGCCCATGATAACCCAGGTGGGCCAAATGCTTGTGGAGATCGTGGTTGCAATATTGGCACACTGGCAATGGTATGTATCACCATTGACTACTTATGAAACTTGCTAACTACTGCTCATTTTTAGGGCTGGGGTTCCGGTACCGCAAACTTTCCTTACTTAATATCCCCCGTTACAGCATTGAAAGCAAAAGCAGCAGAAGGTTATGTTCAAACAACCGTCAGAAATGTCAGCAACAATTACGACTTTGCTGCTGTCGCTGAAGCAGTAAAAGGAGCTTCTGTTGCAATAGTATTCGCCAACGCTAACGGCGGTGAAGATTTCATTACCGTCGATGGAAATCAAGGAGACCGAAACAACCTGACCTTGTGGGGTAATGGAGATGCTCTTATTGATTATGTTGCATCTATCCACGAAAACACAGTGGTTGTCCTACACACTATCGGGCCCGTAATTGTTGAAGCATACAAGAATCATCCCAATGTAACCGCAATTCTTTGGGCCGGCTTACCTGGTCAAGAATCCGGAAACTCCCTCACGGACGTCTTGTATGGTGAAGTTAACCCACAGGCAAAATCTGTCTTCACATGGGGAAAAACTCGCGAAGACTACGGAACAGACGTCGAATATACCATCTCCACTCCAGATCCCCAATTAAACTTCAAAGAGGGTGTATTCATTGACTATCGTCATTTCGACGCCGCAAATATTGAGCCATCCTACGAATTCGGTTTCGGTCTCTCATACACCACATTCTCATACTCTAATCTACACATCCAACCTCATTATGCTTCTGCTTATAAGCCAACACAAGGTAGAACATCATCCGCTCCAACATTCGGTACAATCAACTATAATGCATCGGCAGCGCTATTCCCACCAGGATTCCATAAAGTTCCTGGTTACGTCTATCCGTATCTTGATGGTCCATTGGTCGCAAATCAAAGTGTTCAACTCCCTCCACTCTCAACGGATAGCTCACCACAACCACTTCTCGCGGCTGGTGGTGAGCCAGGTGGTAATCCGGGCTTGTATGATGTGCTTTTCACTGTAACTGCCAAAATAACCAATACTGGCAAGATATCTGGAACAGAAATTCCTCAGCTTGTAAGTTTTCTCTTAATCTCCCTCCTTGTCCATCTACCTCCCATCCTCTTCAATCAACAACTCGATCCTAACAACCCGCAGTACATATCTCTCGGCGGCTCAACGGACCCTAAAGTCGTCCTCCGAGGCTTCGACGACATGGAGCTCGAACCCCAAGAATCCGATACCTTCAAATACGAAATCACCAGACGCGATATCAGTAATTGGGATCCGGTAACGCAAAATTGGGTGATTACTGAGTATCCCAAGACGGTTTATGTGGGTAGTTCGAGCAGGAATTTGGTTTTGAGTGGTGCTTTGCTGTAGTGTGGTTTGGCAGGTGATGTTACGGGAAAATGGAATGATGGGATTGCTTCCTACTTGGGATAGTATATGGCGGGTGTATGCGCCCCCAACGATGGATTAATGCGGTATGTGTGGTACTTGTTAGTAGGGACTTTTAGGTTAGGTCATATTTAAATCTTCTTGGATACTAGGTGGAATGGTCAATATGGCGATGTTGAAATATCATATAACAATTCATTCGTCATATCTACATGGCACGTTCAAAATTTTACATTAAAAAGTAAGGACCTCTTTACGTTAAATAAACCTTCCTGTGCTTCATGCTTCAAGTGGAGCTCATGTCTTTATTTTTTAGTGCTTTCAAATAGAAAATGGAGATGACTATGATGGGAAGGAATTAATGTTGTTGAAATATAAAATATAGAGTTGCAAATATATATAATTATTATTATAATATAGATATTATAAGAAACTTATATATAAGATTATTTATTGTATGGTAATCAGGCATGTTAACTCCGCAATTTCTAACAAAAGTGGTATAGAGATGGATATCAGAAAATATTCAACGCTGTTCTCATTTCGCATCTCTCGCTCTAACACCCATTATCGATACCAGCATCAAGAAATGAGCTATGAAAATATTAACCTAGACTAATCCCGTCACAATACTCGCTGACTTCTACCAGGCATTCCAAACCAATAGCCCAACAGCGCTATCATTTTTCCCGTCTAATCTCGCTCTTCACCTCTCACTCTCGCCATTACCTCATGTCCCATCTCGCGCTCTATTCCTCACTATCCGCCGCGGTCTCATAAACTCTATTGAGGCTTTTAGTCCAGGCTTCCTGGTATCCACATATGGCTTCGAGCCAGGTAACTGAAACCAATTAAGTGGATTTATCCGGTACCGTATCAACAATCCAATCGCCAGCACCAAAAGGGAAGTGATGAATCGCCCAATCCTGTTGAATATTAGAAATCTTCCCATGTATCTAGAAGCATGCATTCCCCAAAGTAACAGCATCCCTATGCAGGTGGGAAAAAACATGATAGTTGCCGTTCTATTCTGGAAACATAGAACGATCGCCCAGATGGCAAAATTAATAACGCTTCATAGAGTATCGCTTCCAGATTTTAGCTCTCTGCCTATTTTTCCGCGACATTGGATATATTTTCTGGTAGTTCGAGGACCTAGTACTGGGAGATCTTGGTATTTTGTCCTAATGGTTTTTGTGATCACTCTGCCTGCAGCACACCACCCTTCGACGTACCATCTGAGGGTGGAAAGTTGTTCTTTATAGGTCCATATACACAGAACTTGAAGTAATCTCGAGAGGAAGTAGGCCTGGAATATAGAATCTGCATATAGCGCGTTTAAATACCTTTTGACACGAGTACACAATGCCTTTAGTATCGATTTGACACCACTACACAGGGTCTCTATTACCCGTGTGATACCGGTATACAGTGTCTTTAATTTCCATATGACACCATTATGCAGTGCTTCCGCAGTTAGCCTGGCAGAATTAAGTGGTTTCGATACGATTTGTTTAAAGCTGGCAATAAATCCAGTACCAAAAAACCATATACTTGTATTTCCTCCAGGCCCCAAATTCGTCGCCAAGTCGTTGAACCTCATGACCCTATCGGATTTTACAACCAGGTTCCGTTCCATAGCATCTCTATCAAAAGACCCACTGTCCCAGAGTGAAATGAAGATTGTGACCTCTGAGAGGCGAAAATCCGAGTCAATTTTCCCATAATTTTTGATACTGTTGGCTGGTCTGCGTGCGTGGAATCTGCATCCTAGTCCAACGCCTGTTATGGACCCGCGGTAAACGTAACAAACGAAAAAACCCAGGGCAAGTAAAGGGAGGCTTAAAACGAGAAAAAGGGGATAAAGGAGCTTGAGGATGATTATGAAAAGGGAAAAAAGTTTGAAGAAGCTCTGAGGCTTGAAGATGACGCCAAAGCTTTTCAAAAAAGACTTCGGATTTGATAGAGCTGATAATAGCCTTTCAGGTAGCGCGGTAACCGGGAAATATAAATGCGTCTTGTTGCCATTCTCAAGTAGGGTGACTGGTTCCATTGTAATATTAGGAGTCGGAGATATAACTAGGGTTATACAGTTAGCATGATACCCGGCTTCTGCTCATGAATATTCATATCACGGTTGTGGTGAAGATTTATTAGAATCCATTTTCATGAGGCTGATATAGTAAAGTGGCGTGAAAATACACCGAAGATCATGTTTGGACGGCTCAAGTGGTACAGGGCTCGTAAAGCTCAGAATACTTACGTTGGCTTTTTCCTTCTTTTCTTTTTCTGCTAACCTATATAAAGATTTAGTAGATCATGCTGTGTACACTATTGATACAGAAATGTTGTAATGTAATATATATGTTCACCGAAAACCGCTGTGGTTGAGTGAGATGTAAAGGTTGATTAATTGTCTGTCAAGGAAGAAAACTAGCAGGAGAATCATTGAAGTATTTCATGGCAAGTGAAGTAGTTCCTTCCTCGCTTATGCTATGTAGATACAGGAATGTTCCTACCACTGTGTGAAAACCGAATCAAATGTGAAACAGGTAATTAAGAAAGAAAAAACATAAATAGGAAGAGTACTACGTCTCCGATTACATAACCACTCCAAAAATCAAAGCAACCGTAACCTTTCCAGTCCATCATCGTTCATCCATTCCACCACATCGCTAAATACCCTAGCAAATGAGCACTGTCATAATATCCCACGTCACAACGTCAACCATATTTATGAAACACACCTCCATATTAATCATGTTCGCCCATTCATTGGTGAACTTCCTTATCGCATCCGTTTCAAAAATCCCATATCCCTATGCTTCATGCCTCACATCTAAACTAGTCACCAGCTCCGTCCAGTTCGTGCCTATCTTGTAGTCATAGTGACATACTCGAACTCGGCAACTCTCATGCAGCGAATCTCAAGCACAGATAGTAGTGTTAAGTAGGGATGTCATAGTGCGGATGAACCAGACGCATTTGCTTTCGTGGCTTTTTGCGTGGCGCCAGTTTAGCTAGACGGCGTACGCGTCTTGGTCGCGGCGGTGGAGTGCTACGGCGGAGAGGTGGGCCACCATTGTTGGTGTCAATGTAGATTGGTGTTTCCTGAACCTCACCTAATGGAGTGGGTGGATCTGGAACGTATTCAGGATAGAAAAAGTACTGTCCGTCGTGGTTGTAGTATTGGTAACCGGGGCCATAGTAATTTCCATCGTGACCAAGATACCCTGGTTCCTCCCACGACTTCTGGCTGCCATTGGGGTCTTTCTGGCAGGTTTGGGCAAGCATACATGGAGGCGATGGACTTCTAGGGATCTTTATTATTCATTAGCACTAATATTGCTGTAGTCGGATATTTGGGGAACTTACCACTGATATGGGACGAAGTCGCTTTCTGCCCCCATGTCCTTCAACTTCTTCATCCTCGGCGTAATCCCCAAAAGCGCGCTTTCCAGAATGACTCTCGCCAGATATGTCGTTCGCTGCGGAGCTATTTTGAGTAAACTCGAGGGGATTAGGTATTGGTACCATCCAGTTCTGAATAAAATCGTGGTTGTCCTGCAATGGATTGGCTGCCTGCTCTGCCTCATCAGAAAATCTTTTCTTAATATCTAGAGTAAATTTCTTGTGGGCGAATGCTCTCTTATTTTGATCCCGCGAGTACAAAGCGTAAAATCGGCCTTCGTCTCCTTCATATTCTACTTCGTTGTAGTAGCTGTTGTAGTCGACCCATTGTTGTTGACCATCTGGCATCATCACGATCCCGTCCTGCCTGGCATAAACCTCAAAATCCGGTAGTCTGACGGGTTGGTAGATCTGTTGATAGCGTGCATAAATGTTGCTTGCTTCAACAAGTATTTGCCCCTCTCCCTGAATAATGATCTGTTGAGTAATGAACGAATTTTTGTAGTTTTCTTGTTGTAATTTCTTAGCCTCAAATTCAAGCTCTTGAATCTTAAGGCACTGCTCATTGGAAAGATCCTGCATCTCATAGTTAAGATGCTCGAGTTGTTTTTGTCTTCTTAAACCCCAGCGAACACGATCTTCCATTACTAGATGGTCCGCAATCATTTCATTATGCTCGGCTAGTGACTTTTGGTTCGCATGCCATTCGTTTTCAATAGCAATAAACTGCATTTCGAGTCCCTTATACTCGACCAAGTATTCCCTCTCCAAAAGTTCCTGGGTCCTCGTGATCTCATTCAATCTAGTGGTATACCAGTGTCTGACCTTCTTGAGATCCGCATCCGTACGAGGGTTTTCAGGGCGAGATGCTTGATTAATCGCCTTGTCGAATCGTGAAAGGATGGAGATGAACTTCCTATCCTCTTTTTCGATGGCATTCGAATGATTAGTCTGTAAAGTGCCGAGAGCTTCTTCGATTCTGAAAATTTCTTGAAGATTTGGATCATGTTCTTCGAAAGGAGTCTGCTCTTGATAATAGAAAGCCGAAATCTTCTTTTGTAGGGCAATGGTTGGAAGCTCCGGATTATGGCCCTTTTCAGGATTGGGAACATATGCGTGTAGCTCCTGGAGAAGTATTAGCAACAGACAAATATAATCCTAATGATCAAGAGATCAACGTACCTTCCACCTCAGCATGTCATCATCATGGCTTTCCAAAGCATCCTCAAATAGCTCTTCAGGAGCATCAAACCACACGTCGTCATCGCCGTTGGTGGACGTATTATTTAGGTTGAGAGTGGTAGACATGATGTCAATGTGTAATTCCTCAAGGGATAGAGTGTAATAGATCTCACGATGGATGTTGTGAAGAAACTTTATGTTGAAGTATCAAGTAAGTTGCCAGGTTATCAGGTTCAATCAATGCTGGGAAAGATTGTTGTTGAGACTCAGAATCACTTTGGGGAGAGTGGGTTCTTTTATGTTGTGTGAGAACCAGTTTCCTCTACGGTATTCAGCCAGTACAGCCACCTTAACTTTTCGCATGTTATAAGAGGCAGTATGAAGTGTCGTAACATTCAATACGGTTTCGATACAAATCATTATTAACAAGTAACTAAAGCTAAGGCACAATGGAGGTTCTGTACCACCCCGTAACCTGTAGCAGTGGTGGTTGTGCTATGATTCACCTTTTTCGCTTGAACTTACCATTGTTGCTTTATAATTGGCAGCGCTTGTTTTAGGAGAAGTTCCACTGAGATTCGTTTGGCCGTCTGAAGAAGACAAACATGAAAGACTGAAATCTTGGGAACTACGGGAGTAATGGCCTATTGAAACTGTAATCCTCTGTATAGAATAAATGGTAAGTTCAAGTATTCAGTTGGTACGTTTATTATTAGGTACGGTGATATTTACCTTCATGGTGAACATACGTCAAGCTTATCTCTGGAGGCCATAAAATTAGCTAATGGGGGCGCTTACGTTTTACTCCTCTATCTACCGTACCTCTATTGACCTCATCAAGATCCTTGGGCCTACGTTTTATGAATCATGCGGGAGGTCTCCCAAATACCACGGGCTCTGCCAATACCTTTCCTCGCATCCCACGTGTTTCAAACTCGTTAATTCACTTCGCCTACTGCCACATTCTTCTTGCTTGTGATTAACCTCCACCTCAAGCTCACGTATTACTATTCTCGCAGCTCCCTAAAATATGCATTGCTAGTATTCCGAATCTCATCTCGATGACGTCTCTCGAGGATAAGGGCATCACGGCAAACCTTTACATGAGATTTAGAATTTTGAGCTCGAGGGCTTTGTCTATCCTGCTGCTCAATCACACGATCAAGCCTTTCATTATGTTCTCCTAAAGCACGATTTTGCAACCGTCGCCAGTTTTAATAAATTGCCTGAAATTCCTCCATTTGAATTTCAAGCCAACAGTCACCTGCTTCAAGACCATCCATTTTACTTTCCAGATGAGCTTCTCACTTCAATGCGTCATCGAGACGACTCTTCGTATCGAGATTTTGCGCACGTTCTTGTTGTAAGGCCAGTTGTACACTGCGTTCTTGACTTTCTTTCGCCCACTTTGTTCTAATTGCTTCTGCTTCATTTGCGAACATCGACATCGCGTCAGTATGCTCTTTCTCTCAGCGTTCCTGTGTGGTAGAACATTAGTTGATTTTGTCCACGATCAAGTCCCTCTACCTCTTGCAATCGGAGCCGGTATAGACATTATCTAGCTCGTATAAGGTTTCTTTGACAACCGAAAGTCTTTCGACCAGCGTATCAATCATGCGCCCTTCCATGTTAATCCCCCGTTCGCGGTCCTTCTCGAAATCGACAAGTTGCTCGCTAAGGCGCTTGAGTTGGATGTATCCCTCATTTTCTTGCTCTAGTAAGCCCGGGGGCTCGTCGTAACATTACCATGTATCTTCGTCTCCAAGATGTGATCGGAGTGGTAAGAAGATTCCATCATATGTATGTCAGAAAAGGGCGAGGAAATCATCGTGGAGGGTATCAGAATGTGTTTGTATGAATGAATGGTATAACATTTGTTCGCAAATGCCAACAACAGTTTACTCGATGTTTTTGGGGAAATTGTTGTAGGATTAGGATATTAATTAAAATCGCCATGTCGGAATCTTGAAAATATCCTGTTATTGCGCTCTCGTAAATTTTGTAATTTTTCTACCGTACTATTTGGATCAGCAATAGCTGCTCTTTTCGGCGGGGCTCAATTATTATGGTTAGACTTTTTCGCTTGAACAATAGACAACATTCCTTTTCTGGACTAGTTTAGTTTACTGCGACTCGCTTATTTCAGGAGGATTATTGGAAGTGGAAGGCAGCGGCATGTGGAGCATTAATGAAGTGACAGTGGAACAAAAGGAAACTAAAGTCTTGCTTTGAGATGGAAATTGCAACTCCGACCTCACTTTTATGGTGAACGGGAGAGGGGGATTTGGTAAATGTTCAGTAAGATCAATCTTAACTTCGATTCTGTACCATTCCTTTATAGAGATTTGGAAGATATTGAGATGCATAAGATAGATAGTCGGATTTATTTTGGCGGTTACTTGTCGCGAATACTGTAAGTACATTTGTATTGAGTGAATAAAGTCAGGATGAGACTAGGAATCGTGTGAATGCGCGCGGCACTTATTAAAACGATTGCGTGCTTTATGCGGTGATTAGCTGTTGCAAATGAGGATTTCTATCTGTGCAACACCGCATGAAACCTAAATTTTTTGTTTTCCAGTTCTAAATAAGAGATTTCATGTATTCGTGTTCTTGAAGCTTCAGTCTGGTGATTTTATTAGCCAAGTATGATGTATGTTTAAGTTTACTGTGTGATATCTGATCAGAGGTTTGCGAAGTTTTTACTGCGTCAAGACATATGTATTATAAAACTAATCTTGGAATATGAAATGCATAATGATGCTTCGATGCAAATCTGGAGCATAAATATAGATTCAGAAGGGTCTGAGAACCTTCTCGTAGTTATGTCACTTCACTATTTAGTTTGAGTCCGAAATCAGTATACCAATCTATTTACAGATTATGTGTTACTCATTGGGCTCCAATTCAAGCTGTCAGATAGCCAGGAGATGTATAAAGTGATGAAAATAGGATCCGCAACCAGAGGGAGTGTTATCTCCTAAAACATTTCACAAACATCCATTCTTCCATATTCCCGAGTAGAAGGAACAATGAACAGCGTAAACCTCGAAATTATGATATGTCCCGTCGTGGTATTGTAGAAATTGAGGAAATAGATGCCGAAATCTTTCGGAAAGGCTTAGCTTTTCGTATGAAGTGCCTAAGGTACAGAAAATTTGTCACCTGCCCTTCTGTCGGCCACTACAGCGCAAATTAGTTTCGGTAAAGAAAACTATATTCCTTCTGGTAATGAGATCGGTACATGTATCAAGAAAATTCGCAAGGCAGAATACTCACATCATACCAGTAACTACGCTGATGCACCATAGTATTATCCACCAGACCCCTTTGCACCTTCTTCATGAACACCAATATCCAATTACACCGTACGACCTCCATATTTACACCACCCGAATGCACTAACATTAAGATAAGCAAGCGAGCCGTATCAGAGAACCCTGAGCAGTGAAAGTATCATTTATTTACACATCCCTCCAATATGGCACACACTGCTTGACCTCTCGCATGGCAGAGCATCTACCACAAGGACTTTTGCGATCACACAGCTTTCTCATCATCAAACAAGAAGAACAACGAGGTGGTAGCTTGGGGCCAAAGCGTGGTCTAGACAGAGGTGATGATACTTCTGTTTTTGATGTATTGCGGATTATTCTGGTATTGGTAAATGGTTCTGTGTTGTATAGCTGTGCATTATTGAATTTTGAGTTGATATTTTTTGGCAATCGTGTTGCGGGTCTCCTGTTCGTCGACATACGTGGTACCCATTTCTTTGCTTTTGGTTTGGCCTGAATTGAGTTTTCCCCTAAAGGAAGTTGCGGACTATGTTCTTCGGATTTCCCCTCTCGCGAGGCAGGAGCCATCTGGTAGCCCATCTCTACATAATAACTGGTGATCGTTGTGTGCTGTGGGAGAGCGGTCACTGTTTTGCGCCAGTGTTCCTCATCATCTTCTTCTTCTTGAGTAGTGAGTCGACTGAATACAGTTCCCCCATTACTATTGTTGTCACCATATTCGACATCATCAACCTTGGCCTCCATTTCGTCATCCACTTCGGAATTCGTACCATTCTCAAAAACCAGATCCTTGCCCCATTTCTTCGAACCTGCTCGCACACCGGTACCCTTGTGAAGCTCTTTGATTTTATCGTTGAAGCTGGTGAACGAATCACGAATGAAGCTAATGTTTTCCTCAGCAATCTGTCCTTCATATCTTTGCTTAATTAGTTGCTCGAGGAGTTGACCTCGTCGATCTTCTGTTTTGGCTTGATTTACCGCCGAGGAAAAGTTAAGTGTTTGGAATCGCGGTACTACTTCTGATAATCTGTGTACGGGATTGCTGGGCCGGTCTGTTGTATGACAGGTGGTACGGCTCGAGGACTTCATTTTAAGAGAAGACGAATAAGTTGTGCTTAGTAACTCTTTGATGTGAAAGCCTTAATTTGAAGGTCTTCAAGGATGTCTAACTAGCTTTGCGGATTGGTCAGAGGAAGTGCGTTGTCTTGGTTGTTTTGGTTGAGAGTAAATCAGAATAGTTAGGTAGTTGATATAACAAAAACATTAGACGCGTCACAGTAGAATAGAATATATTCACTTTTCAGAGTATACGGCAACCAACTGCCGTACTTTGTTTGGGCTGAAGAACCGTAAACAACGCAAATATATTACTGTATGAACAGAGAATTGAAACTACAATGGCATTAGTTTCCGGAGTCAACTAGTGCACTAGTGACTAGTCTTCGTATGTTGAAGATACAACTCACAGTCTCCCCAACTTGTGCATATATGATAATGATCTGTGGGCAAGTGTGACCACGACTTTATTGATATGGCCATATCTTCTGATGGCATGATTCAAATAAAGGCTTATCTCTACTCTCTATATATTTCTTGTGACACACCATGCTATAAGTTTACTTCCAGCGTCCTCAGTGGATAAAAGTCTGTAATCTCTTCTCCGCTTTCGTTTCTGTGCGCTATGGGTAATCTATTTAGGAGATATTTAACTAGGTACATAACACAATAATAAAGCACAATGAATACATCATCCTTCATCCTTTATCCATTATCCTCCCGGGAAACAAATGCCGTGCTAGGTTCGAGTGCTGTTAGGGGACCTGTTGCCTCCTCGGAACGGCATCCTTCAAAATGAGCTGGATATACACCTTAACTACTATCTATCCGAACGAACTAAAGGGGCCACCAACACTGTACCATACTGCTGGATGTTTGCATCTTTAACCCCAAGGGCTTTTGCCAACTTATTCTTGGTCATGAGTGAATTAATGCAGTAACCACCATGTTGCTCGCTGTCGATGGTAAATGGTTCCTAAGATTGGTAGCACTTAGCTATTGCAGCCTGAATTTCCTAATGAACCATAATAAATGCAAGTAAAGAAATTTCAATAACTATGTATATTAAAATCATCAAAGGTTTAAAGCAGAAAAAGGATGTTTGGTATTTGCTGGATGGATGAACTTGTGGTGATAAAAAGTGATTCACGTGACTTACAGTATTGAATTCATACAATTAGAATGAAGGCTCCTAACGCTGATGTCTGGAACCTCTGATGAGTATCCTTATGAGTTATTCAGCCAGTTTGCCAAAGTAAATATTGAGATGGCCAAAGTCTCGAAGCACAACCCTAGTGTCGCTAACCCTTTAACTAAAATGACTACTAATGTAAATCAGTCCAAAACCCTTGATGAAAGAGCTTTGAGGAAAAGCTCTTAGAATAATTTCGCATGTTGTGTCACAGGCGATAATAATGAAAAATATATCAGCCAGTGATGTCTATAACCAATTTAGCTCCCTGTCTTTTCTTGCTCGGAGTACCATTATCAATATCTTCCATCACATCACCTAATTTTCTTTTGAACCCAGTAATTTTCCCTTTTAGATATTCATTCCTTTCAAATAGCTCCGCATGTTTCCTTTCCCAAGCCTCATTTTGATGTTTCGAATCCTTGATAATCTCCTTCCTCTCTGCCTGGCATGTCTCAAGTTCATCCTTTAATTTGAGAGAGCCATCCCGGTATCTACTATCTTTCTCCTTGAGCGAGGAGAATACCTTAAGAGCCTTGTCTGTGGTATCTCGTGAAGCCTCCAAATTCTCCTCCACATTTTTCAGTTGACTCTCATTTTCTCTCATTCTTTTCAACTCATCCTTCAGTGCGGATAATTCAATCTCCTTTGCATCTACCTCACTTATTAACTCATTATTTTTCTTCTCGAACACAATATTTGCATCACTAAGTTTCTGATTTGCCTCTGTCAACTCGGAGATTCTAGATCGGAAGTCTTCTTTCCGCCAATGCTCAATGATGGGCATAGGTTTGACCGTTTCTGTAACACCATTGTTTTTCACAAGAGATTGATGCTGATCATCCGAAATCTGTACTCCTTCCTTCGCGACACTAGGATCTCTCAAAGACCGAAGTGCTTCCCCGGCAAGAAGGAGACACTCCGCGATGGCTCGCTCACAATTGAAATTGCGCAGGACCCTGCGAATTTGAGATAGGGCTTCTTCAATCTTAGAGCTTTGATGAATAGGTAATTTGGGCTCTGAGGCACTCTCTCCAATATTCAAGCCATGATTGACCACCTGCTGCGCGAGTACACTTTCCATATTTATAATATTTTCAATGGTTTCGCGTTTTTCTTTGCTGTACTGCAATACTACCATGCGGGATTCCTTCGCCATTATTAGAAGTTCGGGTTATGAAGCTCGTCTGGGAAATTGACCGGAGGAACAGATCTGAAGATATGAAGTCAGCAATAACCCACCGACCTAATGAGTCTTCTTGCGCCAAACTAACCAATAAGTCTGTATAATATGGACCTTATATTGGGAGATAGAATTGAACTAATGAGGATAGTCTTGCCGCGTATATATTGACAGATTTACGTTTTGGCCTGTGTTGTAGATGGAGGAATATTTCCAAAGACAAATAACGGGTATCTCAGTTTTGAGCTCCTCCGTGACCCACATAAATGTTTTTTGCTTTCATCTGAAAGAAGTGAATTAAGCATATTAAAATAAGAAAATAGACAGTCGAGAACGAGTAGTACTTAAACAGTGAAACAGAACTTGTCAAGTAGTATATCAGCTTCTACTCAAAAAGACAAGTTGGGCATATTCATCTTAAGGACCAAACAGGTGAGTCTAGCAGGTGCCTGACTCTCGAGGCTACGATAAGGTGATTTTTAATATCCCCGCTAGGAGAGTCTGATCAGCCGTTTTCTAAATCACAAAATTCTGCCGGATTTTCAACTTTTTTTTTGATATTCTTTTAACACAAATCTATAACTACTACTCGAATTTGATAAAAAATTATATAAAATTAAAACCCTGATATATTTTTATTTTTTATTTTTAAAATTCATTACAAAATATGAAAACCTATAAAATAAAAACACTATTAAAATTATAAATTTTATATAAAGATTTAAATATAGTAAATTAAAAGATTATTTTTATAAAATTAATATTTATTTCATTTTGAGTCGAATAATATTAAAAATAAAAATTATATGACAAATACATTATAAAATATCTAATATGATTTTTAAACTTTTCCAAAAAAATTTATTAATAAAAAAATTTAATATTAATAATTAAAGATCTAAATAAATTTAAATTTATTTGATTAATTAATTTCAAATTGTATATTAAGTTTTTTATAAATAAACTTATTAAAAAGTTATTATATAAAATATATTTTAATAATAATTGTAAATATATTATTTAGAAATAACCGACTAGACCCTCTAGGAAAATCTGTTTTGATTGGTTAAAAAAGAGTATAAAAACTCTGGAAGGAGGTCGATGTGAAAAATAGACTACAAACAGGTTTCAGTCACATTCACGTCATCAATGCATTGGATCCACAAAATTTACGTTGTGAGAAACTGGTTTTTACCACTTCTACATGGATTTATGTATAAACTAGCTTTTGCAGCTGTAGCTGCCAGATTGCGTGAAGATCCATCGCTCAATTATTAGCGAGTCACCACAATGATAACCCAGCCCATAAACTCTCATAAAATGTTTCCTCAAACCTGAAATAGCAACGTGGACTTAAGTCGATAATCCCTATCGAAATCAGCCTGAAATTTTCTTGTAATCTCAATGAAGCTCACTCCAAATGGACAAAAGCATAAGCTCGTCCGCAAACAACATCTAATATCCCAGAATATCACGAGACTATTCAAGTAACCCAAGTTGTCAGTTAATAGTAGTCCAGAGCCCTCTCATGTACTGCGGACGACTTTCTCTGCTTGGCTGAAGACTTACCCAAGCCTCTTGAAACGCCCTCATAATGATCATATCGGCTCTTTCGGCCCAGCCATTTTTCTTAAAGAAATCCCGTTCAAGATGGAGTTGATTTCTAACTTTGACCTTGATGGCGGAGGCTGTGGTTTTAAGTTTATCAATGTGGAACATCTCAGTGGTAGTGGTAATTAGAGCTTGTCTGATTTCCTCCATGTCAGCGACGTGAGATCTTGACGTTGACACAGGCATACCGTCATCAGTAATAGATCGCTTGCAGTTCTTCCAGGTAGCGGGGTTATCAAAGTCGAATGGAGGTTTATTGGCTGCTTGATGGAGTTGAGCTTCTTGATGAAGTTGTGCTTCTTGATGAAGTTGAGCTGCTTCTTGTTCAGCTGCTGCCACTCGAGTTGCTTCTTCAGCTGCCGCTGCTTTCTTTCTCGCTTCATCTTCCTCGACCTTTTTGCAGCGTAAAACAGCTTTTATGGTAAGAAACTCTAATTAGTTGAAATATGGTAAGATGGGAACACGGATATACTCACAAAGTCGCAGTTCCTCTTCCATATTGATTTCAGGTCGTGCATTCAAACTGAGGTACTCCTTACTGATGTGGAGGACCAGAGTCAACTCAGCTTGCTTTCTTGTAACTATATGAGGCTTTCTAACTTTTCCTGATATCGATTGATGCGGTCGATGTGGAAAAGCGATAATGAGCTTTTTGGGACTTCTTCTAAGGATGCTACCGCCTTCCATCTGAGCGATGTCGGATTTGGTATCTTGATTATCAGCAAAGGAGACAGATCTGCGAGATGGTTCGACTGGACGGGCAGAGCTTGCTTTGGCCATTTCTCGAGACTTGTGGTAGTTGCGAATACTTTGCACAAGAGCTGCAAAGAAAGCACGAATTTTGATAAAGTCAGAGTGTAGTTCTTGATGGTGGCTTGCAGGATCTTGGGATGGAGACTCGGCGCTAAAATGATCTAGTTTGGCCTGGGAGAATTAGTACGTATGGTCGTCTTTTCTCATTATCTTTTTCATCTTCAATGTTAAGTAAGTGACAAACCTGAAACCTCTGAAACTCATTGCAAGACTGTTTAAACACCCATATCATCCTCAGAACCTCTGGAGATCCCACCTCTCTTTCCTCCATACCTTTCAAGAAACCAAGGATCTTTTGCCAACGCTCAGCTAGCTCATTATAAGAAGATAAGAATGGGGTAAAGGGGTTCATGTTTGATATTGAGGATAAATTGATAGTTGATAATTAACGGAAAGAAGTTTCTAGAGGGTCTTAGATATCTTCGTTGAGCAGCAGTGTACAAGATCATGGATTCACTTTCAAATTTTGAGACCATGCGATTTCCTCCTCGTAAGACTGGGTGACAAGCGGAAAATCCTTTCACTTCAAGGACTAGAGGCCAGAGATTCACTTCGAAGTTAAAGACTTGGATTTGACTTTGAACCATGACTGCGATATTTCAGAGAATCTTGATCATACTGCCATTCAATGCCCTCGATGTTCTTCTATACATCTGTCTATGATTAGATGACATGAAAAATTGTACAAAGTGAACAAGTGATACAGAGCCAAGTTTATGCAGCTCATTCACAACCTGCTCGCTATCATCGTTATCGATCGCGATCAATGATTCATCTTGACTTATTTCAGAAACAGCAAAGATTTGAGTATCATGGCATCTAGTAAAACTGTTCATGGCGTAGATGCTGAAGGAGAATCCCTAAGCCCTACTCATAACGGACGGATTCATTAGCGAGTGGCATGACATATGAGACTAGGCTGCGCAACGGGGCCTCACAGGGCGGATTATTGTCTTTGGAGGGTAATCTGTAAATGATACATTTGTAGGGTAAATAATTAAAGAATTTGAATAGATAAATTGCAAATAATTTACAATTTATTTATAGATATTATCAATGTATAAATAATTCATCAATTTATAGATAGATAAATTATTTGTAGATTATTTGTAGATTATTTGCAAATTATTTGCAAATTATTTGCAAATAATATTTTTAAATTTTTTATATTAATTTTCATAAATTATATCTATTTTATACAAATTACATCTAATTATGAATTAGCAGATTATTTGTAGATAATCTATACAATATAGACTATTTTAAAATCTTAATGGGTAGCCTGCGAAACGGATTATTTGCAGATATGTGCAATCCGGGGGTTATTTTTGCGCAGTCTATATGAGACTGCAGGATAAAATGCAAGGTCATGTCACATCATGAGAGATTGATATTGTGAGCGAATATAAATGTTAATTAACCATGTAAAGAAAAGCTGTTGGGCAAGGCAAAAACTTATGACACTTACCGGTAGTTGGTAAAGTATTTTGAGTCTGATGTAAAACTGGGTTGGTCTCAGCATGTGAGCTCTGGAGGTTTTTAGCTTGATAGAGTAGATATGAATACCATGATAACACAAACCAACTAACTCATAATCAGCAGAATATTCTTTACAGCTCTACTGATCATGAGCTACTACACATTTTATCTCCTTCTCTAGAAGCCCAACTTAAGGATGATTGAACTCAGTAATAGTTTCAAAGCACACGTCTTCATTCGGACACCTGGAAACTCAAAAGAGACAAACTAACAGCCAGATGAATTATGTTTCTCTACTAATTTTCATGTAATAAGATATACAAAAATTGCATCCCCTTTTCAAATGACTTTGTCCAGTGCTCGCAGGATTGTTCACGCAGAATATGACATCTAGTTATTTTACTCAAGCTGTTTTAATTCGTAGGTATACGAAGTGTGTGCAGTGATGAGGTTGGATTGTCCCATATCCTCATCCCCAAAGGAGCAAAAATAAATAGTGAATTTACTTTTCAATGCAGACCTCCTATCACTGTATGGCCCACCTTCTTATAACAAAAAACCAGTTATATGAAGAGAATCTCTAGCCCACTACTTTCGCATCAAGTCAAGAACAAGTGACAAGTCAACAGGTACATAAAAGCTTCCTTCCCGATACCATCGCCATCAAGCAGAATATTTTCTGATGAAATAGCAAAAACTTCTTTCAAAGAAAAAATTCTAGTACACTTGAAACCCCAGGAAAAAAAGAATTGAAAAATAACTTCCCGTTTTTGGTAGACAGGACCAAATCTGGGTAGATGGCCCGGATTCTGGAGCCAGCCATTTTTTACTTTCTCCAACTGTTCTTGTGACACTTCCGTCATTCCTAGGCATTAGATTTGGCGGCCTTCTGGTGAGTGGATTTTTGGTTTTTGTACCCTGGGTCCTGCCAACTCTAGCCCGCTGCCTGTGTTTATTATGAGAGCTTCTAATATTTGTTCATTGTATCTCGGGGAAACTTTTGCCTGGATCCAGTAGATCAAAATCTATTCTTCAAAAGTCTGGTTGGTGGTGGATTTATATTGGGTCTTTCGTATTGTTGGTGGTATTAGATTGAACTTCCTGTTATAAGACTTGCTGCTTGCTGTCTTAAACATAAAGGTCCAGAAAGTCTTTGCTTAAACCATGAATCTCTTTGACATATGTAGTGAAGGTAGACTGCATAATGAGGTAGCGCCACCGAGGTCTGTTTCTTCGATACCACTCATCCCAACTAGTAGATAGACTTCTGTTCTTCCCAACGCATTTGCTCATGGTTTGCATTGGTTTTTTTTGGCTGCTTACCTGGATATTCCCGCACTCAAGAGAGAATGAAGATTGTTTAAATGATTCTTTCCCCTTGGACTTACGACACCCAAATCATTTCCATGTATACACATCAGAAGTAGGATATTATCATCCGTGCAACACCTGAGAAGGAATTTGATGGATCATGATTTTCCCCGAGAGCGATTACCTCAACTTTTTGTGTAATGCTTGGGCAATGAAGTAGTCTATCTATATAATCTATATACCAAGCAAATTATTCAGTATAAAAACCTAATATGTAATTCATAACGTTTTTCATCCCCTGGAGCATTATCCACTGCATCCTCAAAACCAAGCGATTCCTACACGTGCGTTCTAGGCTTGCAACCACTCGAAGATTTCAGAATCAGGTCTTGATATTCAAGAGAGACCTAGCACGTTTTCTCCCCCAAAAAACTAAACACATGTAACATTAACAACGAAGTAAAGCAGGAAAGTATCCTCTTATGGAAGGAACGTCTAACACATAGTATTACCGGTGTGAATTTATGAGGATTGTCATCTTGTGTTCACTCTCCACAGACCATGATCATTTTGATAGCTCTTCAATGATGCGAGTTCCTCATTTAGTGGGATATGTATGAAGCGTTTTTTCATGTGAATTTCAATACTACCCAGCAAGTGTTGTCCTGCTTGTAAATTTTTGACAATGCATGCCACCTTAACACATTCGCATCCTGCGTTGAGGGAAAAACAGGCAATGCACAATCCCTCATTGACAGCCATATAGAATCACTCAATCCTACGACTACCATACGGACTTAGTAATTCCCGCCGACGGGAGGCCCGAGGGCGGGGCTGACGGCAGTATATCATATATATGTGCAACAAAACCTCGTTTAAAGACGAGAAAAACAACATTACCATTATCTAACCCCAAAAACCAGCACTGGCTTGTAATCAAACATACAAAAAGAAAAACCCGTCCATTCACCCACCACATTTCCTCTTCACATCTCCAACACAGCACTTCCATTCCCCAATCTCCAAAATTCCCGAAAAATAATACAGATCGCCGACTTACCCATTTCTCGGTACGCCAACCCCACTTATATACAGACATTGAAAAAATGATCGACAAAAATTTAGTCTCTCGGTTGGCTTCCCTGATCTGCACTACAACGCACTCATTCCGCCTTCGAGATCCTTGCTCATCTCATCTCGTATTTTCCTGCGGATAGATCTGTGCATGGTTATCGTTGTAAACTTTATATATACGTAGTGATGGGCTGAGATGAGATGAGATGAGGTGGGGGCGGTTGACACTGTAAGGAGTTAGTTTAGTTTCGGCTTCATTTCACGTCAACATCAAATAACCTTAGATCCTAAGACTTACATGGTAGACTTACATGATACATCCAGACCACGCCACATCAGAAATAAATCGGGAAATTTATAGCCTTAACCTTACTCTAGCCTACCAGGTTCTAACTATCTAGGAAGGTTCTGAGAACTGTGCCGTACCTGCATGATTCATGAACCCGAAACCTAGATACAGCAAACTCTGATGCTTGCTAAGGTAAGGATTTCGTCAGATCCTACTTACGTTCAGAATATCAGATTGTCAGTGTTGGTATCACCTCGACGGCATTAACCAACCGGGGGTTATGATAACAAATGGTCGGTAATAGAAGTAATTGATGTCAAATTGGATGCTAATTATTCAGAGGTTGTGTCTGTGTGGAAGCCATCAGCGTAGTGCTTGTGATTTACTGGTGTTGCTCGCAATATTTAGATTATATCGGGTTGTCTGAATCCTATTCATTATGTGGATAGATTCGACAGATATTTAATTAATTATGATCATTCTATTGTATTTATTAACTTATGGATGAAATAATATGTATAATATATATTAATATAGACGAATTTTAAGGAGGTATTGTGTATAGATGTGAATATTCAGACTTGAAGATGCCTGATAGATATAAATTCAAGAAATAATAGATATATCTGGTATATCTGGTATATATCGACATGTAAAGTTGCTATGATGTTATAACTCATCAAAGAATTTGCAACGAGAGAAAGAGTAGTTATTTTAATCAGAAAAGTATCAGCGTATTCCCAAATAGCAAAAATATATACACGTAATAGCAGTTCCAGTAGCAGTTACATAGATTCCACCCCTCCAACCCAACCCCTCTAGCCCTTTAATACACCAGGTGCATCAGATAACTGCCCCCAAAACGCCAGCTATGTTGGTATTGAACAAAAGAAACCAGTCCCGAAACCCTTCTCCCCCGACGCCCCCAACCCCAAAAATCCCATTTTCCTTTCCACCTCAACCTCATCCCAAACACCAACCACAATCACCACCTCACAAAGACATATTATCATGCAAAATAGTAACCGCCTCATTCCAGCCCCTACTAGCCGCAATATCACTAACCGTCCTACCCATCTCATCCTTCACCTCAAGATTAACCCCGGCCTTCCCCGCGATCAACTTGAGAACCTCCGGGTCTCCATTCTCAATCGCTTGCATAATGGCGTTCCAGCCCCGATAGATCTTATTCGGGTCCGCTCCACGATCTAACAACAATTCAATCATATCTGTATCACCACCTTCATAACGACGTAGTGCTTTAACAATAGGAAGATGTTCGCCCGGGGCATTAATGTCCGCGTCCGCAACATCGAGGAGGTATTTAACGATTTCCTTCCGGTCTTCGCGAATGGCGGTCGTGAGAGGTGAAAATACTCCACCGTTTTTATCTTCGACGGATACACCTGCCGCAAGAAGAAGTTTGACAGATTCCAATTGATTAGCGTGAACGGCCATTTCCAGGACTCCTTTATAAGCGCGAGGTTCGGGCATGACGGATAGAATGCGTTTTAGGATTTGGGGATTGCGAACTGCCATGCAGACGGGCCAATCTTGGCCTCGAACATTGACATCTGCGCCACGGAGAAGCAGGAGATCGATCATCTCGAGACGTTCTTCACGGATGGCGGTCGTGAGCGGCGACATTCCTTTGGCGGATTTATCGTTCGGGTTTACGCCTTGGTCTAGGAGCCAATTGAGTGCTTCTATGTTATTGCAACTTACTGCCATCTCGGCAATACCTTTAGGATTGTGGATATCTGCTCCTGCTTTAACCAAGGCGGGAAGAAAATGGACGCGGTTGTGAGTTACGCATTTCCAGGCGGGATATTCACTAGCCATTGTATTTGGATCGGCTTTGTTGCTTAGGAGGAGTTGGAAAATATCTGCGCGGTCATCGCGGATTGATGTACATAATGGTGTGTACACGCCATCCTTTTTAGCGTTGGGATCAACGCCAGCTTTGAGCAGAGTCCGGACCGATTCGATGTTATTGATACTAGTAGCCAGCTCCATTATTCCTGGACATTTTTTGGGGTCTGCGCCGTGGCTGAGGAGATATTGAAGACAAGCTGTTTGATATGTTGCAGGCCAGAGCATGTGTTTTGGGCCTGGAAGGTTCGGGTCTGCTCCATATTCCAGCAAATTGGAAACGATATCTGCTCTTCCATATGTGATAGCTTCGAACAAAGCCGTCTTTCCCTCCTTACTTTTAGCGTTGGGGTTTGCACCATATTTGAGAAGTAAATCCATGAATTTCTTGACAGTCTTTTTGTTGATAGCACTGATGAGAAGTGTGTTGCCGTTTGAAGTGACTTGATTGGCATCACCATTGTAAATGAGAAATAGATGAGCGAAACCCACCATATTGGCCATAACTGATGCAGCCAGCGGGGATTCCATATCGATACCAGCAACAAGGTTAGGATCAGCACCATACTTTAAAAGTGTGGTGGCTCCAGCCAAGAATGATTTATCAACGGCGGCCCTCAAAGGTGTAATTCCGTCTCTATCACGTGCATTTGGATTAGCACCAAAAGTAAGTAACAATCGTACGCTTTCCGTATCGTGAGCAAAGATTGCCTCGTTGAGTGCATTAACTTCTGACCCCGTATTCGCTGGCACACCACCATCCAATAACTTCTCGACGGCTTTGTGATTTTTGTCGCGAATAGCAGAGATAAGAGCGGATTTCATGGGCCCAGTATCTGAGCCTGCATTACCTCGAGGACTCCAGCGTGGCATGTTATCAGGGTCGGCCTTAAGTCGAATGGCCTGCGCAGGATTTATCATCGCCCCCTCGATATCCTTGATAAGACTTCCAGATTCGACGGTTTCGGTATGTGATCGGGAATCATCAATATGATGGCTCAAATGGTGGTTCAAACGATGATCGTCAAATGAATTGATTATATCCGTATAGTGTCTCTCACCGGAATCGTGAGAACGGGAGGTTTTTGGAGCCATGGAAGTACTATTACTACTCGTGCTATAATGTTGGAGATTTGAGCCTAGTAGCAGTGAAGGATCTACATTTGATGTTCTATCCCCTAAGGCCTCTTGCTGCTGATTAGGAGTCGTCCTACCAGTCCATTCGGAGGTCGGTAGTGGAGGCAGAGGAGTATACTGGATTGCAATTTGCTGTGGTTGGAAGTTTTGATGGCTACTAGAAGAGCCTGTTGTAGTCGTGGGGCGCCCTGCCTTTTCATCCATTCTGTTGAGCGCTGCAGCTAGGCCAAGGTATCCTATGCCCAACTCCTTTTCGATCTTATCATCTCCCAAACTCCATTGAAAGACCAATGCGCTCATCCTCAAATCATCTCGTGTCCTGCGCAGTGTGCCCGTCATTTTTTTGATATCGTTGGTAGTATTGCTAAAGATTTTCCCCCATCCTCGCCTGAAGTGTCCACCCGCGCCACTTTCGCTTTGAAGAAATTTAGCAAGCAATTGATAAAACACCTGAAAATTTGCCTGCGTGGCTCGAAATTTGTGGTCGAGCTCGGTAATCATTTCTGGGGGAAAGTTTTGTACATGATTATTACATTCCTCGAGTCCCGCTTCGATGGAAAAAAGGATGTGACAAGTGTCGAGAAAGTCATGGGCGAGACTGTCAAAACCTTGAGGTAAATCTTTCACTGTTGTCAGGTATTCCAAAATTCTAACCGAGATGCGATCACTGAGGGCGGTTGCCTTCAGGCAGAGCTTTAAACACTGTGTCTGGGCCTTGGAGAATTTTGCTGGGTTTCGCGTAGGTGGTGCCATGATCCGTTTTTGCTGCGGGGGTGGCGCAAAGTTCCTGGGAATCGTTCTTTCTGGAAGTTTTCTTTCGGTCAATGTTCTTTCGGGAAAGATGCTGTAGGTGGTGTGATTGGTACTAGGGCTTGAACTATTGGGAGATAATGATAGATTGTGTTCTACCCCCTTAGGCAAGAGTTGAAAAGAGTCCTTAGAGTTCAACGAGAGAGCTTCTGCGAATGAGTATTCAGCAGCCTCAGCTTTTTGCCTAGGGACTGCAGCGCTTTGTGTAGTCATACTGAATCGGGAGGAGTGAACATAAAAGCAAATCCGAACTACCTTCTTTCAGAGATATATCAATAGAAGGTTGAGAACGGCAGACTTTATGGATGTCATGCCGCAATTCCCAGCTATTTTGGATATTTCGCCCTCAGACCTCGTTACAACACGGTCGAACATGTAATTAAGAGTAGATTTAACTGTCCATTAGTTTCACAAGCTCGCTTGGTCTCCAGTTATTGTTGACAAAAACTTTATCTGAAATACTTATTGCCGCAAAGTCTAATATGAATCCCAATCCCGGAATGAACTAATCACGGACCTGACCGTGATGAACCAGTTGGAGGTCGTATACGAACTGTCACGGGCGAGCCATTGTGATATTTGCTAGTGCTAGGTCCCAGCGATCCATCAATGTCTAGCCTAAAATAGAAAAGTGGAGCTGCTCGATCAGAACAAAGCGGGATATCAGCGCCGTCCGGCGGGATGTCACCACGAGGATGTGGCTGGGGTACGAGGAAGAACGTAGGAAGAATGATCGTTAGAGGCACAGACTCAGGGTCCAACCCTTCATCAAAATACTTTCTGGTTGGCTAGCTTGACAACGAGAAAGCGGATTCAATCCCAGAAAAATTGGTTGGAACCTGCAATTTCAGTCATGGCGAACGCCGTACGTACGGAGATACCAGTGTGTGGACAGACGTCATTACTGCTTCACGTCAATTTTGAAATCGCTGCTAGGTATATAGCTCTTACAATTTTTTGGAAAAAAGCCTCCCGGTGAGGCCAAGTAGGGGGGATACTTTATTTTAGGCCGAATTAGAATCCACTGAGCTGGGGCATTTTAGAGTCCCCCAGGGATTGGAAAAACATTCGTGATTTGTGCTTACAGCTTAGTTTTTGAACGAATCAAAGCATTCCCGAAGATCTTCCTGATTCTGACCCCATAAGTTTATTTTCCGATCCCTGCCATAGAATCACTAGAATTCCTCAAACCATTGCCGTATGATCGACCATCAAAATTCAACCGGTGAATCACTTCAATTTTTATGGTAAATTACTTCCATTGCTAGTGCCGGACCCATCGATTTCGGTAGCTATCAGTTTATTAGGAACAACCATCAGGTCACGAACCCAATCAATTATTGCCCAATCATGGGAATATGATTATGAGTCTCTCTCTGTGTGTAGGTGGGCGTGGATAAAAGGTCGTCAATTCTTGCGAAAAGAAGAAAAAAGGGGAACACTATTGAGCCTCGGAGTTATGATTAGTCAATGCGTAAGAGATCGCCGACGTTCTTTTTTGGTGTGGATAGTGCTAAATAGGGCTACGCGTTCGATGATCGGTTTTCCATTCCAGTAAGTTTTTTCAGTGGCTTTTGTAAGCACTGCCACCTTACCCCGCTGAATGCTATGATACTATTGAAAGCCTTATCTCTCCCATTCATATTCTCCAGTAGCACAACTACGTGCCCATTTTGATTTGCATCCTGCATGTCATTACCGGCTTCCCCACGAAACTTCAACTCTAGTTTATCTCTTCCAATCGTTGCTTTTGCTAATTGGGCTAGGAGCATATCCTCGGTCTCTCGTTTTGACATTTCAACTAATTCGCCGTACGGTTTATCGAATGTTTTCCGAGACAGAATGTTGGGAACTGAAGGTTCAAAACGAATGGTGCTGGTGGAGAGAATTAGACGTCCCGGAATGTGATGCAAAGTGCAACTGAATGACAAAATATCTTGATGCTCCCCGCGGACACTTTCCGCACCAACCGTTGGGTTATTATCTTCATTGTGGCTCCCGGACTTTACCACACTTCCCGCACCTCCGACTCGAGTATTTATATTCCTCGATGGATGTGAGTTAATTTTCTCCAAGGCTGAAGATCCACGTTCTTGGAGATATTGAAGAGACCATTCTGAGTACGTTGGAATATCCCAAAAAGCCCACTTGAGCGGCGAAACAAGCAAGCGGTATTGGGGATATAAGGAGCTAATAGGCCAACAACCAAAAAATACAAGACCAACCACGAACCAGAATACTTTCATGGTGAATTGAATGGAGGCACAAACGCTAAGGAGAAAAACCGCCAGAAATAGGAAAAGGGAGTAAAATGTGTTCTGAGGACGGCGGAAGTGAAAGAAACTGTCGTAGACCTCAAGTAAGTTGGCTAAATCCGCAATTTGTAATTGTAAATATGGACCGATTTGTTCCAAAAGAGGCCCCAGCCAGTGCTTGTTTCCATGCTTTTCCATCAACTCTCCAGCTTTCAAAGCCGTCGCTCCTCGATCAATATTTCTCGAAACTTCCTCGCGCAATGCGGACACTGAGGGGTAGTAGTAGTTCTTCGCAGTTGCGTAAACGATATACGCATACTAAACGGTAATTTAGAGACGGTACTCTATGATCGAAACAAACAACTTTCTTACCAAAAATGACATGATGTATGATTTATACCAAAGTAATAGATATGATATCAACCATCTAGATGTTCGCCATGGGTTCTCCCACCTGTAAATGCTCCTAATGTCCAACACAAACACCTGCAGTGAAGCACTGACTATAATGAGCCTCTCTACGTGTTTACGCAAGATGTCTATGTCAAAAGGAAGCTCTTCAAAATCATCAACATACTGGGCCGTGAAACTATGTGAACCATGGAGAAGCTTCTATCGATTGTTTAGTTTGAAAATGGCAATTGTGTGAAGAGTGCAGACTCACATATCCAATATATTTCCCCCATTTGAGTTCCGCATACCCATGATCATCTGGCGCCTCAAAATATTGATCCGATGGAAATGGTGCAGGTGTTTTGTCAACGACGCGAACACGATGAACATGTCTATTGGTGACCCAAGCAACACGTATTTCCTCCCTATCTCGCTCAATTGTGTGAACCTTATTTTCATAGTAGTCGATTTTGCCTAGATTGTCCTCATTCACATCTCCATCGTCGCTACTATGCTGATCATCCTTGGCCTGTTGTAATTCATCGTGGGCTTCAAGGAAGTCAAATTTTGCTTGATTTGAGAGATATGGTCTACTTTTGGCCAATTTTCCCGCGGTTTTCCTCGTAGCTTTCGATTTAATAGATGCGACTGGATGCACGATAGCATCAGCAGTTCCCTGTAGGATATTTTTCGTTCTCTTTATTCGCGATCCATTTTCTAGGCTGGATGTGTTGAGCACCTTGGCTGCGTCGAAAGCAGGGCTCTGGTTGATCTCCTCCACCACAGAATCGAAAAACTGCTCTTCCTCATTATTTTCCGATGACGAATCGTCATCATCAATTCTTAACAACCGTTTAGCTTTCGCCTTTGCCTTAGATCGAAAACCATCTTGTTCATTCTGAGGTAGTGGATCGCTCAAGTTTTGGTGAGAAGGAAGTTTCTCACTCTGCATCATAACCTGTTGATCAGCTCTATCGTAGTCGTGTAACCTGGTTGGGTGTAGAATGATGCAGTTTGACTTTGAGCATGCTCAAACTGAGAAAAATTTGTCAACTTCATAAAAACTTACACTGATGAGGATATGAGAATATCATGGCGTATGAGTAGAGAGGGATTTCAAAGGGCCAAACCTTGCAGGGCATCTGTTCTAGGCCCATTCTGAGCAAGGCTGAAAGAGGCTGAATTGCGCCACTGATACCACAAAATTAATTCCTTGGTCAGGTTCCCCCCGGTATGAAACATTTTTTGGTTGAAAGGACTTTGAAAGAGTTTTGGTGTTGTCATAGAACTTTAAGTGTGGCTGAAGCTATCCTTACTACGTAAACTTGTTGTGGCTGAAGATTTGTGGCTTTAGATCCCAATTCCTTCGAATTATTTTTTCCTACTGATAATATCTATCTTACATGTAACATCACTAGGTAGATCCAATGACCGACCTGACCTGAGATACCATTTCATATGATTGATTGCATATGAAGTCCTTATGTCTCCTCTCAAAGCGTGTTTCCAACACAAGAAAGTTATCATGTCGAACTTTCAAACGCTCCCTTCTAACTCTAGCCATCGAGACATCCTGCGATGATACGAGTGTTGCTATTCTAGAGAAACATAAAAACAATTCTGCCACTTTACATTTCAATTCCAAGATTACATCGGATAATAGATCATATGGGGGAGTGTGGCCAATTGCCGCACATGAGTCCCATCAGAAACATCTGGCGCAATTGGTGAAAGAAGCTGTACGGTGTTTACCTCGACAACAATCCACAATCGCATCGTTCGAGAATACTATAGCTGTCTCATCACATCATGGATCCGAATTATACAAAAAGCCAGATTTTATAACTGTAACACGAGGTCCAGGGATGCGAGCGAATCTTATAACTGGCATGGATACAGCGAAGGGATTGGCCGTGGCATGGCAGGTACCTCTACTAGGGGTGAACCATATGCAAGCTCATGCTTTGACACCACGAATGGTATCCGCCCTCAATGTGAAAAATAAGACAGGAGATAAAAAATACGAAGACGACCCCGCCTACCCATTCCTCTCTTTGCTGGTCTCTGGTGGACATACCATGCTTGTTCATTCTCGTCAACTTTGTGACCACGAAATTCTAGCTACAACCTCAGACCTTGCAGTTGGAGATATGGTTGATAAAACAGCGAGGGATATTCTACCGCCGTCAGTGATTGACTCTGCATCAGATGTGATGTATGGCCGCGTCATGGAAGAATTCGCATTTCCGGATAGCAACCCTACATACAATTATGAGCCTTCTCTTAAGAGCATTGCACAAATTACAAGACAGACAAGTTATGGTTGGGGATTAACACCTCCTTACATGAGTCCGGGTCCTGGTGGATTAAGAGCTTACAATTCGGCATTCTCGTATTCGGGCCTCGGTAGTCAAGTTAAACGCATTCTAGAACAAAATCCGGAAATGAATGTTGTGGAAAGGAAATTACTCGCACAAGAAACCATGCGAGTAGCATTTGAACATCTTGCATCTAGAGTGATTCTGAATCTTGAATCAGCCGAGTTGAAAGACATAACAACGCTCGTTGTCTCAGGGGGCGTTGCTGCAAATCAATATTTGAAGCACATATTGAGGACACTGTTAGATGCTTGGCGGCATAAGGACATGAGGTTGGTATTCCCTCCTCCGAAGTTCTGTACCGATAATGCGGCTATGATTGCATGGACGGGAATAGAGATGTGGGAAGCTGGTTGGAGAAGTGACTTGGATATACTAGCGGCCAAGAAATGGCCGATTGACCCAAGAATTGAGGGCGGGATACTTGGTTTGGACGGCTGGAATAAACAAACCATTTGATTTAGCTGCGGAAGGTCTCTGTAGCCAATATCCAACCTCATAGCCGTACTGTCTTGAATCTATGATGATCCCACACTAGATTGGGTTTCATGCTCTTTCAAAAGGCATTTGAGCTCGTGGGAATCAAATTCTCCTCAAAAATCATCAACTTGCTTCTTTGATCCTTTGAGAGTATGATACGCACAGAAACGCGCCAAAATTGTAAGATTAAATCGATACTCCACGCCCTTTCCAACATGTTCCTCGTTTTTTTTTTTGTTTTTGTTTTTTTTGCTTGTCTTCTCTTTATCGACTTTTAAATCCCTTCCATCAAACTACAAAATTTCTTGATCAATGCAGCAACAGCATCTCGTGCACGCTTTCCCCACATGCTGCGGCGAACTTTTCTTCTGAGCCAATTTAGCAGTCTCAAATTGCCTCTGCTATGGTAGACTAGATGCCTACAGATGGTGAAGGGTAAGTAAACCCCGTCACGCTTTTGCATAATATGCATACTGGTTGATGTATTGGATGAATCCTACAAGGCCATGATTTGACGCTATAAAAGTGTTGCCGGATTGAACGATTAGAGATTTTTCATCTTACCTAGCATATCCTACCAGCACCGCTCTTCTTGTCATCCATCAACTCACAGTAGAACCTCTGCCCAGATATTGAGTACAAGGCTATAAAGAAAATTTCCAGCATGATTTACAGCTGTTATTTTTGAGCAGAAATAACCTGATGAGCACTGTCTCGTTCACATGCGAGAATATTGTTATCGCTGTAGTGTTTTCGTCACTTTTCTGTAGTCATAGTCAACTATCCTCGAGCTCCTTCTCTCCCCAATTGTATATAGTTAACTACTATTATGAAATGGTGCGTACGAAGGTTTTCGAGGTTCGAAGGTTTTGTTATATTATTGAGTCATTATATTATTATTCTTGTATTTATAAGTTTCCTGTTTGGTGGGTATAAATCAATGTCTTGACGATGACAGGAAGTAGAAGTACTGTCTAAAATGATAATACAACATCTGTATAATCTTAAGGTAAAGTGTGGAGTAGTCTAGGACGGAGAAAGAGGAAGATATATTGAAGTCTCGATTTTGTGTTGGAGGACTCGCTAGTAATTAATTTAGTTTGCTGCTTCTAAATATAGGATTTGTTGAGATTTGTGTCTACATATATTTGTGATGGATTCAAAAGGCTAGATGATTGAAGTGTGTGTGTGTGTGTGTGTGTGAAATCATAGGTGGAGCGTGGAGTGTAGGTCGTGATTCAAGTCACAATTGGCTCTGTCTATCACTGATTACGAAAGTTCAGACGTGGAATAAATGATTTGGAAAGAGGAGTTTGGGAAAGTTAAATGGAAAATGAGACCAAAAATGGGTTTTTATTGAAATCAACAGTGATTAAAATACTTAACTGAATAGGATTACGCGCAGAAGGGCAGCAGTATCTAGTGGAAATATGAAACTCATATGGTTTTTCTAGGGTTGCTGAAGGAAATTTGATGAATATTAGATGATATGTTCATCAGAAGTCATCGTAATATTGAGAATTACTTTGGAGCTTCGAAATGAAAGGATTTAAGGCATCTCTTCGTTGAGTTGTATGTGCCATTCATTATGAACAGAGTAGAATGCCAAAGCCTAAAAAGGGAAGAGGGGTTAGAGGATTGATATTTCTTAAGATTCGAAATAAAAGCAAGTGGCAGAAAGCTAAGGAATGGACTTTGTTGACAACTGGTATTAGACGCTGGCAAATAACTGGGAATATATACAGTCTCAGCCTTCTCATTTTTCCCGCTGAGGTTTATACTGGTCTGATTTTGCTCCGGAATATATTAACACGAACACTATTGCTCTTCCTATGTTAACTTTTAATAATATAAAAGATGGAAATTTCATTCCTGTTTTAAACATCTTGTTAGATTATATTTATTCGTTAAATATTGGCAAAGTTAATTAGGGCTGATTTTTTATAACTTTTCATTAGCTCATCAATTATCACTATTACTATATCAAGATGAGATATTATTCCTTAAACGATTACTTATTTCTGAGTTCTATTAATCCTTCCCTCTTGTTATTAAAATCAAATTTAGACCCTTTAATTTCTTCTTTAAAGGGGATAACTCCGTACTACTCGCTAATATTAGACGAGAAATCTTCATATCACCTAGACTTTCTGAGTTGTATTTGTTTCTTCGTACTATCATTAACGAGCTAACCTTAATTTTTCAATATTATTAAGAATCAAAAAAACTCTCTTTCTATTCATATTAAATGATATAACTTTTTTAGATATTCTTTATTATTAAGAGCTGTATTATTACCGCTCATCAACTCCAGACACTGAAAATCTTAATACCTAAATCCTTTCAAAGAAAATCTTTCTCAATTCTAAAAGATATGATAAGTAAGTATTTCTGTACTATTACAATTGAGATATAAACATAATATCTTCCCTCTCTTTTGGATGTTATCAGGGTTATTTGGCATTAACGGAGAGATTCATCCGGTATTATTACATTACTTGTTGTATATATACAATACTAACGATTTTTTTGTAATTTTTTATTTATGAAAGAACTCCTTAAGAACTTATATATCTTCCTTCTTAGAATGTTTGATAAATTGTACACATAAGTATATTTATTTAAACCCCTTTCCCACATACCAACAGATGATCCTTTTTGATTTCTTGAATTGATCATATCCATATTTTATAAACCCGATCTATTTATACTTTAGACTGTATATCAAAATATCCATACCATACGAAACCGAATCTGAAAAGCCTAGAAAAAAGATAGTCTTATCATCATCTACACAAATACCATACCTCCATTACAGCTCCTCCACATTAACAATGGGATCCTCCACAAAACTCTCCTTCGCCCTCCTCCCAGTTTCCTAATACCTTTCAGTATCAACCGCTTCCAGGAGAGCCTTTACCTCTACTCGGTGATATTTCTCCGCTTCAGCATAGGCACGATGACTGCGCTTCAGATATCTGTAGACCTCAAAGCTGTGCGAGTAATGGGTGGAGAGAAACAATCAGGCGTACTTTTCCAAGTCCTTACAGCGCAACATCAAGACTGTCACTCGTCAACTCTACTCAGCGACTACCTGTACTAGCTTATGCAAACTCCTGCGGCTCCTGCCACCAACTTCAACTCTATTTTGCGCCAATCTGTAGCGCCAACAGCCATTCCCCTCACCCATATCACCTCTCTAGAGGTACAAAAGCTCCGAGATCGACTATTCAAGTTAACATCCGATTATCAACGACTATAAGGGATATTCATACCCATGGGAGAAACCAGTCGTAGCGCCAAGCACTGGAACACCATCGATATTGATACCTCCTTCCTTTCTAGCATCCGTCAACATATCATACATCTCCTAACCACCACCCAAAGATTCGAGAATATAGAGCAAGTAAACAACTAGCAAGCATTCCTTACCTTCCAATGTAAATTTTTCAACGGCTTAATACAGTTGTGCACTCTACTATTGAGAAATTGACGGTGTTGAGGAAATCTTTGGAGGGTCCGGATGGATATCATCATCAGTATCGTGGCTAGTATTATGAAGTTATTGGGAATAATCCGCGGAGTACGGATAGTTTTTCTTTGTCTGCGGAGGAGGAGAATAAGAATAAGGAGAGAAATGCTTGGTGGATGACTAATGAAGCTGGAAAGTCTGGTGGTGGGGACGGGGGGTTGATGTCTCGGTTGTTGATCTGGAGGATGAAATGGAGGCGAGAGCGGGAAAACGTGTAAGGGGGTAGTTTTTATGCAAGTTTGGGTTCGTATGTGGTCCTACCTGTTCATCTTGCTTTAGTGTTTGCTATAACTGGCTGCGATTACTTCCCTGTTATTGCTTGTTCTTTAATCTTTGTCGCTGCTTCTTTGGCACTTTTGATAGCTTGATCTTTCTCGAGATACTAATTTGAAGCTTTGTTGTTACAGGTGTAGGCAGAAATAGATAATGGGAGGTGCATGTTTTGCGAAGTGCTAACAAGTAAGATCTTACATTTCATAGTCATTCTAATAAAAGAACGAAACTTGAAGCATTGTGAAATTGGAAATTGACAACTACTAAGAAACTATTGAATCCTCCGTGTATCCATCCCGTTGTGTTCTCAAAAGAAATCACAATAAACGGAAATAGGGAAAATTATCAATGAAAAAGACACTGAGAACCATGATCAAAATAAGCATGAAAAGGAGGATCAATAATGAGATAAAAATAAGGGGAGAAATCAATAAACAAAAATAATGAAAATTATCAATGAAAAAGACCAATAGAACGACTATCAAAATAAGCATAAAGAGAATCCTCAGAGTAGATCAAACCTCCAAGAGGAAAAGCCGGCTTCTTTACACTCATTTGCGAGTTCTACTGAATTTCGTACTTCCTCCCAGGGCCTCTGACGGAAGAAATATTGGAAAAATGCGCAATCACAATTACTACAATAGTACTATGCAAGTAGTATCACCGCAGTGGTACTAACAGCTTGATAATTGGTGCTTTGGATGCAGTCGACCTTTTCTTTACGGAGGACACTTTGGTGATGCTGAGGCTCTTTTCGTGATTCTTGACGAGCTGGGAGAAGTATGCTAATTTTGTGACTAATATATGAATAAAATAGATCTTCATATTCTACTACTCTAATGAACATAATTGTTGGTATCACTTTGGGTGATACTATTCGTGTATTATTATTATGGGTTTGTCTGTTACTCATTCTTGCTAATTGCACTATAAGAAAGAGGGTCTTATTTATATTAAAGGTAAACACTAGAGTTCATTCGTAGTACAGCTTCATGTGAGGCTAGTCACATGACCGTACTTACCGTAATGAAATGCCGAGTTAGTGGAAGAATTTGAGCCATCTGCGGAGGAGGAAGGCCACTACTACCTTCCACCTTTTCAGCAATAAAGCGCAGCCTGCAGCTCGAAATCGTTTTGATGTCTACTGTGCTCGTTCGAGTTTATACTGATTGGCAAAAACTTTCACACTCTTTATACTTTATTCTAAACTTTGAGTGAAAATCTTCTGTGGATTCTACGGCATACTGATAAATGACATCAACAACAGTCTATTCCAAACTCTAAGACTTAGCTATCTTTTTCCCTCTTTGCCCCTACTGTACTCTGTCTGGCTATTTATGCTAGTAGGAAAGCTCATTTCATACGTCCCTATTAGCAACGTTCGGTATGGCTTTGAGGTCTTTCGTCATTCGTTGCTCTCACTGTCTTCGGTTCGGCCTTCCTATAACTTCTAGGGCCTTCAGTTCCAGGAAGTCGCGCACTATCGGTTTTGCCGGTGTTACCATCGCGGCCACCACGGCTCTCTGGAGCCTTTTCCCCTGGTTTTGTCCGATATTTTTTGATCCCTTAGGCATTTTAGTGGATAAAACCTTGGATTGAGTGGGTAAAGGAAAATATATTGGTGGAACTTTGGATTATAGAGTCCATGACTTTTGTATATTTCTAAAGCAGTAAGAAAGCGTCGATGGAGAATACTAGCGGTCTAGCTTCTGTATCTTGATAGAAGAAACTCAGATAGCACCTGGAATGAGGGTCTGCAGACGTAGTAACTCCAGCTTTCTGCGCATATATGGAAGAACTTGGGATGACCCTGTTCCGAGACCTTTAAAAAACAATCAACAAGCTAATTTGGCCAGCCAGATCGGCCATCCGGTCTTAAAGATTCGGAATATCTTGACATGTAAACAGCTCTGAAAGAGGCCATTAGACGGCTTGACTCTGAACAAGCCTTGCTTACATGCGAAAATACAGTTGTGTGACCACTTTCACCGCCAGACCTCCATCTACCGAAGAGTATGAAACACTTTCGAGGGAGCTTATAAAAAGTAATGAATTTTACAATCAGCAAGTATAAATAACCGGGTTCATTGAAAAAATGCGCGAAGGAGAAGTGCTGAAGGTTTCACCACCAGAGATGGGTATTATGTCTAAATAGAGTTTTTATACGTATCCGTTTTGTTGATATTTGAGGGGAGAAACTTCAAACTTCTCAAAATCGGTGAATTGGGCATCGCTTCTGGGATAAATATGGCTCAATACTCCTGCAGACCTACAGCACTTTGCGTGTCAATGAGGCATTCGACTGAAATGTGCCATGTGCCGAGCCCTGATTGGCATCTTGGTCTCTTGGTGCTTATAATCATTGGCTCTTCATTGAGCCTCACCTGGCTACTCGAGTAACCAACCATACAACTCCAACGCCCACAACCTCGGAGTAGCACCTCATTCAACCTTACATCTCTGACACTCGAGCATAGTTTCTACCCTGGCGGCGAGGTATGGGTAATACGCTCAAGGGCCATCCATTTTCAGGGCTGGTTCATTCGAGGATGTCTGTCGAGATAGTCATAACATAGTCATAACATGGGGATAACTAGCATGTACTGCAGGATAGAGTAATAGAAATTTCTTGTTCATTTTTTCTTGAAGTTCCCGATTTGGACATTTTCATTTTCTGGTGACGCGCCAGCATTGAATTGAATTCAAATGATGTCTGGTCTGTTGGGAGAAAAGTTGCTTGCACAGCCACACTTGAAATTCCCCGGGCCAAGATTTCTCCACCACCAAAAACTACGTCATTATGGCTCTTGCTCCTCCCTATTCACAAACAAACAACCGAGTAACCTCCAGCCTGATATCATTTCATTTCATATTGTATGATCCTCATCATACAATATTGTCTCTTTTCCAAGGAACAATGTTCTACACAATTATTATAACCATAACTCAAATCCCCTAACAAATCCCACATTCTTTCTTTCACATAAATCAAAACACCACGACCACGATCACAATTGCCATTCTCACCCACAAACATGGCATCACTCCTTCGACAAATCGTCGCAGGTCCCCGTTCTCGACATCCAGAAGCAGGACTTGATCTCTGCTACGTAACACCAACTGTAATTGCGACTTCTGGTCCCAGCGGCACATATCCACAAAGAGCATATCGTAATCCTCTCGATCAACTCGTTACATTCCTCGATTATAAACATGGGAAGGAGGGATGGATGATATGGGAATTCAGGGCAGAAGGGACTGGATATCCGGATGAGGAGGTAAGGGGTAGAGTTAAACATTGGCCGTGGCCCGATCATCATCCGCCGCCGTTTAAATTGGTTCCGGGGATTGTGGGAGGTATGAGGAATTGGTTGGAGGGGAAAGGAGATGGGGAGGGGAAGGACGGTAAAGAGGGTGGAAAGGTTGTGGTTGTGCATTGTAAGGCTGGGAAGGGGAGAAGTGGGACGATGGCTTGTAGTTATTTGATTGCGGAGTGTGGATGGAAAGCTTCGGAAGCTCTTGCGCGATTTACAGAAAGAAGAATGAGACCTGGTTTTGGTCAAGGTGTTTCGATACCGAGTCAGTTGAGATGGATCGGTTATGTGGATCGTTGGACAGCTTCTGGGAAACATTATATTGATCGACAGATTGAGATTATGGAGGTACATGTTTGGGGATTGAGAGATGGTGTTAAAGTACAAGTTGAGGGATATGTTGATGAAGGAAAAACGATCAAATTATTCCACGTTTTTACAAAGAAAGAAAGAGTTGTGGTAGAAGGCAATACACCTGGAAGTGGAGGAATCAAGAACTTATTATCTGATATGGCTGGATTTGGAATTCAAGATAAAATCGCGATATCGAAAAACTCGGATCGAATCGAAGAACCAAAGAATACAAAACCAATACCACAAGCTTCGGAACCAAATGCCAGTGAATCGGAAACGGATACAGAAACTGGTGGTGGGGCTGTCATTTTCAAACCTTCTACAAGAGTTATTCTTCCAACTAGTGATGTTAACATCGATTTCGAAAGACGAAATAAAGCATCTATGGGATGGACTATGGTTACCGCCGTAGCCCATGTATGGTTTAATGCCTATTTCGAAGGCGATGGACTCGAAAATAATGGTAAAGTAGCCGAAAGCGGGATTTTCGAAATTGAATGGGATAAAATGGATGGAATCAAAGGTTCTTCTCGCAAAGGAACTCGAGCTCTAGATAAACTTGCCGTAGTATGGAAAGTTTATGATCCTGAACCTGGCCACGGTAAAAGCGAAAGTATAATCGAAGAACCTGATGTCAATGCACCAGTTCCAGAAGTTCAAGCTGCAGATTGGAAAGGAGATAATGAAATTTCTCCTACTCATGGCGATAGGGATTTAGGATTGAGAACGGAAAGTCCAGTTAGTGCGGAGATTAGTAAAGCGAGTAGTATAAATGAGGCTGATAAGGAAAAGGAAGAAGAGAGAAAAAATGAGGAAGAGGGTTTGAGGGTTTCGAGTCCAACAGGAGAAGAGGATTTGGAGTTGGATATTGCAAATTTACCGAACCGGGAAAAGAATGATTCGGTACCGACTATGGAGGCGCTTAATAAGGGACTTGATACGGCGACTTCGACGACACCGAATCGTGATGTAGATGCGAGGAAGTGAGTTTATATTTTGGTGTGGATATGGTCTTTTACTGACCATTGATGGATAGAGTTATAGGGAATCATGATGGGGTGGGTGGAGTGGAGGGAATGAATGGGAGCAGTGGAAGCAGTGGAAGTAATGGAGCGAATGGAGTGAATGGGGTAGATGGAATAAATGATATCCCAAACGCGCCACCAATATCCACGATCTCAACAGCAGATTTGCCAGGTGGTGTACCAGAGGATCAGATGAAAAATGCTAAGTGTCATAAGTTGGGTCATATGCAGAGTGTGAAGAAAACGATTAATTCTTAGGATATGGTATATGGAGAGTGGGTGCGGATGGCTAGTGGCCTGGTTAAAGAAAAGAGGTGTTGGCGAGAATGCGGAAAGGATATCAGAAGTGAGATTAGAGGAGGAACTACTGAGTAGATGGAGATGTGGGAATGTGTAGTGTGGGGGTTGAAGATGGGAAATCTCTTTGGTCTTTGTTTTTGAGGTGGAGGTGGGAATGAGGGAGATAAAAACTAGAGCAGCAGGAAAGAAAGGAAAAGAACAGAACAGAACAGAAACGAAAAGAAGAGAGATATGTAGATGTGGAGCATGCTTAAGTAGAATTTAGTGAATGTAGAAATAGATACCATTTCGTCTGAATATGAATATGAATATAAATCTAATTGTTGAAAATTTATTATTACGTAAATTATTTTATTACAAAATACAGGAGGGAGTATTTATAAATATAAAATGAAATAATATGATATAATATGATATAATAATACGACAATACGACAATAGGACAATACAAAGTAAAAAATACTCGTAATAAAAATGTACAGTAATAATAATAGAAGCTCAGAATGTAAAGTGCAGAGTGCAATGTATACATATAAAAACCTCCCCGTCCATTCTCTTCTTTCTTTCTTTCTTTTTTCCCTCCATCAGTTTCCCTTCCCAGCGCTTGCCATTTATTCAATTTTCTGCTATTAACTCTAACTCTTACCTCCAACTTCGTATTCCCATTCTTTTATCTTTATCTCTAGTTTCATTCTTTATACTTACCGATTAAAAGCTCCTGAGAAATACATTCCTCTCCATCCCCCGCTACCTACCACCTCCCGCGCCCCTTAAAACCCCAACAAAATCAAATTTATCCCCTTTCCCCAGAAAAAAATAACTACGATTTATCCCCCAAAACATCATTCAAATCACTCCCCGACTCACTCGGATTATACGCGCTGCTTCCTGGTGTATATTGAAAGCCATCTGCTACTAAAGTATCTTCTTCATTTCCAGCATAATCGTAACTGTAATCGTAATGGTGATTGTAACTGTGACTCTGAATGTGATCAGGACCTTCATATGGCGGTAGTATATCTTCGTTTTGAATCTGAGTTTGATTTTGATTATGATTTGTGTAACCATTGAGATGCGATATCGGATTCATATATTCCGGTGCTTGCGCCTGCGGCGGAATTGGCGTACTGCGGGAAGAGATAGGAGAAAGCAAATGGGAATCCTCTACAGCAACCATCTCTTGTGCTACTTGTGTCGGATTCTGAAAATTGGGTGTGTTGTCCGCAATACTAATATTTGATGGTGAAGTAGCTGTAGATGTTGATGTTAATGTAGATTCAACATCCGAATCATAATCCTCAAGTAGTGCTTCCCTATCTCCCTCCTCGGATTCTTCTCCCCCCGTAATACGCAACCACCAGGATTTGAAACTGGCGTATTGGGATTTGGATGTGTATCTATAAGTAAGGTTACGTCTTCGGTGTTGTTTTTCATGATTGTCTGAATGAGAGGTTGGGTTGCAGGTGCGACGGTGGAGTGTAATGATTAAGAGGGAGAGGAGAAATCCGATGAGGATCAATTTGAGGATGTGGAGGGGGAAATGGGGGGGTTTGGGTGGCCTGCCTGGGCCTGGTGGGATCTCGTTACTTTCTGCCATTATGGGAGGTGGGGGTCCGTCGAAACGGGATCCGGGACCTGGGTGAGGTTCATCGTGAGAAGGTGGTTCATGGAAGGCTAGTTGGTCTTCTAGAGATTCATGCTGTGGTCTGTCTACTTCTGGTCCCTGGTTTTCAAAATCTTTGTGGTGAGGAGCGTCTTGGGGTGGGCCGTAGTGGGGTTCTTCATCCTGTAGGTCCTGTGGCCTATCGTGTTCTGGTCCATTGAGTGGTCTCTCGTGTGGGTGATGTGGTCTCTCATGTTCAGGACCATCAAGTGGTCCCTCGCGTGGTGGTTCACCATGATGATGTCCTTGAAATCGATCGGAATCTGGTCCATTAAATGATGGTGGTCCTTGTCCATGACCTGGTTTAGCATGCTTTCTGTGACGTCCTTCCGTTTCGCTATCAAAGTCCTCTTGTCTGTGTGAAGAGCCATCATGGTCTCGGTGCGGCCTGTCTACTTCCTCAGAATCATCTTCATCTGGTCGTCCGTAATGCCCACCATGATATCTAGGACGTCCCTCCCAATGTCCTCCTCCCTCTTCATCTTGGAAATGATGAATTCCAGATTGTCTTTCATGGTCAAATCTGTGATGACTGAATTCATGTGGTGGCCCATGCGGACGTCCATGTGGTCTATCATGGTGGCGACCGTGAGGATGAAAACCAAAAGGAGGAGGATAATGACAAACTGGAAGAACATTTTGTCGGTTATGATGAGGAAAGTGTGGATCTGTATGATTATTATTGCCGTGAGATTTCGCTGAAAAATCATGATTCCCAGATGTGTGATTATGATTACCTAACTTTCCATGAAACTCCTTGCCATGTTTCGTGCCCCTCTCCGACTGTGACTTAAAAGAATGATGGAAGTGTTTCTCACCACGACCATAACCAGCAATTCTTTCATAAAATCTACGTGCCCTATCGCTAATAACTCTAGCAACGCATCGAAGACTATCACAATCTCTGATTCTATCAAGTTTATGGTTCTCTTGAAAGTGCTTAGAGATGTGACGTTTCTTCTGGTGGATAAGATATTTCAACTCTTCCAATTGAGCTTTCATATATCTAAGCTCGGCCAATTCCTTATGAATGTTGAAATCCTTGTGGCTCATATGGTGGCCATGCTCTTCAAAACCCTTCCCGTTATGATGTTTCTTATCGGACGATTGACCTTGTCGTGAATGATGTTCGATAAATTCATCTTCTTTTGAAGGAATAGTTTCGATATTCAAAATTTCAGTCTTTTCCGTTTGTCGAAAGAGGACAGAAAACCCGACATTTTCAAATGCTTTTCCCTCCACAAAGTCAACCATAAACTTCATAAATTGTCCATGTGGTTTACCATCAATAATGATGCAATCGAAAGACCATGATCCAACTATGATTTTATTCGTCGATGTTGAAACGGAACCTTTTCCGGATGAGGCCAAAGTTTCTGGATCGAATGTTTGAGAAAGAGCTTGACCATCAATTGTAACATTTCCAAACCCGCATGCGTCTGTGGAATGCAAAATATCAATTCGAAGGTCTAGAGGAGACATATCAGCTGATTGGAATCCATGACCAATATTGAGGCGAACGAATCCCATCGTATAAGTATCTATAATATTGGTTAGATTCTACTAAGGTACTAAAGCAGATTCCATATAAATTTACCAGCACTATTGATATCATTCTTTTTAAACTCGGCATCAACATCTTTTTCTGAACTTGATGGTAGAACCAGCGCCGACACTATTGCCGGCGCAAGTAAAAATGCCTTTAAAAGGCTGCGCATAATGAATAGGAGAGAACCGATCCAAAAGGAAAAATGAAATAAAGATGAAATTTAATGATAAGAAATACAGAAATATTGTGCAATACGCAATATCAAAATATGATATTGTACGGAGAAGTGTATCTTTCGATACTTAAATAACTAAGCAAGAGAAAAGACCAAAAACGAATGAAGCAAAGGGAAAGCCAGAAGAGTTAAAAGAAAGCATTCACAAAGAGTTAAAGTTCTTCCCGTGTTCCCCACTACCTTACGAGTCCCTTCATGAATGCGCAGTCGTGGTTTGGAGTGGTCAATCAAAATGACATTACGCGTCGTCAGCATCAAAGCAGCTGTATGGAGTAAGGCTCAATGGTTGTTAAGATAGCAAAGAGGAAATGGGAAAGAGGGATATCCAGAAACAGCAGTTGAAGTCTCAAAAATAGATCAGTGACAGTATATGTGATGATTTTATGGTAGCATTAGATGGTGATGTTGGCATGAAAAAACATATTTTCCTTTGATTGATGCCGCAGTGAGTTGATTAAGGGGAAAGTTCGGATGTGACTCTGAATGTCTGACATAATTTGGTACAAGCGATGAAATTTGATATTCGGCACCGAGCATGTAAAGTTATTGCCTCAGTATCAAGGCTAAAATATAACCACCAATCTGCCCATGTGGTCAATCTCGAAATCCGTCATACTTCGATACGGTAACCCAAACACCTCAACTAGTCCTTGAATATCAGTCCAACTCTAAAGCTATTCGCATAACAGACAAAATTGTCAACTCGTCTTCAATATGGTTGTAAGTACCTTCCTATTACCATACTAAATCTGCACCAGCTGCGCCAGTCGTGCGCACATTCTACGATACTGATTGCTTCTGCTATAGCTTCCCTTGGGCCTACTCACGGCCGCACAAGGCCACCCTATGTTGGTCGAGCTCAAAGATGGCGAGACCTTAAACGGTCACCTAGTTTCGTGCGATACTTGGATGAATTTAACACTGAAGGAGGTTGTGCAGACTAGTCCGGTATGAAAGATCCAATCGGGATGGCCAGGGGTTTTTGGTTGGAATGCGCTGAAGCTGAAGCTTTCAACTTAGGATGGCGACAAATTTACAAGGTTACCGGAAATCTATGTTAAAGGAAACAACGTACGTTCATTTTGGGAGTCTTGATTAGGAAAGCTGTGTTCTAATCCAAACCGCAGATCAAATATCTACGAATGCCAGATGAAATCATCGATTTAGTAAAGGATCAACAACAGGGTCAGCAAGGAGGATACAGAGGTCGCGGAGGCAACAGGGGTGACAGAGGTGGTGATAGAGGTCGTGGTGGTAGAGGAGGAAGAGGAAGAGGAAGAGGTGGGAGAGGGGCTTGAAAGATTGGTGGTGGTGGTGGTAATGGGTAAAAAATGGACTCGAAGAAACTACATAATGGCACTTATGACACATTGAGTGCATTGGGGCGACTATATTTCCTTGTTATGAACATCAGAAGATTTTGATGTGTGCAGGAAATTGCCTTGAAGTGATGCGGGCATACTTTAGGTCCGTACATGATATGAGAAATTCTTGAGGCCATATACAAACTACCTAGTATGTCTCAGCAGATTCTCAAACCCTCATATACTCAAAGATTTTAGCTCACAATAAGAAAAACCTCTATTTCCCCATTCAACAATTCTTCAGATTCACTTCCAAACATAATACCCACCAGGCGACCCTTGTTGTATGAATTCCACTCATTAATGGCGGGGATCGTTTCTTCCCCTCTATCCCCACGTGATTATTTACCATTCCCGCCGCTCCTAGAAATGTTTCCCCAAACCCGTGAATAAAAATTACTGAGCACCTCAATGACGACCACGAGAATCCCAATTGATGGACTATGGCGTTGTCTTTGTCCCTCAATCGATACCTTCATTTTGGCGCGCCCTGTTGCATTAAATCAATTACCCCAAAAATTCTTAATCCGTCCTTTGGTTAAGAATAAAAAGCTCCCAACATGTTTAAAAAGTCGATCCTTTCATACCACCACAGCTTCACCGTCTGTGTTAAATGGCCAACATATATCGAGATCGCGGCATAACAAAGCAAAGATGAATATACCAAAACCTTTGAATTTGGAGAAATCAAGTACTGATAGGATTCACGAACGATTGAGAGAATTGAAGACGGAAGAAGGGGCATTTGCAGAAGTTGCAAAGGTGGTAGAATACTTGGTGAAGGTTCGACAGGAAAAGCCTTCATTGATACATTATGATGCCTTGATTGCAGCAAATGCGGATGCGGAAAATGGCAGTGTAGAAGTTGTTAGGACTTTGTTGGGTGAGATGAAGGGATTGGGCATTGGTGCTGATTCAGGACTTTATCATACAGTCTTACAAGTATGTATACTTTTCCCGCACATATTTGGATAAGATCACTGACAGATTCCTAAACAGGTACTTGCGATTCATCCAGACTACCTTTTACGAACTCAAATATTAGAGGAAATGAAGGAACGTTGGTATGGTTTATCTCCTGCCGGATGGCATAATTTAGTCATTGGTTTACTTCGCGATCGTCAATATGAGATGGCTATGGATAAGTTCGAACAAATGCAAGCAGATCAAATCGCAATAGAGCCATGGCTATACGATATTTTCTTCTTTCGGTTATGTGAATTGGATGAGTTGGATGAAGCTCTTAGACTATTGAAGTCTCGATATCACAAACCACCTTTATCAATGCATATGCATTATCACTTGTTGGATTCATTTGCTAGTGCATTTCATGTAAGCAAAAATGTTATGATATTTATTTCTAATGTTGACTTGTGATTAATTAGTATGAGGGTACCACTTATATTTGGAGACTTCTAGTCGAAACTTCGGAAATGAATCCCGCGGATGGAACTTGTACAGCCGTATTAAATTGTGCTGCTCGTCATGCAGACCCAAACCTAGCTACTTCCGCTATTGGTCTTCTCTCCAAACGTAGCACTGTTCTCGGGGTTCATCATTATGAAGCTCTTCTTGAAGCATATGTCGGAGTTGAAGATATCAAAACTTCTTTCCGAATTCTAAACATCATGACCAAAGCCGGTCTCACACCAGACGCACATTCCACACGATCATTATACCTCTACTTAACAACATCATCATTCAATGCCCTTGATGGCTGGAAAATTCTCAGATCGTTAAAGGAAGATGGATATACCATCCCAGTTGCAGCAGTAAACGTTGTTTTAGAAGCCATCATTGAGACTTACAACTTAAGTCACAGCAGAGAACACGCAATAAATTACTACAAAGAACTCCACACAATCTGTGATGCCGGTCCAAATATCGAAACCTTTAATACACTTCTCCGAGGTCTAGCTCACCATGCCCGAGGTTCCAAACCCAAAGCCATGTTCCTCGCCTCTGAAATTCAAGCGTTAAATCTTCAACCGGATGAACTTACTTACGATCGTCTCATTCTTATCTGCTTGCAACCTGAAAATGCGGATTTCGATGATTGTTTTAGGTATCTGGAGGAAATGATGATAGTAGGAAGAGATAAGGTTGATTCGGAGGGAAGAAGAGGTTGGTGGATGAGACCTGGTACAGCGGTTGCATTGGTGAAGAGATGTGTTGAGAGTGCGAATGATAGGGCATGGCAGCTTATGGAGGATATGAAGATTAGGGGAATGGTTAATGAGTATACAAAGTTAAATGTTTGGACGGATTTACATTGGCCGAAGGAGGGGGGAAGATTGTCTGTTCAGGGGAACGGGTTGGGAGATGGATTGAAGAAAAGGGATGGAGGGGGTGGAAGTAGGAAGGTTAAGACAATTCTTGATACTGCTTCTTTGGGGGAAAGTTCAACATCTTCGTTTTGATATGTTGATCTGGAATAATACGAAAATTTTGAGAATCTTCCATTTATATAGAAATGACAAATTCGCTCACAATACTACATCTCTTATCATTTTTACTTCCCATTATTTATTAATTATTACATCACTTCTTGAATACTCACAAATGTATCTAGTATTTATCTGAAACATTCACCCATCTAATATAATCTAGTAATAATCAACCCCACCCCCGAACCCTCTTTCTTTTTCTTATCTATATTTATAAAAGTATAAACTCTTTTCAAATTCTTCAGGGTAAGGTTATAGCAAAACTATTTGTATAGTTTTATATTACAAGATGTTTTATTGTAATTCAAATTTACTTTTTGTATTATTAAAAGGAGAATATTAATTAAATATATTCTTTCTTTTGTTTTATTAATAACAATTCGAGGATATATATTTAATTTTATTAATAATAATAAATAAATGAATGTAAATATATTTTAATTAAGATTAAAATCGATGTATAATTATAATTAAATATTATTATATTTTTGAATTGATTGAATATGAAAAATTTAATAAAGAATAATAAAGTTTATTATTTTTGATGATTTTATTAATATAATAATTTTGAAGTTTGTAAAGATAGTTTTTATAATTGAATATTGATATTTTAAAGAGTTTATTAATTAAAAAGGATTTAATATATAAATTATTATTTTTTAATTATTGATATTAATTTTTGATATTTAAAGAGGTGAATAATCTTGTTTATATTTATATATACTCGCTCCCACTAGCTTCTGAGTGAAAGAAAGACTCAAGTGTCTGAATTCATCTTTTTTGATTGAAAAGAGCTCTAAGTTGAAATATACAGCGAAACTATAAAGAAGGATTGTGACCTTAGTTCTGTTGATGGTTAAGATGTCGAGATCTGAGTGATCTGTTATCTAATTGACTAGAAGCTTGGAATTATATAATGAATTGAAATAGATAAGGAAAGTAAATGGTAGTTTTTGATGGTTCTGATGAGTGAGGATGATTTTTGATATAATTTTCATTAATAATAAATAACTGAATATAAGTATTGTAACTTCAAGACTGAACTTTTTATTTCAGAGTTATATAATTCTACTCGATCAAGATGCAAAATAAATAAATTTGTAAGTTAGAAGAAGTTTTGTAGATATATTGATGCTTAGATCTAGAAATATAATAAGATGTATATATACAGTTATAAAGGATGAGATTAAAGTGAGCGGTAAGTCTTACTTATGAAGTATAAAGGGGATGAGGAGTTTTCGCTGTCACTTTTAATCTAATCAATTGAAGTTCCTTCGACGAAAATGTTTGTTGGCGAAACGGATGCATTTTCGTCGTTAGTAAATAGACGATTCAAACGTATTTTAGTATCCAGAAATTAGACTAATAACCATCCTAGCAAATTAGCTGCAGACAAGCAGACTTTAAAGATTCAACCACTGTAGAAACGCCAAGAAAGTGTTTATTCTATTTTATTGTTTGATGTACGGACTTAGAGATCTTTATATTCTCGACGTTTCAAAATGCGAGAATTTTTCTTCTCGGTTAGGTCCTGCCGCACGGTAGGAGAGGATATATGATTTTGGACTTATATAAACTTGAAATTTTGTGAGATAGATCTATAAGCTGGGACAATTACAAGCTTGTAATTGTCCCAGGGCCCCGGGTAGACTTTCAGCCCGCTGTGATGCGATGGGTTGTGCTTCAATCCTTTTAAATGGATATTTAGAGTATAGTGAAATAAATGGTTTTAGACAGGGGGGAGCTAGAGTCTCTTTATCTTACTGTCGTTTGATTTGTTTGTATAAAAATCCTATATAGAAACTATTGACAATCGAAATCTCTTTCAACAGCAAAAAGATGATCATATTTAGTATTCGATTTGTATAATTAACTTGAATATCGTCGTCCTTGAATTATAAATAGTCTCGAGGATACAATATAGATATATTTGAATGCACTTTTGCAAGACTTACGTCTATACGTAGTTTAGAAGGAGGATATATGGATATGATTGGATTCTCGCTAATAGTTTTTACAAGTCATCGTTGACTACACACGACTAAGCAACATGATCTTACATTCTTTTCAACAGCAAACATGTACTCTCACGAAACCCTGTATTTATCCAGACGCGTCACAAACTCCAAGTCCAGCTTGCTCTTATGGAAAAATCTACAGTTCTTGGTGCAAACGCAAATCACAACCCTTCCTATCTCGTATTATTCCTTGGACACATCTTCATTTTTAGATGCTTTTGCTTGGACTCCTACTAGAGAGAAAATTAAGGCTTATATACTTGATATTCTTTGTAGGAAGAAGAATAATATGATTGACTGACATCTTTACTACTAGTGCTCCACTATATTGTTAACCGAGAATATTCGAATCCTATCCAGCTATATAAGTCTAGTACCCTACTTTTGGACCACCTTTTTACACCAAAAATCATCATTTTCACCTATTAATATTTCAACAATCAATGAATTCAATCAATTGAAATTTTGATTATAAATTCATTATATAATTATTAATTGATTTTGAAAATTTCAAATTCTTCATAATTTTATTGGTTGAGATATAAATGATTGAAATCACAATTTTTAATTTGAATAAGATTTATATACAAATTTGAAGAATTCAAAAATCTTAAATAACTTTTCAAGAAAAATTATTAAAAATAAACTATAAAGTTTTTTAAAAGATTTATATTATAATTGATGAAATAGATTAATCTGTTTAAAAAATAATTTATAATTATTATTTTATTGATTTTTATATTTTATTTTATATAAATAAATATTCAATTAATGATAAAACAACAATCACAAATTTTTTTTTCAAACAAATTAATCTATTTAATCAATTATAATACAAATTTTTTAAAAAAATTTATAATTTATTTTTAGTAATTTTTATTGGAAAATTATTAAAGTTTTTCAGAGTTTTTATATTTATATATAAATTCTATATAAATTAAAAATCGTAATTTTGATCTTTAATTTCTCAATTAATAAAATCACGAAAAATCTAAAATTTTCAGAGCCTATTAATAGTTATATAATGAATTTGTAATTCAAATTTTATCAAATTTTATTGATTAACTATAAAGTTATTAATAGTTGAAAATCACGATTTTTGATATAAAAAAATGATCTGAAAAAGAGATGATCTGAAAGTAGAGTACTAGACTTATATTTAAATTTATTAATTTCTTTATTTTTTTTAATAAAAAGTTGTGAGATTTATTTGTAATTTAATTTATTAAAGATTCATTATATAAGATAAAATTAAATAAATAATTATAATTAAGATTGATTATAAAATATAACTAATTATAACCTCGGAGTTATTAAACAAATATATAATATATCTGTTTATATATAAGATTATAAAACGAGAGACAAATTGAATACTACGAGATCCAGCAATTTGTATATACTTATGCTTATGCCTGTATATAACAACTTTTAGTTCTTAAATATGGACCGAATCGATACAAGATCCAAGGTATTGGAATCAAAGCCACAGTAACAAATCCTAGCATAGAAGTTGCCCACGTAAAGCCCAGTATATCGAGAATTGTTGGTGTGATGAGAGGGAAAGAGGCTGAGATGAAGAAACGCATGAATGTTAAGGCGGCTAACATTGAAGCGCTATAGTGAGCAGTGTAGAAGTCACTGTGATAAACTGGGAGGCATAGCTGAGAGGATATTTGGTTAGTCTAGAATCTTTGTACTTGTATTGACAGACATACCATTGTTAAGACAAATGAGAAGCCAAATAGTCCGCCAGAGAGAATGGGGATGATTGAAGGGATATCTGCGCGACCTGTCCATGCTAGCCTGATTATTCTGTCAGTAAAGTAAAGGATGAGGAGAGATTTTCCTATTCACCAGAATAAAGAAATTGGGAGCGTGATGGAACCTAGCATTGCTGGATATAAACGCTTTTCTGGTGCCACCTTTGTCCCTGTACGAATTGCTTCAATTCTTGGTTTTCGGTAAAATATTTGATCGAAAATAGCAATCGTAGGAATTGCTGTTATACTACCAATTATCAAAGGGCAAAATGCCATTCCAACCGCATAAGGAGAGTGATGATAGATTTTTTGAAACAGAGTAGCATAAGAAACAAAATATGAAAAGACAACAGATTGTGTAATAGCCATAACTAAACCAGTTGGAAAAACTGTGGGTTCAACCAAGAGCATATGTAAAGGCCGTCCGAGAGAAGTAAGAACGAGTCTGGTAAGTGTAGCTCTGGTGGCAATAAGGCCCATTCTAGCTTCCGCTCGTTGACGCAGTATTTGCGGTTGGTATGTCTCGGGTAGTAAGTAGGCAATGATTGTAGATCCTCCGAAAAGGATAGCTGAGACCCAGAATTCCCACCGCCAAGAATGATTTGTTATTATCGCCGCGCCGGCCATTGGCCCAGTCTCTGAACATTGGTGTGTTAGTAATCTCATATCAAGAAAGCTCTTGGAGGAAATGAGGGACAAATATCTGTATTAAGAACCGGGAGATGGTACAAGACAAAGCATGAGGCAAAATTTGGACGTTAAGGAGTGTCATCAAAGAATCGGGTGTACTTACGGGTACCAGCGACGACAAAAAGTACGAACAACGCAGCAAATATGGTTCCAGTTTTTTCAAGACTTATATTCCATACATCACTTATAATTCCTCCGCCGACTGTCAGACAAGGAGATGCGAAGAGACCAGCGAGTGCTCGGGCAATAGCAACAGTACCAAAATTTGTAGCACAACCTCCTAAAAGTGTGAAAACCAGTGCTAATGGTGCAGTGACTCTGTAGACTATTCTTCTACCGAAGACTTCCGAGAATGCTGTTGAGAATAACGCACCGATACCAAGTCCAGCAGAGTAGCAGGATATTGGAATGGTGGCCAGTGTTTTGGAAGTCCCAAAAGATGTCATGACACCCGGCATACCTCCAGTATAAGTCGAATTTCCAAAGGTTCTGTCATATGATGAGCACGTGGGTACATGATGATATGATGACAGTTATGAGAACTTACGCCACAAAAGCTGTGTATAAAACGGCAATAGAGATGGAGTATTTGATGACAGGAGAGAGATTACGAGCATTTTCATCGTCCCTTAAGATGATTGAAGTGCCTCGAGGCCTCTGTGGTGCGTATGAATATCTCTCCCATCTCAAACAAAATTGAGGTTCCTGTTTCTCACTTATATCATCGGAACAAGAGGTACCTGTTGTGCTCTTTGACTCATCCATTTTGATTCTTGAATTATTGTAAGATAACAGAAGGAGCAGTTGGAGTTGTTGGATTCTACGAGTTTGATCTAATAGAATGTAATAATAAAAGTGCAGAAGGAATTCTTGAATTCTGACAGGAGGAAGTAAAAGGAGGCAGATATAACAAGGAGACAGAGCTGCTCCGATGACGGTATTGTATACCTTGATGAGCTTCAACATTTTCAAAAATGGAAGGCACGACTTCCCATATTGGGTGTCTTCTTGTCATCGAGATCTATAATCGTGAAATCCTGCTCTTTTAACATACCTAATACTTAGCATCATCTTTCACGGTTGGGAAAAACTGATAGATGCTTCACTGTGATCAAGATTATCAAAAGTTTTTCAACACAAAATCGTATTTGCGGGATATTCTTAATCGACGGCGTACAGAAACGCGTATGAAAGCAAGGCATCCACGACCTATGACCGTCGATCAAAATAGGTAGGTAAGCTTTCACCAGGATGAAATGTAAAAAGGTACTGTTCGACTGATCTGACATATTGCCTTGATGAGGGAATTGAAGCTTGAAAGACAGATGTAAGACTACTTCGGAGAAGGAATTCAACCAAATAGAAAGTGTACACCAGAAGATCTCGACACGATCTATCACCGATGAAGCTTTTCCCATGAAACAGACATGTGGTGAGGTGATATGGCTTGACAAGTTGTCGACACTGGCTGTTTCAACACGCTGCACACGTTGCACTCGTTGAATTTCGGTCGAAGTGGCAGACGGTGTATTCCGATGCATTCGATGATGAATGTTATGTATCATTTTCCAGATCCAGATCATCTATGTTGCCACATATGTTACAACATACTCGCTCACGAAGATGCAGGTATCCGCGATGAATGACTTATTTTCAACAAACAGCATTTGACCACCGAATCGTCATGTTGGTGCACAAGGAAAGAATTACGAGAGAGATTTCACGAAATAAAGTAAATTAATAAATGCTCATCATCGGTAAAGCTTTTACCAGCCAAATGGATCCACACATGGCGGGGGATTACCTCGTTGGGGTCATCCCGCCATGGAGCTCTTGGAAAATGTCAAGGATACGTTGCAATAGCAATAATGCAGAGGAATATTACATGATATTCCATTATATATTAGATTACCTACACATGGCATGCAAAAGTATAAAGTCATCAGTCTCCGCACTCTTTTTATTCGCGACGAGAATAGATTTCTCCTCCTTCTCCTCTTTCTGCTCTTGCTCCTCCTCCTTCTCCTCTTTCTGCTCTTGCTCCTCCTCCTCCTCCTCCTCCTCCTCCTCCCCCTCCTCCTCCTCCTCCTCCTCCCCCCCTCCTCCTCCTCCTCCCCCCTCCTCCTCCTCCTCCTCCCCCTCCTCCTCAAGTCAAATTTCTCCAAATCTTACCCCGGACCCCACATATCTAAACCCCACAGCCAACAGAACAGAACAGAAAAGAAAAACCTGAAGCAGGGCGGTGTCGAAAGTTGAAATAATTTCAATATTTCCACTTGCACTTTGAAGAACTCCGTGCTCAATATTATTATTATCTTCACGGCGGGAAGCTCAATTTGCACAATTTCTTTCGTTGCTGTGTTGTAAGCCAGCATTGAAAATGTTGGCAGCAACCAGCCATCACACGCACAAGCCCAAAATTTAATTTTAGCTCACAAGATGCCGCGACTTTCCCATCACTGGTGGATGTTATTCGAGCTTCAACTCCGGTAGCAGATAAGTACTATTTAAGAAAGCATAGCGCATCTAAGATTCTGTTTACTTTACATCTTTATTATCGAAACTGCACAGTCGAGCAAGAATATCACAAGAGTGGATTGAGCGACAGAGAATCAATGGATAGTAAATGCATTATTCAGAAGCTCCAGTTTCATTGGTATCGTACAGTTTCTTCCCCATTTATCAACGCCAGCTAATGCATATTTCCCGTCCCAGCCAGATGTTCCTCATAAATTCGATCGAAATTCATCCAAAAATTGACACCTGTATCCCGCAATGCTATGCTACACTATATAATAATAATAAGAAGAAGGTTGGAATTTCGACTGTGTGGGAGAACAACTCGGAAGTCCATTCAAGGCGGACGAATCCAGCCACTGATTAAAGACCCAAAGACCACCCAGACCAGGAAACCATCAAGTTACACCGACCAGCTTCCATCATTTGTTCGAAATCGACATCACCCTTGAATAGTTCATACAAAAGGAGCTGGGTAAAGACCGGTTTTGTCCTTTTGCTCTTGATCTCCCTTCTGGGTATTAGCAAGCTTGGATCGGGCTCGCAAAAGATGTCCATATTTGAACATGACAAAAGGAATGAATGTCAAGGCAGTACCAGCAATTGCGAGGATAAGTCCGGCGTATTGGCTACCGACATTATGGAAGAATTGGCTTGCAAACAATGGTGCCACTGCACCCAAGGCGTTACGCATCAAGCCCTGTCCAGCAATCGCGGAGGAACTATTTTCACCATAACAATCCGAAGTGTAACTGTATGTGGACTCGAAAATGAAGAAGATACCCATGGAGATTGGTGCAAGTGCAATCGCAGGCGCAACCCATGTAATGAAGCCATACTGGGTGAAGCTGTATATGAACAACCCAATGGGGAGGAAACAAGCACCACACATCGCGCCGTAGAGCCGGGATTCTGGAACAACATGGTTTCCATGACTTGCCATGATCGACTTGTATTTCTTAATCTGGAAAAAGTTTAAACCAAAGGCAATGGTCACACCAATACATAAGGAGATGTATGGCAGACCAGCTACACCTTCATTCCAGCCGTGATGTTCTTCAAAGGTAATTGGGATGACCGACAGGAACAGAAAGGTGACGAACCAGGCGAAAGCGATCCATAATCCAAAGGCGAAGACGACAGGTTCCGTGGCAAGCATCTTGACGGCCTTGACGGAAGAATTGTGAAGCATCTCCTTCAAGTCCTTTGCCTCCAAATCCATCTCTGCTTTGTACCGCTCATCGCCTGTTGCAGCTCGAAGACTCTTGGCACGTTTGTGCAATGCAACACCACCTCTAGTTTCCCGGAAGAAAATAAGGATTGCAGCAAGAAGAGGCAAGTTTGCTAACCCTTGAATTCCTTCAATCCATCTCCAGCCAATTGCTTGATCGATGAATCCGGCGTAAATTGGCGCGCCGACCGTACCCAAGATTGCTACATATGCGAAGCATGCCATTGGGACAGCTCTCGAATCAGGTGTATACATATCACTGAAGGTTCCACCTACGAGAATCGTACCAACACAACCAAAAAATCCACCTATGAACAGTTAGCATTGGTTTATCATAAGCCTTGTATGAGGAGAGTAGTACTCAATGTTCTCATAACGAGTATGGTTGCGATGTTTTTGCCGAGAGCCAAACCAATAAAAACGATGATGAATCCGGCATAAGCCCCGATGTAAATTATCTTTCTACCGACCAACTCGCAAAAGGGTGCTAGGAATAATGGTGCAAGTGCGCAAGCCATATTAAAACAAAAGAGTCCCAGTTGCCCAAGTTCCGTTGAAACACCAAGGTCATCGCACATGGCTGTGATACCACTGCTATATGCCGTTGTTGCCAAACCGATGAAAAGTGTCATCATACAGAGCAAAAGTGTGATTAATACTTTCTTTCCTGCGGGCCAGTTGAATGGATTCTCCGGATCTCTGTCTGTGAAGTGGAGGACGATATATTCCGCGCCGTCTTTGGTGATAAGCTCTGTGCGAGTTTCTGGCATGTTGATATTAACCTCTTTCAAAGGTCCATCTTCAGCATTGTCACTATCACTGCCACGCATCGACTCCAGGAAAGAACCTCCTGCTACTCGTCCATGGGGTGGTGTTCGATTCTCTTCTTGCTTCAAATCCGGTAACTCGGAATTCGAGCTGTCTTTGTGACTAGGATTTGGGCGAAGCCCATCATGCTTTGAAAGATTTGCCATATCGTATTCTTGAGGTTGGTTGTGAAGGTTCTGGGAGGACGACATGTTGCAGGATGAGGGGAGAGATGGGGACATTTATTCAATTTTGAAATAAGGAGACTCCAGAGAGGGGGCTCGCTGATATGCCCTCCATATTCTGGAGCGCCCACCTTTTTTCCAGATGGTCATCGTTGAACTGTGTCCCGGTGTGTATTGCCATTGTTCTATGGCGTCATAGACCGAGGAGAAACCGCTTTGCAGAAAAATTCGGCGAGACTTGAGTTTGAAGTTCCATATTTTGGTGGACTGATTGATTTGATCGCTGTTTAGTTGTCGATATGGGACTTTTAGTTTTTTGACCCACAAAGAAGCCGGCACTAATCGGGATTTTCACAAACGTCCTTCCGCCTTGACTTCCCAACAATTCAGAACAATTGTTCAATTATTCAACTGTGTGAGCAATAAATAGATTATTTTACGATAATAATACTTTTGTTTTGTTTTAAGCATCGGATTATTGCTCATCAACAATACTACCACGAACTTTCCACTTTCGATAAACATTCATTTGTTCAAATGTTCCTGCAGCGAATCCGCCTTTCACTGTTCGCTTTGAAGCCCGTTGATCAAAAAAGCGAAGCTTGGCCGATGCAGGTGGATCTCGCATCTGCGCTAGAAGCCCGCTAGAACATCACTAGAAATATCTGACGTCTAGGGGTTTCGGTATGCGAGCATGTCGTATGGCGACTTTGAATTTTTCAAGCCTGCCAAGTCCCAATTTTCAAATTTTCAATGTCCTAAAGTTGCCATCTGCGAGCATTTCGTGTATGCATTATTCAATCCTGTTTCCGTTACTCGATCGGAAGACTCGTGCATTGTATTAGGAGATTCGACTTTGGACAGTGTTAAAATGAGATCATGCCGTCATAATCAGGCAAGAAATTTACAGGTAGTGGATGTTCGGAAGCATCTAATGGCTTGCCGTAAGCCCTATAAGGTGTCTTATCAAACGCTTGCTTATCAATTCTTATTTGATATTACTATTAGCGGCCCGCGCTCGCCGCTCCCGATTCTTGAGCATGTTCTGTCGGTCGGAGATAGAGGTAAAGGGTTTTCCTTCGCATATCTTCCGAATCGCTTCGAGGCTACATGAAGAGAAACGAGGCTCAAGATTGTCTTCGGATATTCTTAGTATGGATATCCGGAAGTGGGCTGAAAGCATAAATGACCCACTCTCCGGCTGGGTGGGTATAGTGGGACAAATTCTCCCAAAACGGGTGAGGCGAGGCAAAAGAGATAGACTGTTGTTTCGCTTAATGTTCCGTTCTTGGGCTTTCCTTGGTTTTCAAGGAATTTATTGAAATAAATAATGGACTCAGTGGAATTATATCCGTGCTGGCAACGACGGTTTGGTCGGATCTCATTCAACATCCGACTGCAACGACGAATGGTTTCTCAGCCTCACTTACCTTGAATCAGATGTGGAATTTGTAAGGTGGGTTTGGTGCATAAGAGATGCTTACATCTATTCTGCGAAGCTGCGGTGTTCCGATGTTACAATTGGATCTTGGATCGGGAGATGTGAGCTCCATATTTTGTTCACGAGATATGGAAGTTGTGGTCCTTGGATTGGTCAACTGTTCACTTTCTATGTTTGATTAGCAAAGCAACAACGTTCGATTTCTCACGTGTGGGAATGAAGTCATGTTCTTGTTATTCATCGTTATTAAAACTGCACTTCACATCCACCGATCGAAGTATTCAATTCCACAGGTAGGTTTAGTGCCCTAGGCCTTCACTTCATACTCAAAAATTTAAATGACATACCATTTATATGGTGTTCAGTCACATTTGCTAGGCTACTGTAGCATCGAGATTTTGTCAATGAGGGGTAAAGGGGGAAAGGGTGGAGGGGAAGGATTGAAGAAAGAAGGGCCGTTTCCACATCCCCAGTCTGCATGTTGTACAAGAATTCCACAACACACCATGCCACTGTACTCCGTGTACTTGTGAACAGTTGGGGAGAGGAGAAAGGGGTTGAAAGGATGAAGGACCGATTCCCCAGCCCCAAAATACATTTGCTTGGGGTTCGGTTCCTATGTAGCTGAATTTGGAAACGGTATCACATTGCGTATAGCAAAACGAGAGTTCGTGGACACGATATCCTTTTAAGGCAATATCTTCAGCAGATTTATTTGATTTGTTTGATTCGAGACTATTGAAAATTTGAATTCATCTGAAATGCTAATTTCGTTCGAGATATCAGATCTTTCTCACATGTCTGTCTCGCATGATGATCATACCCACTTACACAACCCCAACTCCACACCTTCCCAAACTCCAGATTCCAAATTTTACATCTGCTCAGCTTATGGAATTCCGAAATTCTCGATACATATCTTATGACAAGGTCGGGCAGGGAGTGAAAAATCTCTCCATCTTCTCTTCACTTCCCCTCCCGCCCCCGCTCCACACGAGCGAAAATGTATATGTCGTGTCACTAGATTTTGTCTCCAGCCTTGTTCTTTTATATCTATAATCTGATATCATATCTCATCTCTGTTGATATCTTATCATATCATATCCAAGCCCTTTATCCTGTACGAGATTTAAAATAGTTATAGAATTAATATTTTATTTATTTGTTTTATTATAAAGATATAAAGATATAAAGATATAAAGATATATAAAGATATAGAGTACTAGATACCGGTACCGTTGTCGGTGTCCCTCTTGTTAATTTCATGCTCTTTATGTTTAATGTATTGTTTATTAGGTTTGGATTGTGATGTTTTGATTTATGGAGTATTGGTTATGGAGTATTGAAACTTTGGATTCTTGGGATTTGGAGTTAGGGGATTTGGCTGTGGATTGTTTTTCAAGAGGTGATTGTTGGTGGGTTTATTTATTATAGTTGTAGTTGTAGTTGTAGTTGTGGTTGTGATTGTGGTTGTGATTGTGGTTATAGAGGAGAGAGGGAGAGGGAGAGCTATTAGTGGGGTTTGTCGAGATTGTTGTTTGTTTTGTTTTGTTTTTATTTTATTTTGCTTTGGTTTTATGTTGAGTTTTATGGTTTGTGGTTTAGCTATGGGTTGTTTGGATGCGTGTGTGTATGTGTATGTGTATGAGTTTGAGTCTGTGTATAAGGATTGGAAAGTGTAAGTTAAGTTATCGGTTGATATCGGATGCACAGTCAATTCGATTGATTTTCACTTTACTTAATAAGGTAATCCGATGATTCCGTACAACTTTCGTGTACACTTCCCTCCCTACCCCTTCTATATTCCTTTCCTCCCCAACCTCCAATCCCTCCCTTCCGCCTTCCCTCCCAACCTCATCCCACAAACCTCTCACACCTCATCCCCCTCGTATCTCCCACTCTAGGCCTATACCCCCTCCTCAAATCATACCGCTCATTCTTCTTCCTCTCCCCTCTCATCCGCTCTTCCATCGCATCCCATGCGGAATTATTAAACCATTTTTTCCATAGCTTTTTATAATATCCTCCGTGGCCTTTATGGGAGGTCCAGAGATTGCTTTTTAGATGGCTGTTGTTGGTGGTGCGGTAGGGATGGTGGGGATGAGGGGGATTGTGTGTGCCTTTTGGGGGTTAGTTGCGGGAGTTTTGGGGATTTTTTGGAGGTGTGGGGAGTGGGGAGGGGTTTGTTCTTTTGGGAAGGAGAGGGAGAGGGAGAGGAAGATAGAGGAAAGAGGGGTGTATTTTAAGATTCAAGGTTTAAGGTTCAAAGGTAAACAGAAAAAAAGAATACATACATCTAAACCCCCTACTCTTCCTCCGTTTCGTAAATACAGAACATGAAGAACAGTATTTCATATCCTTAGGCATCCAAGTCTGCAGTTGTTTATAGAGGATTCCGGAGCGAGAGAAACAGGGACAGTGTCGTGCGCTTCTGTCGCGACATTTGCGTTTTGTTAGTGGGGGGAGGTGTTGTGTTAGGCGTTGCTGGTTTATGTAGGTGAGGGAGCGGTCGTGGCTAGGTGGTGGGGAGGGTGGTTAGTTTGGTTTGGATGGGAGGGGATGGGGTGAAGTGTGGTTGGATGAGGGGGGAATGAAGGAACATACCATGTTTGCATCCCGTATCCGCATATTCGGATAGGGAATGAATGTTGGGTTATGGGAGAGGGCGAGGGAAAAAGATGTAAGACTTCGGGTTTGCAACAGAGGACTTCGGGTTTGGGGGCGTAGGTTAGAGGGATGCGATTTTGGGAGAGAGCGTGTAGAGGTATTTACTGGATTTTGGTGTTAGTTTTGATGGGTGGGTGAGGATATGGGAGGGAGGGAGGGAGGGATTGAAGGAGGAGGGGGAGCTTAGGAACGCAAGTAAAAGACAGATTGTGGGAGGAGGAAAGAACAGGAACGAAGAGGATAGAAGAGAATGTATATATACCAAGTAAGACGAAGACAAGTACGATCATTCGGAGGACATTGTTTGAGGATAAGTGCGTGGATTTCGGCGGGGAAGGAATTGAAGAAAGAGTAGGTGAACATTGTGAGTGCGTTGATCGATGACTTCCTTTTGTTTTTGCTTTCTAATGATTATCGATGATTATTTAATCGAACTTTCAACCCAATCGCATAATCTGATATTATATATCGTCGTATGTAGTTGCAACTTGTAGTACTAGCTATAGGTCTTTCTCGTCTCTCGTTAATCCTAAATCCGAAGTTCAGAAACAATCAATCGAGTCAATTCTGAGATAATTCGAAAGAATAAAACCAAAAAATTATATATATTATAAGATTATAGAATCAGAATAATCAGAAAGAAGAAGTAATTCCCAGCATCTATTATATATATATTTTCTTATCCCATCCCATCGTCTAAGATTCTCAATTCATTCATTTGGTTAATAGATAGATTAATTAGGCATGGACTAGGCTGCAGCCCCGCTTTTATAGGCAATAGCAGGCAGAAATGTGGCATGCGAGATGAGCACGTGCTGATGTGGTAAGATTACATGAATGAGTGCTTGGCGGGTTATGCAGGATGGTGAATGAGGATGAGAATACAGTTTTGGTTTTTTGTATAAGAATAAGAATGATGAGATTTGGTATGAGGGATTGTAGGGGGTGGGAGGAGGAAGGGGAAAGAGGTTAAAAAAATAAAGGATTTATAGTATTTGAAAATAAAATAAAATAAAAATAAAATTTAAGAAATCTAAAAAAATCTAATACAAGAATTTGATTTATTAATTTCAAATATAAAATAAATATTTAATAAATAGTTTTTTAAAAATTGCATATTAATATAGAGAATAATATTAAATAATAAATTATATTATATATATTAAAATAAATATTTAAAACAAGATAATATTAATAAAATTTAAAAAAAATTCATTTAATTATTCTTTTGAGAAATATTATATAATTAAATTAATTAATAAATACAAAATATTTTATTTTATTTTATTTTATTTTATTTAATAAACTTAATAAATGAAATAATATTAATATTATAAAGATATAATAAGATATTTTAAAAAATTTATCTTATTTATAAATGTATTTATTTCTATTTTAAAGTCTAAAAGGATTGTGAAGATTGAATATAAATTTTTTGAGTAATCTGTAAGTTTATTACAATTACTTAAAAGTTTATTGATATAATAGAGATGTATTTATGAACTTTTTTTGATTTTGTATTATCGTTGAAATGAGTGTAATAAACAAGTGATAAAATATAAGTATTGTAATATCATGGTATTATTGTATTGAGGCATCGCTTGATTTATATTTTATGTTTTTTCTCAAGAAGGGATAGGTTTTAGATGATAAAGTATTTTGAGTACTGAGTATAGCGGTGATCAGAAATAATGTAGAGATAAAATGAATCAGGCTTTGAAGAGCAAGCGATGCTGTGTGCGGGAGAGAAATTGTAATTCACGGGATTTATTATGGTTTTTGGACTTCTTGTTCATTTTGGTAGAGCTAACTTATTCTTGTTTGAAATGGTTTGTCGCAAATGTAAATTCTCAATCATTGCTGGAAAGAATGAATTCATTCTTTATTGAGATCAAACGATTTTCTCAAATGTATCTGAAACTTAATCAAGACAACTAACCGAGGTTGGAAAATTGAGTATATAATTATCAAATGAATATCAATCTTTAATATTCAATGAACTACCTATGATTAGTACTGTGTCCACCCATGAAAGGATATATGCAAATAGGCTTTGCATGATCTTGAACAATGTCTCAAATCATGAACGACAATGAAATTTTCTATTCAATGAATAACAGAATTACAGATTATTACTACTTATTTGTCTTTAGTTGATTCCTTAACATTCAATACAATATTGAGTGGTCGCAGCACAGACCAAGATCAGTTCGGTTACCCACCCCTATATTGAAGTGATTAGTCCTTGTTCGAACTTGTCTCTTTGTTGATAATAGAAAGATAATGTATTTCTTGTTTGTATTTCAATAGGAATTATGAGTTCTGATATATTGAGCTTGAAGTTGTGTTGCTAGAGTCAAAGGAAGTACCCACCTCCTTTACACCGCGTTGAAATCAATATTTACTGCAAGCTTGTTGCAATTTCACTATGATAAAACTATTATCTTAAGAAGAACTATGCATACCTTGATATTTTCATTAAAGGAGTATATCATTCTATACAATTCTTCCTTCGTAGTTGTATTATCTATTAAATATCTGTAAGTGGGTGTCTGGAAACTTCGACTTAGGAATGCTTTGAACTCAAAGTAATAATCCAACTTTACCAAAAGACAGCTATTGATTTGTAAAGTTATCTATAGCTATGTAGCTATTGAGCTCTACGCATTGTTACTTCCTTATTTCCACAAGTATGATCGAAATCACCACACACTCCACGTCAATTCCAATCATGTCCGATTCACCACGCTCGCTCCATATATGAGCTCCACGTCAGCTCTTATTTACCATTATTATAAGAAACAAAACCTCCTTTGCTCTATTCTAAAGCTTTGCCCCTGCTCTGTCATAAATCCATTGCTTATTATACTGATTATTGATAATTTATCAATTTATTTTTGAGTTTATAAGCCCATTAGCCTTGCCATCATCCATTAAAATAGACCTCTACTGATCACCAGCCCTTCAAAAACTCCAAGTAATCCCTAGCTTTGATTGGGAAGAGGAATCTCTAGCCTACTTGAGCCGTGCTTTGCCTATATGCAGAAACCGGCCCCCGTTTGGCGTGGTTTGAAATCACATTTAAAGTGGCGCAAGTTCCAGGCTTTCCTCTTATTTACAACTCTTTCCACAACGACACAATCAATCCTCCTTCTGTACCGATACCACTTCTCTTGAGTATTCCCCGCTCGTATTAATCCTTCTTTTGCCGCTACTACTTCTCTTAATCTTGCAACCTTTCTCCCGACATTTTCTTCCTCCTTGGAACCCATTCCCACAGACGAATCCCCTCTTTCCTCCTCGGTCTGTATCAATACAACTTCTATCGAGCCTACTTAGCTTGTTTCAGTTCCTTTACTTCTGTTACTACCTTTCCTAGTAGTTTGCGACATATTTCGCAAGGTCTTTTGCAAAGTCTTTCGCAAGTTCATAGAGTCTTCGCCCACCTTTGACCATCCAACCCAGCTTTTACTCGGCCTTCTTGTATCTTACCTCAATACACGAGTCACTACATCCTTCGTCTTGGTCATTTTTTGATAGATAACCCATATTCAAGTAAGTTACTCACATTCCCTGCGTGTAGCGATGCAACTTGAGATGATTCTTACATTCTGTTGTGCTGCAGGTCTTTCTAAACTACCTTCGCGCCGCGCACCACGCCTCTTTACTTCAATTAATTACATGCACATCCTTGAGGCCGAAATTATGACGGATGTAAGTACTACTCTATATCTCAAGATTCTAGGCCGGAATGTTTGTTAATTGATGGACTTCAGTGCGTCATTGACCCAGCGGGTGACTTCAAATTAAATGTCACCCAAGGCCTACCCAATAGTGCGACAATTACCTTTGTTATCTCTCGCAATGTTTTAAAGAGAAATTCAACAAACAAACTCGCCGACGACCTCCGCAATTCTCGCAACAATCTTACTCTCACGAACACCAACATTATCGCTCTGGAGACTATCCTTCGAATTATACATGGAGTGGATCCTGCGCCAAACACTGTCGGCAACAATACCTTTGACCGACAGAGCCTCGTTGGTCTTTACCATGTCCTTGATCTTGCCCTTAAGTGGTTCGAGACAGCAGCGTTGGAAGCCTGGTTTGACAAGTTTTGGGCAGATCGTCGTGGAAATGAGCTGACCTTGTCAAGCTTAAAGAGCTTGCTATATCCATGCTTTGCCTTCAGACATCCGGGAGCCTTTGGTCATGTTACTAGAGCCCTTGTTCTTGAGTGTAACGGTGACGACATCCACGGCTTGAATCCTATCACAGGCTTTGCTGAATTTCGCGTTCCCAATAGTGTCTTGGGTAAGTTTTGTTGTTTTATCGCTTTTCCTAATACCAGCTAATCTCTTTAACTTTTAGGAGGGCTAGCACGCGTCAAGAACAGAATTCTTGGTGATATTACGAATCATCTTCTAAGCCCGTTGGATTCGCTTTGTCACAATTCGTGTCGGTCTAATGGTCTTTGCATTGAGGCGTACGAATCTGCACTGACAGATTGTCTAGTCGGTCCTTACACCAGCAGAAGCCACTCGATCCAAGAAATCCTCGAAAGCGAAGGAGTGGAGTCCTGGATGTGCAACAGTCCTCGACAAGCATCTCGTAACTGCTCAGATATACTTTCGACCGCGGGAAGTCAGATCACAGCCATGAAGATTGACGCCTTGAGTTTCTGGGACGGTATGTGTATTGACTGTGTTTTGCGTACATCTGAATGTCACGCCGATCAAGCGAAGTATTGGATAGATGGTCAACAACAACGCTACGGAGAAAGCTGTATGTTGGCTCACGGCTATCAGACCTGGATTTACAGCTACATGGGACCCCCTGAACTCATGTCTAGGCACTTGGCTGAGCAAAATGAGCGTGAGGAAGCTGCTGTTCATGTTTCTGCTGATGTGTTGGCCCCTGAAGCTAGGGAGACAGCAACCGACGTCGAAGCTGAGGATGATTATGATCCAGAGTGGGATTTGTACGATTAGAAACATCATAATGGTAGTTCGGGCTTGATTTTCAGTCTCTTTAGTTCTTTTGTCTTATGGATTCGGTTATTAGGGTGGGAAATGATATCATGGTAGTCTGCAAGATACTGTTCTGGCAGCCTTGTTTCGTACCACCGGAATGCTACTAGTTAGTTAGGTGCTTTAATGAAAAGGAAATCTCCGCTATCTTATGGACTCAAATACTCATTCTACGCCGTGATATTCTGTAGGGAGTCTAGCTTGAAAACATCTCAAGTACTTCACCTGAAAATATTCACAAATATCTATTATGTCTTGATGAAAAACTGACTAGATTTAAGTTTTGTTCAAGTATTTTTAAAATATCTCCCAGTGAGCATTCATCTCGAAGGTGGAAAAAGGTGACTTATGGAAAATTCGACTTGACTGTGTCTTCATCGATGAAGATTAGGACTCAATGCAGGCCTTCCCCTTTATAAATAAGGATCAAAATCATCAAACTCTACTACCGATGAGTCTTTTAATCTCATTAGTGAAAACTTTATACAAGATTCTGTTAACGGCAAATTACTGACGTTACAAAAAAGTGAAATAAATTAATTACTTCTATACTATAAAATAAAGTTAATTTTAATAGTATAAAAGGAATATAAATGAATTTTTATTCAATCAAATTTTATATTACAAAGATACAATTTATAAGAAATTATAATTTTAATCTTGAATAATACACTTGTAAAATAATTTGTATTTCTATAGTATATAAATAATTTTTTATTTTTTTAAATATTCAAATATTATTATCTATATTTAATTCGTTTAATGAATTGTAATAATTCTATCTGCTTTAGAATTATATAAATTTGAATCTCTAAAAATATTAAAAATTATTTATCTATTTTATAATAAACTTCATCTTTTAAAGTTTTAATTTAAATAAGAAATTCAATTTATAATTATTTTAAATAACCGATTATACATTTATTTTTATTTATAATACCTAGAACTTTTAATTTCCTAATTAATTCTAGAATCTTAATTATAATATTCAATATAACTCGTTATTTTCCTTATAAAAAATTTAAATAAATAATAAATTTCAAATAAGACAAAAATTCTCTTTTTCTATTCTAAAGATTAGTTGCTGGTGCACACTTAGAAACTCTTCAACTGGAATTTTGTACTACTCTGCAAAAATACTCCTAACCTTAGATATAGAACCTAGTATCTTTAGTCTTTCACTTTCCTTTTCCATTTCCCTTTCCTCTCTATGCCATTAACCCCACTGCCACCATCAACGACCTATAAGCATAATGTCTTTGAGTTAAGTCATAGCTATACTTAAATAAGTTTCTTGTAGATCTTTAGATCGTATAAACGTTCTACCAGTGAATAAAATAGTGAGGATGGTGTTCAAATGACTGATATTGAAGTACTCGACGTTGGATCAATAAGTTCGAATCATTATATTATAGTATACTACTGCTCTATCTTTTATATTCAATATATTATAAACATACAGTATAAAATCCCTAGTATGATACCAGAACAAGTACGATTCCCAACACAGACACAAAAAATTATCATCATATAATTTCCGTCTAACGTTCTTGGCAACTTCCACACTAATTACCCCCTCTAATCGTGCGGTAACCGAAAAAATTGAAGAAGTATAGCAGTCTTATCATTATAATAGTAATGCTTATCACAGCAACCAAATCAATCTTTCAGTAAAGAAGTATACACATCATCAACTGATATCAAGAATTATTCTATCTACTCAACATTCCACATCCATTCTCCACCCCTATCCAATCCGATCCACTCTCACACAACTACATATTAGCCTCTTATTTCCATTCATCCTCCGACCGCGCCTTACAAAAATCTCCAACACCCCAATTCCTCCCACGTCCTCAAATTTCAAATAACTCTCTTAATATTTTCTCTGCACTATTTCTCCGTCAACGCAAAAACCTATAATAAACAAATGAGTAAATCTAAATAATAAATTCCACATCCAAGATCAGAGACAAACGCCAAGAACTAATAATGACAGATCACAGAATAGAAGATACAAGACTAAGCGCAAAAATAGCGCAGAGTATATTAGAAAAACATGAACTGACAATGAATATCCGAGATGTTCAGCTGGAGCGCTGGGCATCTCAAAAGAGATCTGGGTAGACTCCAGCAACAGCGTGATGGAAAAAAGAAAGTAGGCAGAAAAGACAGCGTTTCTTGTATCAATTATAATGGGCAAGTTGAAGAACACAATCTCGAAGACCAGTCAAGAAATTTGCTAATGGATCAGCGCTGTGTTCCTCTGGTTTTATTTGCGACTACCCTCAGGAGTTTATCATCGATTGGCTCGGTGATGATGTCAAAATTAATCTTACATAATTGCGGGATATCCCATATTGTTGTATTTACATCATGAATCATGACCATACATTCCAACAAAGCACTATAATTAAGCCACAGACACTATTATCGTCCACTTGCAGGAATTCTCCTAACTCCACAAAATATTAAGCCTCTTCCACCCAACAACCTCCTCTGGTTCCGGCTCAGGATTATCGTTTGCGATATTGATAAACTTTTGAATTGGAATTTCAGATAATGGGATTAACTGAGTACCTTTCTTGTATTTGTAACCGAAGTATAAGCTGAGAACAAGGGGAATATTAATGTAAGATGAGAGAAAAGTTTCCGTGGCCCAACTGGAGGTGAATAAATCATTAGTCGGATTCTCACGTATGATTATTTTGTGATTTAGGAAGACTTACTGGTCTTTGATGAAGACGGAGTAACCACCAGTTAAGAGAAGAATACTGAACGAGATAAGTGCTATCCATGCAGCATATGGTTGAAATGGCCCTTTCCATGGTAAATTAGATCGAGGGATTCCTTGCTTCTTACATCCATAATAGAATCGTAGATATACACCGCAAATGATCATCCAATTAATAAGAGCAGATACAGCAACAAAGTCCTGGAGCCAACTGAACACAATACTCGCAGAATCCGAAAGTGTCAGGAACGCGAGACATATGAACAGACTGAGAAATCCAATCGCAATGTATGGTACGTCGAAACGGTTAGTTTGAAGAAAGGCTCTTGGTGAGTGTCCATGTTGACCGAGTCCATACAACATTCGGGATCCACCAAGCATAGCTACATAATTTAGTCAAGCATTTGATTGTCAATTGAGGGGCACCAACCTGCATTTCCAGCACTCCATGCACTTGTCAAAACCACGGCATTGATGATTGAAGGGACGAATTTAATTCCTGCATTGTTTGCAGCAATAACGAACGGTGATTGTGCAGCTGTCCCGGTAGACCTCAAGAGTTCTTTGTCATTTGATGGTACAATCATGCCAACCATGAAGATCGAGAGAACTATGGAGAATTCAATAATTTGGCCTGGATGGGAACAGGGGGAAATCAGCGTGTACATACCATAGAACAGCATTACTCGAAAGAAAATTCTTTTCGCGGCGATTGGAATATTTCGTCGGGGTGACTGTGTTTCAGCGGCTGCAAGAGAGAAATTCTCCACTCCGGAATAAGCATATACTGCATTCGAAAATGTGGTCCAGAATCCCATGAAATGTCCCAAGGCTCCAGTAAATCCAAGGTAATCAGCAAAGGGTCCTGGGTCGTGCCAATATCGGAAACCATAAGTTTCACCATTTGGTCCTCCACCACAAGTGATGATCAGTGCCTGAGAATTTTTAGTAAGGATTGTTGAGAATAGACGACAGAGGCAGACTTACCATTATGTTCAAGCCAACAATGAGCATTATTTTTAATATCGCGCATGTAAATTCAAGCTCACCATATACCTGAACAAAAAGTAGGTTGCTAACGACCAGAAGAAACCCAAAGCATATAATCCACACAGCATTGTTGATTTGAACCCAGAACTGGATTATAATGGCAGCAGCAACGAGTTCGGCAGGTATCGTGATAATATTGCTGTAGACTTGGTTCCAACCGTTCGCAAATGAGAGAGCAGGATCGACAAAATATTCGGCATGGCGTATGATACCTCCACTCAGAGGAACAAGAGCACTGCAATGACCAATTTTAGCAAGCTTCCATTAAACTCAAGTGTGCCGAAGAAATATACCTTAGTTCTGCTATTGAAAGAACGACGCCGGATACCAATATTCCCACAAAAGTATATCCCAGTCTAATGGCATAGCTATAGTAAGTGCTGTGCAATGATTTCCTTTGGACTAGAAACTCACAATGCTCCAAGTGGACCTGCTCTGGCAATAGCTTTTCCAGAACCTAAGAAAAGACCCTACACCTCTCAGTATCTGTCATTCAGCCGCAATTTATCGTTCTTACTGTCCCAATTGTCCCAGCCAAAGCGATCATCTGAATATGTCTTTGTGCCAAACCTCGTCTGACAAATGTGTTTAGCTAAATGTTTGTGCAAACTGAGTACTGTTTCAATGTTACCTCAACTCTTTAATCTCAGCAAATTCTTTGGGCTCATCATCTTGAGACTGCAACGATGTTCCATGCACTGGGCAAATCAATGGCTCCTCGCTGGGAGTATTGACACGCTGATTCGACAAAATGTTAATTGAGGACATCTTGACTGCCAGAGTCTTCTTGGACGTTGGATTGGTATTGGCAGAGACAACCTTGAACTGAACAAGTTTTCGAGAAAAAATGAATGATTCGATGGAATGTAAAAGCGATCCAACTTTTTTAGAAGAAAAGTGCAGAATAGAGTACCTTAGATAAGAAGAAGAGGTTCCTACCTTTTCTGTCTATCTATTCCCACAACTCTTCTCCCAGGAAGGAGCGAATTGAATTGACACCTTCAAGGTAACCGCATCTTATCTCCGGACTCATCGGATGAAGCTATGTTGTGTATCATGAACTGGTTCTTTTGACTCCAATTTTGACACATTTGATATACTTTGTACATTATAGATGTGTTCGACGAGTGTAGTTAATACATACCACAGCGTCCACACGAAGCGTCAAACATGATAAGGCTTGAATTTTGAATTCGAAATCATACTTATGGTTGCGACAAGAGACGCTTGAAATTATGTTATACAAGTCATTTGATGACCATGGATTCTTATTAATTTGCCTGGGTGCCAATGTACTTGAGTTGTAAGCAAAATCTGTCAATAAAGATGGGAGGAAAAGCACCAGACGTAAGCAGAGATATCTTCCTTCTCGATAGCAAGTTTACTTGAATTCCAAGAAGAATTTTAAAAATATTTTTAGAATAAAAATTTATATATTAAAAACAAATTAAAACAATGAAAAAATGTATATATTTAAATGAAGTTAATTTTGAATTTATTTATTCTTTTAAAAAGATCAAAATTAACAAAAAATATTTATAAAAAGTAATCTTATTTCTAGCTCTTCAAAAGAACCCCGAGATTAATTCAACCAGAAAATTTATACACTCAAGAATAGACCTTGTACTTTTGATACTATGATGGAGCTTCTCTTCTTGCGGAAAAACAATGCTTCGATGAGTTTCAAGATGAAATCCTTTACTCATAGACGCATATAAAAAAGACGACTCACCGTTATACATCTTACAAATCTGCGAATACCACAAAAACATATCGATAGAGTCGAAGACCACAGCCTTCTTCATCGGCCGAGTACAGAAACTTTACGCGAAGGAATCCGAAAACTAGAAAGGAGTAATATCGAAAACTCGAATAAAAAGCTTCCTAGCCCGAGCGAAGGATCAAAATGTACTTATCATTAGCACGCATTGAAGGAAGTCTGTCCTCATAAAATTTTAAGGGATTTAAGTAAGGATATGAGTTCTATGACTGTGTTGCCTGGGAATAATTGTGAGTGGAATGAGTTCTGTGACTGTGTTGCTTAAGCGACTATGACTTTGACAACGAGGCATGAAGTATTGATGATGTGCAAGCGACTGGAGATGAAGCGAAGCATAAATGCAGAGATATATAAAGACTTGTATATCAGTAAACAGATTGACATAAAAGAATAACACAATGCAGAGACTTTAACGATTAGCAGGATAAATCTCCTAGCATAAAAATCGTGCATAAGCGCTTACTGAAATGGTAAGGATAACAACTGTTATATTAAGAAGAACAATCCATTTCAAGAATTCATGGTAATCATTTCGATGTATTTTCATATTTCCTATTCATACAACAAACAATAGCTCCGTCACTGTACGTCAGTATATGGTTGTATCAATTACAAATATGGCTTCATTGTGAATAGTCTATCTAGATATCAGTTGTTGTACACTTACCTCCTCAAGTGCATGCGTGGAAAATAAGTCAGTTATTATCTTCACACCATCTACATAGCATACTTAAAATTCTGTATCTCCAAATTATACATTTCTACGTTGTTCATTCACCACTTGAACCTTCCCACCACAACTCAAATAGCGTTTTTATATTTTAAACATACAACCAACCAATAATACAAAAACGAAAAACTTCAATACACATCTCATCAACACTCATTATTTAACATGGAGCGATATCGAATTCCCACCCTCAACCAACAGGATCGCTCAACTTCTCAATATTCCACCTCTTATCCTTTCATCATCTCACTCAACTCAATCTTCCTACCCCTCCTTTCAACTCTACAACTTCGCAACCATATCAAATCCCACCCAGCTCAACATGATATGAATGAAGAAATCTATTAATTTCTTATATCTAATACCAGTCCAGCTATAACTTGCTTATCATAAGATCTCTATATCTTATCATGATTAAATCTAATCACAATCACAACCAAATCAGTTTATACTCATCAACCTCCCTCGTTTTTGAATCCTATTCATTTAAAATCCAATCTTACTTCTTTCTTTCAATCATCAAAATAAATATCCGAATAATACTCTATATATATCAGAAATTAAATCAGTACCCTCATCCTCTTTACTTTCTCAATACTTGAATTCCTCAAACCCTTCTAAATAAATCTCCTACTACAAAGACCTTTCTTTACTTCAAAACCTCTATATCACCATTATCCTTTTCTCTTTCCCGAATCCTCGCTTATAAAATTATAATCACGATTAGCTAACTCCCCTATCCACCTCATACCTCATATCAAACTCTATACCCCAAACTCCACACTCCACCAACCACATCATCAATTTCCGCACTTAAAATATCTCCGCTATCTTTTATATCTTCTCAAGCCCTAGAACTTCTCTCATCACTCGTTTATTATATATTATAATCTCTTTTTTAATTTTTTAATTTATAAAGTAATTACTTTATATAAAATATAATATCCAAAAAAATCCAAAAAAATATATAAATTTTAAAAACTTTATAAAGAATTTTATTTTTATTTCTTTTTTTAATTTTAATATTTATAATTAATAATAGAAAATTATATACTCAGACTAGTCTTTAAAGAGGGCCGGGAGTAATAAAGTATATTTTTATATCAAAAATCATTTATTTCAAAAATTTCAATAAATTCAATGAATAATTATATATAAATCAAATTTTAAAAATCTGATAGATATTTATCAAATATTTGATATTTTACTACTTTTTGATTTTTATATATTAAAATATATTTAAAAAATCTAAAATATATTAAAAATTAAAATCTTATAATATTATAATTTTGATTCAATAATTTCAATTAATGAAAAAACAAAAGTTGATTTTATTAATATATAATTACTAATTAAATGAATATAAATATCTATCAAAAATATTAAATCAAAATATTGAAAATTAAATTAAAAATAATTTTAAAAGATCAACTTTTGATGATAAAAATATAAAACTTGAGCCCGGCCCTCTTTAAAGACTAGCCCGAGTATAATTATATATATTTTTATTTTTATTTATATTCAAAACTATTAAATTATTAAACTATTTAGCAATTTAATTATATTTAATTTTAATTATAAAAATTATATAATAAATCAAAATCTTATTTAATAAAATAATCTTAAATTATATTTATATTTAATTTTATAATTACTTTTATTTTTATTATTTTATTCATTCTATTCATCTTTATATATCATCTCATTGTCACGATTTACGGTTTTCTTTATAGTAGTATTATTGACGTCGGTGATTTATAGGCCGACTACAGGGGGGGTGTGATTTAACCGTTGCTTTCGGGGGTCCTGATTACCTAAGCCTAGGACCCCAGGATTCCTAGGATAAGTATCCTAGGCAACCATAGTAGAATAGGACAAGTGTCCTACCTAATTGGTTGTAATGGGACTATCACCCTAGAGGATATCGTATCCTAGGGCTATGGTTCCTAGAGGGAAAGCTCCTGGGACAAGTGTTCCAGGAAAGGAAAGGCCTTGGGATATGAGAGGCCTCAGGATCAGTCACGTGATGTGCTAGCTCTGCTAGCCAGCTAGCAGAGCTAGCATGGGAAAAGAGATTAGTATATAGTCAGAATAGTTTCATAGTTTAGGAGCTTCGTGCTCAACTTAGTTATCAATTAGTTTACCTACATTCCAATTGATCTAGTAACGTATTCACCTTCGAGTGGATAACCAGTGATTATTAGCCTTAACCTACAACTACCAACCATACGAAACCCTGAGGCAGCCGCTGCCTCAACCAGATCGTTACACTCATCTCATCACTTAATTCAATATCTCAAATCATACAAATATATCTATTACAAATAATATAATTATAAAATATATAAACAATCCTAAGATAAATAATATATAAAAATATATAAAATAATATTAAAATGAATAAATCTATTCTTGAATTTATTAATTAAGGATCTTATATATATATAAAATTTGATAAATTATTTAATTAATAATCATTTTTAAAAAAAAAGATTAAATAATAAAGTTTTTATTATAAAAAAGTTAAAATTATAAATCAAATAATATGATTTAATATTAAGTATACCATATCACCGAATACACTACTTTACCTCAATTTGCACTTTCTAATTCATATCATTCAACAATCATTAAATCAATCAATTAAAACTATTAAGAATCTAATAATCTAAGATCTATTATATTATTTTGACAGATTCTTGAATTATAATCAATCTTTCTACACTTACTATAATATCGATTAATAAATAACTCTCTATTAGAATTTCCCTTAATTTGATACTTATTATATTGAATCTAAATATCAATTTTTTGTTGAGATAATACATCTATAACTCTTTATTCAATAAATACTTCTCTTTAATATAATTGAATCTTTTTCACACATCAATATTTATTTAATACTTCATTTGCTTTTTAAAATATACAATTTTCTATACTTAAAAATATATTTTCATATATCAATCTTTTTATACCTTTAATTAAAACTAATATAATTTCAAATATAAATATAAAGAAACTTGATTAATAACAAGTTATTCAAGATTTCACTAAAATTAATTGAAAAAGAGCTTCAATTGGATTATAAAGAGTTTAAAAAATCCAAAAAAAAAATAAAAATAATAAATAAATAAATATATAAATTCGAATATCTAATTTTGAGAATATAACTTGAAAATCAAATAATATTAAATCTATTCCTCAAAAATCAACTTTCATATTCTAAGAGATAATTGATTATTGATATACAGTTTTGAAAGTTATAAAGAATTCAATTTTAATAATATAATTAATATATATCTTAATAAATTCTTCAATTTGAAAACTATATAAATATTTAAATACACTAAAACATTTAATATCAAATAATTAAATTAAATAATTTAAATATAATAATAATTTGAAATATATAATATCATTTGATTTGCAATATAATTGAAAAAATATTGATTTATAACTTTTATATTTATTCAATATTAACATTCGATATTTGTTCTTTCTTTAATCAACAATATATTTATCAAAATGCTTTAATTATTCTAAATCTGTTTTATTATTCATCTATTTATTAGAAGTAGATTTAATATCCCAATCTATAAGAAAATCGATTTCGGTATATTAATTAAAAAGATAAATTTATCTTTGAACTATCAAAAATGAAGATATAATTTCATCCTCTTCATTACTATATATAATTGTTATAATCTACTCTTGATTACCTAATTGTATTGTCTTACTTCTACTATTTCGTTCATTACTAATTACAACCATTCCAGAATATATTATACCCATTATAAAACCAATTTCATTAAAATTATAGAAATCAGAATCGATAATATCATATTTCACTTATATATTCAATACCAATCAAAACCACTCTTTAATAAACTTGAGATCTTTACAAAAAGCTCTTTGAAAATCATAAACACAACTAAAACACATCTTTAATTTCATATAACACTTTACAAATCAACAAACCCAAAACTTTCCAATCTTCTTCACCCTCCACAATTCAAAAATATAATTCATTATATTTTTTATACTATTTAATTTAAATACAAACTCTCTTTTATTTATATCAATTATATATTAAATAAACACCTCCTCTTTTAAATCAATCATTTTATAATTATTTATTCGAATTTCTATATAAAAGACTAAACCATTCATTTTATAAAGAAATATTATATATATTATATTATATAATTTGATAACCTTTCAAATGTTTAATTTTTTATTTTTTTGAATAGCTTCAATAGTTAAAAGTATTTGAGTTTCTTTTCTATTTGATTATATAATAAATAATTGATAAATCGTATATTGAAATTAGAAAATATAAATTGAGATAAAAATAATACATTTGATGATATAGTACACTCAGTGTTAAACTATATTATATAAAAGTTTTTAATCAATCAATTATATAACCTTTTGTAATTAAATATAAAAGAAGAGCTTTTATCTCTTTTTTTAACAATAATCAATTTTCTATATATATATATTTGAACTTATATAACATCAACCCCAAAACCATTATAAACTCTATTTTCTCTATAAATGATATATTATAATATAATCTAATTCAACTTTCTCTTTCAATTCCCTTCTCACAATATACTATCAGGACGCATGTATCTCGACCTATCACTTTTATATTATAAAGAATAGTAAAATCGATATAATTATATGATATCGATTTAGATATAAGGAAAGTGAGAGTGAATGAGTACTAGGATGTTAGAGATCATATGATTTCCGTGACAGTATCTTAATTCAATATCTCGCCTTATTATCGCCTTCACCATCCCCATCTATCATTCCCTTCTATCATCCCCTACCAACCCCATCAATTACATCAATTACAAACCAAATCAAATCAAAAATCACATCTATAAGTATAATAATATCTAAGTATTCAACTAAATACTTACAATACTAAGTTGGTAAGATTACTTGATTATACTTTTTTATTCTTTTCTTTTATTTTCTTTAATTGAGATTGATCATTTATTTATTTATTCCTCTCCCCATCCATCCATTCTCGAAACCTCAGATAAAGTTAAAAGGTCAAAAACCAAAAAAAAAAAGGGAAAACCACACACAAAACAATCAAAAGAAAATCAAAAGGAAAAAAAAATTAGAAAGGAGAAAAATGAACTAAGTGTCTCGAGCTATCATAATAAATACAGAGTATTGATCCATTTGAAGAAAGTTTGGAGGTGAATATTTGGTCAAAGCCATGGGAAAATAAAACTTTGTAAAAAGCCAATCTTTTCTGTAAGCATCATGGTCTTTCGTCTTGTTGCATTTCTTCTCCTCGCCCTTTTCTTTCATTCTCATGTGCAAAATAAAACTCCTCGAAATACCACTCATTCTTTGAATGCAAGACAAACCCCCATTATAGCATTTACGACCTTGCCTCGCAGAAGCATGCCGCGCCTGAATATCACCCTCCACCCCATCGCTGGCTTCTTCCACTGCCAAATATTAAGGATCAATGATTAAAGAGACATGAATTGAAAAGTAAAGTATCGGTTGTGTCGTGTTGGTACCATCATAAAAAAGGCAGGCCCTGATTTTTAAGAAGTCACCCCTTAACGGAGTGAGAAACCCTTCCTCTTGCCTTCCTTTTCTATTGGTCTTCCACTCTCGACTCTGGATTTCTTCTCCTCCAGTTCTTGACGTTGACGCTCGAGTTGTTCCTTCATCTCGCGATGTCGTGCGTACAACTCTTCTTCGCTCTGCTTCAACTTGCTCTCCTTCTCGGCGACCTTTTGTTGGAAAACCATCTTCATCTCGGCCTCCATCTTGGCAAGCTTTTGCTCGTGCAATTGACGCTCTTCTTCTTGCTTGACAGCTGGGTTGACCTCCTTGAAAACATTTGGATCCTGAGTTACACCCATAGCAGTAAGCTTCTCCGATCTGTAGTTTTCGTACAAAGCGTTGTTGGTGTGTTCCTTGAGCTCCTCCATGTGAGTTCGGATGAGCATTTGTCTGAGCTTGACAAAATCACAATGCTCTTCATTGTCAACTTCAATGACTCCCCATGGGTATTTACGTCCTCGAACTTTACGTCCCTCGTTGTTTGTAATTTCGGAATTGGCACCAACAACTGCGAAAGGTACTTTGTCCATAATCTCCTTATTCTCGGCAATCGTCTCCTCATCGTCCTTTTCGTAATGTGGACCCTCGAAGATTTGGATGTCATGGTGCTTAATATCAGCAAGAATCTAGAACATGGTTAGCGTAAGGTTTAAAATATGCAAGGGGGATCCTCACTCTAAACTTGAAAGCGGTGATTTCTTCATCGGTCAATGTATCAGCCTTAGCAATGACTGGAATCAAGTTGACCTTGGTATGAAGTCTACGCATAACCTCAATGTCCAAAGGCTTCAATGCATGACCAGTTGGTTGAATGAAGTAAACACAAGCATGAACACGGTTATCAACAATGTTCACTCGATTGACCTTGTTCTCCGCATCCAAATAAGCATCGAAGCGTTGTTCAATATTATCAACGATTGGTCGCCAAGATTCATCATTGTTAACGAAATCACCAAAACCGGGGGTATCAACAACAGTCAAACGTAAACGAACACCATTCTCCTCGATGTCGGCGCTGATAGATTGAATAGAAACGGTTTTTGGGATAATATCGAGGGAAGGTCCTTTACGTTCTCTTGGTGGGTATAAGGAAGTGTTGAAAAGAGTGTTGACCAAAGTCGACTTTCCGAGTCCAGATTCACCTATTGAAAGTTAGCATGGACCGAATATACATTTAGAAGCTTCACATACCAACAACCATAACATTAAAGTTGAATCCCTTCCTGACACTCTTTCGGTGCCACTGATTTGGTAGATTTGCAAATCCAACATATCCAGTCAACTTTCTTCGGACAATGTTTTTCATATCGCTTGCTTGTTGAGCTGCAATCTTTGGATCTGTTGAGCTGATGGTCATTGGAATCTCTAGTGGGGACGATGGAGCTCCATTAGGGATTGGAGATGCTCGGGTAGGCGCCATTGGGGCACCATTGGTAGCTGTGTAGAGAGGTAAAATGTCAGCCCAGTCGTGCGAAGTAGTGCTATAATTCTTAGAAGCCTGCTGCAGCTTCTCCGATACCCATAGCTCCATAGACTCATGGTGGTCCATAGATATTTGCTCCAAACTTGGAGCTTCTTCAACATCCAGCATGCTTCTAAATTGAGCGCGTATGCGTTCTGCTCCTCGCTGATGACGATGCAAGCTTCCAGGATATTGACGCTGCTCGATACTCTCCGATGATTGCTTAGGTACTGAGAGGCCTTTGGAAATGCTCTCAGATCTTATGACACACGAATCCTTATCTTCAGGTTGTTGACCGGAAGATAGAGCGGGAGACTTCTTAGGGATGAGAAGATTCCAGTGACCATTGGTATGTGACTTCATGGCTGGCGGATCAGGATGATGTAACATCATGTGGCAGATTTTTGATGACTTCGCAGCTTGTTGGAATGGATTTCGAAATGTGCCAGTCCAACAGACTCGAGATTTGAAGCTTTGTCGTTGCAACAATCGTGCGTCGAGAATAATTGTCGGGATGATGGATGGCACAGTGTGAAATTGAAGAATTGAGGTTCCACCAATTGTTGATGCCGTCTTTGATATTGTGATGATTCCATTTCCTCGTCCCAAGTATTGACTTCCTCCAAAATGAAATGAATTGCTTACCCATTGTTATGATTGATGTAGAAGGATCGAAGGTGATTGTTTTTGTGAAGAAAGAAGGTGGGAGGTTCGAAATCCTGTCGGCACCAACAGACAGACAAATTAGCCTATATGAACAGAAAAGATAGTCACAGTCGAGGTAGTTGAAATTCTCTCCAGATTGAAATCAATGGGTAGCTTCAGAAATATAATTTTGAAGGTATTCTGGGAGATCGAGAATTGATTCGGTGGAGTGATGTTCCCATCTTCATGCAGGAATACGAATAATAGCACGTACCAGATATCAACGTCTGTGAATCCTCAACCAGTATTGGTTCGCGTGGTCTTTAATGCGGATTAAGATTTGAGTAGATAAAATGCACCAAGTGGCCTGTCTCCTCAGTTGTTGACGGGAAGGTACGATACGAAATAAAAAGGCGAGTTGATTTGCGAAGAAGATGGAAAAGTAAAGATTCTAAACGATTGTAGTGAATGCTGTTGATGTACCAGGTAGAAAGGTAGTAGAAGGGCAGAAGGCGTAAAAAAAAAAGTTGTAGTAGGTCAAGAGGTTGTCAATGTTGCACCGATCTTTTGATTGAGCCTTTCGCCTTTCGCCTTTTTCTCTTAATTGCGGTTTGGCGTTGTTGTTGGCGGCAATTGGCTGATTTCCTTTTCCCTTTGGTTGTTGCTTGTCTGTGTTCCCACTGGCAAAAGGGGTTAATTATTTTGGGGCGGGCGCTGGGCTGACTTGGGAATTACTTGGGGAAGGGGTCAAGTTAAGCGTAGGTAGGGGCTTTGTTGGGGGCAAGCTTTTAAAATGAACAAGGATTTGCGCAGAAGGTCATTTAATAATGCGAATGAATGATGAATGTGAAGATGAATATGATTTTGGGAAATTATGAAGACATAAAGTAGGAGATTAGCTTGTTCATCAAGTTGTCGTCTGAAGGACTGGCTGATTGAATGAGAGTGAGAGTGATAGTGACAGTCATAGTGTTGGTCTCATGGCAGTGGCAGTGGCAGTGGCAGTGGCAGTGGCAGTGAATGCTCCCTACCTAGTCCATAATAGCATGGAATAAAATTGAAGATATAAACCATCACGAGTACATCCTCGAGACCCTCGGATATCACAGACAACTCTTATCTATGACATTGGACCTGGCTAGGTCGTCCGTGGGTGCAGTATCTAATTCTACCTCTGAAGAGCTATACAATCTGACCTACAAGTGGGATAAGATAAAATGCAGATATAACCTCAAACTAGCTGAATTAGTCTTGTACAGATTCCATCAACTTTTGTTGAACACCTCAGATCTATAATAGGTACCTCCGGTATACACATCAGTACTTACCCTACCTCAACCTACCTCATCATTTGTGATCTGTTGAAGTATCCAATGCCTAGTGTGTAAGCAGCTCTGTATCAGATATGGTGATCCTCCAATGATCTTTGGAGAATGGGGAAGACGGATGGATTGCTTCATCAAATAGGATATTGTCGCTTGAATCTGTACCAGTCAATCATTACCTGCAGAAGTAACAATGGGTGAATGACAAGTACTTTATGTGGTGTATTTGATTTGGAACTCCTATCTCATCTTATGCTTTGCCAATGATTCGATACGCCCTCCACTCCAAGTTCTTCTCCATTTTCTTCTCTATCCTCCTACTTTCCCCATCTGCTCTCCTCCACACCCTCCTCCTCCTCCTCCTCCTCCTCCTCTCTTCTCATCACCACAATTATTTAATCATCACCTCCGCGAATTGCATCTCATCAAACTTCCTCAAGCTTCCTCATTTGTGCTCTGTGCTCTGTGCACTCCCCCCAAATGTAACCAAAATACTCCACGGCCGGTACAAGATTGCTTGGGTTTGGTATCTACACGTGAGGATCCACCATGACTTTGCTAACCAACTAATCCATATTCAACCAAATGTCTTACTTTAGCCTCCTAAACATCTTTTAGTGTCGCTTCAAAGCACCCATTATCGAATTTGGTGTTTCCTCAATTGGTCCAACAACAAACAAAAAGTGGGATTCGTTCCAAACTCTTTGGGTGAAGCTTCATGATAGTGGCATCATAATATCCAAAAATATCTATTCGATAGAGTGAGAAGAGAAGCGAAGAGAAAAGGAGGTTTACAACAAAGAACATGACGAGGTATGTTCTTCCAAAATTTGCCCTCATTTCAATTGTTCTATGAATAGTTACTGACGTGTTTTGCCTTTCAATGTAGATCGCAATCACCTCAGACATAACTTCCGATTTGCATGGTTATACATACAAGGATAGGCACAATGGAGGATAACGTCTTTCCATGCATTACAGACAGCTTTGCGAAGAAACTCGATCAATCATTGATTTATCTCCCTTTGAATGGAAGTCGTTGATATAAGCGTGTTTAAACATTTTCCTTGAGACTTCCTGTATCAAAGTACGTTCCAACAATATCGGAATATTCTTTTGAAACAATCTGTCATTCAAATGATCGGAGGAATCTGTACTCACCATGCCGAAGCGGGTTAAGTCTCCGTGGGAGGGAATAATTAAGGGCAGGAGAGCCAAGTCGACTATATCGATTGAATTTACAACTTAAACTATTAGCATTAACGGAATGCTAATTGAATTATTTACTACCATCCTTTGCGAAAAGTATGACTTAAGAGGTCTGCGGGCCGTAGAAATACTCTTCTTACACAACTTCATTAGCGTACAGCCTACGATCATTTTCTCTCTCCGAATCATCGTGTCTCGTTGTACTGAGTCTAGCTGCTTTATTTGTAGCCCGAGTGGGAATCATGGGACTCATTTGACTTGCATGAGAAGCGCTGGATACCACACACTGCTGGAATAGTCATCTATGTTTACCAAAAGGATGTCAATCAATTGTCTGGCGGGTCCTTTTCGATCGCATCAACTTTTCCCTTTTCATTGTCATCATTCATGTTCTGTTTTCGAGGGAATCTTCAGGAGTTGAATATTTAATCTGGAAGTTCCTCCAAGAATTTTATTCAATGTCCTTCCCAAGGGTAATTCTTCTGCGTGGATACATCAGTGCTTTAAGTTGCGCAGTACCTGCGCCTAGAAATTCCCACCTCGCGCCTCCAGTGTGTCTATTGTAATTTCTTGTAGCATATCTATCAGTTGTATCCATCATAATCATATCGTATAGCCTTGTTCAGTAATCATCATTCTTCTGACGAAAAGATCCAACAGTCCCCCGTCCTTTTCTATCCAATCTTATACGCGTTGGATCAACCTCCCTCACCCAGTCCTTCATCATGATTTCCGAATGCAAACTTCCCATCAACCCTCCAGATGAAGTCCTTCTTGCGATTATCTAACATGTCGATCAGGGACCCTAGGCTAAGCTTTCGGTAAGCTCAACAAAGTTCTACTTAATGACGCTACCCATCTTATACTTCCGCACCGATGCATTTAATAAAGACAAGATTCAGTTGTTCTGGTGAATACTATCAAAAAGCCAAGGATTTGTTCCAACACCGGCTTATTTATGGTATAAACACAAGATATCGAAACGTCTTTACTATCACAAGTGAATCTTCTGTTACTTTGTAAAGGCAAACTGCAGCCGGCGTGCATGTTGCAAAATATACTGTATATTTAGTAACCCGTGATAAATTGAACAATGAACTTAGTGAGAATGGAACCTTAGTGTTGCTATAGCCACTATTGCCACTACTTACGCGACTACAATTTCTATAAATGGATATTAAAGAATAGGCTTATCCTATTGGTAGTTTGCATTTTCATCAGGATTTAAGATACATGTATGAGCGCTTCTACAATTCCATTCAATCGAAAGACGCGAACAGGAAATTTGATACCTCCAGCCTGAAGAATATTCGGTTTCCCTGCGGAATTAATAGTAGCATATCTATCGTTCTTCCTCGCGAACCATAACTCTCCATCTTTACGATTTTACAATCATAAAGACGTGTATAATACTATTTTTCATAAACTTTATTGTTTTAAAAAATTAGTTATTAAATCTAATATTCCTTCTCTTTCTAAGCTGTCTATAATTTAGATCAATTCTTTCTTTTCAAAAATTTGAAAAATAACAAAAATTAATATTTATAACTCTTTTAATTGTTAAATATAATTATAAATTTATTATATAAATATTAATTAATTCTTAAAACTTTTTATTTTTAATAATTTTTTCAACGAGAATATTAATAATTGAATTTTAAAATTCAAATTTATATATTATTTTATATATAAATTTAAATTAAAAACTTAAAATCTTTGATAACTTTTCGACAAAAGTTATTAAAATGAATTATAAATTTTTTTTCTAATCGATTGAGTAAATAAAAATTTTAAATTTTAAATTATAAAGAAAAACTTTTATTAATATTTTGATTAAAAGAGTTTTTGTAAAAGAAATTTTAAAACATATTATTATATTTGAGCAATTATAATATATATAAATATTTTACAAAAGATTTATAATTTATTTTTAATCATTTTGATGAAAATTATTCAAGTTTTTAAATCTTTTTAATTTTGTATATAAATCAAAATTACAACTTTAATTTTTAATTTTCTCAATCGATAAAATTATAAAAAATTTGAATCATTGATTAATAAAAATTGTTATTTCAAAAGAGTTAAAAAAAGATATAAAAATATATAATATAATATATATTTAAAAAAGATAAAAGTAATCTTATATATAATATTAAAGTTAAAAGTGTGAGAAGGTTTTTATTTTAAGATATATAAAACACAATAAAATGATATGATTATTCAGTGGTTTTTAAGGGCCATTTATTTTAGCTATCATCTCTATTTACTTTATAAAGAAAGATCCTCCATGGTCATTTCTGTAGTTCACATTCAGGTAAGAGGCGGGGTGGAGAACCGACTTTAAAAGGTGTGGTTGCTAGTGAGTCTCTAAGCAATACAAATTAAATTACTCTATTGAATCTGAAAAATTGTCAGCAAGACACATATCGATTCCTCTTCATATATGAATGCATTTATATCTAAGCTAGCTCGCCATTAAAAGATCCCCATGTTCCTGTCCCTGCCGGCCACTTAAGACCACCATGGTTATCAAAAGGAGCTTCGTTACTCTCCAACTCTATCGTATATACGACGTATAACTTCACTAGCATTGGCATTGAAGACAATGCCGAAAAAAGTAACTGCAATTCATCGTCTCCGAATTTCTGAATGTTGTAAAGGGTTGAGATTCCATGACGCATAGCAGGGTTAAGCCGAAGCACACCCATGTTGACTTCTTGTCCGTTGATATGGTGTGCATACTGAATGTCTGCGTCGATAAAAATGGATCGAATTCTTCCAGCTTCATGTTCGGTAATTTATAACAAAAAACTAGCAAGATGTTCTTGATTTTTCAGTCAATGTATAGCGTATCAAGGGCGAAGTTGAACCGAATTCTAGCCTGAATAAATGCTCCGCCAAATACGAGAGAGTAAAGACCTATAACAGTTGCTCGGGATTCTCGACATGCTGTCATCGCACCTGGAAGAGAAGCACTCGAACAAATCCATCGTATTTTCCGCCTTTTGGCCAGACCTCAACTAAGCAGGGGGTTAAGCTCTTCCTCCAGATGATATGTCTAATCTCGACTGCTAAGTTTGGGAACAGTGTGAACTGATGTCTGGTCATAATGTATTCCTATGGAGGAAGGGACTTTATCTAGTGAAATAATTGAGGAAGAGAAATATCATGGAATTGATTCAGAACAGTTAAATGATATAATAACCTAGCTGAATGTCAATTCTATACCCTTTGGAATTTGAAGTGGAAGATGTTTTGATATTACCTGATCTGGGCATGCAACACTGTGAAATTCGTGGGTGAGTAAGATAGTCACATCAGCGAATAGTAGATGTAAGGTACTTGAATGATTGAGAATCGGTTTTGAGGGAGAATTCCTCTCATATTTGAAGAAATTACATTTTGGATATCAAGGAAAGAGCGAGTAAAGCAACTTCTTCTGATTGAAGAGCGTGACAGCCTCAACTATCATAGTCATCCATTAGTCAGACGAATCACGATTTGCCATGGGCGGTGAAGCATTTTGCCATGCATGCGAGTACTTAATTCTACAACTTTCCAAGACCATCACCGCAATACTTTAAGAGCTTTATCCTGGAATATCAAACTTCTTTTAATCAGTGCAATGATTTCTTCATTTCCTAATTTACCTACTCTTGGTTTTATATCACAACTCATTCTTCAGCCAATGCGGTGGAATGATAAGCGCTCCTCCTGAGTCCAGATACTGTTGGCGGCTTCCAAACCTCATCACCCATTTTTCGAGGACTAATGAGCTTTTCAAAATGCTGAGCGATCTGAAGCTTGCCTTCTCCTGTCACCGGTTACTGTTATGACTCCTAGCTTGACGTGGTTGCGTCAACGGTTGGGTCCTGTTGCTCAGTATGAAAATGGATTGGAAAATCCCCAAGTAAAGCCCCAGCGAGACCTGGAAGATTTGGAAATTAGGGTGAATGACTAGGATTTGGGGGGCACCTTCACATGTACCAGACACCTTGAAATTCGCTAATTATTCATTGAATTATAAGGTCTCTTTACCTTCATAGGCTTGATCCAGAAGCGGAACATTGTCCAGTTACCTCCTCGAATTGGTCGAGTGGCTGCATGTCTGTATTCATCATGATCCTTCATATTTGCACACTCTGGCAGCTTTTCTTTTATCTCGGGTTTTACTTGACTACATAAATTACTCCTTACTACTTGACATACTACCGCTTGCCCGCCTATTCTGCGTTTGTCAATTCCGCGGGCTTTAGGTTATCCCGGTGAAAGTTGACCAAAGTGGAGAATGGATGCATAGTCATTCAAAAACCCCTTGACCCTCTTCTTCCTTTCTATTATTTTTGGTTTCCCTTCATTTTGAGCTCCTCTGATCATGTCGAAGCCCCGCTCCGATACCTCACTCTTCGATGTATCGATTCTCATAGTAGAAACTTGTCGGAGGCATGGCCAAGATTCCCTCGGTGAACAAGAATGCGATAATCCTGCACTTTTATTGCTGGTGAAGGCAATTTATCTCTAGTACAGGTAAGGATGAGGGTTAGTAAGACAATGACAAGTGCAATCTCCAGGTCGTTCAAAAGTCCGTTTGGATTTCTAGTCGCTGAGAGACTATTGGGTATAACATCCTACAAATAACAAACTTTCTAGATAATTACCTGAAATGTGTTGAACGGAAGGATAGGGCTTGAACCAGACCATGGTAACTACTAGGAGAGATAATTGGTTCATAATCATTCACTCCAGCAGGTTCTATGATGATAAGATGACAGAGGACATCACGCGGTACGGTAGTGAAGAGTGTAATAAAGTTGTTAGTATGTACGATACAGCAGCTATGACACTAGTATGCTACAGCCACCTCTGATTGTGTTTCCTTTCTTCTTTAAAAGCTTTCTTATCATAAACACTCAACCTCTTCTCTTTTAAAACAACATTTTAGACATTTCCCAAGGTCATATCACAATCAAATCTTCAAGTGCACAACCACTAAATAATTTTGAAACAAATCAAGTATCTTCAGTATCATATCAAACCTAGCAGTATGGCACAATGGTTCTTGTAGCAAATATTCTTCATAATGTTGGGGTAAGTAATACTTCAGCGTAAGCTCGATCGAAACACTCACAAATGTATAGGTTATGTGGGATGGGCTAGCGGATGACAATCCGGAAGTCGTCAGTTATCATTGACCATTAGACAAAGCAATTAACAAGCTCAGTCAACAGAACAAGGAGCTGGGAAAGCAAAATGAGGCTCTTGCAAAAGAAAATTCTGATCTGAAAGAACTCCTCAAAGCTAATAACTTTTCATGGCTTACGAAACCTGGCTCCAACATGACATCTACATCCCAGAGTCTACCTGCAAGTTCGAGTGGAAACTTGCCAAACGAACTACAACTTCGCATACTCAAACATGCCTTGGAATTAGCACACCCAATAATTGACCCAGGAGTTAAGATCCTTGAGTCTAGTGCCACCGAGTCAGAGCATGCCGAGCAACAGAACTTTCCCGTTCAGTTTCTGCGGGTATCAAAGTTCTTCAACGATGAAGGAGAAAAACTAATGTTTCGCAACAACGAATTCATTTTCACTCAGGTCTTCTCCTTAAAGTGGTTTGTAAAGACACAACCAGATATTTGTGCAGAGTTGGAGCATTTGGAATTACGTATTGTCGGCAAATACTACAATGATAGAGACAGCGTAGATCATCCCGACGCCCTAGGTCGGTATTTGACCTCGAAGCTCAAAATGGATGTTATAAAGCGTTGCCCAAGTGTCAATTTAAGTTGGACTTGTCTGCAAAGCTACTGCTGGCGCCAAATTTTTGAATTCCTTCAAGCTCTCCAGTTGCCTGGAAAGCCCACACTCATGCAGGAGAAAACAGCTTTCAAGAATTTAAGGTCCATGGTTATTGACCTCGCGAATTTCACAACGAACCTACCTGGTCCTGGTGTTGGTCTGCACAAAATGGCAAGAGAAAATCTGGGCCAAATTCTTGATGAAATATGCATCCAGGGTTTGCCAAAGTATAGTAACAGAGCATTAGCCTTTGAATGTTTGTCATATCTTGTAAGAGATGGCGGATTGACTAGTTATAAACTCGGGCACCGCTTCACAAGCATCCTGGGAGGTCGTTTCTGGAACCGCTACATTTATCAGAGCTTGAAGAAGACTTGAAAATCAATCTTGGACAAGCATTCAAAACACAGCCAGAACACGTTGATGGGGAAAGTCTGGGGAAGCATATTGTGAAAGTACCCTCCAAAACATTCGCCGGATATGAGGGAGATAAAGTGTATTTTCATTCTGCATTGGGAGCACCTTTTAGGAGTGAGGGAACGGGGAGGATTGCTGTGTTGAATTCAGACCTAATAAAAGCTGTCGAGCTCAATGGCATTCAGTTCGAACTAAATCACGATCAGGACCTTGATGAAGATTTGGAGGAAATCTATGGAGAAGATCTAGTCAACGGCGGGGGAGTTAGCATGGAAGAAAGCTGGGATTTTGATGAAGGTCCGGATGCTCGAATATGTGATAACTGCAGCGCTATGTTTGGTTATCATTCAGGAGAACGTAAATCGCTGAAACGAAATGGCGAATATGGAGCTGAAGTTGGATTTTTTCAGGAGAGAGGCTTACAATTCGTGTATGAGAATGGAGTGCGCGTAGCATACACGACGTTGGATTGATATGCAGGAGGGTTCAAGTGACTGCTAAGGCGGATAGGTTCATGTAGTCTTTTAGTGTCGTGGGGATTTGGGAGGACACTCTGAGAAGATCGGAATTTTGGCCGTCGCATCTTAATATGATGTCTTTCGGAATATATCTCTATGCATAGATTAAGTCACGAAAGTTTAACTTTTTAGATAGAAATGAGTTTTTAGCCATTTTCTTTAATTCAAATATATCTTGTAAGATAAGTAAGTGTTCCATGATGATATTGTTGTATAAAATTCGCTGCAAGATCTCACAATACACAACCTTATAGCCTCCCTGCATCAGACATGTAACGTCCTTTTGCCCGATGATACGATGTCTTTTGATTCCAGCTAAATTGAAATGGATTCTTAGAGATTCGCATCTAAATCACCATACTTACAATGTAGGTCATCGTACAGGAATCAGTGACAGCTAAATGAGAAAGTCGTCCCATGCATCCGCTTTAAAAACGAAACCCCCACCTATTGTACACTCTGTGGAATGTTGAAATGAAACTCCAAGAAAGAGCTACAAAACGTTAACATTTCCCGCATCAATGTACTGGTTCATGACTCTCAGATTTGCAGGAGATGTAACGTTGTCATGTTTCGTTGTCATCACTACCATTACCAAAACGGCTTAAGGAAAACATCGGAACGAATTAGGAAATGGGTACGATGTCCATCAATGACCACCGCATCCAATTCGGATCCACATGCCACTTGCAAGTTGCCAACATGACAAAAGAAATGCTTGCATCGATAGTGACATAGTGGTGGTAGTGTACTCGAGTAGTTTTTCTTGGTGACTTGGATTCGGGTAACGAACGACATTGGTGGAATGTGATAAGGATAATAAACTCTGACATCCGCTATTTTTCCTCGAGTACCGCTGTAGCCACACTAAACTAGTCACTGTGACAAAATTTATTTCACCCTCATCCACAATCTAAAAACCACTCACTCACTTACTTTCTTCCCAATTTTTATTAATCAACAAACCACCACTTTGCACATTCGGAAACATGTCTTCTAGAGTGTGGAAGTTTATCTCGAATACCATTGGGAAATTACAAAGTCCTAGGCCTTCTCAGCAGAATGGGAATTTAGCAGAATCTTCATCCCTGCGAGAAACAGACTCCCTTTCCAGTACACCGACACGTCACGGCAGCGTCAATAAATTGGGAGAACAGCTCGCGGAATCAGGACTATCTTCGGCGCAGGATGAATCTATTCTTGAGACACCATCGGAGAAGATCAGCAACATCAGAGAGAAGCTCGAGGAGGCAGTTAAACCAGTTCCAAAAATTGAAGCACAGGATGATGTACAGGAAGATGTCACGGCAAGCAACACAGGCGATGATGATCTAGAGACCGCCCTAAAGACGACAGCGAAGTCACCAGTTGATGAATCGTTCTCAATTCTACCTCCAAGACAAAATCGCAGTAAGAGGAAAGATCCTGCGGAGAAAGTAGAGCCATTGGCGCATAATGAAGTTCTAGTCGAAAATACTCGCAAAACAAGGGCAAGAGGGAAAGCTGCGAAGGATGAGAAAACAACGATACATGATGAAGCTCCTTCTTCTCCTGGAAACGAGGGGCTTGATGAGGTGGTTGGAGAGAACAGTTCAGAACTTGCAGAGCCAGTTGTAAAGAATGAACTTCCAGAAATCTTCGGATCGGAGGGAGATTTAATGGCAGAAGTGGCAGAGCTATCGGTTCGCGATGAAGATCCAGTTGAAGTACCCCAGACCAATCGCAGTAACAGGAAACGACCAATACTTCCCAGAGTCGCGGAGCCAGTACAAACATCCACACCTTCCATTGATACACCTCCAGTTTCCAATAACAAAAGAAGACGAGATGTTTTAGAATCATCTACCGGGAATGAAGGACTTGAACTTGATTCTTCTGCTGATGTTCCTACTAAACGAAGAAAATTGGCTCCAAAACCTGTAAGCCCTCTGTCCAGGCTCCGTCCCCGAACCCGAACAACTGCACATACTAATATAACATAGGAAGGGATGGGTATCCCACCTGTAGGAACTACCCCGGAAGCTCGAGATGAAAGAAGAAAGTACATGGATCGAGAAAGACAACGAAGATGTAGACAACGAAAGAAGGAAAGACAACAAGGAATGCAGGAAGCTGAACGAGAGGTATTAGCACAAGCTAAAGATGAGAGAAAAAAGGCCATGGCAAGAGAACGTGTTCGAAGATATAGAGAAAATCAACGACAAAAACAAGGTGGTGAGATGGAATCAAAGACATCGGGTAGGCAACGAACAAGGGAACAAGCTAGACAAAGGGATATGGTATTGATTTCAAGTGGTCGAAATGATTCGAGGAATTCTGGAGGAAGTGAATCATTCGATAGCGAATGAATGATTTAAGAGAGGGATGGTTAATAATACACTTCCAAACTTTTCTTCGGACCTCGATTTTCTACTTCGTCGCTCGGACACTTACGAGAATCATCACTTATAACATGTTCGTTTTACCATTGAATTTTAGCGTTACTTCATTACTCCCATCAGCTATTTTTATAAGAATGCTTACCAGAATATCACATGAACACACACAGAGGATGAGTCCAAATCATCCAACCAACCATTCCGGCAAAACGTTCCACTATAGTATATCATACCAAGCTTTCATTTCGGTTTCTTCCATTGTACAAGATAGGGGATCTGATGGCGGAAACTTTTATATCACACGAAGCAGGATTTGTTCATTGATTTTAATACTACGAGTATGATAACTAATCATTATTCTGAAATATCATTATTCATGCACTTCACCCTCGTGCCAAAATTCAAAATGTGACCAATTGGTGAGAAATTGAGGGGTGTATTACTTCTTACTTATTTTTGTACTTGTACTTGTACTTGTACTTGCTTTTTCCTACTATTACCACAAGGAGAGATTCCTGGGGTGGAGAAGTGTGTGCTTGCGTTTCGGGTAGGGGTGTTGGGTGTTGGGTGTTGGGAATTGGAAGTGGATAGTTGGGAGGTGGTAGTTGATTATGGGGTATGTGAAAGTGACCTCGGGAAGGAAGTTAGCGAAGCGAACTGAGGCGAGGGGAGGCTTTTATATAGATAGGGGAGTATATGGTTGGGTTGGGATGGAATGGAATGGAATGATGGTTTGGGAGTAGAAGGGGGGGAATGGGAGGTTATAGTATATGTTCTTGAAGGGACTAACTGATGTTTCATGAGCTTATTAATGCTTTAGGATCGAATACTGAGTTGATTTATAAAATCATTAAGGCTTTAATGGTTTGGTATACGGAGTACCGGGGATTGAATGTTGGGTCTTATGATGTGATATGAATGAATGAATGATAAGTGTGTGATTAGTGAGTGTATAAGTAAATAAATAATTGAATCTTATATTTTTTTTTAAATTATTTTTAATTCAGACTTATAAATAACTTTATAATTAACTAATATTTAATAAAGCGAGAGAGAGAGATATTCTTGAAAAGAAAAGATTTTTTATTATTATATTGAATGTTATAAATAAAAATAAGATTATATAATTTAATAATAAAAATAATTGAAACTTTTATATATTAATAATATATTCAGATTTAAATATAATTATATTTTTTATCTTTAATATTTTCTTTTATATAAATAATAATAAATAGATCAAAATTTTATTATAAAAAAATATATAAAATTATAGATAAAATAAATTAAATCTTTAAATACTTAATTATTGATAAGTCTAATATCTCACTTCTCGGTCATCTTTAATTTCGATCATCTCAAAAAGAATTATTATATAAATTTTAAATCTTAGTAATTTAATAATTATTTTACTTTAATATAATTATTTATAAAATCTATTATATTATTATTAATAACAATATAATCTCTAATTTGAATTCATATCTTTCGAATAATTTTAATCTTTATAAATTTCAAATTCATAATTATTCTTTTTTTTTAAATATAATATATCTTATTTTATATTCTAATTATTTTATTTGATATTTTATTAATATAAATATATAACCTTTAATATTAAATCCTTTTGAAATTTTTTAAAACAATTGATAAATTAAAAATTAATCTTTTTTCTTCAATTATTATATAAATATATTTTCAAATATTAATTCTTTTTAAAAGGTTTTTATTCAATAAAAGATATTTTTTCATTTTATTGAAATATAAAATTATTATTTAAAAAGAATTTAAATAATAATCTATTAAAAAGATTTAATATTATTTTGAGATTATAAATCTAAAGTTTTTATTTTCATTTGATATTATAAATTTTAAATCCTTTATTTTTGTTTTTGATAATATTTAAAAAATTTAATTTATTAAAGTAATATTTTTTTTTTTTCAAAGATGAAAATATTGATAAATCTAATAATTATAATATATATAATAATAAAAATAAAGAGTATATTTTATATTTAAAATATTCTATTATAAATTTAATAATTTTTTAATTCTTATAATTATTCAAAATAAGTAATTTAATCTTTTGAATTAAAAAAATGATTTAAAATATAAAAACTTTTTAATTATTCAAAAGTTATTTTATTATTTATATATTCATTTTTAATTATAATAAAGTAAAATTTATAAAGAATTATTATTATTAAATTCTTAAATTTTTATAAATAAAATAAAATAAAGAATTTCATCGATTATTGAAATATATTCAACAAAAGAGATTCAAATTTTTAAATTGAATTGTTTTTTTTGAATAAAATATTATTAAAAACTTTTATTTATTAATTTATTAAAATTTAAGTTTTTTATAATACTTATTTTATTTATATTTTATTTGTTTTCAGGTTTGATATATTTAATATTAAACAAATACAATTTTTCAAATTATATTTGAAATATAAATAAAATTGATTTTATATTATTTTTTAGTTTTAATTTCAGGATTTTTATACAAAAAATCTTAAATTTATTCCTTTTTAAATAAATAATAAATTCTTTTTTTAACTTGAAAAGAATTTTTTTTTCATATATAAAATTAATATTTAATAATTTTTGTATTATTATTCAATTTATTAATCTTTTTTTTTTTGAATTGAGATTATTTTTTATATATTTTGATATTTTGATATATATTTTTTTATAAGAAACCCAATTATAAATTTATTTTTCAAATATAATATAATGAATATTATATTCCAAATTAATTTTTTTATATGGATATATTATTTACAATTATATTAATAGTTATAATAATATCATCTTTATTATATAGATTTGATATCTTATAAATAATAAAATATTTAAATTTCAAATCAATTGATTAAACGATTCTTAAATTATTAAAAGTCTAATAAGATAGATTATTTAAAATGAGATAGTATTTTGATGTAGCTGAGATTAGGGGTGGCCGAGAAGGGGGGAATTAGACTTAATCGCTCCTCTTTGGCCATATGTAACTCCATTTGAGGTTGCGAAAGGGCGGCAAGTGACGAATCGTGGCTTCTGTTGGTATCAAGACGCCTCCGTTGGCTAGGCGGACGATCCGCCTAGTTGGGACTCTAGACCTCTCTTCTCCCCTCTGCTTCCAAATTCAGCATGTTCACCGGCGATAAAATCCTGTCCAGAACTACTAAGCCCCGCTCCACTACTAATCACAACTGAGGAACTTCCGACTGACGACAACTGCTGGCTCTGTGTGGGCGCCGTTGGATTCAACAATGCATTTATCGGATTGCGGTTGATGCCAAAAGTACTCGATGAGGTTTTCGTGCTGCCATCTCCATGATTGGAGATTGCTCCTTCTCTAGTTTCCGAGATTCTTATTGATGCTTCGGCTATGAGGTTGTCATTGTGATTAACAATTGATTCTTCTGGCCTGTATTCAGTTACAGTCCATTCACCTCTCAACATTTCCTCTATTCTAGCTTCGACTTCATTTGCTTGTATCTTTTCGGCTTCTTTGCAGATCCCTCGATCCTTCAAGCACTTCATCATTTATCGAACTCCGTCCCCTTGGAAGGAAGAAGCTCCTCCCATCTACCTATTTTAGCAAAGTCCAAATAAAAAGAATCCACAGCTTACACTAATACTAAGATATCGTCTAGTTAAAGCAATAGTGAACCAGTTTCATCCAATTCATCTGCAATTGCTAGATATCTTTTCCCTGCCTCGTCCAACGATCGATGTTACCTTGAACATCTAACTTCTGATTCTCAGTCAGGCCGGAGTTCAGGACGAGTGCTAGAAAGCCAGCTCGTGTCTTCCTGTGAAGGGATTTGGAATTGAAGGCCGCCTTGAGCTTGTGAAGTTTGATATAGAGAAATCTGTGCAGTATACGATGGATAATGATTCCTTTCTCGAGTTTGATAAGTAAACAATAGGTGCTAGATACAGGATGGCTTGGCAAGCAACGAGCCTGAATAGCAATGGTGTGCCGAATTATTGTTGATGGATCAGCTTTCCAAGCTAAAACTCCTCTCTAATAGATGGATGAAGTGTGATAGTAGTGTTTGACCGTGATTTTGAAAATCTGTCCACCCTTTGATCGGGTTTGTGTAAGCCTGGACTTATACTTATTTGGTACTCCTTCCCAGATTATTATAAGCGTTGTTAGTGTCTGAATCTCTCTTTAGCAATGCAATTTGGAAAATTGAACGATATTAGGCTCACTTTGAAATCCTCGAACAGTCACATATCTCAACGATAAACGAGACTAGTAAGCATCTTCACTATCTTTTCCTTTAACCTTCTCCTTTCGTCTATCTGTGCCGATACTAAGACTTCCCATTAGGATTCGATTCTCTTTTGGCCATCTGCTCTAACGTCTTTCCCCAGGTTGTGCCATCGCTAGGTTAACAAAGGTATAATTTAGGTTAAAGAAACTAATCCCTAATACCCTGGCGCAGGTTAGCATTGCACATCCTCCTTACTGCAGAGCTTCGTGCTCACGATCAATCATTTAGTACAATCTATTATTAGCTACGAATTGCAATCATTATCACTGTTACTTCAGTCCCTGCTTGACGCCTAGTTATAAACCACCTCGATAGACGGCAACCCTCGTAACATCTTCCACCTTGTCTTCTTATCATCTTAGACTTCCTTGGTCTTGTTTTATATATCTTGCATCTTTTCCTACGTCTGCCTTCTTCCTGATACCATCTTGGGGAAATGTCCAAGATAGAAGGGTATGCAGCATGATCCCTTTCTAAATCTTTCGGTTTCAATGTCACCATCCCACATGTCCACTCTCATGGATTTATCAATTAAATCTAAGCCTGTACGCTCTGTAGTATTCATTATTGATCAGAAATATTACTCAATCAATATAAGCCTGCGAACATAACGAGTCTCAGAGATACGTCATTTATCGTTCGGAGGGTAGACAGAGCCTACCCGCAATCTTAGAAGTAGTTATGATAGGAGTCAGTTATTTGAAAAGTACTTATAAGAAAACTCTCTCTAGTTCTACATAACATTCTCAAGCTTATCTATATGCTTCAAGTTTTATCTTTTAAAAAAGCCCTCGAATTTCAACGTTTCTTGTCTATCTATACAATGATTACGAATATCAGATTGTTTTGTTCAGACCACTCCCTATACTTCAGAGTTGAACCAATTTTTCACCAATTAGCTCCAGTTTTTTTTTTACAGATTATTCTATGTTTGGGATATAGAGTTTGAAGAGCGGTCCATTTTGTACTATCATCGAATATATCTCTAGACCATTTAACTCTCACAGCGAGAAGTTCATTCTCGAAATCCATGAGAACAAGGAACAAAAGCAGAGGAATTTGATTTTTTTCTTGTTGATTTCTTCGAACAATACAACAGTCCATCCAATAGAAATACTTTTCTTATATAAAGCTTCGAGAAGGACATAGATCATAAAATTTATAACATAGCTAAAAGACATTCATTCTTTTCTATGTTTATTTACTCGTCTATAAATATTATTCTTTCTACCTATAATAAATATATTCAATCATTTTATCGATATCTCCAATATATTTTTGAATTTCTATCGAAATATTGAAGATTATTGAGAAGTGTTAAAGAGAAGTCCAATGACTAGTTGGGGATTTTATATATATCGAAATGGAAAACATAGGATCAAGGAAAAGAATTGAAGGAAAATGCTGAGATCTTCGGTGTTATGATCAAAGCCCTTGGGGAATTTTCTCGGTGCAGCTGCCCACGCAGCATTCGCATTTACTTGCTATACGGGAAGAGAGGGCAGACTGTGTATACATGAAAGACTGGGTGTGATGGAAGCTGACAGCTAAAATGTTTGCTTTGACAACCCAAACTATTTATCCAATATATATAAAACTATATATTCGCGAATAAAATCTCACTTATACAAAAGTTCAGCTAAATCTTTCGATGCCTTCAATAGATATTAAAGATAGTATCGGCCCTCCACAATGGTCACGAATATAAAGTGATTTTCGGCTTTCTTGGTTTATCAAATAAACGTCCTGTGTATCTTATTGTATTATACTATATAGTCAACGATCTTAGATTGATCATAGAAGCATACTAGCTTCGTATCTATATATTTGAATTTTCTATGATATCAGGTAAAATCTCTATAACTAATTTTAACTATTAAAAGGTATTTCTATTAAATCTAATAAATCTAATAAATCTAATAAATCTATTAAATCTATTAAATCTATTAAATCTATTAAATTTCAATAAAAATAAATTTCATGATTTTTATATTAAAATATAAAGATTATTTTAATAATATTAAAATTTATTTAAAATTTATTTAAATTTATATATTATTTATAAATGATTTAATAAAAATTTTAAATTAATTTTTTAAAAAAGAAAACCTCCTTCTGTCTGCACTTGAATATATATTTCTTATTCAAATTTATAATAAACTTTTTTAAAACTTGAAATTTTTATTAAACTTTCTCAAAAAGCCAGGGGTCCGGGAGGCGCAGGCCCCTGGCTGGTATTGTGAGGAGAGAAAAAAACATTACAAAGCAAGGTCTTCCACAGCTGCTTCATTTACTTCTATCTTTTGGACCTTTTTTCATGTCGGAATGTGCATTCCTTGAATGCATTGTGAAGATGAGGGCATTCAAAACATAGCAGCAACAGATGTCGAGGGATCAGTACCTACTTTATGACAGTTTCAAGTTTTCTAGAATTGTTAAACTTTGTCTCTCCTGACTGGTTACTTCCATGCTCTGCATATACCATGGGATGTGGTTGCTCTGATAGTTTTTGCCTGTTCCAGTTGTTCAAATCCTTTGCCTCAATCAACAACATCATGGTCGTCTTCAATTACCCATGAAGATGCATGGGTGTATGAATGCATACAGGATTTATGCCGGCGCCCATAAATAATTGCGGGCGGAGAGCATATACCGGCCAAGTTTTGACAAATTCCTGAGACGAAGTTTCGGAAAATGGAAAACAATACTTGCAACTTGAACTGGATAACCTTTTTTAATTGTTCGGAAAAGCGTTTGTCAATCATTCATTCATTGATCGCACTGACAATGATTGTCTGAACGCAAAGTCTTGGCAAATCCCAAATCCTTGATAGCATCATCCTGCAAGCTTCTTTCTACTCTGCTAACTGTCATGGAAAAACATGCATAACCTGCTTTATCGTGATATCAATATCCAAACTTCATTAATTAACATCACAAGAGCCATGGACCAGCCTCAAATCTCAAGCGAAAGGGAATGTCGTTTAGTCTCAATGTCAATTAACGTCTGCGATTTATCTAGACAAGCCGCCGTTATCCATGTTACCCATGTTACCCATCTTCACGTCGCATAGTTTTTCTTTCTCCACAGCTTCATGCCCACACTTTCAAACGTTACATGTATCAGCATCGTGACAGCTTTTATTGATGCCACTAGAAGAGGATTGTTGAACCTTCCCTTTAACTCATCCGTCATGTCATCTGGAAACTTTCTTTTTCTTTAGTTTGTACTTGTCATTTTTGGGGCTTTTGGGTTTACGGTGATTGCGTACAGGAATCTTCAATTGACTCTTTAAGGTGCTGGAAACCTTGGTTACTTTTGAATGATTTAATTCCATCGACTTACAAACGGCTTGATGCTATATCATCTAATGAATAATGCAATACGATACGGTGCGACACGGTACGGTACAATACGATAATTCTGACAATAAAATCGGATCGGCAAGTTAATTGAAAGATTGGAAGGTATTGCCAAAGAATCTAAAACTTTAATAGATTCAGCAAAAACATACTGATTCAGTAACAACACCGATAATACCATGGCAACTTGGGGAGCCTACTTTTCCTCCTATGTCAAAAAGAATCCTGGAGGCACGCCCGCAGATAAAGAGAGTGAACCAACAATTACTCCTATCGTACCATTGGACGCCGATACTGATGTCAAAACTATTGAGCCCTTAATCCTCGAGGAGGATAAGCCAATACCAAACACAGGCAAAGATGTGGAAAAACGGTTCGATGAGAAACTGGGGAGTGTAGGAAATTTGGGGATGGGCACAGCTTCAGTGACGAGAATGCCAACATTAAGATCGAACAGTAGGGGTGCAAGGATGGCAAAAATGTTTGGATACGGTACGGCGAAGGGAGAGAAGGTTGAAGAAAAAGGTTTGGAGGATAAAGAAGAGGTGGGGATATCTGTTGTTGAAGTAAAGGAGATAAAGACTCAAGTGGCACCCGAGATGAGCAAGATTGAAAAGTTGATGGCGGAGAGAAAAGCTGCTGCGATCGAGTCGAGAACTGCTTCATTGGAAAATACTCGACGAACGCCATCACCTGAGCCTGTACAAACCAAACAACCTCCGGAGCAGCTACAAGTTAATTTGCCAGAGCGGCCACCTCAATTATTTGACCTTGTTGAGACTGTAAAATCTGAGCCACTTGAGCCTTTACAAACAGAGCAATCTGTGGAGCCACTCCAACTTCCTCCGCCAGAGCAACAGCCTCAGTCATTAGGCCCTGATCAGACTGTACAATCTGAACCACTTGAGCCTGTACAAACAAAACAACCTTTGGAGCAGCTCCAAGTTATTTCGCCAGTACAACCACCTCAATTATCGGAGCTTGTGCAGACGGTACAATCTGAGCCAGCTGAGCCTGCAACAGACCAACCTTTGGAGCAGCTTCAAGTTATTTCGCCAGAGCAACCACCTCAGTTATCGGAGCTTGTGCAGACGGTACAATCTCAGCCGCCCGAGCCATCCAAACTTTCAAAACCAGCTGAGTCAATTAGCAGAGATTCCCTCCTACGATCAGTACCCGAAAAATCCAAGTCAATCGTTTCAGATACACCTACTTCAACACGCTTTTCATTCAAAGGAATAAAGTCCTCAACAAAACGAGCTTCCACACGAAGTAATACCAAAGCTTCAATATCTGCATTAGATGATCTTATGGCTGGATTCGGTGAGGATTTTGCTAACATTTCAGTCACTTCAAAACCTGCTGAGAATGAGAAGGGGGTGGAAAAGACAGCAACGGGAAAACCAAGAAATCAGCGAAAACAAAAGGCTTCAATTTCGGCACTAGATGATATTATGGCTGGATTGTACTCTATGGAGACTAAGGTAGAAAATACAGCTGCACCAAAACCGAAAGAGGTCCGGAAAGTCGATGTTAGGAAATCTGAGATATCTACAATGTCTGAAGTATCGCACGCTATTCTGAAAGTTCTTAGTCTGCCTGTTGAAACTCCTGAAGCAGCACGCGAAACAACGCCTGAAGCAGCACCTGAGATCTTAAAAGAGATATCGCAAACTCCAAAATCGACAAAAAAGATTCCAAGAGCAGTGTCAAGATTTCCAGTAGTAGTATCGGAAATTATCAGAACAACTCCAAATCTTCCGGCACCCATAGTGACAACAGATGCGATTCCTGCCACCATAATAGATCAGCTTAGTTTGATTCCTCTAAAGACCCAGATAGTCACCCAACCAGTTACAAAAATCCCCCGTTCACCAATAATAAATGGACAATTAAGTCCTATTCCAACACAATTTCGTCTTCGTCCCAAACGTTCTTTTAAAGACATGGTAAAACTGGCCACATCACCTCGTTTAGCACAAGTTGCTGAACAAGCTATTGAAGCTGAAGCTGAACGAAAGTTACTTCAATATGAAAGGCAAGCTGAACAGATGTTGCTTGAGAAGGAAGAGATGGAGGAGAAGAGAATGAGTATGGAGGAGAGTTTTAGGAAAATGCAGGAAGAGGATGAGAGGATTTCTAGAGAGGCGGATGAAATAAAGGCTTTTTATGGGGAGCAGGAAAGGATGAGAATTGAGATGGAGGCTGAAGAGGAGAGGGCAAGGAAGGAAACGGAGGCTGAAGAGGAGAGGGTAAGGAAGGAAATGGAGGCTGAAGAGGAGAGGGTAAGGAAGGAAATGGAGGCTGAAGAGGAAAGGAAGGAAATGGAAGAAGAAAGAGATAGGACAGAATGTGAAGAGAAGGAAGGAGAGATCAAAGATGGAGAGAGAACAAGAAAAGGCAGCTCAAGAGGCAGCTAGGAAGTTGAAAGAGGAGCAAAGATTAGAGGAAATGGAAAGACAAGCCGCAGCTAAGAAGTTGAAAGAGGAGCAAAGATTAGAGGAAATGGAAAGACAAGCCGCAGCTAGGAAGTTGAAAGAGGAGCAAAGATTAGAGGAAATGGAAAGACAAGCCGCAGCTAAGAGATATGAAGAAGAAGAAAGAATTGCAGCGATTGAGAGGCAAGCCGAAATGGAGAGATGGGAGGAAGAGGAACGTTTAGCAGCTGAAGAAGCAGCAAGGCGATATGAAGAGGAAAAAAGATTAGCAGAGATCAAGAGAATAGCAGAAGAAGAGCGATTAGAAGAAGAAGAAAGACTAGCATACGAAGAACAGTTACGCGAAGAGGAATTTGAAGAACGACAACGCCAAGAAGAAGAAAGAATTTACGCCGAACAAGCTCGACAACGCGATGAAAAAAGAGAAAGAGAAGCTCGAGAAAGAGTCGAAAGAATGGAAGCTCAAATGCGGGAAGAAGAAAGATTAAGAGCTGAAAGAGATGAACAGGAAAGATTACAAATGGAGGAAGAGGAAGAGGAAAGAAGAGCTTATGAAGAACGTGTTGAAAGACAACGTCAAAGAGATGAACGGGAAATGGAAATGCTAAGGAGAAGAGAAGAACAGGAACAAATTACTCAACAGCAACGATTTGAAGCACAGAGAGAAATGGAAAGAATTGATAGGATGGAACTTCAAGAGAGAGAAGTTATGAGAATGCAACAACAGCTTCAACAGGAGGAAATGGATAAAGAAAGAGAAGAAGCTATTAGATTCCAGCGTCAACAGCAAGCGGATGATTTTTTGATGAGAGATGAGGATGATTTTGAGGATGAAAGACCTTTAACGGTGGAAGAACAGATGGCGAAAGCGGAAGAGAAAATTAGAATGGCGTTTGCGGGGATGGCGGCGCAGAAAGCAGGGGGTCAGGGGATGGCCAGCCAGGGGATGGGGAGCCAGGGGATGGGAGGGAGAGAGAGGATGGAAACACAGTTTATGCAGCCTGCTAGACAGTTGGCTCCTAGACCTTCGGTTAAGGGGGGTTTGCCCGGTGGTCCTAGGAGTGGGGGTGTTCCGTGGGCACCGAGGATGAAGAGGGTATAAGGAGAGGTGGTTTAATGTGATGGATTGATGGGTGGATGGATGGATGTCTGGTGGGAAGTTATTATTACCTCTTTTTGAAGGAATATACATATACATTATAGTATCAAGATGAATAAATACATTCACTAAATATCTATCTTAGACATCAATAACCTTAATGAAATGAAACTAAACTCGATTATTCCACTCTGTTTCATCTCATTTAATTTATCATTATATTATATATAAGATTATATCTCGACTCAAGTCATAATACAAGAATGAGATAATTATTAATTAATTAAAGTTATCTTTATAATATATATCTTTATATAAATATAAATATAAATAAAAGATTATTATTTTATTTATATACAAACACCTCAATATATTCATTTCATTTTATTTATAATTTAGAACTCATAAACTAGAATATATAACTATTAATAATATTTATTCATTTATATCTTATATTAAATTATAATATATTATAAAGTTAAAGAACTTAAGAAGTAATATAAAGATGATTTGATATTCATCTCAGTCGGTATTTGAGTATCGAGATTATAATCTTATTAATTATCTCTTGATTGAGTTTAAAGTATAATTCTTTAAAAGAATTATATAATTAATTAAGTGAGTAATTATTGTATTATTTGAAATATCAAATATACACTTTAAATATGAAGATTAAACTTATTAAAAGTTTATAAATTTTTTATTTTTTTTTACTTACTTCCTTACTTACTTCCTTACTCACTTCCTTATAAAAACCCCTCAAAAAAACAAAAACTGAAGTTCAAACTTCAAAAAATTATATAATATAATATACAACATGAAAATATTCTCTAGCGTCCAAATACACATCCATGATATTGAAGATGAAGTAACGCAGATGTCTACCGAGGCTCGCCAGCTCTTTTACCTAGCTAGATTCATATAACGAATGAGTAATACGTGATAACATTGAAGAACCTGATAGATAGAGATACAAATGCATCCTCACTTCCGAACCCCATCGTCTTCAAACCCACGTTGACAATAGTGTGGTATAGCTCCACATCTATGCACAGCACAATCCGTCAGATCTCCGCAAGCTTCGAAAAAGACGCATTGTAATAACTCAAAGCTTTCCATCCTATTCCGTCTACCAGTGTATCAGCAGATACTACCTAGTCGACGTGATAAGTCTAAGATGGTAAAAGGTTCGCATAGGGAAGGAGGAATTTACATGTAGATAGAGAATTAATCAGCATTTCCATCCGAGAAATGATGAAACCTCCAGACTGTGTAGATCTTGGTATATGATACCGCATTACTATCCGTTTAAAATTGTAGGATCGTTGATATGATTTACTATATATCATACACACCAAAATCATGAAATCATCCCGATTTGTACGACTAGATGAATGTGGTTCGATGGTAAGGTTTAGGTATACGGATATATGAATGCTCCGTCACAGCCGAAATACAGATTAGAGTAAGGGACTACAGAAAGATGCGTCTATTTTTAATGAAAGGAGTAATTCTAAAAAGATGCTCGATAAACCAATAACTCTGGATTCCTCATGAAGGAATCGATAGTGGGATGAAAGATAAAGTGGTAAAAACCTATGCATGTACACTGTGGAAATATTGCAGTCGAATTCAAGGCCGAATCTCCTGGTACTCTCGTCTGTTGGAAAAGCTTGTAGAGGTTCCCATCCAATAAACTCCATGATTATCATCCAGGATTATGATCTCTCAGAACCCTGTGGGCACACTACTTGCTAACCATTTCCCCGACAACTGTGTTATTGTAAGCTTGAAGCCTGGATCGATGTTCGGAATACACTATTATGGACATTAGGCACTTGCCTCTTGCACGTAAGATTCCTTTACTCATTCGACCATAAAGTTACATCATATACAAGATTGAGCATTTGGAGTAGTGAGGCTTCATTCAGATGCTTGGCAGAAATAATACGATATCCAAAACTCTCAAGGTTTCTATTCCGTGGGACTATCCCTTATATTCAAACAAAATTATCCAAATATATCGCCATGGTTCAACCTCTACTATGCTTGTGTCGATTCCCAGGTACGCCATATTTCCAATGATCCATCAATATCTCCGCAGCTTCCGAAACTCCTTTCGTAACCTCTATTATAAATCGAAAGATTCGTATTAACATTCGTCCAACATGGCCATACACAATTCCTACATCATCGAACCCCTCAAACCTCCTCAAACTTCATCGGTCTCTTTCCACTTGCTTCAGCAATCTTCTTAACCTCCTCTTCCTCCGTCCGATCAATAACCTCTTTAATATCAATTTCCTTCCCCGCCCTCCCCTCCTTACTCTCACCCTGCCTCTGCGCACTCTTCCTCTGCCTCATCTTCTCCCTCTCAATCTTATCCTCCCAAGGATTCTTGTCCCCAAAATCCTTAACATAAGGATTCTGTCCACTGTACCCCATAACAATCGCGCGTTTCACATCAGGGAGATTAAATAACGATTCCCACGCTTCCCGCACAAGTTTATATTCATGCAATTCGTAGTCTTTTATACATTCTTTGTTATCTGAGTCCAGAATATAATGCGAAGGGTTCCCGGGTTGTGAAATTTGCGAACTTCGCCCGTCCAGGAGGTTTTTAGGGTTTCTTTGAGACTGGTGAGACAGGATCCTAGGTAGGTTTGTTGCATTTCTGGATTCGAATCGAAGAAGATTATCGGACTGCCAAAATTGAGGTTGGGGATTTGAGCGTTCGTAATTTTTGCGTGGTGGGTGAGGGTTGGGAATTTTTGGGTTGTGAATGAGGAGAGAGCGGTGATGTGTTTGAGGCTTTTGAAGTTTAATCCTCGAAAAGTGACTATGTAAGCCGAGGCCTGTCTTATGTGCTAAGGAAACATTAGATAAAATATTAATATTATATAATCAGTAAAATCCCGATATTTATCCAGAAACTTAATGATATTTAAAGTCGAGGAATTTATAATAATATAAGTATATATTTATTTTATCAATATAAATAAAAATTTAAAATAAAAATTTTAATTTTAATAAATTTTGAAGTTTATAATATTTTATTATCTAGATTTATAATATAAATTACTAATTGATATAATAATTCAATTAAATAAAATCTCTATTACAAAAAATAATTATTATCACTTTTTATACATCTTACAAATATCTATCTGATATAATTATATTAAGATCATATAATCCATCTCACCCCGTCACTATCAAATCTTTCTCTCTCTTTCAGACATATAACAAATATCTCTCTCTCATCATATAGTATTCACATATTAGGTATCATGAATACAATCAAACTTAGAACTTAATATAACAGATTCTACACTAATTACTGCTTTGGTGTTATTTGTAGAGTTGTGGATTTTTTATGATTTGTTTATTTGTTTGGTGATTGATGGCTTCATTGGCTGGAGTGAAAAGATGAGTGTATTGATTGCGCTTCTGTATATTGAGATAGTTATGGGATGAGTAGTAGAAGTTTGGTGCTCTTTGAGGAGTATATGTAGGGTTGGAAATTGAGTGAGAGTTTGAGAGTGGTGTGTAGAGGAGAAGTATGATAGAGGCATAGGTTGGGTGTATCGTTTATTTGGCGTCATCATTCATTTCTTTTCATTGATCCTTCTGGTAAATCACTATCGGTTGGTGTATGATACTATATCTAAGTAGCCGCGTTTGCCCATCTGAAAACCCAGGTCACAATGTAGATCATGATCTCGTTGAATAGCATTAATATTTCCCATGACAAGTTGGAGATCACACCAGGAAGAGCACCTCTATTTGGTGATATCTGCATTCATCTGTTGTTACACACTCCTTATGATTCGAACCATTGAGTTTGCTTGCTTTTTTCTATTATATGGTTCCCTTTTTACATCCAAATATTGAGTCTGCAATGAAAGACAAGGCGATAAGCCTAAACTCACCTCCTCCCACTCTTTCATCTAATCCTTAGGTAGGGAAGGGAAAGCTATCAAACTTTTCTTTCGTCTCATCATCAATAGATTAAGTGGAAATTTTTCATGACGATTGCTTCACACCGCGCTGCTCATTTAGCCACTGATCGCCAAGTCAATTCAACTGATCACAAGTCACTTCGATGGACTCGAGTTTTAGCACGAAAGATTTGCTCCAGATGATTTGGGTGTTGCGAAGAGTATTTTGAGAAATAGGTGAGAGGCAGGTTTTGGAGGGGTGTGTGAAAGTAGATTTGGGGAATATCGAGGGTGATGGTCGGTGAAAAGATTCTGGACTGGAAAGAATGGAAGTCTGAAGAGGAAGAGGATGAAGAACTTGAGGTTGACGATAGGCAGAAGGATTGACGGTTGAGCTTTGGGGAGTATGAGTCCAGCGGTATGAGATCTTTATAGTCTCGGCAATCGTAATGCTTCATGAGATAGATGACTAGTTCCAGCTGAAATCGATATCTGAGATATTTGAACTGTAGATATATCGTCAATTGATAAGTACTAAATTCACTTGTCTCCTCTTATAACGAAAGGAAGGTGGGTGCGATTTGAAAGAAGATGATCAAAAGAAAAGTGGTCCCTAGACCTTTGCAAAAATAAAAACGAGCTTAAAGAAGAGCATCGTATTTCAGATATGCAACAAATCATGCAATGCGTGCTTGATGTCACGTGTATCAAGAATCATTGGGCGACGATATGAAGGCTAAACCAATCATCTATCTATATGCGGGTACGATTGGATAATCCAAAAGGTGCGTAGTATGAAAACACATTTGTGAGTCCTACCGATATGCAACAATACGCGGAAGGCCTTTACCACAGCATGAAACGGAGATCATTGGTTGAGGATATCCGTAGAGTAATTATAAACAGGGAAATGGAGATGTGGATAATCTGACTGCTCAAATGGAGCTCAATTTGAGATGTGCAACAAAATATCTAAAATGTTGGTTTTGGATCACATGGAGGGAGGATTATTGGGGGACAGATCTATGTTGCGAGTCGGGTGTAACATATCCTATACACCTTTTTTTTGATCCCGTGGATTGTTGCATGGCATTAGACTCACTGGTACCCAAAGATCCCTCAGGTTCTTGGCTTTTCCCAAGTGTGCAAACGATCAGGAACCAGAGACAATTATATCATATTCCTATTGGAAAGGACAATACCCGCGGATGATATTGGTAGATTTCAATGGTGTGTAGTACAAAAAACAGATTGTGTAAATTTTCCTCATTGATAGATATGCAACATATCTGTAGGGGGTGATATATATCACATAGAGGAATGGTTATTGGGTCCAGCAGCGGAAGCAATCTGCAGCCACAGGAAAGGAATGCAATTTCTCACTCGCCGGATATGGAACTCCCATGGAAGCAGAGGTGCAACATATCCCTCTCTACAGTCCCAAGGATTGATTATTAGATACAAGAATATACAAAGACTTCATCAGACAGTTTAAACTCAAAGATTCGTACTTATTCCACAGCCGTCAAAGGGAAAGATACATACCTCCAGATACACACCAAACCCCTCACCATCATCACCACATACACACACAAAAAGCCATAATCAACCACCAAATCGAAACGGAAAAGCAAAATGCAAATTTCTGCTCTTGCTAGATAGGTATACAACAATTCCCGCCTTCAATAGTTAACAACACATGAAAAGATTGTTAATGGTAGCTGAAAAAGTAATTTACATGTACAACCTCATTTTACAATGCGCCACGGCGCCGCAACAATGCATTTTATGATATACTCCTACATGTTAGATAGGCAACAAAAAACATGCAAGATTTTCGATATAGAGTAAGGCTTTGTGGGAGTGTGTTACAGCACGTGGGATTTGCTGAGTAAAGTTGAACTATGAGATACTTTGTTGTTGGTGATGTAAGATTTAAGATTAGGGAGTGTGTGATGGTATAAGATTTATAGACAGATGTTTTTCTAGTAAGGTTATATGATATATGATATGTGAAGTGGTGGTATTCCTTTCATTATGTCGGCATAAGAGAGTTAATGTAATCTTATAACTCCTAGGTTATCTTTCGGATATATGGGATCTCTAAGGACTGCTCGTAATACTCTTATATTGTATTATTCTACATTATATTCATTAGATTCATCATATATACTCAGAGTCATTCCTCACTCTTCGCCCCCAGCCCCGCCCATTGCTACTCACCTCACTTCACCTCACCATCTTCCTACTTCCCACCCACTCCTCTCTCTCCTCCGCCTTTTCCTACCACCACATCCCAATCCCAATCCCCATCCTTCCCCCTACACCTCATCCATCCATCCATCCATCCACATCCACCAACCCACCAATTCCAAACTCCACCAACTCCACAAAGCCCCCAAAACCCCTCAAACATCCCAAAACACAACCAAAACCCCAAAATGTTGCACATCTAAAAACTGAGGGTGTGAAGCCAAACAGCGGTGTGAGGTAAAAGCACCCCATAACCCCATTTCACACCTATAATAAGCAAACAAAATGCATCATTATTCCTAATGCGTTTTTCCTTAAAAAAAAGAAAAAATGGGATTAGTGGTGTGTGTGTAGTGTAGTGTAGTGTAGTATACGTGGCAGATGTGATGTAAGGTGTGTGGGCGGGCGGTGTTTATGCGATGTAGGTATGTATGTATGTATGTGCCCTGTATGTATGTAATGTTACGGGTGTTGCAGGTGCGAGGTATACGAGGTTGCAGAGTAGGTACAGTACATAGGTAAGATCTGATGGATGGGTGGGTGTAAGCGAGGATTTTTTGACTAGGTTAGTTATTGATTATTTAAGTATGATTATTCCACCCGCGATTGAGATTGGGATTCCGCTCCTACGTTTTATAAAGACGGGGTTTTTGTTTCTATGCTTAGGTATTAATATATTACAGGTTTTTGATTAAGGATTGTAAGTTGAAGACTTGGAATTATTATGACTCCAAGATGAAATGTGTATGTACATTTCTTTGGTGCTAGGTCACGTGCATGTATAAAGATAAGTATATACTGAATCATAGAAGGGGGCATCTTATTCATATACGATCAGGTCCGATCAGATTCAATTCCATACAATTATATGGATAATGATCAAGTTAATCTGATGTACAGATGAAGGAAGGAAATGGGAGCTAAATCACAGGGAATTAATGCTCCCGGGAGTTATCTTAGGGTTAGGGATAAAAAAGGACTAGAGACTATCCAGTATTTTCTACGGAGATGTAAAAGAGCTAACCTCCTGTATCTGATATCATGATGGCTTAAATAGCGTCACTTACATATTTGATGCGAGTATCACGTGGTAGAATGAAGAATGAGGAAAGCTTTCCGTGTGTCGCAAATGTAAAGAAGGGAGAGTCGACTCTTGATATATATTTATTTAGATATGCAAGAATAGGATGCAATCAGGAGGTATGAAGTTGTCCATTCAGATACATGACACAATGAACATGAACTGAACTAGATCGTATGACTAGATTCGCCGGACAATAGAAATCTTAATCTACCACTCTATTCACAAAATACAAGATCTGTCCTTTCAATGATTGCAAATAAGACATTCTCTCTGACTGGTCCGCCCAAAATTAACAGTACATAATATTTAGTAAACTTCAAGCGGCTTTTCTCAGCCTCGAATCACCCAAAAATCTATAAATAAAAAGCTTCAACGGTCTCGACTCCTTAAAACTTCAATCGCGTGATATTGAGAGGCTCGGCGAAAATACGATCTGCAACAAATTATCAAAGTACGGATTAATATCGGATGAGATGAAGCAAAATAATGAGGCTGAGTTTCAAGTAATGGCTTTGGATATTTGCATAAAAGAAAGATATGAATAGGAACGAAATGAATGAGGGAAGGAATGAAAGAGACACTGATGAGAGAATGGCTACTTGATAAATTTTGGCAAAAATTACCACACCATCTGAGATAGATGGGAACTACTTGGACTACCAAGTATAGAGGCAAACTACCAAACATCGCCTTTACGTGATCACCATCTATCTACCTAGATAGTTCAATACTAGATGATCAAATGCCAACTTAAAGATATTGTCAGATTAGATCAAGTTTATTCCTTCATCTGATCACTACCAATCCGAGTCAAAACCACAAGTTATTTGCATAGCCGGGTTATGATCTCGGTGTGATCTCCGGTAAGCTCTTTGTTATCATCATTCAATATCTTGATGTTGAAGAAGGCCATGATTGAAGTTTGTGATGTTGTCTGTCGCCTAAAGGTACGTACCTAGGTATGGATGGGTAAAAAGTGGCGTGCTACTAGTTCTGAGTCATTTTTGAAGTCGTAGATTTCGAAACGACACATTGTTTGATATCTTAGACAGGAAGAGACTCTGGGGTTTTGGGAGTCTCTGGAGTCTTTCGAGGTCTTTGCAAAACATGATGGCTTTCCATGATGATGCTTGTGTCCATAATATTATTTTTGAGCGACAGTTCTCGACGCGTTTCTGTGTAAGTATTTGATCCTGGAGCTCACCAAGATTTGGTGGCCTGTTGTGTAACAGTGGATGGCTTTCTTTTCTTGAATCATGCAAGGTAAGTCCATCAGAGAGAGTAAACGGGACATAGATAATCATCGTGAATGAAACCATTTGCAAGCATTCCATCGACACCAGAAGAATAAACTTCTGAACTTCGAAAGCGTTCAGATATTGTTTGATGTAGAAATCATGATGAAATATTCTTCTCGATAAATCAAGCGGGTGCAAGGGGCCCTGAATCATCCATTTATCCATCTATCCATCTATCCATCTATCCATCTATCCATCTATCCATCTATCCATCTATGACACCAACTCCTATTCATGATTAGTCAAATGAAATCCCAGACATTTCTTCCTTGTTCCTATTATATTATTTTCTATACATAAACTTATAAATGTAGCTCCAAGCCCGCTCAAAACTTTTATTTTCATATATATTTTATATATATCTCAAAATGTTACCTCGCTGCCAAGTACAATTCAATTAAAAACATCAATTCATAAAGTCTTTGAGATTTATAAACTTCATTACTCAAGTACTCTATAGGAATTATTCATTCATTTTTCATATTGGCCAATCAAATTAATTCGTTCAACAAGATCTCTTAATTTTTCATCGGAGCTATTTTGATTCGTGCTCATTTTCACTCTCACCGCCCTATGATAAACGAATCTTATCGACAGATGGATGAAGGGGAGCTCCGATAAGAACTAAGAACTAAGAACTAAGAACCAAGAACCAAGAACCAAGGAAATAAACAATTCATCATCCTTTTTGGCCTTCTTGCTCTCAAGAGAAAGAAAGGGAAAGGTCTTGAGGATATATAAAGGTTGGTACATGGCAATTTCATAAAGAAAATCCTCGGGAAAGATTCCATAAAAGCTACTGGGTATTCTATCGTACTGTACTCGGATTGAGTCCAATAACGAGTCGTGTCTCTTTCAATATTTCAATACGGTCGGTACCCATCTGAATCTCTACGGTATCATCGAATTCGGCAGAAAATCAAATCTTTATACAAAAGAAGAGCAGAAGACACCAAGATATTTTCTTTCTTAAGAAGTGGATTGCTTGATTTCATTTGGTTCTTTCAATTCGTCAAGTCTTACCCATAAAATCCATTAGCCTTGTATAGTCGGGATAATCTAACCTCAAATTCCACAAATTCAAGCTACTTTATACCGAAAATATATTAACGTCAAAAATTGATCAGAAATTCAAATTCAAATTCAAATTCAAATTCAAATTCATAAAAGGAAAGGGAGGAAAGGAAAGGAAAGGGAAGGAAAGGAAAGGACAGGAAAGGAAAGGGAAAATGGATTCAACTTATACACCTCAATCCCCCGATCTATCGGGTTTCTTAGCACCTGGTACATATAAAAATCAGCAAACCTCATCATATGCACCCAGATCACCGGTAATTCCTGATTTTAGTACTCTTGCATCCTCAAGAGCCTCGCCATCAATTCAACCACAAAATCAATATATAAATTACCAACGAAATCAAAGAAATCAACAAATATTTACTCCCGGTGGAGATGCAATAAATGAATTTGATCAATACGATTCAAGTCAACATATGCCACCAATTCCAGCTTTACCTTCTACGCATTTATTACATTCCTTCGGAATCCAAGGAACAAATTCATCAAATTCATCAAATCCATCAAATTCATTTATAACGGCCCCACAATTTTACTACCCCTCTCACTCTCACTCTCACTCTCAGACCATCAAATCAGAATTTGACTATAATAACAATTCATCTCCAGCTATCGTCGCTAACTCACAATTTCATCAATCTCATCAATCTCATCAATCTCATCAATCTCATCAATCTCATCAATCTCAATCTCAATCTCAAAACACTTCAACTACCATATTTTCCGAAATCCCTTACAACAATCGTATCCCATCACCTTTTGACCTTACATCCAACAATCCTACATCTGTATACCAGTCCAACAATAATAACTCATCTCTCTCTCGCCAAAATTATACCCCAAACCCACTGGATATGTCAACGCGAGAACCACGGCAACCACGCGTTAAATCTCAACCCAATATCCCAAATACATTCGACCCATCCTCTCAATACAATACCAACATGTCAACTTACCCGCTAGGTCCTCAACTACCTCTCGCAAGTGCTCCTCCTCCGCCTACGACGACGACCAAAAATCCAAATCCCGACAATATAGAGATTCGCACAAAATTCCCCGTCGCCCGCATAAAACGCATCATGCAAGCCGATGAAGAAGTAGGAAAGGTAGCTCAAGTAACACCGGTTGCAGTGAGCAAGGCATTGGAGCTTTTTATGATTAGTTTGGTGCAAGGAGCTGCGAGGGTGGCGAGGAGAAAGGTGGAAAGAGGGTTACGGCGGGTGTTTGAAGAGGGTTGTGGAGGGGATGAACAGTTTGATTTTTGAGTGAGATTGTAGGGAGGGTACAGGAGGTGATCCCTTGAAGGAGGAGAAGGAGGGTCGGCGGGCAAGAAGAAAGGAAGGGAGGTGGAAGTGGAAGGGGGAAAAAGAAAAGTGAAGAGTTGAGGGTGGGTTTTGGGGAGATTATACATGGATTTTGTTGATGGGAGGATATTGATATTGAAGAAGTCGGTTTTGCTTTTAGCTGGATGGGTGTATGGATGGATGGGCAAATAGGCGCATGGCGTTAGATGGATGGATGGATGGATGGATGGATGATTATGGAGTGGCATATACATAGGGACCATACAGACATACATGGAGGCGCTATGCGGTGGTTTTTGAATTCGAGTCTCGAGTTCGAGTTTCGAGTTTTGACCAGACGATTTGAGTTATTCTTCCACTCGAACGTTACATTACATTACATTACATTACGTATTACGTACACCCTTTTTTTATCTACTAGGTAGCTTCACTAACTTCACTAGCTAGAATAATCAATAGTATAAGTGTGAATAATGACTAGTGCTAGGAGTTGGCTATATCTTATTTTATTGTATTACACGTATTCTTCCTTTGTTGTGTGAATGAATATTGAAAGTCGATAAGAGGAAGGCGAGGGGGAGATGAGGTTCTATAGGGAGGGGGAGATGGATGGATGGATGGAGCGAAAGTAAAAGTATAGAGATTAGGAAATTCGGAAATATTAGATAACTGAGGTGAGGGGTGGGATACGATGATGAGGGTGTGAGGGTTGAAGGTTTGAGAGGAGGATGGGGATGGGGATGGGGATGGGGTGGGGATGGGGATGAGTTGTAGAGTGGAAAATAAAATAAAATAAAATAAAATAAAATAAAATAAAATAAAATAAAATAAAATAAAATAAAATAAAATAAAATAAAATAAAATAAAATAAAATAAAATAAAATAAAATAAAATAAAATAAAATAAAAATAAAATAAAAATAAAATAAATAAAATAAAATAAAATAAAATATTTAATTTTCAATTATCAAAACAAATCGATATTCTGCCTGCACTCTAATATATATATTCAATATTTAAATTTATTATAAATTTTTTAAAACTTAAATTTTTACTAGACTTTCTTAAAAAGTCAGGGGTCCGGAGGGCGCAGGCCCCTGGTAAAATTTAAAAATATAAATTAAAGTTTTTTTTATATAATTCAAAATTTGAAATCTTGATTTATTATATAGTATTTGATTTAAAGATTTTGAAATTTATATATAAATAAAAAATCAAAATTTCAATTTTTAATATCTTAATTAATAAAATTATAAAAGTATTTAAATCTTTTAAAATTTGTTAATAATTGTATAATAAATCTTTAGTTTAAACTTTATTAAGTTTTATTTATTTATTATAAAATTGTAAGATTCTTGTTACGACGGGCTACACAACTACCATCACATGACCAAGACACGTGATCATTAAGGATCACTAAGGATCACGGTATAGGTGATCACTGGTGATCATAGAAGCATGAAGGTCTATATAATCAAGATGGATTTCCTTTGTATAGAGCTTCGTGCTCAAGATCAATCATTTAGTATACTCTACTATTAGTTACGAATAGTATACTATTATTGTCATTACTTAAGTCCCTGCTTGACGCCTAGTTATAAACCACCTCGAGAGCCTAGAGCACTTCCATGTGATCTAGACGGCTACCCTCGTAACAATTCTTTAATAAATTATTAAATCACTTGATAATATTAACCGAACTAATGATCGGATGATCATGCGATATATTAATAATATTCATATATATTAATAAATTTCATTTTAATATAAAAACTCGATTATAATTCATATCAGATTGATTTATAAGAGAATAAAATGAAATAAAAGTATATAAAATTTCTTATTTATTAAATTGAATAATATTGATTGTTATTTCTTTTTATTATATAAAATGATTTTACAAGATTTGATTCAAACTGTTTTTATTATTAATCATAGAATATATTAGAATTTCATTAAATATTATAAATATAAAGATTTTCTTCAAAGAATCTGTTGGTACATCATGTGATCAACCTCGAAGGGAGCCGTACAACTAGTGCATTCTAGCCTGTACCCCTTTCAATATAAATAGGCCCTCTCCTCTAGATAAATAATAATCATCCATGAACAAATACAAGAAGATAATACATTGCATTGCAATCGTATCACCGAAGTGACCCAACAGTGATAAAAACATCGTTAATGATAATGAAAGCTTTACGATAATTACAGGGGAAATAATATCCATGCCTTGCAGCCGTCGGGGAAATATCTCCCGGAACCTATCTCCTGTCTGTCTTATTAGTATGGCTCGTCTTGATGCAGACCTCTGGCCGAACTGGTTTATATGTCTGCCTATGATAGTTAAGAATAGGAATGAATGGTGGACAGCTACACAATTTTATATTGAGATTTTGAAAATGCATATGCTGGTTCCCAAATCGTCAAAGATTATGCAGAGCCTTAGTGAATTATCGACTGCTCATCAACTTTAGGAAATACACAATGCACAATCATCTCTTCTTACTAGACCTCAAAAATTTTAGACTACGAGCTACGAAAACAACGACCTCATCTGAAATTCCATCTTGTCAGATCCCAAAGACCTTGCAGAGAATGAACACAAGTCGGGACTACACACTTTCCCAGCTGGTGAACCTCAATCATTCAAATCCTCACCCCCACACACCTAACAGTGAATACTTACTCACACGCTCTGTCGTTATATTCCCAAACAAACCCTCTCCCTCAATAACATCCAAGAACCGATGGTCTAGTGGCTAGCCTGGCCAGCTTTCTTCTATAACTTCGACTTGGATGTTCATTGCCACAGACAACGATTTGCAAGGTTTCTGGGTTTCGCCTGGCCGGGGGCGAAATTTCTTTTCTCTTTTTTCACACTGAACATTATTTTCTTTTTTGGTATGAGACTGACTAGATTTTCTCTCCTGAGGGTTGGAATAGTTGCAATGATTTGAGTTATTGTTGAGTTGTGTATGATTGGAAGTGGTGTTGGGAGATAAGTGGGTTTTGAGAAGAGGCGAGTGGTGAGAGTGAGATTAGGGGAGTGAATAGGGGATGGAAGCGGAGTTGGGATACATATGAGGCAGTGAGACAATGACTAATCTGCCAGTAATGCTGGATAAAAATGACAAAAATGAATCAGTAGGTAGCGAAGGTCTCAATAACAATGCCAAAGACTGAGTGAGTAGGGAAGTTTTGATAATTAATAACCGCGTCAACGATTGAGTAGGAAATCTTCAGGACTCCCATGATTAGTGATACTCCTTCCCTTGTTATTTGGAATCTAGCTCTTAGAAATTCTGGGACGAATTGAGTATTATATATTGGACAATTAATTCTCCATCAATGAACTTAGAAAGGAAAGACAGGCTAAGGCTATATGATTCATATATATTCCGTGGGGCTCATCTCTTGCTCGATCACAAATCAGGCGTCACGCGTTGATATTCACTCTCAAGACTTCCTAGTCCTGACCGATAAGTTATAAAACACTATAAAGATTGGATCAGCAAACATGGCAAAGAACGCAGAAAGGCTAGAGAATTAGCTGAAGGAGTCACTCCGCAGCAGTTAGACACAGAACGTCCTAGAAGTGAGGAACGTCGAAGAAGTACCAAGTAAATACGAGCCTGAGATAAATGGTAGTTAAGGACTCCGATAGTGATTGGAAAATTCTAAATAACAGCGAAAAATGAGCTCCATAACAAGCAAACCGAAAGACAGACCAGAATATAGTATCACGAGCTTTCGAGGGAAGTGGAGATAATAGCATCTGAGTATATATTTACATCAAGGTGACATGAAAATTTGACCATTCCTAACATCATTTATTTGACTGTTAAATCAAAGTTGTTTTATAAGAATCTTCCTTAGTGAAACATAACTCTTTTATAAGTCAAGCGAACAAATTTTTACATTAGCGCTGGAATGAGAGACTAAAATATGAGAGGGATGGAGATTGGGGATTGGACAGTCCTTGAAAGAGCGGAGAAGGCTTAATAACAAATATGCCTTGATATATAAAGTTCCGTTTACGCTAAAGTTCATGCCAATTTCCTGTTTCTAGAATTTAGTAACTAGACTATTAGTTATAAAAGACACTTTGCTACTTGGAGGCTTTAGAAGCTGGGAAGAGTTACTGATTGAAGAATCCAAGGGGCAGCAGTGGTCTATGTCATTGGGTAGCAGAAAGTAACACCAAGCACCAGAGTCTCCAGGGAAGTGGTGGTTGAATACTGATTGATTCAATTTTAAGTCTGAGGGTTAGAGTCTAGATGACATTAATTACACAACAGTGAGATTTGATATATCAGTGACAGTACAGAATATAATGAACAGTAGCATATCATAACTATAGGCATAATGAGAGCGATATCAGCAATGGCACACTTTGAGGATAATGGAGGTATCATTAGATTACCATTAATTAACCTATCTGATGATAGTGGAACAGAAGAAAGGTGAAGGCCATGTTACATTAGTTCCGGTATCTCAAACGAAGCATAACCACTTGATGCAAATGTCACAGTTATCGGTTCCATACCATCTCTATGCATGGGATTAATTTTTAATCCAAAAATAAAAGTAGCGTGCAATGAAGTAGACTTGGTTATAGATCCGGGAGTAATCCATTGCCCATCAATAGAAATCTCGAGGTAGATGAAAACTTGCAACTATACAAAGCGTAAAAAGAATTTACTGAGGAACATAGAGTAAGAACAGGATCAGGTGCGGAAACAACAAGGCTTGCGAACCAATCAGGAAACTTAGGAAGACGGCCAGATTCTGAAAAAGCCTTGAAAAGGTTGCCATGGATGATTCCTTCATGTCTACTCCGTACAATGATAACATGAGAACGCAAGAGTGGGTTAGCCACCGGTCATCTGGCTGCATGCGCCTGATCATCGTAAACTCATTAGGTTAAAGTAGTCCAGATAGGTCCGGGCGTACCGCATAGTTATGGCTATGAAGAATGGAATTTGACCAAACATGCAAATTTGAGGCTCATACTATTGATAGAAATCCAGTGGTGAAGATGTCGGATTGAAGCGCATGCTTGTACAGGGAAGTATCCCGCCCATAATCAGTTAATAGAGGATGCGGGCTTTTTCGACGGAAAAAGACGAGGAAAGGAAACTCCTTGTATTCCAAAGTTACGAACAATACATCGAAAGGGGCCATCCAAAGGAAATGGAGAACCTTACATCGCAGCAAAATCAAGGACAAGCTGCAGAACATTGTTCGATAGACGGTTGACGTGTGGCAATTAGCTGCGCTTAAGATCGAAGCATACAACCTGCAGCGATAGAACGCAGTGAACTTTGTTATGCGTCCAACCCATTTACGCATGTTATCCGCACATCTTCAGGATCAATCTCCTTTGTGCAAGCTCCTCAGGATTTGTTTCAAACTCCAGTTCTTGATTCTTCAGGATATCAATGGAATCTGATAACATCATACACAATAACTGATGTATTTGATGAAGAGTCTGGCAGGAATATGGTGTCTCCTATACCGAAAGATGTTGCTAGGTTTTATTGACTTCATTTGAAGTTGCGTCCACCAGCCCGAGATGGAAAAAAGAATAGTTGAGCAAGTAAAGCTAACCACATTGGTGATCACTAAGCATAGAGGTGCAAATGATAGAGACACTCCACTTATGCTTGTCAACGAATGAGAAGCTTGGATTCATCAATTGATGTACCCCTCTTGTTATTTACACCCCGAAACATTACAAGTCATCCACGTTTCAGCGATTTGCCCTCCAGAACTTTCTCCATACCAGACGGTTCCTTTGGTATTTTCTCAAACGGGATCCTATAAAGGGTGAGATTGACACTGCAGCCGGTAGAAGATTCTAGCGCGTGGAAGAAGAGTGTGGCATGTGCCAAATTGATGTTTGGGTGTTTTGATAGACCAGGTATCAAAAACATTGTCAAGTCATAAATATCGCTGCCGTCTCGCCATTTATATCTTTTGTTTAGCTTTCCCATCTACTTTTTAGGAATCAGGATTTTTGACAACTCTTGGATCTGGAATACAGGTAAGTTTTGAATCATTTTTGCTTTTACATCCCTTCATTCATCCTCGTCAAAATTGTATTTAGTCTGGTCAAGATCTGGTGGTTAGTAGACACTAAATTATCATTGTAGTTCTCATATCTAAAAAGGTATCGAGAGGATTGGTGCTGTTCATATTCTGAAAATATCAAGCAAAGTTCATAGACAATCGCAATCATGAGAATCGCTTGCTTACAATTCGCCCCTCAAGTAAGGGTCCATAGTCACAACATGCGCAAACAAGCTAATACCCTATCAAAGGTCGGAGATGTCGACAATAACTTCAAAAAGGCAGATGCGATACTCAATAAAGCAAATCCAAAAGATATCGATCTATTAGTCCTACCTGAGATGGCATTTTCTGGTGAATTCCACGTCCTAGATATCCTAATGACAGTTCCTTTTCAGCTTCATCCTAACGATTGTACAGGCTATAATTTTTCCTCTCTAGGGCATATTACTCCCTACCTTGAGCCAACTACTTCCGGTGTCACATCGTTATGGGCGCATACGATAGCTCTCAAGCACAACTGTATAGTTACAGTTGGTTATCCAGAAAAGGTTGATAACTTGTCCAGAATTTCAGCGAGACCTGAGTACTACAATTCTGCCGTTACAGTGAACAAGGATGGAAAGCCTATTGTCAACTACCGGAAATCATTCCTTTACTATACCGATGAGACTTGGGCTCATGAAGGATCCGGTTTCTTTAGCGGAGAGATTGATGGACTAGGGAATGTTGCCATGGGAATCTGTAAGTGGCTAGCACATCCTTGAAGAATTGCCAATTATTCTATGATGAGCATAATAATACCATCAAAAATTACTGACACCATGTATCATAGGCATGGATTTAAATCCATACAAATTCGAAGCTCCATGGAGTACCTGTGAATTTGCCTGTCATGTACTTGAGAAGAAAGCAAACCTTGTCATTGTGTCAATGGCTTGGCTTACAAGAGAAGACCAAATGACCTTTGGTCTATTAGCAAAAAAACCTGATATGGAAACAATTTCGTATTGGATCACCCGATTGGAACCTATTATTCGAGCCGAAACCAATGAAGAAGTCATCATCGTTCTTGCGAATCGATGCGGAACTGAGGGTGAAGCAACATATGCAGGGACAAGCGCAGTTCTAGGTATCAAAGATGGCGACATCAGTGTATATGGTATTCTTGGGCGGGGCGAGGAAGAGCTTTTGGTTGTTGATACCGATGAAATTCCTAGGGCCAAAATTGTTTCACCGCCGAGGTCAACTGAATCTACTTGAGGTTTTGCCAATGATTAACTGAAATTCCATCAGTAAATGCGAGAAGTAGGGTTAGTGGAACGTTTGTTGGTATCTATCAGAGAAATCAAGTGCGACGGCAACTACATCCATCATTAGTTCAATAAAAACGGATTCTCTGCCTCGGACCAATTTTATCCCTCAATTTCCGCTGTTAATTTGTTCCGCTCTGAATTTAATGCATCATAATCACGGAGGGACAGGAAATTTCAAGCTCTCAAATTCAGTAAGTGTCTTACATTATTCTGTGTCTCTTCCAGGTTTCGGAATTTAATTCGCCGTGGCACCTCAAAAGTTAGGGCGCCGTCCACCTGCATCAGTTCTCTAAGCAGGTCGTTGTTCCACTGACTTTTCGATATAATAGGAATTCTATATTTGGAACTGTGCGTTCCAGTCCGTGAAGGGATCTCTCGGTCCGGGCACAAACAAAAACCCGTAACACCAAACCGGCCAATCAGTCGGCCCCATGTCACTATCGGTCCTCTGGCCGAGGTGAAAAGAAATTCTACCTTTAAGTGTGGTACTAAATCTTTCCGGCTGTGATATATTCAGAAAGATATTCGGCTTCCTATTAAATGCTCTTCATTCTGTGTTTCCAAAATTAATTTACGTTTGATCGGACAAAACTAACAAACTTCAAAAGTTACACAGCACTCGGAAGACACCCGCCCAATAATCCAACAACTCGGTACGATCACACCCACACAACCCGGGTCACAATCTCCATCCATTCAATCGCCATTCAATCCCATCCAATCCCCTTCTTTCCACCCCTCCAAAAATCTGACGCCCATCTCCATATCCACAAATCAGCTCAGGCCTCGGAACCCATATCATATCACTCGGTACATTTCAAATATATTTATTTTCTTCACCCCCATGTAATACCGAAAAACGTTCGGAACTCGGTATATGGAACGCCCAAATCTCGGGGGCGGCGTGGGGGATATAATGAGCCAATGTTGGTCAGCTCGGAGTCGGGTTTCGGTACGATGTGCAACAAATTTTTGGAAGGAGATTGTGAGATGTGATGGATTGGTTGCTTTGGGTTTCGGGTGTGCGAGATGCGACTGCTTTGGGATGGGAAATTGCTGGTTGAGGGGATCTGTGTAGGGGTTGGAGATGGTGAGTCGGGTGGTTGACCGGTGGTTCGGGAGGATGGTGTCGGATGTGGGAATTAGTATTGGTAGTATTATTTCATTTCGGGATGGTTGGAAATTATTACTGTTCTTTTCTATTTCTTTTCTTCTTACTCTATCTATCTCTTTTCTTTCTTTTATTCCAAAAGACTAGTTCTTCCTTCTATTTAGCTAGATTGCCTACAGTCAAGCATTCCAACTACATTCATTCTGAGTATGTCTACGAGTTCAAGATTCCGAATCAGATGTCCTGTGTCAATGTAGCTAGCTACATGCAGTATCTGGAACCGACATTCCCTAAACGATCAACCAAAACTACGAGTAGGCTCTTGTTCCATCCGCACACTATGTATCGTCGCCGACTCTCTAGTGCTTATAAACTGGGGTGGCAAACCAGAGGATACATAACTTCACCGCTCAACACAAAACCTAATCTTACATGTACTCGGATTCGGTCTAGATATATCAATCGGTGAACCACGCAGAACCAATATCATCGGCCTTAAGACAGAGGGATGAGCTTGACAGTGATTTAGGAATTGAATCCTGCGAGTAGAGAATGTGGAATATACAAGTGATAATGGCAGTTGCTAATTCGAATGCCAAATTCTGGTTGCGCAATGGTTGAACGATCGTGAGCTAGATGATGGATGAAATTGCTTCAATGATAATAATCTACCTATAGATTGATAACCATACATCTAAGGAACATAAAAAATCCACACTACGTGCAAGTGCACAATATCGATGCTCGCTCAGGGAAACATTTAATCCTTTTACATATAATCGAGCAAGCAGGCTAAGACAGCCAGGACTTCCATCTCAAAACACAAAATAGTAAGATTACCTACCTATATAATGAGCCAAAGTCAGCCTTCAAAAATAAAATCGTACGGGGAAGTTTATTATTACTTCACAAGGCCTCAAAATATAGTATGGCCACCTCTGCTTTTCTCAATAAGATTTGCCTTCTTTCGATTTACTTATTGCTTCTCTCTTTATCTTTCTTTATGTTTAGATAGGAGGTTCGTTGCTATGAATACTTCTGTACTGTTATTATTGTTTTATAACTCCTAGATATATCGCCTTGGATATAGCTTTCCATTTTATTTTATTTTTTTGGTTATCAAATTTATATTTTTCATTACAGCAGACTCTATTTGTGTACGTCAACATGGGCACCTCACTCTCATTTCTTGACTTTCAATTACAAAACAGCTGGGAAGAATATCGTGTGGTGTTTGAGCACGAGGAGTGAGAGTAGGTAGCCAAAAGTAGCCATTGTCCGGTATGGTTTGATTTCTATCACATTTATTAACCTTCATCTCTATGGAATTGCACTTGTTTATATACCTAGAATCTGCACTAAGGATTTGTTTTCCACAGGAAGTAATTAGGTCATTGACTGATGAGGTGTAATTATAAGAGGGTGTGGATTAATATTCACTTATTACTTGAACCAACAGTAATTATGGTAAATCCTGATTGGTTGTTAGATTCAGGTTGTGATGAGTTTATTGGTGTCTTCTGTCTTCTCTGGGAAGTGAATCTAGAGAGGTATAAAAGACGCTCTTGGTAGCTGAGGAAATATCAGCAGCAGCCGAGAATCATTGTTGGAGATGCCAAAAGGGGGTGTTGACGTGAGAGTCCTGATATTGATGTATAATACAAGATGAGAACTCGAGATTAAAGTATTATTGATTTGATGAATCTGGAGAAAATATGACGCCGTGAATGAGATTGATATGGCTCTCGTCGAAGTTTTCCAAATTTCATTAGTAGTTGTTAATTGTCTGTTAAATTTATAAATATTATAATTTATAAGTCTTAATATTATCATTTTAATTTTTATCTTTTTGTTGTTTGAATTATGCTTGATTATCAAACTAAAGTTAGGAAATCTCGATTCTACAAGGAGATAATCATGAGTCAGGAAGTCGCAGCGCTTGGTTTATTTCACTTAAAATAATAATCCAAGGGAACAAGTTTATATACACCATGGTTTTAAACCTACCTCGGTCAGGATTGGATTCACTGGTAGGAACCTCCGCTTTGCGATTAATATACTAGGAGGAATTTGTTCAGTTCCCAAATAGTACGCACTGAAGATTTCACAAGATTTGGGATATAAGAACCCTCCTAGAAGCAGTATTCTATGAGCTACAAGTAATTGTAATCATGGCAATGAAGGAAACTATGCCGCAAATCTTCGACTCCTCGAGGTTAAAGGGAATTTATATCTATGTTCGCATCGAATAATGACACTATCCTAAAGCTTTAAAGTCAATTATGAGTCCAAATAGCTAGTTCTCATTCATTGTAGTATAATCGCCGCTGCCATGATGCCATATTGTTACTACTCATATCTATTCATTTAATTATCGTCCTTTCCAAGCACAGCCCGGTTCTCTCCGCCTCCTTTAATTTGTAATCTCGTGGAAGTTTATACATAGTATCTGCAACATATCCCAACAAAGCTGTTGCAGAAATACTCCTCAAATTTTTAAGTACTAGCAAGAACGAGTGTGGGTTTAAATAAGAGTATGGTGAGTACAAGAAGCATAGATGTTATTTATGTATAATACTTTTCCTTCAATATAGTGTGAAATTTCTTACGGTCGAGGATACATAATATTATTTTTGATTCAATCCCTAGATTCTATCGAGATAATAAAGTAGCTTAAGGATTGAATATAAAATGATCTAAAGACAGTATTGTAAAATAAATAATTAAAAACAATATATTTGTATTTGAATATATTATAAAGTTTGATGTTTATCAAAAGAATAATGTTGAAAGATGTATAATTTTTTGAAGTTTGATATATATATATATATATTATTATTATATTTTTGTTTTTTGATATTTATATATTTATTATATATATATCTTATTATAAGTAACAATAATTAGTTATTATTTTTTAAATTTATCTTCCGTCACTGTTGTCATATATCACCATCTTCATATACCTTCGATTTTATATTTCAATCATATATTTCAAAATCTCAATCAATCCAAGCTAAGACAAACTCAAGCAAACCTTCCCTTCATTACAAAAAATACACAAAGCAACGCAATATTAATCTCCACATCACCAACGATCATTCGTTGCCATATATTTCCATGCAGCTATTGGGTAATCTACATAATTGATATCTGGATAGTTGATTCTTTATATATCCGTACCTCGAAATGAAATCAAGGATCCTTCCCCCCCGTCGCCTTCTGTAAGTCTTTTCTCATATCACTCATTCACTCTCATAAACCATATTCAGGTACTGTGGCAAGGCAGTCATTTTCTGCTGCACGATTCACTAATCATATCTACGATCCATAACCCCGTCTTGAATCTATCGCTAATGACTATAGAAACGTCGAATCTAATCACGAATCCTATCAATCACAACAGCATCCCGGGGGGTTTTTTCTTTCTAGAAAATGGCATTTTTTGGAGGTAGCCGAAAGGATAGAGTTCCTTATTGACTGCTTGCCCCTTTTATGTAAATTACAATCAGGGGTTTTTAAGCATAATTGGATATAGACGGGGTTTTCTTGTTCAAATATTCATTATTCTCACCACCTTCACATTCTTTTATTCACCACCCTCCCCTTATTCCTGCCTCTCAAATCCCAACAATACACACCTCACTTCCACAACAAAATATATAAAACAAACAGAAAACTCTATTATCATTTCGTTATTCAGTTGATGCAACTCTGTAATTCCATAGAAGATGGTAATTGTTTAACTTCATTGACCAATGTAAAAGTATCCAAAGACAGTCACACAATGCAATCATTGAATCACACAAACTAGGCAAATGCAGCAAGAAACACAAATATATAAAAAGATTCCGCAAGAGCTAAAAATTATTACTTCAATTTAATAACACCAAACACCAACGCATGAAACTATCTATGGTACAGTGTGATGATTCATTCCAAATCAATCAATCTCCTCCTAATCTATGTCCTGATCCACGACTCTTCCATGATTCAGGTAGAACACTTCCAGATGAACCAGAAGTAGAGCCCGTACCTGGAGATCGTTGTGCTGGTGCGACAGCAGTACCATAAGCTCTTTGAGTAGTGGTAGTTTGAGTTGTTTCAAAAGCTCTCCTGATGAAGCCTGGGGTTGGAATAAGATTCCTCCCCCCACCAAAAGTAGGCCAAAGTCTTGTCAAGAAATCATGTAAATGTGCGGCAACCAATCCAGTAGCTTGAATTTTGGCAGCACCAGCACCACCACCCATCACAAATGTCATTAGAAGCATGGCATATGGAATCCATGGTGCTGGAATAGTAACGACGAAAAAGGTAGCTTTCATGCCACGATCATCTTGTGTCGATGTGTATGCGAAAGCTAATACCAATGCCGAAGTAAAGACCACTCCGCCAGTTATGAACACATTCAGTCCCTGTGCATTTGTTAGATGAGATTTTACAAGGTATCTCTTGAAATAGAAACACCAAGTATTTAACATCTCAAAGATAATGACTTGAAATGTAGGGAGCCACAACCACCCGAGTTAAGTTGAGGAATCAACACGAGTTTTCTCATAGGAACTTCCCACCATGCCTACACCTCAACTGATCCTATTTGTTGTTTTGCGAATGTCGGACCAATTGAGAATGTAAGGGTAATCTTCCTCGTTTTAGGAACCGTTGTAGCTGAGAGCGTTGCACTAAACGGGCAGTATAGAGGTGGGGTATGAAGAAAAAGAAGAAGAAAATAATGCCTACCAAGATCGTCGCACAAACAAACAATACATATGTCAAGAAATCTCCTGGTTGAGAGAATCTAGGCGAAGCTGTTTCAAGCTTGCTTCCATAAGTGTATACTATTGTTTCCTTGTAAGCCAATCTATCCTGATTGTATTGCGATCTTTCGAGTCTTACGAAAGTATGTGTCGAAGAGAATACCCAAATCCGGGCCAGTGATGAGAAATGGAGTGAGTAGTCGCCATAATTGTGGCGGGAACTGTAATATGTTCTGTAGCAAAAATACAACATGATACCCAGCAAGAATATGAGTGTAGACTAAAATTGAAAGAGTTAAGGCACCAGCAGCCAAAGTCCTAAACTATCATCAGCATCAGTATTTAAAGATTGGCGCATCTTTCGCAGATGGCATTGCGCATACCTTGAAATGGGCGGAGCTGCCCAGAATACATCCATTGCCGACATGATAATTGTACGGTATGAAAAAGATGTTGAAAAGTTTTTCAATAAAGCTTTAAAAGGCTTGAGGTTGGGGAAAGAAAGAAGAATAGAAGAGGAGAGAAGGAAGGAGCTTTCGCGATTTATGAAAAGTGTTCTTTGCGAATTGGCGCTAAGTAAGCTGTGGGAGGAGCTAGTATCCATTATAGGTTAGCGCGGGACATTTGCGGGACATTCTCCGTACTTTGTTATGCATTGTAACCTCGTTAAGACTTTGTAAAATAATCCAAAAAATCAAAAACCAATGGAATTAAAATCTTAAAAGATGAATAGAAAGTTTAGTTTCTGCTGCAGGAAGCTTGATTGATCAATTCATTCTAGCAGAATGTTTAAGACATCTGCATACCGTGAGTCAATGTTGATCTCTGCCAAATTCCACGCATTGGATCATTCTATGTATGCATGCAGTGGCCGATCACGGATCAACCCCACCAAGAAATTTAATCCCATCGGTATGAGTTGTTTGGTGGAGTAAAGTACTCAATCTTTTGTTTGAATATTTTATTTACATTCAATTTATATCCCAACAATTTCAATCAAATTAGACATCATGGCTGGATTTGACACAAAGTGAGCTTTCAGATCATCTTTACCCCAATTTCCCCTTCTAACATCTATTCTAGGAAGGTTCTTATGCTCGGCGCGGGCTTTGTTACACGCCCTACCTTGGATATCCTCAGTGAAGCAGGCATTCAAGTTTCTGTTGGTACACATAAATCTCAGTTCCTTTCCAGATAATGAAACTGACTTTCCTCCAGCATGCAGAACCATTGAAAGTGCAAAGAAGCTCTCCGAAGGTGTAAAGAATGCCCACCCAATCTCCCTCGATGTTACAGACGACAAAGCTCTCGATGCTGAAGTTGCAAAGAACGATTTGGTCATCAGTTTAATCCCATATACCTTCCATGCGACCGTCATCAAATCTGCCATCCGAAACAAGAAGAATGTTGTTACAACCAGTTATGTTTCTCCAGCAATGATGGAATTGGATGAAGAAGCCAAGAATGCAGGTATCACAGTTATGAATGAGATTGGTTTGGATCCAGGAATCGATCACTTGTATGCTGTTAAGACTATTGAGGAGGTTCACAAGACTGGTGGAAAAATCACATCTTTCTTGTCATACTGTGGAGGCCTTCCAGCTCCAGAGGATTCGGATAACCCTCTCGGTTATAAGTTCTCTTGGTCTTCTCGTGGTGTTTTGTTGGCATTGAGAAATGCTGCAAGATTCTATAAAGATGGAAAGATTGTTGATGTTGCTGGTCCAGAATTGATGGGTACCGCCAAACCATACTTCATCTACCCAGGATTCGCATTTGTAGCCTACCCAAACAGAGATTCCACCCCATACAAGGAGCGTTACAACATCCCTGAAGCACAAACTATCATTAGAGGTACTTTGAGATATCAGGGTTTCCCAGAATTCATCCGTGTACTGGTTGATATGGGATTCTTGAGTGATGAAGATAAAGGATTCTCCAAGCCAATTTCCTGGAAGGAGGCTACACAAAAGGTTCTCGCAGCTTCTTCAAGTTCTGAGGATGATTTGAAATGGGCAATTGCTTCCAAGGCAAAGTTCGAGAGCACTGAAGAAAAGGAACGTATCATGAACGGCCTTAACTGGGTTGGTATCTTTTCTGACGAGAAGATCATTCCCCGCGGTAATCCTCTTGATACTCTTTGCGCGACTCTTGAGAAGAAGATGCAATTTGAAAAGGGTGAACGTGATCTCGTCATGTTGCAACACAAGTTCGAGATTGAGCACAAGGATGGAAAGAAGGAGACTCGTACATCCACATTAGTTGAATATGGTGATCCAAATGGATACTCCGCCATGGCCAAATTGGTCGGTGTACCATGTGGTGTTGCTGTCAAGCAAGTACTTGATGGAACGATTAGTGAGAAGGGTGTCCTTGCACCTATGACCAGTAAGATCAATGACCCATTGATGGAGGGGTTGAAGAAATACGGAATCACATTGGTTGAGAAGACCATCTCTTAGATTATGATATTAGATATACCTAGATGAGATTAAAAGTTTAAAGAACACAAATGATTTAGCCGTAGTCAGGATCATCACTTATGGATTAAGTGCTGGATTGAGATAGCTACTCTTTCGCTTTGTATGACCACGCAGATGAACTCATATGAGACTCTGCATGAGTGTAAACACCAAACTCACAATCCGACGGCGAGATGCACCCAGAGAAAGAAAGAAAGAAACTCATTTAGCTATTCAGACCGCTTTACATCATCACACAGCTTTACAGCAATATGGCATATTTCCGAAAATATAAAGGAGCTTTGCAGATAGTGGAGGTTTATCTGGAGCGATTTTCTGCCTAGAATTTTGTGTATGTTGGATAGGTAAGTCTTACATCCTCGCTTGAGCACCATTGAAGCACTACGCTGGAATATGCAAGGGTATCAAATCTATTGTACAAGATCAAATTATTTGCAAGACATTTCCCCGCGTGACGCCTGATACTTTGGTAGATGCGATAGATCCAACTTTCTATAAACCCTCCAAGTATTACTTGATATATCTGATGATAGCTTTTTCATCTACATCATCGACAAAGGAGAGTTTTGGGCGTATGCCTGGTTCGTCATTTAGCGAGATTCTTGATAGGATTTTGAGTGATACGTACCATAGGCTTAATGTTAGGATGAGGTACTGCATCAAACTTGTGGAAATCCAATTTATAATCGGGTCCAATATTGATATAAGCTCCTTTGTTCTCCGTGCTGTCGCAATACCTAGGCGCCGAAAAGACTATAATATATTAGTTGCGGTGTGTAACACATTTGACAGGAATTGACATACCAGTAATACATTTTCCATCATGTTCCTCCTCATAACCTTCCATTCGGACTTCATGACTACGAATGATAGCTTCCAGTCCATTGTTTTCGCAAAACTTCCTGGTAATATCTGGTCCAAATTGCATGCCCACACCACGTTTACTAGGACCACGACCAGGCTCTTTTTGTGGATCAGTCCATAACATCTCCATCATCAATCCTGCCTGACCTGGTTGGCGTTGATTATGTCTGTTCAAAGCTCGGATGTCATCTAATGTGATCTTGTCATCAGAGAATAAACCTCCATGAAGTACAAGATATTTTTTGCCAATGAGAGTTGCTAGAGGTAAAGCCGAGAAACTTTCCGAAAATAGCTTGAAAGTACGTTCTAATATATATTAGTTGAAATCTTCATAGAGAGTAAACTTAAATTGGATCAGGAAGACAGCTTACCATTATATTTCGCCTTACATTCACCCTCAAAACCATAAACACGGTTCATATCATCAGTCTCATGATTTCCCCTGTTGATGAAGAACGCTGATGGGCGTAACCATTTGTAGGCATACAAAAGGAGCGCAATCTCGGTCGACCAAGAACCTCTATCAACAAAATCACCATTGAATAAGTAGTAATGCTTCTCTGTGGGTAGACCATTAAGTCGGAAAAGTTCCATGAGATCGAAGAATTGACCTGAGACTCGATATTAGCTAGGAATGGTAAGACGAATACGGAGCATTTACCATGTGTATCTCCACAAACAGTCAACTGAGCGTCGCTCTCAATCTCCATTTCGACCATCGTTGGTTCATCGTATACAATCTTTTGTACCGCCATGACAATTTGATAAACATATTTCTGATGTATTTTCTTGCCGTTCTTGAAACGTTCCAGCATATCATTGATGAACTCGGTTGTCATTTCGTTGCCCAACTGTACACCATCGTAATCCTGCACAGTCATATCATCGAGGTTGAGCCCTTCTGATGCAGATGGTGGATCTCCGACTTCGATAGCTCGGAAGAACTCGATCCTTTTGACAATCTTCTCACATTCTGCCAACTTAAGCTTCGCATCCTTATCATTCGGCGCCTTCTTGACAACGGTCTTGAAGTCTCTAAGGGCTTCTTTGGATTTTAGGATCGCGGTATATGCAACGGCTCGACGATAGTATGCCTGAGTGGAAATGGTTAGATGTTTAGCTTGAAGGAAAGGAAAAGCTGCAAGGTGAGGAGCTCTGCCAAACGAACCTTTACAAAATTCGGGTCAAGTTCAATGGCTTTCGTGGCATCAGCTATCGCGTATCCATATGCCTCTGATTTGATGTTTGCCTGCCAGAATGTTAATCACGCGAGCAGGTTTGAGTGTTGAATGCATCCGAATGATGTACCTGAGCTCTATTCGAATAGTATGTGGGTTTTTGGTCGTCAAGTTCTATAGCCTTGGTATATAATTCGATAGCTTTCGGCCAGTCGTGAGCGGCAAAAGCTTTGTTTCCTTCATTCTTCAAGGCAACCGCCTCTTCCTCCCGGGAAGTCATTTTGTCAAAATGAAGATTTTTGGATACAGAGAGTGCGGGGTTCCGAGTTTATATGAGGAAAAGGAAAATAGTGATAGGAAAGAAACTGTAGGGATAAGTAAAATTCTTTGACAACTTAAAAGAGATGCTTTCGATATTCGAAGTCACAAAAGATGTAGCACATACAAAAATTGATTATAAAAAGTAAAGTTGAAAAGACTGTACTTTGTCAATTACTTTTACTTGTTTGAGTACCTAAAAGTAATTCTTTAGAAGTCCAGAAGCATCCCTGTGGTGGAACATTGACATTATCACCGATATCTTTATTGTTGATATTTAACCCTGCACGCGCTTAATCAAGGTTACCTACCTAGGTAAGATCTTACAAGAGTGCAGGAGATTCCCGTTTCCCATCGCATCTTATCGCATTTTGTATCAAATGTCTCAAGTGACATTATTTCAACAAATAAAGTCAGCCATCAGTCAATCTATTAAGTGAGCTTCCTATATACCTATCACTCACCCTTCGAAGATTGCAAAAACGGTAACATATAAACAACTATCATTAATTTATAACCTTAATTGACACAGCATCTGCAACGATGGATTTGGTACCATCCAAATCAACTTCATCAACCTCGACGGCTCTCACAAAACGCGCAAATGAGACTGCTCTGATGCCGCCACCCCCAAAACGCATCAAACGGCCAAAGAATGTGATCGATGAAGACGCATATACCGATGCCATATCAGAAATCATTGCTCGAGATTTCTTTCCAGGACTCCTCGAAACTGAAACAAAACAAGAATATTTGGATGCGCTCGACTCGAAGGATGGAGCATGGATTACAAGTGCCGGACGTAGGCTTCGACATGTTATGACTCCTGGCAGACGTATTGGAAGACGTGGCACATCTATTCAGATACCATCCCGAGCTTCTGAAACACCTGGAGGATTAGTTGGAGATACCCCAATGTCAGTCGCTTCTGATGCAACTCAGGCACCCAAAGTGGATGTAGATACCAATATGAGCCTCACCAAGTTCCAATCATTATATACTAGCGAGGATAACGAAAGCTTCTATAAGTTACTAGACAAGCAAAATAAGAAACGAGCCGAGAAGTATGCTTGGATGTGGACAGGGAATAAAGTTCCATCGAAAATGATGCTGAAGCAGAAAGAGGTTGAGATGAAGCTTCTGCAATCACGAGAATCGCTGGAAGATGATGGCGGAAGAAGGGATAGACTCGCAATTCGAGATGTAGCGGAAAGGCCAGCCCAACCGGATTCCTGGAGATCCCAGCCAAATAATGGATTGATGTTTCGACCTGACAGTGTAGAAGATTCTGTCGAGACCGTGGCACAAAAGGCACAAAATGAGTCAAGGGCTGCTCCAAAAAGTGTTACATATGCCAACACAAGGTTGCCGGATCTTGCGCTTCAAGAGGAAACCACCATACCCTCTTCTCCGTCAATGTCTGCCGTAAGAGATGCGATAGCTGGAAGGCGTCGAGTTGAGAACTCGGAATCTGGCTTTAATGGAAGCGAAACTCCACGTGTAAATGGGTATGCATTTGTGGATGATGAACCAGAGGGTGAATCATATACACCTTCTCCGATCATCGATCTCGGGCCTGGCGAAACAACCAAAAATCCATTCGTAATCAAGGAGCAAAGCAGGCGAGAGGATTTACATCACAGGATGGTTGACAAAACCGCCAAAAGTAAACGCACCTCTGCGAAGAATGGTATGACTGGCAAGGTTGATGCGACCCCAGTGCCCAAATTTCCCAGCAGTCCTAGAGTGGGCTCGGGAAATCTGACGCCAGCTGCTGAGCGGTTATGGAGTCGCGTTGGTGGTTCAGGCAAGGGAGCTAATGATACTTTCCGTATCAGAACCCCAGGGACTGTGAGGGCAAAATCCAATCTTCGAACCAGATGGACTCCTTCGGGAAATATTAAATAATATTTGATTCAGAAAGCAAACGGCGTTTTTGGGGGTATATTGATTACAAGATACCCGATGGATGCTAAGTCATCTTTGAAAGAGAGAGTTCAAATTCGCATAGGTATGCACCGTACGTGAATATTTTAGGGGAGCTAGATTCATATGATTATATTATTGTGAATTTATGTTGATAGCTTCAATTTTGACAATGTGCTGCACGCCACAACATATTATTTTCCTTTGTAGATGCAATGTACTTTCGTCTCCTTCCTTCATACTTCTGGTTGTCATCCTTCGAAGTTGTGCTGCTGCTAAATTGGCAATTGTGACGTCTTCAAGGTGTACAGGGATTAAGGTTAAGCTTGGCAAGAATTGTTCATGAGGTTCAACACCCCTCCAAATATCAGGACATTCCTCTGCAGAGCTCATTATCTAGATATTCGACATGAATCGATGGGAAGGATTGGAGTAAAAAATTGCTATAATGGCGGGGAAGAGAATATTGGACTTGGCCGCCCTATTCAATGCTTCCCGCGGGGTTGCACAGAAGCACATTGCGCTTAAGACGAGGCAAATAGATGTCTACAACAGAACCTCGACTCTAGCAAGAGCAGTACGCAGCCAGACGGATCGAGTCACGGAGACTGTAAAGGCCGCATCGTTTCTTGCATCGAGGTTAAACGATAATGTGCCGGAATGGACTAAGGAGGCAACGAACAATACTTCGAATTCGCAATCGAATGACAGTGGCCCTGTACCTAACAGAAGGTCTACCAAGGAACAGGAGCATTCCGCAGGAAATAAAGAAGGTTTAGAGCAAGATCATTTCTATGAAAGATCAGAATCAAACTCGGCCGTCAATCCGAGACCACAAGGGGATTTGGATATTCAGCAGGAGAAGGCCAATAATTACCCTCTGCCAGATGGGACAATTCCTCCTAAAGATGCAGATATTGATGCTCCCGAATTGAATGCAGATACGACCCCGATCAGGGCTCGAGCCGCGCCTACGTTAGACCCCATAAATAGTGAGGGGTTGCAATCGGCGGCTTCCAATGACTCGACAATTCCTATTCCCGAGAAAAAACCTTTGTCCGCAGATGACGCAAAACGTATCCAGCGAGAATATGAGCAACAAATACCCTCAGTAACGGCAGATGCGATTGGGAAGTCGGAAAACCCATTGGAGAAAGGACACGATGAAGACTCTTTTTACGATAGATCAAAACATACATCACCTAGCTTATCTTCTTTACCTAGGGCCAAGATACCAAAACACACATCCGATGTTCAAGGAAATGATAAGCATTTGAAACAAGATGCTATAAACTCTGATACTTTCTCGGAGACTGTTCGTAGTACTGAAAAGATACCTTCTGTTGAATCGATTCCTGAACAAGAGCAGCTACCCGATGGTATTAACACGGATCTTTTCTATAGCCCTAGGGTTGCAAGGTTATTAGGAGGTAAGACTCAAGGATCGAGTAAAGGCTCTCTAGGCTTGAAGGGTGTAAAAGGTACTCCTATAGAACAAACCAAGCTGGCAAGGAATAAAGATCAGGACACCTTCAATGTTCGTTCGTCAGTTCAGGCAGAACCAACCACTCCGGATACTCCCTCCAAGCCAATCGTCGAGACTTCCCATCAAAAAGATGCAGATCTTGAGAAGCTGGCGGCAGATATTAGCAAAGAAACTAGCAATGATACTGTAATTATAAATTCCTTTCGCACTTGATGCATGTGATACTGAGGTCTGACAATAATTTAGATGCAGCCAGAGGCAAGCTCGCAGCCTCTGCCTTACAAGTTGCGAGAATCTAGTGTTCCTTCTTCAAGACTTGGGAGACTATGGAATTATAGTGGTCTTGCGGCCGGTATGGTGGGGGGAGCCATCAGCGAAAGCCTTCGTCGAGTTAGTGGAGGGGGTGGTGAAGGTTCTTTTATGTTAAGCGCAGGTAATATAGATAGGCTGGTGACTAAGTTGTCACGGATGAGGGGTGCAGCCTTGAAATTAGGTCAAATGATCAGCTTCCAGGACTCAAAAATGCTTCCTGCGCCAATACAAGAAGTGATGCAGCGCGTTCAGGACCGCGCAGATTACATGCCCGCTTCACAGAGGAACAAGGTGTTAATAGCAAATCTTGGTCCGGACTGGAGAGATTTGTATGGAGAGTTTGAGGAAGTTCCTTTGGCTGCAGCATCTATTGGTCAAGTCCATCGTGCAACACTCAAGTCAACGGGTGCGAAGGTTGCTGTTAAGATTCAGTATCCGGGGGTTGCGGATTCAATAGATTCCGATCTTAACAATCTCGCAATCTTACTCACGGCTTCTCGTCTCCTGCCAAAGGGCTTGTTCCTCGATAAAACGATTGCAAACGCCCGAACAGAATTAGCATGGGAATGCGATTACATTCGAGAAGCAGAATGCGGATTACGTTTTCAAGAACTTCTAGCAGACGAAGAGGACGTCTTCGTTGTTCCAAAAGTATACGCCGAAGCATCAGGCAAACAAGTTCTTACTATGGAATACATGGAAGGAGTCGGTGTCACGCGTATTCACAGCTTCACACAAGAACAACGAGACTGGATTGGAACTCAAATTCTTCGTCTGTGTCTTCGAGAGATTACTGAATTTAAGTACATGCAAACGGATCCTAATTGGACAAATTTCCTATACAATGCCCAAACCAACAAACTAGAACTTCTAGATTTCGGTGCCTCACGCGAGTATCCAGAGGAATTCATCACTAAATATACACAACTCCTAGATGCAGCCTCCAGATCTGAAAGAGATACAGTCCGAAATCTGTCCATCGACCTCGGATATCTTACGGGCCACGAATCTAAAGCAATGCTAGAGGCACACATTCAATCCATTCTCACTCTCGCAGAACCATTCTTGGAATCCTCACCGGAGATTTACGATTTTAAAGATCAGACAATTACGGAGAGAGTAAAGGCTCTCATTCCGATCATGCTTAAAGAGAGATTAGCGCCGCCACCAGAGGAAACGTATAGTTTGCATAGAAAGTTGAGTGGAGCTTTTTTGCTGTGCGCGAGGTTGGGGAGTAAAGTTAGGTGTAGAGAGTTGTTTACGAATAGTATGGAGAAGACGAAGTTTTTATGATGAGAGGAGAGGTAGAAGATATGTATAATATGTGTTTGTACATTTGTATTTAGTGCTAGAGATGGGGATGGAGACGTCTAGCTTAGAAGAGAAAGACTGGGCTGTAGTATAAGACAAATATATATATAATCACTACTCGTAATATGTCTAAATGCTCCTACACTTCAAATCAAACCGAATCACAGCTTTGGTTTTGTCTAAATTTTTACTATAAATTTGTAAATCGTACCTTAAGCTCACCGAGAATCCCGTCTCCAGATCAAGGCTCAGCAGGAATACCCCGCAAAATTAGATATTTTGCGGGCCGGTCCGTCCGCGTCACTTACAGCTATATATCAAACATTCCACGCGATCTACAGCAAACAAAACACCATACAATACAACATGTCTCTCAAAAATATACTTGAGAAAGCCAAAGCTAAGGGGGAAGCCTTTGCGGCCCAACATAACTTTACAATCCCCGGCCAATCCACAACACATACTCCTCCACCACCACATTCTGCACCATCAGGATACTATCCCCCAATTCAAGCTCATCGCCCGCCAACTGCACCTCCGCCAATTCCCCAAAACAGACCCTCATATTCTGCCATCCATCCTTATTGGAACCCCTCATTCTCTCCACATGTTCCCGTTTCTGATAATTTCAGACATCAACTTGGAGATCATGGATGGGGAAACAACGAACTCCAAAACTACATCGCCGATCGAGAAAATTCCTTCCACGACGAAAATGGATGTTTAGTCCTCCGAGCTATATCTTCCAACGGTAGATTCACAAGCGCGCGATTAACGAGTCATATGGCACTTGCCCGCGACCGCGGCAGTCTCGTAGCAACTATATCACCACCATGTGCTTCTGGGGTCTGGCCGGCGTTTTGGCTCTTACCCCGCGAGCCCTTTACATGGCCCAATGATGGAGAGATTGATATTATGGAAACCTGGAATGGAGATGCCGTTAATCATACTTGTTTACATTGGGGACATTTCAACGGGGAAGATTGGAATAAACATCGGGTTGTAGAGACGCCGGTGCATAATATGCACTCTTCGCAACATACATACGAGTTTGCGTGGAACCAGCCGGAGAATGGGATAGGTGGGAAGATGGTTTGGTATATTGATGGGAAGGTGGTTATGAAGGCTCATGTGCCCGAGGGGACCAGGAGATTAAACGATTTTCAGGTTATTATTAATGTGGCGATGGGAGGGAATGTTTGTCAGGGGAAGACTCCAGAGGATGGGTATTATGATTTAAGGATTCATGGTTTGAAGATGTGTGATGAGCCGACGGGTGGGTGGGAAAAGTTTGAGCATGATTTTCATCATGGGCCCGAGGGTCATGCGATGTGAGGGGTTGTGTGGGTGTATCAAGATCGATGAGATAAATCCATAGACTTGTCGAGAGGTCGAAGAGTTTGAAATTTTGGATAAAAAGCTGTCTCTCTTTTCGGGCCGTTCGGGTTGTAGATAGTAGTAATGTGCTTTCCCTAGCTTACGGAGTTCTTGGATGTTTGCCGAATATTAGAAGTCTATATTTCGAAGGAAGGACCATTCTCAAAAGAACCAAAGGGTTCTTACTCTATCTTCTAAGAGAATGAATATACTTTCCATGGCAGTATTCATATACCTAAAAGTTTCCGCACATTTGTAGCTCTTTAGTATTTACTATATTGCACCTACCCAGTGGACTATTCTTGGCAGAACGGCAACAGGCGAGAGGTCAAAGTTGGGTCTACTGCCGCTGTTGTGCATGTCTCTATACTTGAGATCTAGCATCAAGTGAGAACTTCCCTTTCTGGCTCAGTTCCGCACCTTACTATTTTGGACAAAACCAAATCGGCTTGGTCATATAGACGCATTGTCAATCTTGCCCTAAAATGAATGGCTGTTCCTGGTGTGAAGTTTTTGATTCTGGCTGGATGTTTCCATTCGGATTCCTGATTTGTTTTAAATTATCGCTGTTTGCACATGATGGCGTTGAATATCTACCTTCCTGTGAGTATCTGGTCTGAATATAATTTGAGCATTCGTATTATATCTTACATAGTGTCGGGATAATAAGTGCGAATGTACCAAGTTATCCGTATAATCAAATTTCATCTCCCAGATATGATTCTGAGTCCAGGGACCGGTTCCTATTTTCAACATTTTTGATCAGGAACTTCACATGTGAATTTCCAAACCCATAAACCTCTGGTTAGTCATCTATCTTGCTCCTCATCCATGATTCACAGTATTCCTGTCATTTCAGCATTTCACAGTCATCTCAGCTATTCCATTGGTTTCCTCGTTATTTCGCTCAGGAGTTTTGACAGTCATTTCATTCTAATTTGGCCCGTGTCAAGTCATTTATGTCCAGATATTAAAAATCCCAAAATATACATGACAATTCATACTCCATGAGTAATTATGTTTTCAAGATCTGTGGTACAGCGGAGTAAAGTAACATTTAAACAATCGCTTTCCTTTCCTTTTCTTAGACTTCTCCTTCACACCTACAACAAACCCCACCGCCAAAGATCCGTAACATATTTCAACATGTATAAGTTCCTAAGTTATCTTGGTACCGAACCGAAGGCAACCACGGACAAAACAGTCTTACCCCCTCCCGATAATTCGGAAGATATAGAGCAGCCAGCCATGTTGTATAGTCTTCCTGGATCTTTTCCAGGAGCGCAAACCAGCCCATGGACTCCACCTCCAAATCCTGAACGTTCTCCTTTGGAAAATTCACTAGACATGGATTCGCCAGTCGTGTCGCCCACTCTTTCTCCTAAAGAGCCAGGAACTTCAACACCAAATCTGGAGTGCCCTCCTCCTCAACAGCAAATGACTCCACATCTCGATACTGAATGTCTTCATCCTGTTCCTCCTGAAATAAAATGGAATTCACGCCCGAATGTTGGGCGTTCTCTTCCTCGTTATCCTCGACAACAAGAAACTGCACGCCTACACGTGGAGCGCCCATCTCCTTCCCTCCATCCCGAAATATGGAGCACTAAAATCCTAGATAATGAGCGTTCTTCTTGTTCTCCTCCTTCTCAACAGCGAGAGGATCCATACCCCGACACTGGATTTCTTCCTCCTGTTCCTCCTGAACAGCAATTAGCTCCATGCCCAGAGATTGAGTGCCCTTTCTTTCCTCGACAAAGAAATCCATGCGCCGATATTGAATGTTCTCTCCTTTGCCATCATCCTCAACAACAAAGGGATCTGCACTCTATTATTGAACTTTCTTCTCCTTCCCATCCTTTTCAACAGCAAAGGGATCCGCAGCCCGTTATTGAACGTTCTCCTCTTCCTTCTCATAAATGGTATTCATCATCAGCTAGTGAACACCCCCCTCCTTCTTTACAACAACAACAACACCATCATCATCATCATCTCAAACCACAAGCAACAATCAATAACACAGTCTTACGTCCTCCGGGAAATACAAGATATATACCTCTGCCAGACATGTTGTATGATTTAGATCTAGAAGCACAAAATGGGCAGAGTCTCCCACACCCATATATTGATACCCCTTCCCTTGCTTCTACTGTCTCTCCTTCCTCTTCCTCTCCTTCTCTTCCTCCTCCGTCTACTCCTTCTCCTCCGCTTCTTCTTCAACAGCAACAGCAACAGCAACATCAATGTACGAAATTACAAGGGGCTACGAATGATATAACTGTCCCGCCAGGAAATTTGAGAAATGAAGCTCCAGCAGCCGTGCCACCTCGTCCGGATCCAGAAGCACAAAGCATGCGAGGGACTCGACGACCAGATATCAACAGTTCTCTTAAGCACCCACAAAATAATATCGAATCACAAAGAACGATGAATGATGTAGTTCTACCTCCTCTAGAAAATTTAAGGAATACGGCCTCGTCAGTTTCATCTTCAGGCAATCCAAGGGGCGTAGCCCTGCTAATTGTGTCGCATGATTCAGATCTAGAGATAAATATCCAGCAAAGAACTCCACGCCCAAATGCTGAAAATCCTCCTCTTGCTCTTCCTCCTCAGACGCAACAGCAGCAGCAGCAACCTCATCCAGAACCACAACCTCATCTAGAACCACAACCTCATCCAGAACCACAAGCACACCGACAACTAGAAAAGCCTTATTCCCAAGAACGTCCCGTAGCACCTGGCCATGCTCGAACGCCACTATGCCCCCAGGAAAGAGCTCCTTCAGCGTATTTCGATGATCCTCGTCTACCTATGTATATAAATGACCCTCCTCTACCGATGTATGAAAATGATCGTCGTCAGCCAATGTATACCAATGACCCTCATCGCACAATCCATGTTCAAGTGCCACCAACCCAGCAGGAGCCTCTTGTTCAGGGTAAATATCCAGTTCACACTCCTGAACCACCAGAGTTCCCTCCTCCGCAAATGGTACAACAAGTTTCGAGAACTGCCTCTTCTGAACCTGTTTCATTTAGTGAAGTTCCGAATTCAGAGAATTTGAGCAATTGTTCCAACTCAAATGGCCGAAATTCATCAGGTCGGGAGCGACCAAAAAGTAAATCTAGACAAAAGAAAAAAGAATCAGGAAAGAGCAGTTCTTTTACTGACAAAGCTTCACGCACTATGATCAATATCATGGCTCGCCAGCCTGAAGTGAAGACGGGCGTGGCATGGGAGACTCGCAATAGGCAAAATCACTCGAACAATAGGGATGAGACGCATCGTCGGAGAGACAAACATTAATTTCTTGGGGATATGGTGTTTGGAAAGTGTGGAAATGTCTTGTTAAGAGCACCGCATTCTGGAATATCTCTAACCTGGTCCAATGCTACAGGGCTCCTGTTATAAGCAAATGACCCGTGGGAGTCCAGCATTTTTATACTCTACAGATTTCTAGGACCAGTCCTTCGCCGTCTCAATACCGCGTTTAAATTCGAGTTATCTATTATCGCTGTTGTTCTTCTTTGGTGGCTTTGATGGGCTTTATTATGAGGAATTTATGTATTTTGTAGTTTCAACGTGGGATTTAATGATAGTTTTGTATCATATCTTCAAAGAGGAATAATAATCATATTCTACTTTCAGAAGGTTTCTGGTAGTAGTGATTATTTGGATATCTGAGTCCCCGTAAATTTTTGATTCATTTATTATAATTTTAGTTTGGATGCTATTCTTCTTGTGGTAGTTCTATGTAGTTCTCAGATTATTATTTAATAATCAAAATTCATTGCTACTCTTAGTCGTTCCCGTCTGTTTCAGTCATGTGAATCGTGTATCGCAGTCATATACTCTCCATTTTAGAGTCATGTCGGCCATTTTACGTTCATTTCGACGCCTTTTCGATCACTTCACTCGCCTTTCAAAATCATTTCATCATGGTTTCAGTCATTTCCTCTCAATATAGGGTCATATTTGCGCATACATATTGGATATGTGACAATTCATACCTCACACTCTTGAATCATCATGACCTTGAGGCTTCCGATCTAAGGTAGGAAAGTAACACTTAAGCACTCCGTTCGCCCGTTTCATGGACTTCTCTCCTTTACATTTACAACAAAATTTATTTCTCAATGTCAAGAACTTATTTTGGCATACACAATACTCGAGCCTCTTATTACCAATGGCAGAAACAACTTTGATCATGTATTCTGGTAATAATCAGCAGGCTGCTCACAATAATGCAGGCGCGCAGGCTCAACAGCAAAGACCTCCTCGAGTTCAACATTTATTTCCACCAGTATCCTCTCCTTACCATGAGGATCGACGACATGAATCTCATGTGGGAGAGACGGCGCCAATACTAACCTTTGGCCCTGTACCACCCAATATTCCAGCACAACAACAACCATCTCAGCAAGCACATGTTGCTCAAAGTGGCTGCTCTTATCAACAACAGCAGCCTCAAATGAATCAAGGATCAAATGCTTCGGCAACAAATGTCGCTTATTATGATCCGACAACTAAAATCTATTGCGCTGAGCTGGACACGCCTTGGGGCTCAATTGAACGCATCGGCATCATCAGAGAAGAACCAGAAACTTCTCAACCAGCCAAACAACCATCCCCTTCATCGGTCCCTAAGAAGAAGAAGGAGAAGAAGCTGTCCAAACGGCCCGCAGATCGGGATGACCAGCCTCGCAAGAAGCCTTAAAAGCTACTTGAATTCAATGTATAGAAACTTCTGAGCTATTACTTGGTAAGGATTCCACTCTAGAAAAACCGGATATATTGATATTGTGTAAAAAATGCTAATTCTAGATAGTCACGTATCACCTACGACGGGTGAATGCTTTGTTGTGTCAGCGGTGGTAACGGCTGGATTTATCTGATACTTCCCCTTTCTTTTCATATTATTGGTTACTGTCCTCAGAGAAGGTCAGTATGTTTCATGGTTTTAGGCGGGAGTCAATAGTGGACGTTATGGTGGCTTGATATTGCATTTAGGAGGAGGGAATCTAACTGTCTGGATTTAAATGGATATAGAAAATATATTCCATTTTACTTTATACGTATACCGCTGCAGTAGAGCTAAGAAATGTATGTAATCGTGAAACAGTCATGTTAGAAGCGACACAGTCAAGTTCCCACCACTATAAAGTTGCCGTTCCCGGAGCCATAGTAAACTCACATTAACTGTCGTTAATCCCCCCATATACATTGTAGGAATGACTGATCATGGTCATAAATGACTCGACTAAGTAGGCAATAATCCCATTCATTCACCTAACTGTTTCTACCGAGTCATAGTGAATTTAATTCCCAGACTTCACTCCCTTGGAATCAGTCCATGTTGAGTTCCACAGTCAGCAATCACCCAGATGGGCAGTGAAATTAAACCTTACGGAGTCGCTCTTGCTCAGATCCGCGGGGATCATGAAAGATATTTGTATTATTTAGAGCATATTCGACTTTCACATCAAAGCCTATTCTTAATAGACAAACATGCATCTCTCGAGACTCAAAATATGAAGGTTTTTTTTGTCTCCTAGATCGTCCAAATTATACTCGCAGAAGCTTGTTTTTGCGCCTTTCTTTTCTGCACTTGGCATACAATTACAAGGCCAATACACACAATGAAGGTTTTACTTTGCACAAGATGTGATTGAATTTTCTGACTTTCCTCCTTGGTGTTGCAACTTCTAGTTTACAATCTCAATGGCTTAAGAAATGCTTAAAAGCACTAGCTTCTCTCCTTCCTCACTCCATTTTCTCCTCGAGCTTAAAGTAATGACTGAGACACATTCAGTAAGACATTTCAAAACCTTCAATAACATCATCAACGAGGGTTTCTTTCTTTTCATTAATTGAATAATTCTCTCAACAATCACCAAATCACTTCAGAATGCCTAGAAGACGGTCAGCTCGTTTAAATGCACTTGCTTCTGCCACCTCCTAGAAACCATCTAAAAGTGCACCAGCTTCTCCTGAAGCAACAAATGTCAAGATCTATTTGAACAAATTATATGCACCCGAATATCAGTATCCAGCAATCATACACGCCGACACAAACAGGTCTTCCTCCCCCGAAAGTGGTAACGACACAGGATCCGGCGGAAGCACCCGCACAGGCAGTGAAAGTCCTAAACATAAAACATCCGAACAGAAACCCCCGCAGCCCCAGAACGCCGAGAGAGATATCAAGTCCTTATACTTCCTCCACGGGACATTGAAGCCCTTTCCGAGGAGAATGCCAACTCCACTACATATACCACAGCATCACAAAAACTCATCATGTGGGCAGCCCGTCTCTGGTATCAAAAACATGGAAGTGCTATCCACCACCCTATGGCAATCAAACGTGATTATAAGAGAGAGGAGTTGCACGAATGGATGTGTTGGAGTTTTCCACTGTTGGGGATGTAAGAAAAGTTGGATTGCTGCGCATGCTTGGGTAGGTAGATGTTTATTGTGATGGTGGTTGTGTAACTTGTCCTGAAGTTAGTGGATTGCATGCTTCAACTACTGTGCCTAGATTTATATCTGGGGGTTCTCCGACTGATCATGGTCATTGTTATGAGTGTGAAAAGAATAACAAGGAGGAACTGTTGTAAGACTTAGCTGGGATAGGAAGGTTTTTTATAGTTAGAGAGGCATAGAGAAATTTCACTTACGAAGGTGGGGATTCATAAGTAAATTTTCTAATTTCAAGTAACATATATTTCTGGCTAATATCTATACAGGATTGCCTGAGATTAAGATATTTGGAGGGGGGCGTGGAAGATAACAGAAAGTTGTTTCCCAACAAGCCTTTTGTTCTGCAGATCTCATATATGTAGCAAAAAGTGTCAAAAGGTCTATGACGGACTAGGAATCAACAATGGGAGTATTCTTACAGTCTTAGAACGCACTTCTTGCCTTTGAATTTTCTAGATGCATGCTCGATGTCATTATCAAATTCACCCCCTTTGTCTTCCCTTACTTAAGCGTTGACTGAATTCATTTATATCAGCTTGATCTTCGATAGTTACTTGATATATCGGATTAATAGTTCCAACGCTCACTTCATGACAGAAAGTTAAAGGTTACTGAGCCTAACTGATTAACTTTGGTAAAGCTCTGCCCTGAGCTCCAGCCATGCGATGCAGCACTATATTAATAACAAGTACGCACGCAGTAACAGCGTGATAGTTACCTTATTTGTAGCAGATCGAACCAAGATGACGCAGAATCTAAAAAGGAATACTCCCAACATAACATCACATAAAAAATCATGACTCTACAAAACTTGCATTAAGATCATGATTAAAAACTCCAATATACGTACTTTATAGAGTCATGTATATTATCTCCCAAGCTTATATATACCAATGGTTCTTCCCCTTTTCCTTGCTAGAACATCTACAGTATAACTATATGTACACCTCAAATAATCCACTTCAAAGAAAAACACAAAAGCCCTCTTGCATATTCAAGCAAGATATATATAAACCTTCAAACTCCACACCAACACAACTTCCATTATGAGCAATAACAATAACAACAAGGAAACTCCAGCCAACTCAGGTAATCTTACCACCAATGAATGCCCTTACAAAAAGTTCAAGAAACCAACTAACCAATATAAAAGCCCCAGTAATCCACGCCAAGCTCCCCAAAATCCGCGATCGTCGTCCCTCCAAACAATTATCCTCCTCCTCCTCCACTTTTACCTCCGCTTCCACTGCCAAAAATCCCCTCCCCGACGAAAACCAAGCACCCAAGACGTGCGAAAAGGGTTGTAAAATGATCGTTACGCGATGCTTTGAAGGTAAGAGGTTCTTAGATAACGATCTACTAATCGCCTTTAATTGTCTTGATTGCAAGAAGGGAGGATCGGGTACTAGAAAGACGACTCCTGCTTCTGTTAACGAGTATAAGAGTGGGGGTTGCGGTGTTTGTGTTCTTCGAGGTGGTGGAGATGCTTAGTGACGATGATGATGATGATGCTGAAGGATGATTGAGGTGGATTGTGGTGTTGCATTGGATCACTGGGGATGGAATGGCAAGTTTCGAGGGACTTTGGGAAGTTTTTTTTAGCATCGGTTTACTGTCCAATTTGATATTATGAACCTTAGGGGACTTGGAATTGGATATTTGCGCGATTGAGGAAATGTGGAATTACCAACGAATCATAATCAAACTTATAGATTCAGCACACTCCCTCCACATTTCTATCATTAATATTATGAATACAATTTGGGGTTTTGATATATGCGAATGAGGTGACTTCAATCATTGTGATTGTCCGACATGTTCAAAATATTCAGAATGAATGAATGACAATAACTATTACCTCCTATATTTGGCAATGCTTTGTGCTTGAATTAAGATATGACTTTAGTGATCAAAGAGATGGCACACAGATACCGCTCCTACATTAAATACTAACATATCAAAATCGTTCATAACGAGCTCGACTCATGTACTCATAGAGCAACAGTCACTTTGCTGCTAGAAAAGAGTCATGCGAAGTATCCTAAGATGTCCACAAAAGGAAATGCATTGTTAATGCTATTTTTGTGTTACACTATAAAGATGATTAATCAGTGGATTTGAAGAATATAGGAGCGAGTGATTCACACGCTTGGAGACAGGAGGAATGAGCTGAATGAATGGAGCTAAAGCAGAAAGAAGATGTTGAAAGCTCTAGGAAATTACGTGCGCGACTTTTAGACACAAGCTTGCTGTTCCACTACTTCGCTGGCCTCATGTGAATTCTCTGAGCTGCCAATCCTACGCCTACATTCTCTTCTTAAGAATAGCCACTCAGCAATTGCGAGGAAGAATGAATTCCTGTACACAATCAAACGATACCAATATACTCAGCACTTGCGAATGCTAATGTTGACAACGTGACCAAACACATAGTTTTAAAAGGTCACTCCGTTCGGTAAAATCTCGTGGATGTTATGACTTTGATAAGAAAATTGGAGGAATTGGCTTGAAGTGCAATGCTAGCCTCGATCATCGATCTTTATGCTACAGTAGTGTCATATGCATACTTCCACTACTCCATACCCTGACCAACCCCTCCCCAAAGACTTATTTCCAGGTTCCGAATATACGAGTCGCATACAGCCCTTTCCTTAGAAACCATTGCTTTCCTCAATTCCAAATATGTTAGTTGACCCATCACAAGATCACTGCATAGCCATCTCAACTTAATACTCAACCTCTCGCAAACCCCTTTGTCTCCCCCCACTTTCTAACCTTCCCATCCAAGTCACTGCCCACAAATCCCCAAATCACACTCGTCCCCCAAGTTATCAACGTATCCAAAACCCAATTTCCCCTCCTACTTCCACCCCAAGCACAAGCTCTCATCATGCTTCCCAACCAACCTACTGTAATCAGGTACTCTCCTCTTTCCAGTCCCTTAATCGCATTACTCGCGACTTCATCTGGTGTTTGTATTGGATCTGTCTCTTCCAAAAGGTGTGTAACTTCCGGTTTTCCTTGATTTTCAATTTCTAATCCTGGACTTGCTATTGTGCCGGGGAAAACTGTGTGGATTTGGGGAGGATTGGGATACATGAGGACCTCTTGATATAAAGTATCGCTTAAACTCTTGATGGCTGCTTTGGTGGGTGAGTATGATGTGTAACCCACAATGGAATAAAAAGCCACAACACTACTGGTGAAAATTAAATGCCTTTCTTTCTTTTCCACGTTTGGTGTAGAGAGCCAGGATTTCAAAACACAATGTGCCATGTCTGCACAAGACCAATAATTGATATCCATTTGTGTACGTAGTTTTTGAGAAGTAGTTTCGAGGAAGAAACCAGGGGTAGATGTTCCCGCAATACACCAGACGATGTCGGGAGGTGTAGAGGAATTGAGTTCTATGGCTTCTTCGAGTATACGTGCAGCTTCGCTTGGAATAGAAACGTCGGCAGAGATGTAGTGGAAGAATTGAGCTGAGGGGGAGGAAGCTGCGGCCTGTGAATGTTAGTTGGGCTCATCAAAACTTTGGCAAACATAAAGTATTCCCCGTTCCCAATCGCCCATTCATCCATTTTCTCCTGCTCAATCCACTTCCCCCTCCATTAATTGCTTAACCTCGTCTGTTTTTCAAATTCTCTCCCTATTTCCTCGTCTCCAATCGCGCCACCATCTACAGTTCTCGCACATCCACGCCATCCAATGTCCAATCTGATTCCCCTTTCTTTCCTCTCTCACCTTCTCCCGTCCTCTCCCCCTTCCAAAAAAAAGAAAGAAAACACACGCCCAAAAAACTCACCTCAATCTCCCGCAAAGCCCTCTCCAACTTTCCCACATTCCTCGCCACAATAATAACATTCGCCCCCTTCTGCGCCAACTGAACCGCAACACTCTTCCCCATTCCCTCTGAAGCGCCGGTTAGAAGGACAGTCTACCATCATAATAAATTAGCACGTAATCATATATTCCCTTCACCTATCCTAGCAATTTCAAAAGGAATAGAAAGAGAAAGAAGCGGTAGATGAGGAAAGAGAAGGGAAGAGATAAGTCGAAAAATAAGCAATCCACAGAAGAACAATCATACCTTCCCCTTAACCTGAAACTTGTTTCCCCCAAACCCAAAGAACGCCATGATTCCGGGCACCAGAAGCGCTATTCCAAGTCCTAGCGCTGCGAGCGTCCAATGATTGAAGTAATTGAAATAATCAAGTATGGACATACTGCTTCAGGCCTCCCGATGGTTCGCAGCCTAGTCTAACGATTAAGTTAGGTAAAGTCGCGATGTGATGTGATGTGGTGTGGTGTGATATGGCGAATTTTGGTGATGGATGAATTGGATAAATTGAAATTGAATTGAAAGTGGAGAAGCGATAAGGATAAGGATAAGGATAAGGATAAGGATAAGAGAGAGAGGGGTTAAGGATTATGGGTGCAAATTCCCCACGTGGTTATTTACCTACCTCCCTAAGCATGCCCAACAAGATAAAACAGAGTTACGGGATGACCCGACTTAGCTAGAAAAGCAAAAGGGAGTTCCCGCCGGTCGAATCAATCAATCAATTAGTGAGCTAGGAACTTAGTGCAGGAACGTGGATTTCGGTACTAAGCTTAAAAACTTAGATGTCTATCTACAAGGCCTAGGCTTCGTCACGTGTAGTTAGAATCTCATCACCGTTAATTGTAAGTTTTATTTTGAGAATCCTATCACTGTTACAGTCATGAAATGAACATTGTCACTTTACCACAATCAGATATGTATCAACTAATTATCATGGTTTTTTTTCTTCTTTACTTTAGTGCCAATACCAGTCGGTCGGCTGGCTGACTACCGTTTGTAGGCTATTCCTAAAAGATCCATCTTCATCCTATTCAAGCAAGCCTGCTGGATCATGATCAAAATCATGGAAGAATGCATCAATAAATCTGAGCTTGGCATGCCTAAAAGCCTGACATTCACCGTAACCATGACCTCTTGAAACTTTGATATAGATGCCACTATATCCACCAACGCCTTGTAATCGCCAAAAAAAAAAGAGTGAGAAGTAAAAACATTTTCATCCATGAACGCCACTTTCTGGACCATGGAAAAGCCTGTATCAATTCATTTCGGAAACGCCTTTTTGTCCATATAATGGGTATCATCCTTCCCTCCCCGATGCAAATCGCAAATAAACATAAATGATATCTTAAAAAGGATACAGAGATTTTGCATATCAGTCTGTTCTCTTTCGAGTAAGAACAGGTCGCTTCCTCCTATTCGCAGCAGGTGCCATGCCTACGAAAGTTTCATCAGATTCATTACCAACGCGATCGTAACGTTCATGACCGACAGTGATAAGTTTGACGACATTTCCCAATGCGACAACGATACTATTCGTACCAACTTTCGTGACGGGACCAAGTTTGCCAACAAGCAGGACCTGATCGTATACTGAGTTTAATGGCACAGAAGTTTCATCCCCCCTCGATCCCAAACTCCAAACCTCCCAGCCATCATTCTTTCCTTCCGGATGGCCATTATGGGATTTTCTGTCAGGAACACCACGTCGTCGGAGCCCACCGCCACCAATAGATCCCGAAAGTTGATTGCCCGTCGCTTGTTTGCCTCGATCCTGCAATTTCCGCACTCCTACCACATAGCCCGATTGAAGTGCTTGCCAATCACCCGGATTTTCAATGCTAAACCTCCGCTCTACAGTCTCGCGCCATAAACAGCATGTTTTAGAACCTGGTTTATCAGGGTCACGGAAGCATATAGTATCGCCTTCCCTACTAGGCAAATACGATTGCATCATGAGATTGCCGGTTTCAATGCAAGTATACATAAATGCAAATGAACCCAAACCGACCGAGCCACACTGTGGCCTCCGTCTTGTCGAATGGACACATTGTAATGTTCCAGGCTTGATATTCTCGGTAACAAAGGAGTGAGTCACATTATGAGTATAAATGTCGACAAGATCAACACTGTGGTCGCGTATAGCAAGGAAGGAAGACAGTGCCGGCAATGGAAGGATGGAATTGACATCTTTGTCATCTGATACCCAAGGAAGCCTGAGATCATATGAGACCCAACCAGATGTTTCTTGAACCGCAACATGAACACACCCACGTTTTGATGCAGTGATGATTTTTGGAGGTGGTACGCAGCCATTTGTAACGACTTTCTCTAGATGTGGTTCGACACAAACGAGTGGGGTGCGACATATCTGTAATTCCTTCGCAACATCATCTTCCATGTGAAGTTCTGTCATAAGACCGTTATGGCGCACGATGATAACTGGGTCGATCAGTTCAACCTCGTTCTGGCTAAAGAAAAAAGCCTCTGGTGTTCGTCCTTTGACATCTACGGCCATTGTTGGGCCCCATCTTCGTTCGGGAATATTCCACAAGGCGACCATTTTCTTTGAAAGTATCGCGAGCCAGTTGGAATCGTTGTCGATCGCCATGGCTAAAACAGGAAATGGGTCAATATTGGATCCGGGATCTTCAACTACGTAACTTCTGCCAGCATGCTGTGCATCCCAAACACGGATCCATCTGTCCAGACCGACTGAAACGATAATTCCATCACGAGAAGCTGTCATTAGGACAACATCCAGAGCATGGCCAGAGCCAAATGTTTTAACCGATAATAGGGGTTCATCATCGTGACCTTCGTGGTTTTCATCGTCAGATGGTTCATCAGACAAAAGATATTTGATGAATTGATTGACAGCCACGCCAGTGATGAAAACAAACAAGAGAAAGTGGAGGGATTGATTTTCGATAAAGTCATAGAACGCCGGGAGGAATGATCTGACACCAAGTGTATTTGGAGTTCGGTCTGAGCCGTTCAATACGAAAACTAGAGGATCATAAACTTGAGCAACAAAACTATGAGCATGTGGTTTAATAATGCTTACAAGCTCATGGACAGTTTCATGATCTTGTAATCGGAGCCAGGCAGTCGGAGTCCTGGCTTGATGAATGTCGACCTCTAGAACTGATGCAGAAGCTGTCGATGATGCACGCAATAAATGTTTGCTGCTTTGTAGAATGCCTTCGTCGAAGTGCCACTGGCATATTAGTACTGCAAAAATGAGTACCAAGGTACCGACCATACGAGTCGAAGGCATTCTTCCTCCATGAAGAATGAAATCTACCCATGGCTTGGGAGATGGTCTCTCTGGTGATGAATAACGTCGTTCCCGAGAAGCCGACAGCGTGTCATTTAGTTGAGGCCTTCGCACATCAATGCTTAGGATAGGAGCAAAGAACATTAGTAGATAGAAGAAATCAAAAACTAATGCAAGGGTAGCAAATCGACAGAAAGTGGCCAGTCCTTCGCCTCCGAATTTTGATACAACACACAAGAATAAAAGTCTTTGGCCCGTGTTTGCAAGGAATATATGACCATTCTTTCCAAAAGCTTCCGCTGACCTAAGAGTCGGATGATGTGATGAGGGCGTGATAATCACAGCTCTGACAAGTTGAAGCATATTTTCGGTACCGCAAAAAACCACAATTAAAGGGTAGTATTCTCTTGGTATCATAGATAGATCGGTTTTGACAATAGCGCAGATGGTAAACGTTGAAGTAAATGTAAACGCCAATTGAGTAGTGGCCGCAATGAGAAGACCCAGTCTTGATTTGAGAGCTCGCAAACCCCATAAGGTTGCTACAAACCACCATGCGCCCATGACATAAGCGATGGCCAATGCAAGGAATTCCCAAGTGGCAGTGGGCTGAAACAAAAATTCATAGGGGGTGCTTCTTATGGAACGACCATCAGAAGGAATTAGGCGCCACTTGTCAGAACCCTCGGCTGCTATTTGAGCTGCTCTTCGTTCCCAATATTTCCCGACAGGGGAATCCAACATGTGAGCTAAGGTTATGACCAATGCATCTGCAGCCACTAGCCGGTGGTCCTCAAAGCGCTTGCCACTGAAAACAATAGAGTGTCTCAAGGTAACATTGACTGAGGTCGATTGGTGTAGATTTTTGTTGACTGTCCTTATAATGTCGTCATCGGCTGAGATGGCATCCTTCGAGCATGACCAATATTGTAGAGGGGAATGAAAGAACCAAGATGAGTTTGATAGACCATTGGCTGCGTGAAAGGCATCCCGGGTATCCACTGACATTTCGTTCTGTGTATCGTTAATCAGAACTTGATTACCTGCTTTGCGAGGGTTAAAGTCGACAGTGGGACCCAAAATTTTGTCTTGGATCTCCAATGCTGTTTGGAGAACATCTGATTGTAAAGCCTTCATATAGCTCCCTATCCCAGTATTAGCCTCCCTTCCTACACAATCCGAGAAAATAACACACCATGTACCCAAATCGATCGCATGACCACATCCGGTTTCCTGGTATCGTCCAATGCCTTGAGGGGTTGCGCTGAAGACCAGACATGATGTGGTAAATTTGATGCGCCACTTGTAAAGTCATTCGTGAAGAGGAATGGGAAGGGGAATATGAGTAATGTTGCGATGATGGCAGAGAAAGTGATTGCGGCGATTGAGTGCTTTGCGACATTGTATCCAAAACGAGTAAATCGGTCTCGGATAGGATGTCTATGGTCAAGATCTGGAGGTTCCGTAGTTCTGATAGACAAGCATAATTAGAGTTACGAGCTCCGGACAAGCTTGTTCATCAATTAAATCACTTACCCTCGAAATGGATAAAGGAGGTACCAAATCATGGTGACGAGAGATCGTCCTTGCCCTTGACCTTGCCCTTAATGTTGCCAACCACACACCAAGTATGGCGGCGGTACCTTCTTTCAAAAACTTCGATGGGGGGTTGTTCCGTAGATAGATGCGCCAGCTTCTTTAATTCGGCCGTCAATTTATTTTAGGTACTATGACAATTATCACAGATATGGTGGTGTAAAGCAGCAGATAGTGGTGGAATTGAAATTATTAACGTCGTGTGAATTCTCGATCATGGTGTTATCGCATGTACCAAAATGTGTATGATATGGTGTGGTGGTGGTGGTGGTGGTGGTAGAGGCGAATCGGGAGATGTGGGAACCTTGAAAGGTTTTGAGGAACCTCAAAATTGAATTGCTGACATATTTGAATCAAGTGAATGGATGTACTGGGGCGATGTTTGTTTGATGTTGAAATTTGAAGGGACAGTCGTAATAATCAAGAGTCGAGATTCGAGTGAGTGAATGAATGAATGCATGTATGTATGCATGTATGAATGTATGAATGTATGAATGTATGAATAAATGAGGAAATCGAATTACCAACAGAAAAGTTTATTAACCCAAGTTCAGCTTTGTCCTCTTTTTTTCCCATCTAATGCTGTAAGTTTGTTGTCATTTTCATCAAAATTTGAAATTATTGAAATGATATGTATGGTCTGTATGGTCTGTATGGTCCTGTGTGGCAGAGCGGCAGTTAGCGGACCTACTTAGGGTAGCAATAGAGCAAAGAGAGCAAAGAGAGCAAATATTGCCAAAAAGTTCAGGTAGTGTGGGAAAGAAGGTCCCTCTTCCGGGGGGCAAGGGAAAATTATACTAACCTAGTAAGTCGCAATGTAAAGTAAGTATGTGGGCTCCTCTTTTTTCCCTCGGACTCCCAAAACCGGGCAAATCAAACGGGTTGGATTTTACTACTTGGGTCCCTTTTGATATTACTAGAAACTTAAAAAGCTGTCGAAGATTGAAAAAGAACGGCCAATAAATGACCAATGAATGAAAGTCCTTGAAACAATGCACGGCTAGAGGACTCTCCACTCTTCCTTGTAATGCGCTCGTGAATCGTGATCCGGTCCAAGTCCAAGTCCAAGTCCAGAAGAACCTTAAAATACGGGAATATAGAATGAATTGCAGAACGGTATAACGGCGGATGAACTTTTAGTCGAACGCGGATGATACAGTGCCGATATTGACAATGTACACCCTTTCTTCTCTCTTATTGTCTCTCTTTCTCTCAGAGCCTACCTCTCAGACTCTCTCTCGCGGCAACTCACTCTCACTCTCTCTCACACACTCCCTCTCTTGCGCGACAAAATATCTCTCTCTTCTCTCGTTCTCTTTCTCTTTCTCTTCCTCTTCCTCATCCCCTTCCTCTTCCTTTCTTCTCCTCTTTCACGCTTTGTCGATTCCTGCTCATGCCATGCATGAACTCGGCACAGAAAGGGTTCCCATTCGAATGGTGATTAATAATGAACGGACGCGGGATTGTGTTACTTCCGAGGCTCCAACGGGGTGAAATAAATCCAATGAACTTGTCGAGCTGGTAAGAGAGGTTTGAGATATTTTTGATATAATAGTACAGCGAGCGATATTGTCCCTAGAAGTAAATGTCTCTCTCACAATGTTGAACAGGACCTGTACCTCGAATTCAGACCAATTTCATATGCGAAGTTTCGAACGTTGGATTTTCTGATTGTACAACTTTCATCTTCCGGTACTGTTGGCTATTTGTTGCTCGGTATCGATGATCGACTTGGTGTATCTGCTTTTTCATTTCTGGAATTCTGATGGAGGACAATAAAAGCCTAGAAAATCTTGGATAAAAAGACCATATTAAATCTTGTACTTACGAAAAGTAACTTGTGTTTCCTCTCTCATTTTCTTTTCATTCTTACTCGAACACTCATACCTACCGACAAGCCTCCTCGAATTGGCTTTTTCCACAGATAACGAATCATATTGAGCTGAAGTGAAGTTAAAATATTTCTCAACGTCAGACTTTTCTAGAGAACCTATGGTAAAGTTCGATAAGTTCATGGTAACGAGGGGCTAAGATGTGGCTGCTAGGTGCGTTGCATTTGCAAAAAGGGTATGTATGAATGAGGGTGGGGAGTGAGATAATTGGGAAATGGAAGGGGGGAGGAATGCAAGCAAGCCCTTCCTGAGATGAGGTTACAGCAGCAGACAGCAGACGGCAGACGGCAGACAGCAGACAGCAGACAGCAGGCAGCAGGCAGCAGGCAGCAGACAGCATCAACTAGAAATGTGAAATGTGAAATGGGAAAGAGGTTCATGTTTTCCAAATCTTCGTACGAAGTGGGCGTTCACTCAACTCTATATCATTCCTTTCCTTTCTTCTTAGAGTAATTTTAGTCTTCTTTTCTTCTTGTCTAGATTCATTTTAATCATCGTATGCTTTTTGACATTCTGACATGTCCATCGCCTGATTTTGACGGCAGTTATATTGACCGACGGCCCAACCAGGTGTGTTACACACAGCTTTCATTATACATTTCTGGGTCCCTGTGAAGATCAAAGAACCGAATCGGGCAATTTCACTTCAAATCTCAATTAAATTTCCCCAAATTACCCCAACAGTTGACTCTTTTAAGATTTAAAATATCAAGCCACCAATAATTGATTAGGCTGGTTGGGGTTGACTGGATTGATTTATCTGGGGCATGAATTGATACTAATACCAAAATGCGGGGAGATATTGCACTGTGGGGATGATGCATGGAAAACTTTCCAGAAACTTTCCAGAAACTTCCTGTACAGGTTGAGTTTGTGGTGTAGTAAGTATCAGTGGTAGGTAGAGGTAAGAGAGGAGGGAGGAGGGAGGAGGGAGGAGGGAGGAGGGAGGAGGGAGGACGGAGGAGGGAGGACGGAGGAGGGAGGGGGATGTTCAGCGATAATAAACTGCTGACTGCTGACTGCTTTTCTCCCATTCGGTCATTTGTATTGCTATGCTATGTACGAGTATACGTAGGTACAAAGGCAGATACTCGCATTCCATTTCACCTACCTATAATTAAAAGACTCCTTCAAGGACAGCACAATTCAGCCATTCTCAACCAAATACCTAGGTAGATGACATTGGAAGATATTCCTAGATCAACCTATATTCCCCCATGAACTGGCCAATAATCTATGGCAGCCTTATACGGAGTATAAATATCTTGAAGGATTTGCTGTATCCTGATCTTGGTATTGTGGCGTATACAGGGAACAGAAAAACATCTGGATCCTGCAAACACCCGATTCCAAGACCTCTTTCGGGCCCTTTGCGCTGGGACATTCAGAGCATGATCAGGTGCAAGCCGTACCGATTAAGCCTCAAAAGGCGACATGAAAGGTTATGATTGAGTTGACAATCTATCAATCAATCAATACTGCCAGAAACTTCATCGCAATCGCTTCAAGGAATTGTGCGCAAAGGACGAGTGTGTGAAGGACTGATGGGAGATGAGTCGGTGAGGAATCGAAGTGTACCGCCTTGCGAAACTAAAAATGATTTTCCTCAGCAGGACTAAATATTCAACCAACATTCCTTAAGCCCTGATAGCCCTGATTGATCTCAGGTTCCTCCTCAACCAACTGTTCTCCTTCAGCCAGTACCAGTCGCGATGTTTATCCACCATAGCAGCAGATAATCTAACAAGAGAATGCAAAGTATCGCTCTTTGTAAGATCTTACTTCAAAGCCATGCTTTCATCGCTATGTCATGATCGCGACCGGCTGCTGAACTCACGGCGATGGGCATATGGGCATACATGTATTTTTAGTACCGGTACCGTACTCATGGGAAGCATGATATGCGAACGCGAATCATAAGATAAGAACGGATACCAACCTTCATAAGGCTGGCTTTGCATATACATAGCATATTCCTAAGCGCCGCGTCTCAGTGGTCTGAAGACTAGAACTGGTGGAAACAAGTGCCACCATCGTCACTTCGTACCTAATCATATGTACATACCCTCACCAAGTCCATTCCTGTCGCAAGCCATGGCAGCCGTTCGTAAATGGGGCTTAGATATCACCAAGTTCTCCGTGACTGTGCTTAGATACAGTTTAGGTACTGTACTTCGAGTGATAGTAGGTATGCACATAGTTTCGTCGAATATGGATAGGTTTCACTGCTTAATGAGCAAGCAGGTGATATTTCAATACATGACGTCGAATTAGGAGATAGGTGAACTTTTCTGCTACCAATCACGAGGATATATTATTTTACTATTATTGCATCCCATTTGAGCTCACTTAGGTACAAACACCACCTTTTAATATTTCATACTTTCCAAAGTTGCATGAGGCACGATCCCGCACGTCGAACCAAGGTGGCTCCTCCCATATCTACTCCTTCGATCAATATATAACGTTTCGGCTTTCTTCCCCGGACTCTTCTTTCCTTCGCTTTCTCTTCCTTAACTACCTATCTTTATTCCATACACCTATCGCAGCATGGTTGCCAATTAATTATCATCTCGTGGCATAATGCACTTTCACAACCTACAATATCCTTCGTTATACCTAGAAACACATTTAACACACTCAACCCGAATAACATTACATCGTTACGGAAGGAGTCGTCACTTTCGTTATAAATGAGAATGGACTCTTATGGTCCATCGATACTGGCAACAACAATCCTCTTCCTCGTTCTCGGTGTTGTTGTTGTCTCGCTCCGTTACTACACTCGAGTTGTCATTCGAAATACCATCGGTCATGATGACTTTCTCATTCTCTTCGCTTTGGTAAGGTAGACATCTAGATCAAGTATCTGCTATTCTGACTTGGGCTTTCAGGGCCTCTATGTGGTGATGGCGTCACTACTGTTCGTTGGCGTTCAACGGGGCATTGGTCAGCATAAGAAAGGGCTGGATACAGATGACATCGTTGAAAGCTCCAAGGTTGCGACACTACCTTCCTGGTTATACATCAAATTAACGACTAACAGTACGTCTGGCTCACGGTCTTAATTTACATAAATGCAGTCACCGCGGTTAAAGCTTCCTACGCCACTTGTCTCCTCCGTCTGACTGAGGTTAGCCCTTGCGCGTATGCTCTTTGGGCTGGGCTTGCTATCAATGTCATTCTTTGCTTCATAGCAAGCTTCTACTTAATCTTCAATTGCCGACCAATCTCATATGCTTGGACCCAGGGCGATTCGACTGTCGACGGATATTGTAACTATGACTCAGCAGATGCTCTAGGATATGCATGGGCAGGACTTTCTCTCGCACTATACCTCCTCTTTACCCTCGTTCCAGTTGCATTAGTTTGGGATATGCAAATGCATATAAAAACCAAGACATTTGTCGTAACTGTCCTGGGATTAGGGTTATTGTGAGTAATACATAGCTATCATCTGGGTTGTGCTTTTGCTGACCTTGCGCCAGTGCTGGTGTTGCATGCGCTGTACGCATTGGAGTGTTTGCGGTGGATTTAGATTATACCGATCCCCTCTGTTCGACAATTCGTCCCATTATCTTACTTGAGATGACTAATAAATATTTATAGATTCAATATCACCGATGCTCATTTGGTCTGTGGTGGAAGCCGGCTTAGGAATCGTTGCTAGCTGCATTGCAACATTAAGACCTCTACTTCGACACTACAACATTCAAGGCTTAGAAGAGATTGAGCTCGAAGGAGAGGTTGGACACGGTGAACCTGGACAGGACGACGGTCGTCGAGCGTACAAGATGTCAACGGTATCCCAGATCCTCAACAAGTTTACTGGCCACGGTGCACATACGGTTACAGTGGTCCATCAAGGAAGTGTGGCTACTATCCCTGGGCAAGGTCAAATCAAGGAAAGAAAGACATATAACATTTCTACTCTTCAGAGAAGTGCAGCGGACATGCAACATGATCGAGAAATGCAAGGAACTGCTGGCAAAGTTCCGGAACCAGATGATGTAAATACTGGCGGTTGGTAACGATCAGAAAAGACTCCGAATGATTGTGAGAGCATGGTGAATTGGTTCTCAAGAGGAGAAGGAGTTGGTCAGGAATACCTTTTACCTTCAGGTTACGGAACTGTTTTGATACATGCGAATAAACTCTCGAGCCTCTGCATTCATTGGAAATCCGTTAACATTTTTATGGAAAAAAAACTGCTACTTTAAGCATTATATACATTCTTGCTGAAATCCTGCCTTGTGAATTTATAGGTAATTTTGACTGATTCTAGGGTAATATTCGGCATTATCGATCCGACATTCCAACAAACCTTAACAGGGAAATAAGGTTATCGCGTAGCCCTTAGCCAGGGACAGAAAAGGAGAATATCTTGCCGCCATTCCCTTGGCCAGCCGGAAATCCCATACGGGCTAGAAACTCAGTGGACTCGGGTGGATTCCCAAGATTATCTCAAATTAGATTTATACAAATAAAGAGGTTGGGATATAGGGGGTTACGTTTGTGGGGCAGATAGGTTTTACCACCAATGGGATTTTGTGATGTTGGGTTTGAACAATATACGAAAGGTATCCGATAACGTTTGGATATGTCAGGTAAGCTGGCGATGGAACCTCTGCTAATGGTAATACTACATGGTGCGAAACCCTAGGAACAATGTGAGTTTATAGTGTGTGCAATCTCCATGCACGGCAAGTTACGCTTTTTGTCATGCTAGGTTTTTGACCGCACTTGTCTCCGAGACGGTACCTTTTCGGCGTGTACGGAGAAAGTATGGGGTGATAATTACAAGTCCAAGCTTTACCTTATCACGGAGATTGAACATGATGTGGATATTGGCGGTTCAATAAGTTTGTATAAAGAGGTGATTCCAGTGATCATTCCTGTCCAGTCGCGAGATCGTCAGACGGAACTCACGCTTCATTCAATATGTTCATCTCCAATTCCCTTGTCCTCGCATTCGCGAGCACGCAAGTCCTTGCCTCCAGACTCTTTGTTGCATCGTATGCCGGGACTGTTAGTACATTGTCTCTAACGGAAGATGCAAATGGTGCATATTCATTAGGTCTCATTGCGACATCCACAGCTTGCGCGGCTAATTCATCGTGGATTGCTAAGGACTCTGAACGTGATGTTTTGTTCTGTGCGGATAGAGGTCTGACTTCGGACCATGGAACCCTAAATTCTCTGGAGATTCAAGATGATGGTTCGTTGAAGGCTTTGGATAGGATTCAGACGCCAGTAGGAGCGGCCGCAACGGTGTTGTATGCGAATAATACCGGGTTGGCGGTCGCTTTCTAGTAAGATTCCTCGACAATATTAGCTACATTTTTAGGAAGTCGCTCTAATAGAATGAACAAATAGCTCTTCGAGTAGCGTGGGCAGTTACGACGTCACTTCAGACACCAACATGCTCCCCCTCCAAACCTTCACCTACAACCTCACCACCCCTGGTGCAGACCCAGAGTACGAAACAGCACCACATCCCCATGAAGCCATTACCGACCCCACCGGACGCTTTGTCCTCGTTCCAGATCTAGGTGCCGATCTCGTGAGACTCTATTATATAAACCCAAAAACCAAGTTGTTGAAACCACTTAACCCGTTGAAAACACCTACGGGTAGTGGACCCAGACATGGAAACTGGCTGGTTACAAAATCCGCAACCTACTTTTATCTGGTTAGCCAATTGACCAATAAACTTACCGCCTATAAGGTTACGTATAACAGCAATAATACTTTGAGCTTTGCCGTAAAGTTCACTCGAACTTTGTTGGAGACGACTACCCCAGGCCAAGAATTGCAGTTCTACAGTGCCGCGTCCGGGATCCAGATTACGGTATGTATAGATTACTTTTTTCCCCTCTTCTATGCACAGAAATCATCCCACAAATTGCAAGAAGCCGAAATACTAACACCACCTAGCCCGACAACAACTTCCTCATCATCTCCCAACGCAACGACACCCACTTCAGCATTCCTAACCCTTCGTCCTCCTCCTCCACACCAAGTATCATCCCCTCCGATTCCCTCCTCACCTATTCCCTCAACCACACAAATGGTAACTTCTCGCTCATCTCGATTGATGCTGCTGGAGGCAGCTTCCCTAGACAATTTAGCATCAACAAAGCTGGAGATTTGGTGGCAGTAGGTTTGCAGAATGATGGGAGATTGGTCATTATTAGGAGAGATGTCCAGACCGGGTTGGGGATGGAAATCGTGGCGGCGATAAACATAGCCGGACAGGTTGTTTGTGCTGTTTGGGATGAGTAAGTCAAGGGATAATTCGGATGTGGAGTGGGAGGAAGAGCTTGTCTGTGTAGATAGATTGTGTTGTAGGAATAGAGTCCTCAAATGTCGTGTTTGTCACACTAGGATTGGTTTCTTGTATCATAGATGGAGTGTGAAACTACTTTGGCAATATCCTATTTGCAATTCTTCTCAATGCTGTTTATTCTTAATGTTTGCTTTCCCCTGCTTACCCTAATCCCCCCATCGCCCGTTGTCGAGCGACGGATACTGGGGTAGTATCCATAGTCAATTATTGATTGTCCGACTACAAGAAGCTGATTCTTTTTTAAGTACAAAGATTCTCCAAGTACGTCTCAATTGAGTGAGGTCTTTGAACATCATTGATGCTTTGGCAGGAATCAATTAGACTCCTACTTACCCCATAATGCATACCAATTCCTTGCATCCAAATACTTCGAAGAATATAAAGAAACTGGTCTATGGGACTCAGACCTCAATGCTAAAGCTAGGCCAATTAAAAGAATATCCTGTGTTTATTAAACGCTGCGAAGCTTGATTAACCTCATCCGGGTGTACCTAAAGCGGTATTTACTATGGGATTCGGAAACTTAAGTGTGTTGAATAACTTTCTGGCTGAATAGCTTCGCCAGCAGCAAGAAAGGAAATTTTATCAACATAAAGTCCGAGGAACAAAGAAAATAAATTGTGCTTTATAAACCAAGGTACTAATCATTATTATTGCTTTATCCAGAACAACAGGACGAAAAATTTTCGTTCTCGTATTCATGGCACTTGCCTCCTATTGTCCGTTACTATTGTTCTCCAATCCCTTTTCGCGAAAATGTATAGAAAGAAAGGGTATCGTATACTTCCAATAGAATAAATAGATTATCCTTGGATATACTGGATTTCTCGGAAAACTCTTTGGAAAATTACCCAATTCTATATCATTCATTAAAGTTGATTTTGATATGAAAGCATGTCCTCAGAAAAGCACACCACAGACGACCATAGTGTCATTATCATCGGTGCAGGATGGCAGGGAATCGCTGCCGCTAGAACATATCTGCAGCTCAAGCCCAATGTCAAATTAACCGTAATTGACTCGGATAGCAGTATCGGTGGAGTGTGGAGTATCGATCGAAGTTACCCTGGGCTCATTGCCGATAGTCCAGTGGGCTGCTACGAGTTCTCCGACATGTGCATGGACGAGGACCCGGAATTGAAGATGTGGAACACTATTCCTGGTCACAAGGTTGGGGAGTATCTTCGCAAGTTCTCGAAGAGATTTCATATTGATGAACATCTACGCTTGAATACGAGAGTCCTTTCGGCGATTTCTGAACGGGGAATCAATGGAGTAAGTAGGTGGATTTTGGAGGTCCAGACAAAAGGCAAAGAAAAAGAAACCCTCAACTGCGATAAATTGATTGTAGCAAGTGGCCCGTCTTCAGATCCAAGGATGCCGGATCTCGACACAAGTCAATTTAATGGACCTTTCTTCCACTCTCTGTATCTTGGTTCCCGACATGCAGAGCTTACTGCCGATAATATCAAACACGTAAGTGTGGTTGGAGGCAACAAATCTGCCGCTGAGGTCGTTAATCTATGCGCATCAGCGGGAAAGAAAGTTACCTGGTTAATACGAGAGGGCGGTGCTGGTCCGGGAATGCTTATACAAGTAAGGTCGGGGAAAGTACACACCGCGGCCATTGCATTCTCCAGGTGGGCGGGTTTAACGGTCCCATGTTTGTTAAGAACTCATGGGTTTTGGTATTGGCTTTTGCATAGTGGATTCTTTTGGCCTGGTATTTGGTTGATTGGGAAATATTGGGAATGGGCTTCCCATTACATGTTCAAAGGTCTTTATGATCAGAGTGAGAATGCTAAGAAAATTGCGCCAGATTGTAAACAGTAAGATCTCCGCACAAATCTACATTTCGTTTTACTAATAACAAATAGTCTCTTTTGGTCTACATCTGCACCCTCTTTTCTTCAAGAGGACAGTACTTTATTCGAGAAACTAAACGCAGGAATACTGATAGATGTCCAACGCACACATATAACTAAGATTCATTCCAACAGTGTCAGTCTCGACAATGGTACCCATCTTGCTACAGACGCATTGGTCTTTGCCACAGGATGGAATCTGACGTATTCTAAATTCTTTTCGCCTGAAGCACGTCTTGAGCTAGACCTTCCAATTCCGTTTGGTGAAGAACCTCCCTCTCTCAAAGCATATTGGAAGGCACTCGATACAGAAGCTGATCAATGGGTTCATAAAACATTCCCTTTCTTGTCTAACCCGCCCAAGACTAATGAAAATCCCCCGGAAAACACACCATACCATCTCTATCGTCAATCTATCCCTCCTACCCTTGCAACTCGTAACGACCGTTCCATCGCCTTCCTCGGCGTTCTGGCATCTCCTCAGATCCCTACATATGCTGAGCTGTCTGCCCTCTGGAGCATTGCCTATCTCGAAAACATGCATTCCTTCGAGGTGGATAAAGTCTTCAGTGATAAATTGACAATGGATCTAGCTACTGCTCGAACCAATGCATTTATGAAGTGGAGATATAGAAGAGCGGGAATCATCGAACCAAATGTGGGAGCGGAGGTTCAGGATCTTTGTGATTTACTGTGTGCTGAACTGGGGGTAGAAGGAAAGAGGAAGGAAATGGTTGGAGGATGGAAAGCTTCATGGAATGAGTGGTTCTCGCCGTATAGAAGTGTGGATTATAAAGGTATTGTGGGTGAATTTTTAGAGGTGGTTAGGAAGAGAGAGGAAGCAAAGGCAAAAACTGAGTAGAAAGTTTTGGAGTTTGATCTCCGTGTAGGTAAAAGATGGATCTTCGTACTCTTCATTAAATTGATATAGGTAGGGTGCTTATAACATTTTGTCTTGCATAGTATATTCCGCTCCAGATTTTGAGTGACTCGGAAAAAGGATTGAAATTAATCACTTACCGCAAATCATACTAAAAATGCAATCTTTCTCCTACGAAAATGTGTTTTATTCAATCACTTGCGTCGTGGAGAATTGGAGAATCTTTAAAAGGTAGAACAGCTCTTTCAACTAATGGAAATGGTCTTCTTGCAACAGCGGACGCCAGGATAATTAGAGAGACGTAAAAGCTTCGCTCATTTGATCCATCTAGTTGACCGGCCACTCATTCATGAGAGCATTCGACTTTGATAGGGAGGGTCTTTTACAAGAGAGGACCATAAAGTGTGCAATAATACACGTACCTCTCACATCTTCGTATTACAGGTTTGTGGGAGACAGGTTACTGGCATCTCTCTTGACTAAGTGATACAAAATAATATATGAAGACACTGATAAACTCTCCGGAACCATAGCCATGGAATTCCTCGTCATTCATAGAACTTCAAGTTTTGAGCAAAGGCCTTTACAAGGAAAACAGAAGGATAGAGGCTGTGATATGTAAATATTACTGTAGTGTCTGATGAAGGGAAAAGATAGAAGCTGTTATCATCCTGCAACTGACTGTGCCCAGTCTTCTTTGTCTTTTCAGCATAGTATCTTATGACAATGGAACAAGGCAGAATGAAAAAAACGATCTTCTAACCGGGGAAGGTAAAGTTATAAGATATGGATCATCACCTCCGAGCAACATGTTGTATCCCATGACCAACCTTGCTGTTGTTGACTATTTATCTTCATCATTGATAAATTAGCATCTCAGATTAACTGCTTGAATAATCTAAGCCCCGATGCCTCTTTAGTAGTGATGCAAAAACAAAATTAATGGACAGCAACGATGTAAACTTCTTCCGCCATGACTATATAATGGGATGTCATCAGATAGCCGAGTCAAAGGTCCGTCCTAGCGGATCATTGGGAAGATTATCTGAAAGAGGATAATGTAGAAAACAACAGGAACAAGTAATCGTGCTTCCCTTGTTACTGAAATACAGCCATACACATGAAATGGTTGGTTGAGTCTGTTAACTTGAACATCACAGAGTAAGAGATGCAACAAAAAGAATCGATGCTTTCCTTATAATCAAAAGTGATTGCAACAAGATTCACTCCTCAAATTGCCCTGCATCCAATACTTCTTTTAACTCTTACACCACAATAACAACATACTCATTAGTCGACAACTTCATAACCTTTTTTCTTCCTCATCAACTACTTAGGTACTTGACACAGTCTGGTAAGCTTTGAGTGTTAAGCACAAGACTACACAATTGGTATTGTCTTGAGAGAATCCACGGACCTATACCTCATAAGTATAGAACATTACATTACATTTCCTTTCTCTCACCTTGAAGATACACCTTTTAACTCGAAAATCATGAAGTCCCAAATGACGTTCATATCCTTGAGGATCACATATCAACAGCTCCACATCATCCAAGCGGGGATTCAACATCAAAATTATCACCAATCATTATATATCCTCTCTCCAACCAACACACAAAGCTTACACATTTGATAAAACTGTCAAGATGTTCAAGGGACTCAAAGAAATACTGGCAAGTGGATGAAAGCCTCGTTTCACCAAAGAAACACTCTGCCAGGAAGCAGATCAACCAGACACCTAGGAACCAAACAAAACTTTATGACCTTCAATTCAAGCAAGAAGATCATTCTGAAGAAAGTCCAAAGCACAGAACTCTCAAAATCATTCAATAACATTACCATCCCTTCATGAGAACCATCAGTCGCTTATTCACACATTTACTCCCAATGAAATTCCGCCATCTCAAGTATGTATCAAGGAGAGTGAATCTCTATTCTGATCATACGTACTTGGTACTTCGACTTACCTTCAGCTCCGACAATCTTTGCACTATCAAACACAAAGTATTCCAAAATACAGGAATCTTTATATCCTTATCAAATTCATTCACATCCGACCTTATATACTTTACTCGTCTCTGAATACATCTAGCTGTCCATAAGCATCCATATCCCACACGCGAAAACTAGGTTCTTGAGTTAAAGCTGTTCTTCCGGACAGATGAAGTCTGGATGAACCCTCAAGAACAATATCATCATATCTTGGGCTCCATGATTTGCCCCATTCGAAACCTATCTCCCATCGACGCCGATACTTCATAATACATGACCAAATCTATTAGCTCAATTCAGATTTTAAATCTTCCCACAGTCCCAAGATAATACCTATCAATCCAAGGTTTGGAAATTCACACAATCATTTTATTTACCTTCAACAAAGACGTGGATTTTTTTTATAGATTAAACAAGGCTACGGCTCCAAAACATAGCTCAATATTCTCTATCTTCAGAATTATCACGCGCTCTCTCGAAGATCATCGACCTAAGACGCGCTCGTGGGTTCTTTTGCTTACCTCTCACACGACCTCATCACTCTGATCAGTCGCACTGCTTCAAGTTGCTTCTCTGCTATTCGACGCACAATAACCACTTTCTACACTCGTTTGCAGCTCTATCAACCCGTCACGACGATATCTTCACCTCTTGAATATCGAAATGCGACATCCACTCGCCTTGCTGGCGGTGGTTATCGTCTTGCTGTGTTCCTTACTATGCATGGCAGATAAGTCAAGTTCGAGTACCAGTTTGGATGTCCTAACCCTTACTTCATTCACTACCATTCAACCAAAACCCATCATTATAACATCCTCGGAAGTATGCTTCCCGCGCTGGCAAGAAGGGTGCATTCTCAGCTAATGAGTATATTAGTATGTGACTCCAAGTACTAAGTCTCAAGGAGAATTTACCGTGACTGGGGCATTGGTCATAATTTCTACAAATTACCCGCCAAATGAGTCACCAGTAAGAGGAACTTCGACGGAATTCCGCACTTTCACGTATCCAGGACCAATCGAGACAACATTCCCAACGGTGTCAACAAGTACCTTGAGCTTACCTATCCCACAAACCGCCGTCACTTCAAGTACTGAAGACAGCAAAACAGGACCATTGACATCGGATTTCTCATCGAAGACCACTACAAGCAAATCTGATGTTATGCCTGTCTCTTCCACAACATCATCCTCAACCATGACATATGCCACATCCCCATCAACATCAACAGCATCCAACAGGGAAGATCATAAGTCAACACCAATTGTGGTCATAATAGTTCCTATCATTGTTGGTGCGGTCCTCACTCTCGCAGCAATCGGCTTGCTTATATGGTGGTTACGTAGAAGGAACTTGCAGAAGAGAAACAATGATGCACTACCCTTTATTGCACTACCGGGAGGAAACATGCATGATGGGCAGACTTCACACATAAACAAAGGGAATAGGATATCCTTCCAGAGGATTAGCTTGCGAAAGGACCGGGCAAGTTTCTTCGATGCTTTAGGCTCGACGAGCAAAAAGTTATGGCCGTCTTGGCCTTTTGGTGAAAAGACGACCTTGGGCACTGATTCTATCAAACAAGCCATTATGGGGGCTGCAGTACCAGTTCCGTTAACACCATCACGACCCGTAAGGTCTTATGAGCAAGAATTGCAGTATGTCACCAGCCCTCTACCAGCTGAGCTTCCCGGCGATTCCACGTTACCTCATGATAAAGCCCCGACTGTCCACCGATCAAAATCTCTGAATGGTACATCTATCGCTCCTTCAATTCTGCCAAAGTTTCCAGACAGGGATCCCAAGTTGAGTGGAAAAGAAACCACTAGGTATGTTTGTGCTGAGCCGGAACCTCGGCAAGTAAAAAAGAGCCTTGATGAATCAACACAGTCATATTGGTCAAACAATGACGGCCATATCTCAAATCAAAGTTCCGAGCTTCATGGGGAGGTTCTATCGCCTTCTACGCCGGCTACAGCATGGCCTTCCGGCAGTAATCGACAGCTTCTCGCACCCTCGATCCCTCAAACTCGAAATAAATTGGTTACAACACCAACCAAGAATTGGATCGAGCCTCCGTCAAGCTTTTCCACGCCGACGAACTCTACTTCGCCCAATACAAACTCCAGCGGTACACAGTCTACGCCAAATAACTGGATCGAACCGATATCTGACGCCGCCACCGGAAATAGAAATCGCTCATACAATGCCATTCTCCCTTCCCCGGCAGAAGCCGATGTTCTACGTACTGTTGCAGAACGCGATAATGCTCTCGCTATGTTGGAAGGAAGAGGAAAAGTATACGGAACGGCCAGCATATCCGATATCTATGGCGAAGATAAAGAACACCAGTTTCGCGAAGAGACAATGAGCAAAGCCGTAAAAAGAAGTCTAGCACGACGAGAAGAAATTCGGGCTCGATTTCCATTCGCAAGTGCACCAGTACCGGGCACCGTTACTGACGATAGCCACGATGTTTCTTATACACCAACTGAGGGCGGATCGTCCATCCAGCGGATTGATAAGAATAATGGACATGGGGGGTGGATGTGAAGCAGTTACGGGGTAATGATAATGAAGCCGCCATGACTACATGATCGGAGGAGCATTTGCGGCGTTTGCGGATACCATACTGAGCCGGTTCTCACAAGACTTTTCCCAGATTTATACCTCCCTCTTATTGTTTCTTTTGTTTATGACTGGGACGCTGAGAAATTGATTAGAAGGTAAAGAGTGATTGGCCATGGACGAATGGATAAATTGATGGGGTCATGGAGGATTGGGATGACGGAGCTCTTTACAATGAAGCGAAGCAAGCCATAATAGCAGAAGAAATCTGCTCTTTCTTCCCTCTAAGAACTGCTGATATCTAATGATGATTGGAAGGAAGTAAATTTCCTTAATTTTGATATAGAATCAATAGAAATCAATAGAACTGACAAACAAAAGTATTAAGATCTTACAAAATGAATTCAGTTGAATTTGGCGAAAATCAGAGATTGAAGAGATGAGGTCGGAGGACAAATTTCAAGCCTTCCGACGGTTGCCGAGGATTACCCGGTTAATTCCTTCCTTCGACTTATCTTCAACAGCTCTCTATATTTGATATCTCCAAGTGGTATATCTCACTGCCTGACACGACCTTAATCAAAGGGTGTTATGTGATATCAACCATCTTATCGCTTGAAGCCACAATGAAACCTCGTGGTCTTGCAATTAGTATTGGAAGTGGTAGTAATGGTGTAAGCTCTTTGTCAAGTTTTCTGCCTCCATGATACAGATAGTGGTGGATTTGTACCTGATCAAACTCATGATGGAGCTCGTACTCAAAGCTCATGGGCCTGGTGACCTTCAAAGTTGTTGGATACTCAGAGCTTTTGGACTTGAGGATCTCAAGCTTCTTTCCATAGATATACACATGCTCCATAATCATGCGAAACCCTCATACGCACATCATATCGCGTCAAGGAACCGTGAATTACTTGACTAATAGCTCAATACAGGGTCACATTATATCTCGAATCTTTTCTGATCCTAATGAGGGCAAGTAAGTAAAGTAAACCTCAATCCCAAACAATCTTTAAACAATCTTTTAACAATCCTCCAGCTTGGCCATTGCTCTCCTACGCAGAGATCAACAAAACCTGCCCATAATCTGCCCCACGATTCTCAAACAAAAGCTTCGATCCCTCCTGCAAACACGTCATACACACAATAACTCTCAAATCTGCGAAACCACTTCAAGAATGTTCGCAATCCCGCGTCTTTCGAGTCCCTCCCCATGGACCTCTCTATCTCCACCATCAACACCAATAGCAAGGCGCCATAGACAAACACGCTCTTTAAAGACTATCGCAAAGCCCTCTACGACAGTATCTAAACCATCTAACCCACTATACGTCTACGAAAAATCCTCAAGGCCAAAATCTGAGGGAAAAGATCCGTGGCAGCTAATAGGTAGTTTTATTTCGTCTAAAAGAGCAGCGATATTCCTAGGTTTAAGTCCCGCCGAGGTTCAGAAATATGCCATCTCAGGAGAAGTATATAAAGAACTTTACAAGTTTTCTTACAAATAGTAGTGGATTATGTTTCTCTCAATTCAAATCCTTGTCGAAATTCCCTTGTAGCATCACTTTGATGAGACTTTTGGGATTAAAGGCAAGCAAAATGGAACTATCACCTTCATCGGGACGATGGCGGCTGTTTAATATGGCGCGAATATACGGGATGGAGAGTAATGGCTAAGTTGGTTGGCGGCAGGTATGCGAGGAAAGGCGACGCGTATGATGCATTGAATTGCAAAATTAATGATTGAGAAGCAGCTTGGGTGGCACTTAAGGTAAGAAAAGTGCGATTTCCAATGTGGTAAGTTGTTTCACCATATTGTTAGTACGTCGCTGTAACATCCATAGAAGTCGAACACTCAGCATGAATGATTAAAATCCACTCATAAGCATGAATACTACCTGCTGTGGATAACATAATACTGATTTTTTAGTGTAGGAAAAAACAAAGTTATGACTAAGTGGCCTAGAGCTTGTCCCAGGTATTATCTAGAAATATGATCGATTATAATGTCTGCGGTAATGTTGGAACATTGAAGTTATATCATAAAATACTTACTACTCCAGCTTTGAGCAGCGAGATCAAGTTTACTAATCTCCACCACGATTGAAGATATGTACAGAATTTCGAATGGGCTCAAGCAATCACAATAAGGGAATCATTGATAGATTTTAATAAATTTTGGGTTCCTCATCCTCCCATCCTTTTGATTCTAAACACAAATTGTGGTATTCATTCCCATGATATATAATGGACATCTATATGTCTATTCCCTCCCCGCCTTCCATTCCCTCCACTCTAGCTCTTTGTCAGGCCCTTCCTAACCTCTGAGCCAACGCCCTTACTACTCCCTACCATATTTCCCCGCTCTACCTCATCATCCAAATGTCTCAAATCCAAGCGGGTACTTCCACTACTTCCACCCATCTGTCCCATGAGCCCCTGTCTTTCGGCAGCAACGCCCTCCCCTCTTTCCCTCTGATTCTCCCCCATCAATTCTCGCATCGCAACTTCCTCCATATCTTCCTCTTCCCCTTGCAGAAAGACCTCATGACCACTTCCCTCATAAACCCACATTGCAGTTACACATCCCGCCACAGCCACCACCGCCGTCTCCCACCATGCCCATCCCACCACTCCCCGTTCCAATCCCTGTCCATACCAAATCCCGCCGACCACTGGTCCCACCGTGCGGAAACCCGCTGACACCGATTGCCCAATCCCATGTATCGTACCCAGAACAGAAGGATGAGGTGAGCAATTATTCAACAAGATAATGGTGGCAGGGAGGGTAAATGTTCTCGCCGCAACAGCAAGTAAAAGCACAAAGAAAATACCAATCCAGATAGCTGGTCCAGCAGCTGGTGCTGGTGCCGAGGTACTAGAGGGTAATACTGCCAAATATGGAGCAAAGAAATAAGCGACGGGGAATAAGATGAGGAAAAATCGAAAACAAAGGAGAGTACCGAGTCTGGCATGTACAGATGGATAAAGGAGAACCTGTAGAGCCATGCCTAAGACGCCGAGAATGGATGTCGCAAAACCGACCGTGGCTGCGGGCATACCGAGACCACCTGTGAATACAAAAGGAAGAGATTGAGAGTCGGCGGAGTTAGGTCGAGGGGTCGAGAGGAAGAGTGACCAGATATTTGTGAAGGCTCCAAGATGGAAATCGAAAAAGGCACCGGTGATCAGGGTGAAGATCACATTTTTGGTCCAAATGCGATTGAAGGGTAATTTGTTTGCGGCGGGACGAGCGATTGATTTAGGGTCGAAGTTATCCAGGCTATCAGTCGAGCCCTCGAGATGAAAGTAGTCAACCGGAGCCACGGTAGTTCCAAAACCTATTGATCGTTTAATACGATTCATAAGGCTGATTCCATAATCGAACTGGCCACGCGCTGAAGGAAGGGTCTATGATAAACGCCGAAAGTTAGGATCGCGTATTCAGGTATGTGGGGATGGAGACGACGGAATATATGCCATGTCAAGAGCACGCACCTCTTCTAATCCCAGGAACACGATGGCGCCGGTAGTTACCAAGAAGACGGCATTGAGAATGCCGGGAAGAGCATAAGGATATGAGTGCAGCCACTCAAATCCGAATGCAGCTTGGTCGCCGAAAAGACCGGGTAGTGTCATTGCTGGATCGGCAAGTAATCCACCCATGACTATGAGCAATATTAGTACATGATGGTGTGATTACTCCAATACTATATACATACCTGGACCCAATATACCAGCCACATTGAAACTCATAGGTAAGATCAAAAAAGCTCGAGATTGATATTTCTTTTCTATGGTAAACTCTGCAACCATGGTACGTCTAATCAAAAAGGTTTAGCTATTACAGACTTGAACATAGAGGATGTATTTACTAACATAATTCCAACAGTACCATTGATAGCACCACCAAAAGCTCGAAATAGAGCAGCTTGCCAGAACGTCGTCGAGAATCCATATCCCACACATGAAATGGCCGTTCCAACCAATCCAATCATCAAAACCATTTTCCTCCCCCAGGTGTCAGCGGCCTTGCCCCATAGTACCGCAGTACAGACCTGAGCCCCGGTGAAACACCCTTGCAGTATCCCCGCCTGCGACGAAATAGCAGCATTAGATAAACCCGAATCAAAACTCTTCAATTGATAGAACATATAGGCTTGCAACGAAGCAACCTGTAGGAAATCTACCAATCTAGAAAAGAAGAGAATAGCTAGCTGGTCTTTCTGCGGCAATGACATCCAGGTCACTGCTTGCGGCTTGGGACCAGATGTTTCCGAACCGGGTTTTGAAGGAGTACTGCATCGTGATTCGAAGGTATCACGTGGGGACCGAGGCACGAGAGAGGTGTGTCGGCGATGGAAACCACCCACACCTCTGTTCTCAGCTAGGGACGGTGACCATGATGGCATTGGAAAGTTGGTCTTCTCCGACATGGTCATTAACTTTCATCCAAGGATTTATGTGAAAATAAAATGAAACAAAATCAGAAACGCCCAAAAGTCACGAAATAAGCAAGCAAGCCAAAAAAAAATGAACGGTACAAATCAACAAACAAAAAAAAGAAGGGAAAGAAGCTAGATTGGAAGATTGGAAGAGAATGGGGGGCTCAATCAAGAATTGTGCCAAGTAGGCAAATGGATGCTGAAAGAAAGGAAAGAACGGAAAAGGGATAAATCATAGAGGGATCAAAATGTATACTTTGATCTCCATCAATAAAACATTTGGATGTCTCTAATCGGAGTTACTGCTCTTTTGCCTCGTGGACAGTTAGAGTTTTGTGCCTCACCCTTGTTGGTGGTGGTGGTGGTGGGGAAAATGTGTGCGTATGGGATATACATCATCATCATCAATCTCAGTATCATGCTTGGCCATCGCTGCGTAGTTGAGTTCGCGCTCTGAACAGAATGGTTAGTTGTATTCATGCTCCACCTCAGATCCCAACTTTCCAACTTCCCAAGCCTTGCAAAATTATGCACGCTTCGCAAAACCGTTAGTTCTCGGCTGGTACCCATTTTCTGTACTTGTTTGAGAATCGTCCAACCGAGATAAGAATCAGGGTTAAAAGGAAAGCAATATTCCGTACACAAGGACACAAAAGTGCAAGGGACAAGGTAATAAAAATGGCACGGATGAAGGTCAAGGATTGACGATGTTCAGACTTGTTCGAAGTTCCACGTTCCTACTTTTAAATCCCCCGCCCGCCGACTGCTAAACCTCCATGGAAAGGTTAAGTTGGCGTGTAGTTCAATCCTGAATCACTGGGGGATTCGAATTCGAGGCGACCTCTCGGAGATCCGGTGAAGACTGGCCGAATTGCTAAATGCATTCACTCTGGAGGAGACGCCCAAAAGAGTTAGAATATGCAGAATATCCATAGTACCTAGGTAAGTGGTAAGTGGTAAGTCATCTCAATTAAAATAATGATGATGAATGTTTTCTAGGATCGAAGAACATGACACTCACTTGACAGCGACTAATCTGATGCATGCTTCCAAGCGCGATGCAAGCGCCCACCCGAAAAGTCTTGGCGCGTCGCGTCGCAATCTAACTCTGCCAATGTCAAGATGCAAATCCATGTTTATGTCCATGTTCATTCAACTCACTTACTACTACTGCTACTACTACGACTACTACTACTACCTCGTTACTACTTTAATTACACCAAACCACAAATCATGAAACGGCTTAGAAACCTGAAATCAACCTTTCGCTCCCGAGAAGCATTACGACTACTCGGGTGTGAATTTCAAATTGCAGTCATTCATACACGTCTACGTCCATTGCTGCATCTCCTAGACCCATAGACATGTTTCTATATCCCCACAATACGTTCTAGAGACTCACAGACTACTTCGTTCCTAACTGCTTGAAAGGCTTCTTCCTTCGCACGACAGCCTTCAAATGTTGCTCCCAAGTTCTGAGTTCCAGTAAGTTCTCAACCTCCAAAGATTACAATAACCCTTTCGACCCCCCATATACAGATGGTGGCAGTTGATCTTCTGTTTATGCTATTAAAGTATTTTTGGCCGTCGATTGCTACTATATCCTAGTAGGTTTTGATCTAATTACTTACTTCCTTCCCCTTGTAAATTATCATTCATTCATACGCAAAGTCTCATGAGCAAATGACATACATCTTTCTATTCTCTTGTTGCTATTGAGTCAGGTTACCATGGGCCTGGAAATCCTGTCGTTTTTTTCTCTTCTCACCCTCTTACCTATCCTCACCGTTGCTGAGATAGGCCCTTTTTATGGCGATGATGCTTTCGATGCTGGTAGCTATGGATCATATCCAGTCCAGACCTATATGTCGACCGATGTCGTTTCCCCGCGTTTGAATATGTTACGCTCAAGTACACTATGTCGGAATGATTTATATTGGGTATTGAGTCCTCGAGGGAGATCCATTAGTAATCCAGGTCCAATGATTTTGGATTCAGCAGGAAATTTGATTTGGACCAAAGGAGGTTATGATCAAGTCTATAATCTTCAGGTTCAGAATTTTTTGGGGGAAAAGTATTTGACCTTCTGGGCTGGAACCGATGCTGTGCAGGGACATGGCGCGGGGAGTTATTATATGGTCAGTATACGTTGTCTCGAACGCATCTATTTTGGTTTATGCTGACTTGCCTAGCTCGACAAAAATTATAGGGAGGTTAATAAAGTCGTTGCGGCAAACGGTCTCGCGGGCGATTTACACGATTTTACAATCACCAAAAACGGCACGGCTCTGGTTACAATCTACGACGTTGTGGTAGCCGATTTATCATATGTTGGAATACCTCAGGGGTATGTTTGGGATTGTGTTATACAGGAAATCGATTTGGCTTCAGGTGAACTCTTGTTCCAATGGAGAGCGGCAGAGCATCATCCTGTCTCTGATACATATAGAGATATACCAGACGGAGATGGAGGAGTAAAATCTGCCTTCGATTTCTTTCACATAAACAGTATTGATAAAGATGCCAAGGGCAACTTCCTTATTTCCAGCAGATATTTTCACTCCCTGACCTATTTAAATGGTACCACTGGGGATATTATCTGGATTCTTGGAGGCAAGAAAAATATGTTCAAAGATCTTTCTGGCGGACTAGCTACCAATTTCGCATATCAACACGATGCCCGCTGGCGCCACAATCGCACTGCCATTTCCTTATTCGACAATGCAGGTGATGATTCTCATCCAGGAAATGCTACCCGCGGGCTTCTCGTCTCCCTCGATGAGATCAACATGACGGTAGAGGTCATTCGTGAGTATATGAATCCTAACGGTATCCGCGCCATCTCACAAGGAAATCTTCAAATGCTGGACGATGACCACGTAATCATGGGTTATGGAAACACTGGCGCATTCACCGAGTACGATAACAACGGAACCGCTATTTGTGATGTACATTTTGGACCACAAAGTAGATTTGGAGCTGGAGAAGTCCAATCATATCGGACCTTTAAATTCGATTGGCACGGATGGCCCATGACCGACCCCGACGTCCGCATATTGACCAATGGAGACGATTGGTTGAGCCTTTATGTGAGTTGGAATGGAGCAACCGAAGTTAGGAAATGGTTGTTACAAGGGGCTGATGAGCCTGAAGCGGAAGAGGGGAAGTGGGAAACTCTAGATTACGCGGACAAAACCACTTTTGAAACAGAGTTTGAAATCCACCGCATGTATCCAAGATACTTGAGGGTGAAGGGAATGGGGAGTTACAATAATGTGACAGGAGAGGAAGAGTTATTGGGGGTAAGTTTCCCGCTGGATTTGAATTTAGAAAAGGTAAGGCTGACTTTGTCTTTTTTCTTGCTTTAGGCTTCGAGAATCTTTAATGCTAATACTGGAACGCAGATTTGGTCGCTGAAGCCTGTGAAATTGGAGGGGCCCAGTAGTTGGCCATTGCTGACGTTGATGGTTTTTGCGGGGGTTGCCGGGTTAGTGGTGGGAGTAAGGGAAGCGATGATTTGGAGGAGAAGGAAAAGAGGGCCTAGTTTATTGAGGTGGAGGCCTCGGGGTCTAGGAGTCCCATTGTTATCCGGTTAGAGGGCAAGACTTGGGAAACGGAGCAAAACGGAGGTTGTTTGGAAACTTCTGGGGGGTTCCGGTCGAATTTCTATCCTGCACATAAAAGACACATTTTTAGCTCTTTGCTTGTTTGAACATTTCCTTCTTTGGGAGAGAAAGCAGCCGCGAATACCCATTGCATATACTCATGTAAATACCTACCAGTCTTTGAGTACAGAATAAAATGAATGTGCAATCCACGTTTGAGCCAATTAGATCACACCTCTGCGCCCCTATCTTCTCCAATGCCCATCATCATGATCCATTTTTGCAAAAACCCATGCAAATCAATACCCAAATGAGTACGACTCATGCACACGCAAAGCACAGACCAAACAGAGTAAGTAAAACTTAGGTCTAGCACCGGTATGTCTGTTCATTGTCATCCTCTGGCCGCGTCACCTTGAAATGGTAAGACTTAATGTTTTTTTGTTTAATCTCCAAAGCGTTACGTAGATGACGCCCGGTGGAAAAAGCATGCATTAATTTGATCTGTCAGATCTATTGGTTCCATTGTTGACCTGCCCGAGATATTTGTAAGTCTTATGTGCATTGTTGCGGAGGTCGAAATGCGGCGATATGAGTGAAGACTTGTCCAGACTCAAAACACCTTGTCCACTTCCACTTCCAGACCTCATATCCTTATTATGCGGTGATCCAGTTTCTTGAATTTCCAAAGTTCTTCTCCGTCTTTTCCCCTAATCCAGAACAGAGTACGCGTCCGTAACTTGGTCTTTGAAGCTTTGATGCAGCTATTCGAGGTTAGCTTTCGTGTGGTAGATGTGATATCTACTACATAGGTATCGATGGAGTGAGTGCACGGAATTCCAGATGAAAATATACATTTTCCGGGTTACGCAGTATAGACAGTTTATTTATTGTAGAAAGATGGAAAACAAAAGATACTGTTTAAAAATGTATATAAAATGTAGTAAGATGATGAATAAATATATATATATATTGTCTCTAAAGAACAAGTGGATCGATCTCGAGGGTATATATAATGTACAACAGAAAAAGGTAACCCAACAAAAAACCTAGAGTGTACAGTAAATGCACATACCCTACATATCCCTCTAACCAGACCCCAAACCCAATAATGCTTTGCTTCTTTCTAAAAGATATACAGTAACGCAGTATTTATCCATTCATACATCCCCTTTCCCAAAGTTTCGCCGTTGATTTCTTCCCGCCTACAACAGATTCCATATTCTCATCAGACAAACATATGTCAGTCCACAACCAACCACTATACAAAAGTATCTAAACAGAACATTCATCAACTGACATCTGTTTCTCCACTTCGATCGATCAACGAAATCGTTGTTATCGTTGACTTTGGGGAATGTTCTATCCTTAGGAACCGCTTCTCCCAAAAAGTCGCACAATTTTTCCCATCCATCAGTAATCTTGTATTCCAGCAATTTGCCCTCGCCAGCGGGTCCCATTGCCTTCACAATACTCCTGACGTTCTCATAATGTTGAGTATAGATCTGTTTCCCCTTATTTTCAAAATCGCCCTCGAAGAAACAATCGAAAAACTCTTGCAACATGGGTTTATACATGCTAGCCGCCCAATCCCACCCCTTGAGTTTTTCGAGCTCCCAGTCGTTCACGCGCCAGTTTACCGTCTTGAGTGTAGATGCGTGCCATGAATCGACGTCGCGATTTGTGAGGATGATTTTGGCTTCGGGATACGCGGCGATGAGTTCAGGGGCGAAGGCTACGGCTGGCCAATCACAAACTGCTTGGCAGTGGCCCAGAAGTTGATCCCAGTCTGCCCTGGTGAAGGCGGGGCCATTGTGGTACTTGGCGTCGAAGGCATCGCGCCAGAGGAGACAGTCCGGTGGGTTTTCGATACTGGCTGACATCATGTGGTATGTGTCTACATAGCCTAGCTCGCGCATTGCTGCTCTCATTGCTGTGGAATCGGTTAGTATTTTGTTTTGCAGATGAAACTGTTCGAATGGGAACGAACATGCAGTTCCCGTCCTACCCAGCCCGAGAATGAGCACTTTCATGGGGACTTTACGACGGCAGTCTCGACGGTTGATGTCGGTGTCTCCCGTGAAGATATCCGTGATAGGTTTTGGTGTGTAAAGACGTGAGTTCGCCATGATGAAAGGTATGATATGATCTGTTTGCAAAAAGAATGGCAATTACTGGGTATAACAATGATGTTCAAAAGGAATAAATGGGTATCTTGAATGAAAAGCAGACTAAATCAGGGTATAGTAGAGAGAGAGAGAAATATGCAAAAAGCAAAGAGAGATGATATGGATAAAGAATTAGAGAGACAACACCTACAAATGAGCTTCTATATCTATCTAATGAAGGACGTTTGAATGCCAAGACCATCCCGGGATGACAGGTTCATATAAACCCCTTCTCATGGATTTTCAGGGACAGGGACCTCTAGACTTACGTAGACAAACGTCCTAGCCAGGATGGATCGGTTGTACTCTACCCCAATCTCAACAACATGTAACATTTGAAATTCGCGGCCTGTCTATCTTGCTTCGGCCGTAGGCGGAGAGATGCGAGGAGAAATTGTGGGGTTCTTGGGACATTAAGGAGGGTTTAAATTGATACTAGATTAATAAGAAGCGCGCGTGCGTTTAGAAGTCTTCTCGAAACTTGAGACTGGCTTCGCTAGAAGCTTTGGACAGTGGTGCACATTCTGGTTGTACGCGTGATATTTAAATACTACTACTATGTTTGCAGTCTAGCCTTCCGCGAAGAAAGGTAGGCAAATGCAGTAGGATGTTCTGGTGAAGAAGTGTCATTCTGGTATGTTTAGAAGGATGTCGAAAACCAACAAAAGAATGCGTCTACCTGCGCATAATACTTTTGGGAGCATCGCTCCTCCAATACGCTATCAAAGTATATCACTAGTACAAACCAAATGAGCCTTATAAATTTAAAAAGAAAATATTCAGCAGGAGATGGATGGAGATGTGAGCGAGAATGAATGTGATTTGATCGGAAAAAGAACTAGAGTAAACAGGTAGATTATTTTCCAGATTAGAATTATAATAAGTTAAAGTAGATAATTTAATAATTTAAAATACAATACAATCTAAAATTTTGATTATATTATATCTAATAAAATTTTTTTTTTAAATTATATATAATAAATCTTAAAGATTTTTTAAAAGAATAAAATATATAATTTTCTTTATTAGTTTTAATATAATTCTTTTATATACAGATATAAATAATATATATAAATAATGACAAATATATTATATTTTAAGCAATCAAACATTCACAGTATACTATAAACAAGGTCCCTCTTATTAAAATAAGGTGGATCGGATTTGGATTCCCATCCGATTATTCCATGTCGTTCCCAAGAAAATGGAGAAAGTTGATTGTCAATCTTTTCTTTCTGGAATAGCCAAGTTGCCAGCCAAGTGTCGGCTTCGGCAAGAAATGCTTGACCATGTAGAATAATGCTTTTTGATCTAAATAGTGTCCAGGGGTCTCTTTCTTCTAACTTATTTACACCTTTGGTTACGAGGACACCGGTTTCTGATATATGTATTTACCATAGGCGATATTTTGATGATGGACCATGACATTTATATGCATCTGTTTCATCAGAGTGGATTAAACTTTCATTTGAAGGTTAGTGGGATCTATTGACATTATGTATGACGCCTTGGCTTACGACTCGGGCCCCATTACAAAAGCAAGATCGGATTACGAGTATATGTGTGTGTGCAATTGAAACGTTTTACTTGTTTGCGATTTGATTTATTTGGCACGTACTTGGCATTGCTCCATGTATAACTTTATTTGTGTTCATTAACCTTATGGGCTAAAGCTACTGTTTTGCTATATCTGTCTGTTTGACCTTTTGAATTCTTCCAACTGACAACATTCTCAGCATGCGGCGACAGTGTTTGACAGCACAAGCATATCCTTGTCTGTATACATGTTGTGGATACTAAAGAATCAACGACGATCAGCATAATCCAATGTTCTTTTGAGGGTCCCATCTGAAACCTTGCAACCTGGGGTCTAACCTTGAAAATCGAAGCCTATCTAGGTTATAACTTGGAAAAGTATCCTTGAAGATGCCAAAGGTTGTCAATTAAAATTATTTTGAAGCCCCTGAAATTGTGAAAATCCAAGCAACGGTCAGGACAGCAGTCAAGTGCTTGCTCGAAGGACATGAACTCATATTGAGAGATTACGAAAAATAAGTGCCAGGTTCTCACTTCGGAGCTCAAAGATTGAACAAAAGATATTAAGGCTGTTGAGCCCCCTGTCGATCCCGGCTTGGTCACAACTTTGGTCAACTGGGAAAGATTCTATCGCCAGGAAGAGGATTGAGGAGGCATATTTGTAGTCTAGTTGAGATGTCGAAATAAGGTATTGATATTCTTTTTGCACAAGTGCCAGAGAATTTAATTGGAAAAGGAAAACAGATACATATCCTTTCAGCTGAGCATCAAATCCTTCGAGTTGCACCTGGTGATCGAGACCTTCTATTGCTAGCCAGCTCCAATCACGTTATCAAGGAATTCTCAAAATCCTAGACCGATTGTGTTGATAAAGCTCCAAATATTCCAAGTCAGAAATGCACAAATAGGTCCGCATACAATCTAATAGGGATTGCCATGACAGTATAACTATATAAGTAAGTCTTTTTTGGTACATTCATAGACTCTAAGTGACAGTTGCAATACACTTCTCCTACCAAGAAGCACCGTTCTACTTCACTCCAGTTCTGGCTTACCCTTCTTGAGTATCTTCTGTTCCTCACTCTATTTCCTATTGACAGTCTGGACTGCGGCTGCAACTGCAATATCACAGCGAACACATCAAGAATATATTTTTTGATGTCATTGATTTTTCGCCGCTTACTTCTCAAGATTTGACGTCCTTAGTTATGCTTATGTTTAGCTAGTTTGGATTTGTCGGGGAAGTGATAGCAAAGTTGGAAATACTTTGGATTAGCAGAACGAAAGGTGAGGCCAGAAATTGTGATGCGAGATTGCAAAAGGGGAATGCAACTTATGTTATTTGGTTTTAACGTAGGGCCAAGAGCTTAGTCGCTATATCAGATATCAGAGACGAATCATCCTTGTTCAGTTAGGATGGTCCTACGGGATGTTGGATTTGGATAGGATTTGTGGTTCAAAGGAAGAAATCCTGGATAAAAACACAATTATCTTGAGAACCTCATTCTTTTAGACTAGCATCATGTGCTTGATGGCTCCTCTAGTACTATGTTTCGCATAAAGGTGCTATAGATAAGGGAATACTAGTAATGAATATCAAGAGCATCTCAATTATCATTCAAACCCCTGATTTTTAACACAAAGCGCTGCATACAAACGCCCAGTATTAATTCGTACATCTTGCTGAGAAATGGCTTTGCATCCACGTACATATCTCCTCAGCACCACAAGTCTCGACGTCAAATTAAGAGGTAGATGGCTCCAGGATATGAGCAGGGTATATTGTAGGGCTACAGGGCTGAATCGATCCTGTATCACGCCATATTGATGGGCCATTTCGTGATTGAGTAACTGAGTATAATAGCTTGGAAAGATGGCAGAATTGAACTGGAACAAATCTAAGTGCGGTGATTATCTGCCTTTTTTCGCAGGGAAGATGTATGCAGACTTGCGATTTAGAATTTGGTATCTAAGCGGCAAAAGATAGAGGGTTAAAAACTCATAAGGTTAAAAATGGGTTCTAGTTTTGACGGCCTGACGGTGAATGGGCGCTCATCAGTGTTGGAAGGAAGTTGGATATCCTGATAGACTGGTATCTGGGAGAAAACAGATGTTGAAGATCAAACACAGAAAGTCAGTAATGCAGCCATATCAGTTTCTTTAATATCCCTCATCAAGTCTTTCCCAAGCACGGCATAACTTGAGTGCTCAGAATTCTGTTACTATCTTTTATTCAGCGCAGAAATCAGTATTCTAATCTAGCTGTATCAAGGTCAAGAGATTAAAGAACAGTAAAAAGTTCTTGATTTAATTTCAATATTCTGAAACTATCGCTGACCTGCATCTTGAAACCCGAAGTCGACTACTTAGGCGATTACCCACAATAATCTGGGCTCAAAGTATGGAGGAGAGGACGGACAGCTGGTTCATTTGTTTATATTGCGAAAGTTACCACTTTCCTAGTCCTAGGAACGTAATTTCAATTTGTCTGTGCATGTTGAAGCTGTATTGAGCATGGGCTTGAAAATTGGTGGCGCATGTGTAATCGTTTCCTGTCAATCGAGTTACGGTCAAAGAGTTGGATGATCAGGGTTGGAGTTGTTAATCTGATAATGTATTGTCTAGTCAGCTGGACAGAGAGGTAGTAACTGCGGTGCTTTATTGCATCTCTGTCAATTTATGTTCTGGGAGAAGGGTATCTGAGAGTAAAGCATTGCGGGAGTGGATTCATCTGCCATAGCAAGCAATACCGAAGACAATGGAATTCTATTGGAGCTACTCCGAGTACCAATACAATGCAATCCTTCGATATCACGATAGATCTAGTGACGCAGAAATATGAAATAGTTCCCACGAAAGATGGTAAAGAGCAGAAAAATTAAATCAAGTATTTGAGAAGTTGCCATAAGATACACGTCGAGGGTATGGGATTTATGATAGGAAGAAGAAGAGGAGTACTAGAAGTTATAAATGGATCTATTGGAAATTATTGAAAAGTAAAGACTTTTGTCGGATATTTCTTCGCGTGCTGGCAATAAATCAAAGACATTGACACCGGCTGCTAAATCGTACGGGGAAGGAAGTGATGTGATGCAAGAATCCAGAAGCTGGTCGAGATAAATTCTGAATTTAACTCATGGATTGAGAGTATTTTCTCCAGCTTGTTTATTTATCCAGAAGACTCACACAACGTTGGTAACATCGGCCACATGCAGCAACCATACAGACCATTTTGAACTTGGTACACCAGTATTTTGCTCGAGGTGCTTGTAAAAAATAAGTATATGAACAGATTTAGATACAGGATATCATTTGATTAGATATCGGGGACAGCAAATCTATTTCCTAATATTCTCGGAAATTAAAAAATAGGCACCAAAATCCATACCCCGTTCGCCTGCTCACATGTCATACAACCCGTGGGTTTGAAACAATAATCTTCTCGGTCGCATGCATTCCTAACCCCATCGGCTACTCCAGATGTTACGTTCTTTTCCGCAACTCTCTATTATGCCTCCATCCAAATGCTCAATGAATCTGCCGATCCGAGCCACCTATTCGCCGAATTACGTGCTGTGAGATTGCCACCCCCAACAAACTAATCAAAGGAGCACTTGTTGACGAATTCTCATGATTGACACAAAGTCCGGGGAAAAGGGATTCATTCACCCACATTTATGGGTGTGATGGCGCCAGAAGCTCCTAATTGCAGATCCAGATATATAATCTGCAAGATGGAGAGTAGTTCCCGAAGAAGAGGAGATTATGTAAAAATGATTAACTGTAAAAAGAAATACCTGAGGGTCTGCTGTCTTTATTTAGCTTTTTGGTAATCTCACAAAAAAATTCGACCCAAGTATACCGCGGATGCTTTTTTGTGTATTTTTATGGTGATGGCTAGGATGATTTTAATAGAGCCTTATTGGATCCCATAGAGTTGTACCAGAGAAATTAGTTCCGCAGGAGAAGTGAGTAATTTGCAGGACCGCATTCGACGGTAAAGCCTCAAGCATTGATAAAACCCGTTCCACACTCTTATCCCGTTGCCATTGTATACCGTCCTGCGAGCATGCGTGGTTGTCAAAACACATTCTGATGCCGTGTGAACCATGCAAGATATTTGTGCTTTCATCTCATGTGTTGATGCCTAACCCAGTCGCTCTCAATTTACCTACGTATCTGTGCTAGAATTGTTGAAATCATCGTGTGCAATCGGATAACGTAATCCCCGCACCGCCCGGTATTTCCTGTCTCTCTGCTATCAAGACAAGTGGTTTGGACCGTCTCTGCTGCACCTGATGTTGAGCCATTATTCATTGACCAACAATTTCTGAAGGAAAAAAACACCTCCGGAGATAAGCCTTCCATCGATGCGACACAAACATCAATTGGTCACATTATCTAACTCGTAGAAGCAAAGCGACTGAAGTCAATAGGAACCTGGTGTGTTCCAGTGGAGTCTGCAACACCTGGACTGGCTGCGGAAGTCGCAGCCGTACATATTGGACGCTCATAATAATTCCTAAAACTTTGACAATACAGTGCGGCCAAACATGAACAGAATCAGAGGAAGAGTAGTACATCAGGTATGTTTTTAGTCGCGAAGTTCGCATAGTGATCAAACGAAAGAGGCATGAGAAGCAAAGATAAAGTCTTGTTAAGAGGTGGGCACTGTTTCGTCAATCATGAAATTGCCTGTCATTCATGTAGGAATCGCAAGATACAGGGTGCAAATCTGTGGAATACGACCAGAACAGAGTGAAATTTCCATGGTTTAAAACGACGCTGGTGGATTTGAAATGCATGGAAGCCACGATCTGATGAAATGGCAGCAATATGTGGAGCTAGGACTCATCTTCCCGATTGTTATCTGCATCAATCAGTCAGATGCAATTGTAAAAGGTCAAGAAATTCAAGAAATCTTTAGATAACAAGCAGCTTCAATCTTTTCAAGAGAACCTATAGACAGACTGACATTCAGAGAACCAGGATATCTCAACAAATAGCAATTCAAAAGTCTTTCCTCCCGGTTGTGACAACATGCTCATCGAGATTAACTCGCTGTCGATCATCAAAGTACAGAGTGAAAGGCTTTTCCACTTGCAACTTGGTGAAGACTGCATTGAATTATCAGTCCAGTGCTATATCCTGATATACGTATAAAAGCGCTTCCAGTTATCCAGAAAATCACAATGTGAGTGAATGAAATCATTTGCCGTATAATCTCTGCAATTCTCTGCAACAGAAAGCCAGTCCGATGCCTGGACCTGGGTGGAGCTTCTTCTAATCTGGCGGATAAGCTCGGACGACAATGCCAACTCGTGGTGCCTCTAAATCATAGCAGTCATTTGACTGGCAGACAACCAACGGGAGCATGAACTGCATGGTGTCCTTTCCCTCCGGAGAAGAAAGGGGACGGAAACTTCTGTCATAACTGAATGGTCGGCGCCTGGAAACGCCTGGAAAACGCCACAAACAACCAAGCCAAAGAAGAGCTGGATTACAGTTCATACAGAACACACCTTCTCGCTCTTGCTGTCAGCTTCTGACAGTCAATCTCCACTATCTTGACTATCTCTCTCCGAAATCTCCATAAGGAAAGGGTGAGCAAGGAAAAGGGCCCACTACTGGCGTGTCCAGTCACGTGTTATGAAGGGATCCAAATCCTGCTGGAGATCGATGGTGTACATATCGTGAATCTCCTAAGAGCTATTCCAAATATTTATTCCATTACTCCGTGCCATTCAAGAACTAGCCAAGTGGAAACAATCACTCTTATCGTTGAGACGATAAGAATATATACTACCCTCCTGAGTCCGGAAATGAATGCACGATCATTGCTTGTCTTTTTTTGAGGCTCCCTTGTCACTTGGCTTATTTACTTCAAAATTATCACCAATGCTAATAACAAAACCACATCACTTGTAGTGATAGAATATTTCCTCGACGGGCGAAGAACACAATAGCTAATCAACCATCAATGAGGCTGAAGCTGATTAAAGTTTTGATGTTTGTCAAGCTTTTATTATAATTTATTATTTTCTTGTAGAATTAGAAAAACAGATTGTCTTGTGTATATGTGAGGCCCGTGCACACATATTATTAGATCTTTGAGTAGTTACAGCACTAAGTCGGGTTCAGCTCGTCAGCTCGTCAGCTCGCCACAACCATGAACGAACGGGCAACGATTTGGTTCAACTCAATTTGGTCCTCATACATCTTTTCTCTTTACACTGCTTCGTCGACCTTCTCTCCCGCGGAAAGGTCACTCTTGATCATGTTGTGTCGTATTCTACACTTCAACCTTCTCCAATCTTCAAATTTTGAACATGGATCCATATCTCCCTCACGTGCCGGGCACGTGGCGTCAGAATCCTGCGCTGCGGCCCCTGTCTTCCACTGTAAGATGGCGTTGAAGAAAGATGGGTACCTACCTAGCTCCATAGATTTACTGGGCATGTAAGGGGGAATCCGTTATTGGAAACTCCGGTACTAGTTGTCAGGAGATAGTGCAGTAAGTAAGTATCAGATGAAGTCATTGCGGGACGATAAGGATAATCTATTCTATTGATCTAATTGACTAACGTCTACTCGTACTTTTCCTACTCCATCCTTCTATATTGAAAGAAGATACAGAAACCAAACATAAGTCGTATATCGTATGGGAAAGAAGCACAAAAACCAACAAACGCCACAACAAACGGAATAACAGCCTCCGGAGCCGATTATAAATTGATAGGAAATTAACAGCACATGGTTCATTATCGTGATGTCCAAATTTACTGGGAATGAGGGCGAAGGAGCGGAGGTACGGAATTGATGCTAGCCAGCTCTTCTCCTACGAGTCCCAAATAGGACCAAAGGCAGGAATTCCAAGGTATTCTAGATCCTGCACGAGTTTTATAGTCAATTTCGGATTCGAAATGACAATGACAGCTTCAGATTCAGTGTCCCGGTACTGTTGTATCACAAGAGGGAGTGTCGCGGGTCTCCCCATGGTCGTCGTATTATGGATGTATGCGTTAGGCCCTAGTGCTTTGATAATGCCACCGATTTCATCACCATAGGTCGTCAATGGGTCTCGAGTCGACCAAAAGAGATTGATTCTAGTTTGCTGTGCAAGGATGACCGGTAAGCAGGGTGCGATTCCAGAGCCGGTAGCGACGAGTAAGATACTTCGGAACATTGGAGCGATTCGTAACACACCACATGTGGGCGTACGACGAGCCCAAACCTCCTTCGGTGGTTCGCTTATCAATTTTTTGGTCCAGTCACCTGCGTTCGAAATAATGAGAGAGAAGCCGTCTTTCTTTGGGTCTGCGACGGTGGCGAATGCATGCCATTCGAAGAGGGGGCTGCTGGATATGCGAATAGTTGTTCCTGGTGAAGGCCTAACGTAGTCGAAGTAAATGCGCAAGGCATGTGTTGAAAGTTGTTCTGATTGAACCTTGACCTTTCGGCAATTAAGCCAGGTCATAATGATGCTCCATGTAGCGACAGCGAGAAGCCACATGTTGGGATTGACTAGTAGAACCTTGGTCAATTTTTGAGTAGACGATCGCTCGACATCACTATTGAGTACGGTGAGAGTCCAGAGCAGTGCAAGTGCTGACCACCCAGCAAATCGATGGATGATTTCGAAGCTGTTGTGGAGTTTTGCACGAATTGATGGATGAGCCATGACAATCATTGAGATGAGAAGAATATCCAAAATGTAGATAATGATGAGTAGGATGATCTTTTCCGCGTGGTACGGTCCCCTCCAGCTAGTTTCGATAGAGAGAAGGATGAACCAAAATGTTGCAGCTGAGGCGCATCCGGAATGAAGACCTCCCAAGTGGTAGATCTTCCCCATGCGTCGGCGGATCCACAATGGAAAGCTTTTTGGCGCGGATGCAAAAATGGTATACAAACCATTGATGACATGCTCTTCCCGAATGACAATAGCGACCACCAGGTTAATCGAGGTTGCCAAAGCAGCTGTTGTTTTGCTTGGTGTCCCATTGGTAGCCCATTCGTACAGGAATCCTACGGCACCTCCCAAATTGAGGCAAAACACGATTGTGAACAGAAGTCGATATTCGGAGGTGATGAAGCGATAGAATCGCAGAACAGGCGTAGCAGATTGTTTTGCGACATCTTCCAGAAGCTTAGGATCCACAGATACTTTCATCAAACTTGAGCCTCCAGAACTATTTGATTCTGCCAAACTGCTAGAGGATGGTGATGGTGGTACTTTGGTCGATTCGCCCATCTCGCTGGAGTCCGCCAAGCTGCGAACATCTGGCGACTCGACGACCTTTTCTGGTTCTCCCATATTGAAATCAGGTGAACAGAACAAGCAATAATACGGTAAAGAGGCGATTGTAGTTGATCGACTGCGGAGGAAGTCCCAGTAAGATATTGGCTAAGACCCTCGTGCTAGATTTTGCTTGTTGAGGTAGATGAGACACGAAGGGAATATCTGATCTGGAACGATGGAAGCAGGTGCAAATTCTGGTGGTTTTCGAGCAAGGCTTGATCTGCGAAATAGCTGGTGAGATGATGGGAGTATATATAAAGTTTTCCATCTGTCTTGAACAGCTCATGACAAATTAGTGAATATTGTTTCTATCCGAAAAAGGAGGACTCCGAACGCTCCATTAGGAAGTCCAGATGGATCAGGGCAAGAAGACCCACCAGGAGCGAGTTCCCTACCCCGGAGGGATTGTACATACGGAGTCTCATTCGGATGAGGGGAAGTAATCGAGTCCAATCCTAAAGGTTGATATCCCATATTCGCTCTCTCCGATGCTGTTATCATTCTTCATAACTGTAGTACGAGATTGGTATCTTCTTCACGTACCATGGGGAGTATGCCCCGTCCAGACTGGGATAAAATGTGCTAGCGATGCTACCCTCCCTTTCGGTAGCTCCTTTGCACACTCACCACGTCATCTCATTCAATTATTCTTTGGCTATGATACCAGGTTCCATATCACAGTGCTATTGCGGAAGTAGAACCTATTTTGTGCAGTAGATAGTATCTCTCTATACATCTCCTTCTGCTTCTTTCAACGCCAGACTACAGGTCCGAAGTGTGGAAACAAGATAATCTCCTTGTAGACTTTTCCTTCCATCGATTAGGATACCAATGGAACCCACCAAAGCCTTGTTGTGGAGTCAGAAAGTTACTAGATTGTAACCGGACCATACCTCTGCATATTGTCCTAGCGCACATGTGTGTAAGGCCCAAGTAGCACTTGTCCTATCATGCTCCACTACAAAACTGCACCGTCATGTTGGAATAATGTTTGGGTATTTAGCTCGTGCATTCCTCTCAATCCTTTGAATTTCGCTTCCAATCCCGCTCTTGCAATCTGATATGGTAATACGCTGTCATGAGAAGTAGGTGCACATACGTTCACCGCGAAACGATACACTTGAAGGGCACCTTCCGGCAGTGGTCAAAAAACTGGGAGGAAACGGAACGGTGTGAATAACAACATTACAATCTTCATAATCCCCGAATTTTACCCTTCAATCATTTCATTTGATCTTGGGTTGAAACAACCAATTCGTCGCACGCGTGGAATCCATTTACCCAACAAATTATTGTTCATGAAATGCTAATACCCCTCACATCAACTAATACTTCACTTATTGATCTCGATTCAACATCTTGAACTACAAAAAATTTGATATGAAGTGGAGCATGTTCTTCTTTAAGCATTCTTTGCAAACCGTTGTTAATAATCAATACATACCCTGTTAGCTGGCGCGCTTACTCTCCAAGCTGTGGGGCCGGCCACCTTATCACGACGTTAACTCGTGCGGCCGAAAAGTGTGCAACTCCGGGGCTAGAAGCACGTTCCACAAGGTGGTAAACTACAAGAGGAATAACCTGGTTTATTTAGCGTCGGAGCTCATACTTTCTGGCACCACGAGTACTTTGAATTTTGGAGCTTTAAACGGCCACATCCCTTGCATGTCCAGATCCACCTACAACAACCCACCTTCTCCACCTTCTCCATTGCAACAAAAAATTTGGTTGTCTAACCCTTTCCTGTAGCTAGGCCATTTTCACATGTTGCAAGCAGTGGGGGTATCTCTAATTAAGTCGTAGTCTCTAAGTCTCATGTAGCACCATGTGAAAATTGGAAAGGGATTTTCACGGGTAAGACTTCGCAGGTACAGATTAATACCTCATCCACATCAATGGCGTGGGGGTTTACACACGGTTAATATGTTATATTTTGCAACTTCCGTTTATGACGACAATAAATTTCTCCACCTCACGAGCATTCAGATAATCTACATGCCAGCTCGAAGGCAAGTGTTGTCGGTCGAGAGCGATTACCAATAACTATTTCTCTTTCGGTATATCAATATCGCAAAGCTCACAATAGTATTGACCCCAGTGACATGGTAAGGACGTGTCATTGTGTGTTCAATCAGCTGCATTGACCTATCAAATCCGAGGGCAATGAGATTGGAACGCACAAAAAAATTGTAGTCATGATGGAATGGGATACATGAGTCCTCTGGATAATGGCTATAGGCATAGAATGATTCTACCCTTTTTGGCACCGATAACATGCATCCAAATTGCATCTTTGCTCGGCTCTTCGTCAGTATCTGGCAGTTTCTCCCATGTAGAGCTCAATTAAACTGTACATTTTAGCTGAGTACCCAAAACCGTACGGGACCCAGAAGAAAAACTGGAGAAAGCTGGCCTGACTAGCACTAAGCGGGTTGGTAGATTTGTGGCAGAACTCCAATCTCCTCCACAGTTAGACAATAGTGCATAATCAATCTTGAGCGCGAATAGGACAAGTGTCATACCCTTTTGGCGGACGGCTACTCGTGCGGCCAGAAGGTTTAAAACTCCGAATGCTAGATCGGTGTTAAGAAAGAGAGGCAGAACTTGCAACCGGGGTAGTTTGACCAATCAGAATCATCATTCCCTAGTGTTTAGAGTTTTGAACTTTCTGACCACACGAGTACTCTCTCCAGTTTGTAGATCACGGGGGTTGCATCTAAAAATGATCGACAGCGAGGTACTGGTTGTTGATAGAAACTCATTTGCTCTACCGTTGTGCAAGGTCCGGGAATACAGTCGGCATCTATGTCTGGTAGGCTCCACTACATAGTGGCTGCTGATGATGCAGACAATGTAACCAACCCCTGCATGTAATCTTGGCAAAGATAGTAGAGGTGGATTTAGACGTATCGACTGTGTTCAAGTAAAGCTAGCATGAAAAATAGTAGTTGATGATGCGATGCAAGCATTAAATCGAGAATCCTCCGTAGATAGTCCTATCATTGTCCAGAAAGAACACCAAAGGATTTAGCATGCATCTTCAAAGCTCGGTGGTGGTGATAACATCATTCCAAATCATTAAACTTCAAGTAAGCAACAATTGAAGGATCCTTACCAGCTTACTAGGCCTAAACTGAGCTTGACAAGGAGATTATAGATGAGAGATTAAAGGAAGCGCAATGGTGCTTTAGCTGACTTAGCATTGAAATTCTATGTTATGTTCGAGGTAGCTATCGAGTTCTGGCAGTAGATGTGCTATTCTAGGCCAAACAAAAAATGATATGTAGAATATCCAAATCCTCAGCCATTGATATCCATTGAAGCATAGAAAAGATATGTAGACGAGACCCCAGTTGTAAATGCAAATGCGAATGCCTAATAGTCGTCGCCACGGCTGATCACTTCTTTACCACCAGAATGGAGAAGAATCGTCTGAAAGTAATGATTAGCCTTGAAGCGGGGTTCCCCGGGAGTGTTCCATACATGTTCAAATTGTGCTGTGTATGAGCCCTTCACGTCGACGAGTGGAGCGTAAGACTCCACAATTCCCTTGTCTATCAAGCTTTTCATCTGTGCACCTCAGGTTAACAAGTTCTCAATACGCAATGGTCCAACCATGTCACTCACTCCGAGATGATAGTTCTTCACTCCAAGACGCTCCAAATATCGACGACAAAAAACCAAGGTCCCAAAGTTCGCTTCGATGGCTTTAAGTAAAGACTTAGCGGACGAGAGTTGCACATCAGCACTTTTGACATCGCTTCGCCCGTAGCCATAAATACCCAACTGCCAGCTAATCAGAGCATATCCCCAAGACATTGAAGATGGGAGCGGAATACAATACATACATCATCACGTAGATATCCCGTTCCAGTGCTGCCAAAAGTCTCAATGGCAAATACCTCACCCTCCTCCATCTTGTCCCGATTCTTATTTCTGACGAAGGGGACTTGTTTGCCGCCATGTATATGATATCGAAGAATGTCATGACCTGTAATGTTTCGAATAGATCTCACTGGTAAGAATTTACCTCCAATCTCTATTTCGTAACTTTCCATCACCTCTTGGATCTCAGCTCCGATATCACTCATTCTCGCGTCGACACCAGCATGCTATATTTGATCAGCTTGTAAGCTTCAATTCAAGTTCGAAGCTTCTAATGGATTAGACGTACCAGAATGCCAGTATTGGTTGCTTCCTTTACAGCGGTAAGGAGGTTGTCGTACATATGGTCGAAAGTGATGGTAAATGCTGAATCGACAATACGACCATTTATTTGCACACCAAAGTCCACCTTTAGTACATCACTATTTTGCAGGATTACATCTTTTCCCCCTGGATTCGGCGTCCAATGGGCTGCGATATTGTTTAGGCATAGCCCAGTGGGAAAACCCATGCTTGCTTTCAGACTATCTCCAGTTTCAAGTCCCTGATGGCCAGATAATGCACGAACTCCATCCTCAATCTCATCAGCAATGGACAGAAGACTTGCGCCTGGTTTGATGAGCTCCTTCTGGGCATACTGACGAACCTGACGATGGATCTCCGCGGCCTCACGGTAATCGTCAAGAAATCCTTCGTCCCAGAGGCGAGAGTTAAAACGTGACTCCTCGTCTGTAACACGAGATGTATTCTCATATGGCATAAGCTCCCCCTCGAGAAACCCGAACGGAAACAGACTAGAAACAAGCACGCGAGGTGGAGTGCTTTGCCCAAGCTCCGCTAACTTCTTCTTCTTCTTTGGCTTCTTACGCTTCTTTTTGTTTTCTGCACATAGATCATTAAGTTAGTGTTACAACTTCTTTTACATGTAACTGACTCGAAGGTTAAATATCCGATCGGGGGATTATAACTCGCCATTAGACAGAAGTATATTCACTCCAGGTCCTTCATCATCATCATCACCAATAATTCCGCGATCCAAATCTGCCAAGGTCGAAGCCCTTTGTGAAAGCTTCGTACTTTGCTTGGCTGGCTTGAGCTCGATAGAGTCAGAAGCTGCATTACGAAGTAAATTGTTAGTTGTTAATTCGTGACTATGTCATCTGCAAAGGGATTTCGTACCATTAGGAGTCTGCTGATATTCATCAGAGGTCTTGGATCCCATACTGAGGCACCGAGTGAAGACACTGTCGCTTGAGTCCGAAGAGACGTTCATACCAAAGTTGAGAAGGTAAATAGATCTTTGACTACATTTTTGGTGGGGCTACGCCCTTCAGATGACATCTCGTCAAAGGTACTCATCGCTACTACTGGAGCATAATAAGGAGAAAAGTGAAATGTTTTGTGATCCAAAATATGGAAAGTCTACATTTTGATCTATCGAAAGATCAACAATTCCCTGGAGCTGCTATGTCAATAGGAAGTACTATGAATAGGAGTGGAAGTATTTCAGGGCATGAACGTTAACGTTGTTCACGTGCACCGACCGATAAAAATCTCAAAAGTTTACCTACCTCTTTTTCCATGTGATTCAGATCATAGAGCTATTATAATTGGTTTAAAACAAACCGAAAACCGAAGATAAATCAGAATCCAGATGGGTGAGGTGAGGGGACGAATCCCATGTCAACCGACACTACCGCGCGCCTTGCCCTTCCCCACCCCCCTCATCCCCTTTGCTCCAGTTCGCTGCACCATACTCCATACCTACCATACAGGTATATCGTACACATGCGTCATATTAACAAATATTAACAATGTATGCGTAGTATACGACTCGTATGATAGTAGTCTACCATGCCTCATGAGCTGTACATATCACATGATTGAACACTCCATGGTGGGTCACATGCATCCGCCCTGACAGCTCCACGAATCCACCCCAACCAACCCCACATCTCTGACACCAAACACCAAATGAAGGGTTCACAATACCAGCCACCAGATTTGCCGGATGGGGAATATGGTACAGCTTATGAAATACGATGGCTGGTAATGATTCATGCCCGGATTAAGAGTGTCTCCTATTCCCGAGTAGCAATGATCGTTCACAAATGTCAGACGGCTGTGGGAAGTCTTTTGGGAACTTCAACCTTGGATAATGGTCTCCAACTGTTGGAGGTCTCAATCTAAACGGTGTTTGCTCGGCTGGAGGAAGTAAATCGGGAAAATCTAGATTAGAGGCTTTCCAGAGAACTCTTCTCACAGAAATGCTCGCCGTCTAGCCATTTTTGAATATGACCTTGCTTGAGTTCCACCCGAATCAGCACATTGAGCAAATGGAGTACCCCAGAATATTTACACCGCTCGAAAGCTTACAATGTATCGACCGCAGGAGCTAGAGGCATTCGTGAGTAAAATCTTGATGATAGTATAAACTTGAAAACATGAAAAAGTGAGCAAACTGAATTTTTGGAATCACAATGTAAGTCTAGTACCCTACTTTTGGACCACCCCTAATATGGACCACCTTTTTACACCAAAAATCGTGATTTTCAGCTATTAATAACTTTACAACCAATTAATAGAATTTGATGAAACTTGAATTGTAGATTCATTATATAATTATAACTCAATTCTGAAAATTTTAGATTTTTTGGAATTAATTTCATTGAGATCTATAATCTTAAATTTTATGATTTTTGATTTGTATAGGATTTACATATAATTTTTTTAAATTTTTAAAATCTTGAATAAATTTTCAAAAAAAATAATTAAAAATAAATTATAAATTTTTTTTCGAATATTTATATCATAAATGATCAAATTAATCAATTTATTTTAAAAAAATATTTTACAAAAACCCTTTTAATCAAAATGTTATAATTTTTAATCTTTGTAAAATCTAAAAATATCAATAGAGATTCATTTATATTATTTAAAATTCAAAATATTGATTTATTATATAATATTTAATCTAAAAATCTTAAAAAAAATTTATAGTTTATTTTTAGCAATTTTGGTTGAAAAGTTATATAGGATTTTCAATATTTTCAAATTTGTATGTAAATCTAATACAAATTGAAAATCATAATTTCAACTTTCAATTTCTCAATCAATAAAATTACAAAAAATCTAAAAATTTCAGAATCTATCAACAACTATATAGCAAATCTATAATTAAAATCTCAATTAATTCTATTCATTCGTTGTTGAATTATTAATAGTTGAAAATGACGATTTTTGATATAAAGAGTGGTCCAAAAGTAGAATACTAGACTTAAAATATATTGATAAACTATACCGGGGCCTGCGCCCCCTGGACCTCTGGCTTTTCGAGATAGTCTAATGAAAATTTAAGGTTTAAAAAGTTTATAATAAACTAAATATTAAATATATATCAAAATCAAAATGTAGATAGAATATCAGTTTGTTTTTAATAATTGAAAATTAAATTATTTTATTTAAAAATAATAATTATAATATAATTTAATATTATTATATATAATAATAATAATATTTTATAATATTTATAGTATTTATATTAATATTATTTAATATTATTATTTATAATATTTAAAATAATAATAATATTTTATATTATTATTATTATTATTATTATTTTGAATTGAATAAGATAAATTGAATGAATAGAGTTGAATTGAATAAGTTGAATGATTTCAGAGTTGAATGAATAGAGTTGAATTAAATGAATAAAGTTGAATGATTTCAATAAAGTTGAATGATTTCAAAAAAGTTGAATGATTTCAGTAGAGTTGAATGATTTTAGAATGATTTCAATTGAATTGAGTTAAAAAAAAGTTCGAAATCAGATTTGTTTAAGATTGTAAGATTTTGTTAAGCTTTTTATTAAATTATTTATTGGGGTATTTATTAGGGTATTTATCGAGGTATTTTAGATCAATCAGATTGTCAGGATTGCGATTCATTTAAGCAAGTTTTTCATTTTCTATTATTCATCAAATAAACTTTGTATACAGTAAGATTATAATATTGACAAGTCGATAATAAATATTCTTCGAAATACTTTTGAATATTCAAATTGTCTAGAATCGAAATAATAAATTCATTATTATTGTTATAAAAATCTTATTGATTTTCTTATATTTAAATCAAAAATAAAATAAAAGAAAATCAATTTAAAAAATCTAAAAGTTATTCAAATTATAATAAATTTATTAATAAAAATAATATATTACTTAAATAAAATTTAAAAAATATTTATAATTATTATATAAAAAATATAGAAAAAAAAATATATAGATTATTTAAATAAATAATAATAATAATTATAAAAGTTTTTTATTGTTGATTTATCAATATCAAAACCTTGTTATATATATAATTGTTGGTATGACTTCGGTGATACTTATTGTAGTGCAATGGTATTCTTATTATATTTTATTCATAGTTGATTATTATCTATTTAGAAGAGAGGGATCTATTTATATTGAAAGGGGTACGGCCTAGAAGGCACTAGTTGTACAGCTCCCTTTATATACGGCCTCCCTTTCGAGGTTGATCATATAATGTACCAACAATAATATATTACAATTTACTTAATATGAGTTACGATCCTGACAATCTGATTAATCTAAAATACCTCAATGAATAATCTAACAAAAAGCTTAGTATAAGCCTTATAATCTTAAACAAACCTGATTTAGAAATTTTTTAAATTCTATTGAAATCATTCAACTCGACTTTATTCATTCAATTCAACTTATTCAATTTATTCAAATTATAATTGTCGGCTTGCCGACATTATAACCTTGCTGTATACGAGGTTTACTTGATAAATAATGAAAAATGAGAAACTTGCTTAAATGAATCGCGATCCTGGCAATCTGATTGGTTTAAAATACCTCGATAAATACCCTGATAAATAATCTAATAAAAAACTTGATATAAACTTTACAACCTTAAACAAATCTGATTTAAAGCTTTTTTCAACTTAACTCAATTGAAATCATTCAACTTTATTCATTTAATTCAACTCTATTCATTCAACTCTGAAATCATTCAACTCATTCAATTCAACTTTATTCATTCAATTTATCTTATTCAATTCAAAATAATAATAATAATAATAATAATATAAAATATTATTATTATTTTAAATATTATAAATAATAATATTAAATAATATTAATATAAATACTATAAATATTATAAAATATTATTATTATTATAAATAATAATATTAAATTATATTATAATTATTATTTTAAATAAAATAATTTAATTTTCAATTATTAAAAACAAATCGATATTGTGCCTGCACCCTGATACATATTTAATATTTAATTTATTATAAACTTTTTAAACTTTAAATTTTCATTAGACTATCTCGAAAGGCCAGAGGTCCAGGGCGCAGGCCCTGGTATTATTTTATATTCTTTTTTTTATTAACAATAATAATATCTTTATAGTATTAAAAGATATCGATTTTTAATTTTTAGAAAAGGGGTTTTCATATCCTCATAATGAGGATCCGATATAAGTAAAGATCGATTTTTCAGAAATATAAATTTTTTTTGGTTGTTCTTTTTAAATATATATAAATATTGAATTGAATAAAATAAAATAAAATTGTTTTGTATAATTATATGATCAAATAACAGAAGTTTGAATAAAGATAAGAATTATTAGATTTATAATTATTACAAATGATATAATATATAAAAGTATATAAAGTAACATTAAAATAAATAAATTTGTTTTTGATTTCATTGATTAAAAATTTTATAGATATATAAAATCAAATAATTTATTTAATCAATAATTATTTTAAAAAAAAAATAAATGAAATAATTAAATCAATATAATTATAATACTTGTATATAACTATTCATTGTTAATCAAAATCATATCAAAAATCCTTATTTTATTATATTTCAATTAAAGAAAAATCCTATATAAAATTATTATAACTAATCAAAAAATTAAGATATATTTTAATTATATATTAAATAATTAATATTTTCAATTTTTATTTATTTAATTAAATTCCAATATCATATTTTCTATTATCATAAAAATTGTTTTAAAAAGTTTACGATTTTCGTTTATTTTATTAATAAATTTTGAAATTCTTGTAATTCAATTTGAAAAAAAAAATTTCTATTATAATTATTATTTTTAAATAAAAAAAATTTGATTTTCAATTATTGAAAACAAGTCGATATTCTATCTACACCTTAATATATATTTGATATTTAAATCTATTGTAAACTTTTTAAAATTAAAATTTTCATTAAACTTTCTCGAAAAGGCAGGGGTCCGGGGGGGCGTAGGCCCCTGGTTAGAGTTATATAAATTATATCATATAGATTATAAATAAAAAAATAATCTATAATTTCTCAAAAGATATCCGAATTGTTTATGTTAATTATTTATAATTTATAATAAATAAAAAATTGAAAATGA